GGAAGTCGGGGGCTTCGATGAACCGGTACCCCCGATTGAAGCAGTATTGCACGATGATGTCGGACGCAATGCATCCCCACATCCAGTCAAACCGCAGAACCTTTCCTGTGCCCTGATACTCCCGGCGGAGTCGACCGCAAAGTTTGTCCAGCTGCTCCTGCATCATCGGCGTGGCCTCGGTAATGGTGCGTTTCGAGAAGAACGAATTGAGAGCAACCCGTCGGCCGTGATGCACATGGTGCTTGGGCGTTGGAAAGAGCCCGGTATCGTTACCGAACCGATGTTGCCATTGCTCGAGCTTGTCCCACGGCAAGGATTGGGAGTAGAGATCCTCAAAGAAAGAGGAATCCTGTATGTGGATTTCATTCGGGCTGATTCGTACAATGGGCCCTGCAGCGAGCACGGTCAGCCCAGGAATTATTGAATAGCAGATATACCCCGAGCACTAACCATACTGCTCGTGAAGCTTCCGGTAATGGAAGAGAAACTGTCCACCCGGAGACTTGAACACTTCGAAATATGTCTCATACCATTGGGTGAAGGCAGCGAGTTTGGGGCCCGGGAATTTGGCGAGCGGATGGAGGGTGATGCGATACAGTCCAAGAGCCAGGAAGTATACTATGGAAAGAGTCGTGGCAATGCCACATAACAAGAGAGGGGAGTCTACAAGAGACTTGAAATGTACCACCAAGTCCTGAACCACACCCATGGCGTCGGAAGACAGGGATCAAGCAGCAAACAGACAGAGAATGCCAACAGAATAGAGCATCAAGGGGGGGAAGGTGTGGACCCGAGATTCTGGGACCAGGTGCAGATAAGTAGTGTCGCCAGGGAGGCGGACTGGTCTCGAGGGCGTAGGCCCCGTCCAGTGGCAGCCGTCATCAATGACCCGAGGGATTGGATCATGAGTCTTCACACGGTCCCGATGGGTTGGCTTGAAGAAGAAACGAACCACCTACACTAGTCATGTTTAGTCGTAGTTAGACTTAAAGGGGAGGAGGGGGTGTTCCAATGCTCCTCGTCATCTCCTTCCTTTCCTTCGGTGGGCCAGGCCCGTGCGAACCATTGAAGCTGCCTACAAGGGCTAGACCGCCGGGTCGGGAAAGGTTCTTTTGCTTTTGGATTCCAGTAATACTTTTAGCTGGGCTGCAGAGTTATGCAGACAGCATCAATGCAGACAACGCAGTGCAGCCAGCGCATTGCCTCGCCACCCGGGTTGTGGTTGGCTACCAGCCCCAACAATCGCTATTATTGTGTCCACTTTCTCAATGGCTTGCCATTGGCACTGCGGCAGTCCATTTGGGCAACCAACTTCCACTTCGATCTTTTTTCCATCATCACCGTAAACGGATGTACTGTTTTTGCGGCCCGTGTAATTGCAGCCAAGGTCGATGAGCGGAGGTTGGATGCGGGCTGGGATGGGAAATAGCGATTGCCCTACTTTGCTAGTGGCGGACGCCGTCTCCCGTCATTCCCGTCAGTTGCTATCCATTCGCATGGTGGACATTGGACGATGGTTAGTCCCAATACGGTGGATGGCGGGCCCGGGGTATCGCATCCACTCTTCTGCACCGCACGGGTGCTAACCTGCTAAACTCGATGGTGCCATTTGTGGCATAATGCAATATTGACACCCTGCACTCCAAAGCAGAAGTTGCAAAGAATGCTTGCAGATGCACAACAGGCACTCTGGCTGAATAATTGGAGACACTGCCAAGCATGAATGACGCCCATCCCGATGATCGACTGCATTACTCATGACCGGTTCGAACACAACGCAGAATAATGCAATCTTGTGTCCTCATCTCGAGTGGGCCTGCCTTTAAGATTCCATACTCCTTCATCCCTTTTTCTGTTCTTTCCTTTTTGACGTTTCCCTTTTGGGGGTTTTCTTTTTTTTTTTTTTTTGCTTGCATCCCTCCGATTCCGTCAACCCCTTCTCAGTCTCAGTTCAGTCCGATCCCCGCTGGCTGGATACGAAAGTGGAGACTGCACACTGGGACTAGCGCCGGTAAGAGAGGGCCAGCAGAAACTTGCAGAATTGCCGGAAAGTGCAGCAAGTGCAGTACGTAGACTAGCAGCAGCAGCAGCACAAGCAGAACTGGTTTGTCGATTCCGGCGACGGGGGTCTGACTGGTTGCTTTTTCCCCTCATGGGCCCCATTGAACCATGAACTTTAATTGCTTCGCGGGTGCGACCAAAGGCCGGCCGGCCCACCAGAGACACCCCGAAGAGAGAGACCTGACCTTTGACAGGACCGTCACCGTTTCATCCTCCTTGTTTGACCCTCTCTACCCAGGGAGAATGGGGGAAATGACTGGACTAGACTTCACCAGACTCCCAAAGCCTGCAAGACTGCTGCAACAATGACACGCTGCCGAAATCCATGTAGGGGGAAAATAACTGTCTTGCAGAAGACGGGGCGGGGAGTGGATGGATGGAGTGAGTGGGTAGGCCCTCGTCCGTCTCTGCATGGGCCTTTCCAGTCGGTCATCCATTTTCCCCCCCCCTGCCTTCTGAGTTCACATCCGTCTTCCCCCCGAGGCAACCGGCGGATAACCACAGAACTTAATAATACTGGTGCTGGTGGTAAGCTATGGCAAGGCGATGGACGGACCGGTCTCCCGTGTCATTGGTCTCAGCCAGTGTAATGCTGCTCATACCGTATCCTGTACTTGGGGAGAGGAGGGTTGCGGATCGCGGGTCCAGTGACACGCAATGGTCCGACCGATGCTATTCCATAACCGGCAGGATCCTGACAGGACTCACGGGGAGAGTCAGTTCGCAACCTTCAGCTGCATTGGCTGGAGTGTAAAAGATTGTGAACGGGTGGTGGAGGGAACTTGACCCACCCAGTCACTCAGTCGGCGATGTGTGGTTTGACCACCGCCCAGCATTCCTTTCCCCCCTTCGATCGGCAGCAATAGTCATGCACCCACCGGAATAGTGCGGTCATGGCAGCAGCAGGCGTCCCAGCAGCGCGTCCGCCTGCAGCAGCTCTCCAGTCCTGGGAACCCAACCAAATCTGGCTTTTTCAGTCGAGTTCGATAAGAGCACGGGCTGCCAATCGAAATCTGGCCCATTGCTTAAGCCACGACCTTCATCTTTCCCAATGAGGCTCTCCCGCGAACAAAGGATGAGGAAAATCGCAATTTCACCGCTGCCTTCTCGCGCCAGAATCTGGGTAATCACTCCCTGACTGCAATTGGGATCTCGACGAGTAATCACGAATTGAAGCCCGACAATCATGAAACGCTGGATGGGATACCATCCCTCCGATGACGCAGAACACAAAAGGGAGCCCACCTCCTCCCCCCCCCCCCCCCCCATGCGCCCGCTCCCCCCCCCCCCCCCCCCCCCCCCCCCCCTGCAGAGATCGGACGAGAACGCCAACGGTCGGCGGTCGGACTGGTTGCGAAGATGCTTCCATGGTGATTCGGCAACCACTAGAAGCCAGCTAGCAGGTTTAGCACCCATGTCGCCAACGGACAAGCCAGCGAGGCGTGTCATGCAGAGGCCCTGTCCACTTGCTCGGGCCCCCTGGCCTGCAAGGCCGGTGAATTAGTCCCGGAGCCCGTCGGAGACGCACCCCCGTCTCAGACTGCCCTTCTCCACGAGCGCAAATCCTGGTTGCGTCCAAGTTCTCACCTGGAGGCTGGACAGCGCTGCGTGATTGAGTTAACATCTCAAAATCATGCTTTTATCCCGGTCGCATCGCCGCGCTTGTCCTCCCGAGACGAGTTCTGACAAGGGTAATGTCAACACATTGCTCGACCGTTTGGAAGATCATCTTCGTCTGTGTTCCAGCTAAGCAGGCAGGTGCGACATCAGCATGGTTGCTGGCTACGAAGAACCCCCCAGATAGTTGTGGATAAGCTTCTTTGAACAGATATTAGCGGGGGTCGCCAGCAGAAGAATCAGGCGACCGGCTTGGACCATTCCATTTACCTCGATTAATTCTTCAATGGTGTGGTCGCATTTTTTCAATGTTGCTCGGTCATCGGTCTCACGGCTATCACCGTTTCTGAACGGGATTCAGCATTCATTGAGATTAATGACTCTGCTCCTTAAGGGATGCGGTGCAGCCTTCCTGGGTTCCTCCCGATGATGCTGGGAGAGCCGCTCTCTTGCTCGTGAGGATGGTGTCGTGCTGTCAACCGATGAGATGAGAATGAAACAGACAAGACAATCACATGGTCATCTGGAAAGGTAATGGCAGGCGCGTCCTTCCTCGCGATCATAATCCGGCAAGTTGGTGGTACAGTGTCGAGAGGGAAGGAGAAGCGGTCGAAGTGGTCGAAGTGGTCGAAGTGGTCGAAGTGGTCGAGGTGGTCGAGGTGGTCGAGGTGGTCCGCGAGACTGGCCGTCAATAGTGGTGGACACCAGAAATCTCAGGCCGGATTCGGGCTGGAGTCGAGCAAGTGGATGGAACTTCCTTCCTGCAACTGACTCAGCCAGCACTTCAACAGGCTGGGAAAAGAACTTCGACCGTGGCAGCTTCATCTTTTCTCGGCTGCGTTTGATTGCTGTGATACTGCTTCGCTCTTCTCCAGCGTCACCTTGGACACAAAGATCGTGCTCCAAATCGATATACAATATGTACTATCCCAAGCCAAGCGCTAGATGATCCTCGTAACTTTTAGCTTTCAGAATGTCTTTCTCAATCGAAATGTTCTGGGTTAAGCCTGGAGTCTGCCTCAGCGAAAACTCAATAGACTTCAAGGTTCTCGTAAGGTCGCGCAAGCAAGAATGTGTGACTCTGAGATCCTGATCTGTTCTGCCGATTCCATGATTGGGAGCGACATGTGGATTCGATACTTGTTGAATTTGACGTCTTCAGGGACAAGTCACCACGAAAAGCAATTCTACCAGAGGGGTATATGTACGAGGCTGGCCTCCTGGCTTCTCGAAGATTGGCCCTTTGCTAACAGCATGTTAGAGGCGGGATGGCCATTCATTACCACCAAATCACGCACTTGCACTGGGTTCCAAGAATAAGGATGTCGCTCTCATCTTGGAGGTCCTACCTCGAGCTCACGCGGCTGAATCATCCTCTCGATGCGATCGTGATCTACCTTCCATGTGCCACCGGCGTCGTCCATGCGGCCGCTGTATCCCACTGGCAGACCCTTCCTCTGCCCCTGGTACTTCGGTGCCTAACCGGATGGCTACCAATCTCCGTGCTCCAGGCAAGCTTCGCAAACACCATCAACGATACCCTTGACCAAGACCTGGACCGGAAGGTGTCTCGGTGCCGGAATCGGCCCCTGGCCCGGGGAGCTCTATCTACAACCCAAGCCAGTATCTTCGCTGCAGTCCAAGCGGTAGCGGTCGTTCTTCTCTCCGCCTGGGCTCTTCCCCGCGCCTCTTCAGCTTATCCTATCGTGGCTGTCGTTGGCAGTTGCATCTACCCCCTTGGAAAGCGCATCACCAACTACCCACAAGTCATTCTCGGGGCCATGTTCGCCGCGGGCTTCCTCTGGGGGTATGAGTCCACCGGGCTTCGTCTGGCGTCCCAGGCTCATATGGTAAGGATTTCCGCGGGCAGCATGATGGGGGTCCATTGCTTGTGGGTCGTGATGCTCGACGTCATCTATGCATTCCAGGACGTCGCGGACGATTCCAGCGCAGGGGTCCGGAGCATGAGCGTGCGATTCCAGAATTCGAGTCGGCGGCTTTTTACGGTCTTGGGGATATTGTACACGACACTTCTTCTGGTGAGTGGAGTTGCTGCAAGTCTCGGCCGATGTTTTGCTGTTGTTGCCGGGTGCGCGACGATGACGCTGTTCGTCAACCTGGGCTGGGTGGATGTCACGTCCAGGGCGAGTTGCCGGTGGCGATACAGGAGGGGGTTTCCGTTGACGGCGGGGATTGTGTTTCTGGGACTGTTTGGGATTGCGTGTCAGAGAGGTTCGTAGTTGGCACAGCTGCTGCGTCAACATGTTTCGGTGTGTTGGGTGTAGGATACACGTCTGCAACTGTATTCTCAGTCCAAAGCATACTATCAAAAGTCTTTGATATACTATATACCTTTATCAGGATACAATCTAAACCAGCGTATACAATCTGCACATTTATGATGCCACGACAATCAAGGCCTCTGCAACCTCAACCCTCAACCCCTCACCCTCTTCGCCCTGAGAAACTCATAATCCGGCATCGCCTCCTCCACCGCGCGCTCCAGCATGCCCGCAACCTCCTCCCCAAACTCCCCCCTCCACTTCACTACCTCCGCCCTGACATCTACCGCCGCGGGCGTCTTCTCCTTCATCACGCCAGACGACCCCTCCAACGTCGACAACATAATCCTGGCCGCCGCATAATAATCCCGCTGCTCCTGGGTCAGAAGCCCCTCGTCCTCCTCCTTCTTGCCCCTGCGCTGATGCGGCTCGCCCACGCTCCACTCCCACTTGACCACCCGCTCATCCAACCCTGCCAACTGACAGAACCGCCTCACCGCCGCCGGCTCATGGATGAGATCATGCGCGTCGAGCAGCAGCACCTCCTCCCCCGGCTTCTGTCGAAGACACCACTCAACCAACCCCCTCGTCCAGCGCAGGGACATATTCGTCGCCAGCGTGCCGCGCAGCGTCTCCTCGTCGTCAACCAGATACCCCGTCTCACCAACCTTGCGCATCGCGCGATAGAAACTCGGGAAGGCGAGGGCCGGATGCCGGATAATGAAGGCCAGACGCCAGGAGCGGAGGTACTCGTCGGGGAAGATGGTTTCGTTGCCATGCGAAAACGTGGCGGTCGGGCCGTAGGTGGCGGGCAGGGGCAGGCGGAAGAGGTTCTCGTCCGCTGCGCTTCTGTCCTCGTGGTCCGAGGCCGAGTCGTCTGGGTCCGTCGAGTGAAAGGAGGCTGGGTTGGCGAACCAGAAGGCGTGTTCTTTGGCGAAGGCGCGTTGGCCATTGCTGGCTGCCTCGGCAGAGAAGGCCTCGAGCGCGTCGAAGCACGACTGGAAGACGGAGCGGACGTGCGCCACGGTGGATGGGGGCCAGACGGCGGGCGGGGTGGTCAGGACGCTGCTCTGCGCGGCAGCTGTGAAGGCGTCGAAGAAGAAGTAGCCGCCTTTGCTGTTGGTGGAGAGGGTGGGTTGCTCGTGGATGTTGAGGACTTTGAGCAGCAGGTTCGAGGCGGTGCGCGGGACGCTGACGAGGAGGAGGCGTTGCTGGCCTCTGGGGTTGGTTTTGGTCATTTTGTTGACTTTTAGGAGGGGGTTTATTGGTGCTTTTGGTTTGGTGTTTGGGTAAATTGTTGGCAGATTGATTGATTAGATCGATCGCGCAGCTGGATCGCTGGATTGACGACCAGTGGACGGGGACTCGGGTCACAGGTTAAGCTTAAGTGAGGGTGTGGGCAATGAGAGACTCAGAAGATGAGGACATAATGGGGTCCGATGGCGTGATTTAAGCCTCTACTTATAGTTCTTCAGGCTTGGGGGGCTCAGACTAGTCGGTTAGTGCTTGCTGATAGCGCATGGACTACTCAAGTATAGTGTCAGGAGTATACACAACACCTTTGAAAAAAGCCCTCATTGTACAGTACACATGACCCCTCGATTGGCCCACCCTCTCGATGAACTCGCAAGACTTGCCTCCATCCCTGCTCGACTTCCGACAGTGGAGGCTCAACACGGGCAACAGACCCGCGATCATTGGCTTGATGTTAGCGATCGGCAAGGATCGTGCTGTTGGGCTGTCAGAATTAGTAACGATCTCGGCCGCTCGGCTTTAGGACTGACCGATTGACAGCGAGCACCTAATGAGTCAATGTCAAGCACTGAAGGGCAGGGCCAGTGTTGAAAACGTCGCTGCTGGGGTGTGGTGACAGAGGCAGATCATCCTGGTCAAGTCTCCATCAAACTTGCCCCAATCGAGGCATCCAGCGTAGAAGTCAGGATGTTACTCGTGGGGATTAGCTGGGGTGGGGAGGATAGTGCCTGTCCGAGGTTTCACAATATGAATGGAGATTGGACTGGGGCCTTGGTGGGTGGGTTCGAGTCCGACGGAAGCCCCGGTCCCGCAGCAGTCGTTGAATGAGGGGGTTGCAGTGTGAGTGGAACCGTGCATGTCAACTAGGGTAGGGTAGGATAGGGGCTGGGAAAGCCTCGACCATTCTCTCGGGAAGAGATACGCAGGATGCTTATCAGTTGCTGTTTCATCTAAGGGTGCAAGAATATGGATCACCGCATTACGAACAATGCATGCAGAATCAAGACTTGGGGAATCGGTATGACCACCTGCTCACAGACGACCGGGTTTCCACATGAGCAATTGCTCAACCCATGTTGAATCTGATGACATGCAGGTTGTATGTGGCCCAGAAGACGCACCGTATCTGACTGGGCTAATTGTTGCACAGCTCTACCGTTGCTACACTAACTGGTCATTGGAGACGGCAACAGTGGGACCGCCCTTCTGCTTCTCTTACCGCTCTCACCTGGTGCAGGTACCACTCGAAGCTAGATTGCAATTTTGCATGCCTTGATTTCATAATCCAATTTGAGTTTTAACGAAACAGGTGAGCCTGCGGTATCATACATCGGTTGCTGACTTGGCAGCTACTCCTCCCCTTTCATCCAGCTCAATGCTCTCCCTCGTCACAGAGATCTGGACACTTTTCATGATGGCGTTGGTCCGTTTAAGCAGGCACGCAGCCCTAGAAGATGAAGCCGATGCCGATGTACCCTGCAGGATGGGCTCGCGGTCCGTACCGTTTCTGGCTGGCAGAAGAGCTGGATCTTTGATGTGGCGTGATAACTTCCACGCCGTGGGCGCAGTTGGCCCACTGTTACTATGAGAGCCGGATATTTCCTCCGTGTAGGCAAAGCCTTGTTCGTCTTCGTACACCGCCACAAACAACTTAAGGGATGATATCGTCAAGAGGACGATACTGAGGCTCAAATGGAGCTCGGCGGTCGTGGTGGCATAGGCTCCGAGCAGGGTTGGATCGGAAGACCGGATTTGCTTCTCGATGAAATATAAGTGGATGGCGGAGAGAGGTATCAGTCTGCACGAGAGTATAAGCAGAGTGTGCTTTCAAGAAAGGCGAAGAACAGACATAATGCGGAAGCTGAGAATACCCAAGACTATCATCTTTTTCCTTGGCGATATCTGAACGTTCAGGATAATCACCACTGGGTAGGAAAGAATCAACACTTCGAGGATAATGTCGAGCGCGCTGATTGCTCGCCAGCGTGGCAGCTATCAGTAGTGATCAGTGAGTCTTAGTTTATCTCACACTATTCCAACCTGTTCTAACTCACAAGGCTTGGACATTCATGGTCGATATCAACCCAAGGATCGCTGCTGCATCGAATGGCTAACAGGAGCATTGCCAGAAGTGTCCACAACGCACATGCCACCAGAATAGACTTGATCATCCATTTGGTCCGAGGCAGTGAAAGGTTTTGGTAGAACAGCATTGTGCATATCTTCGACAGTCCTAGGATGAGGATATACAGTAGGTCTCCTGCATAGCCGGCCTTGTGCATAGGACACGTAGGGGTTAGTCATCATACTAACAGAGCAGAGAGGTGTATGTACCTTCAACATAGAGGAGAAGTCTGCAGAACGAAGTAAATTCTCTGACTGGCCCCAGCCAAAGTGAACTTGGACTAGCACCAGAGACAATTGTGCACAGGCGCACGCCTAAGGTCGTTGAATATCAGTCAGTTAGCCAGCGGGAAAAGAGCTTCCGGCGGGGTTGTTTCAGCAGAGCTGCAACCTTACCACAACTACAAACAGAACATAATCATCACGTAAGAGAATGCTTCGCTTCGAGGATGCGAACATCCGGATTCCGAGAGAAGCCAAGACGAGAAAGAGTCCCAGGGAAGTGATGATGACAATCAGGCCATTATGATTATGCTCGTTGTCTTCGGTCAGTGGAGGAGAAACCCCGGGCGGCAGGGACGAGGGCAGAGTGGCCATCGGGGCGGAAGCTATCGCGAGATCAAGATGAAAAACGGGAAAAACGGAGGTTGCATCTCGAGAACAAGTATATCAACAGGCAGCCCAAAGAGAAGGGACTGTACTGAAGCATGTTAAAGCAGACCAGCAATGCATGGAGATCATAAAAGTCAGCTTAGCTGGCGACGCCGATGACTTCTTCACTTCCTCTTTTTGCTTTTGCTCCTCTAGGACATTGCGAGATGCGACAGAGCAGAGATGACCCTTGCAACCCTGTCCAACACCCTGCCATGATTGCTACCTTTGGCGCCTATCGGCTGTCTGCATCACCACTTTCGAGGGTTTCTTCTTCCTGAAGCTGAACGTACATTCGGGGATTTTGGTCCAGATTTCGATCCTTTCCTATAATGGACAGACGGCCCTGCTGTCTCGGACAATAGCTAGCGTGGCTTTAAGCATACTTTGCCACTTGCACACCGGTCGCAAATCATGAAGCTGAGGGTACATGAAGGCAGTCTAACGCCATCGCATGTTCTTTGAAGAATTGACAAACCGGCTGAACTAAATCTCTTGCTGAATTGTTCAAGCTCTCCAATTTGGCCGAGGTAGCGCTCACCCACCCGTGTCACTCAATCTTGACTGACGTGATGGGGAAGGACGACCGCTGTCGACCGAGGGCCCAAGGCTCGTAATTCATTTATCGAGATGTGTCGGGTTATAGTATCAGCCACGATGGTGGCCTTATATGTTGCTTCTACCGCAGTCCCTAGGCAGCAATTGTAGACTCAGACGGGTCACAGCCAGATGAGCTTCCTTTGGGTGCTAAACATTGGCGTGTCTCGTAGTGGTGACAAGCGAGAGACCAATTGGGATTGGGTCGCCAAAAGTACGTTACACGACTTTCCAGCGCGTTGTCTACCTCGTTTTCCTTCCCGCCATGATTTAGTCTCACGTGGTGGTGTCAAGCATGCTTTTCCTCCGTTGCGTGCTGCACCGGTCGGTATCCCCAATTCAACCATTCCGATGGAAGAGAGGCAATGAGAGGAGTGATTTGCCGCCCAAGGTGCCGATCGAGTCGCGGAGACGACCCTTGTAGCTTGGTTACACACCAGGTCAGCACATTGCAATCAAGACCAGCTGGGGCATGTCAGAAATGGCCCAGGGTGCATACGCCTAGAAGCCAGAACGAGGTTCCACGGGAGGAATGACGGAAGGCATGCTTGAAATCGGTGGAAGGGGGCGGGGTACTGTAACGGTCGGTGAATAACTGGGCTGTATTTGTGGAATTGGAATCACAAAAGGGCAAAAAGGAGGAAAGAGATGATGAGGTTGAAACAGATTGCAGGACGGCTGAGAGAGTTTAAGAAAGGAGAAGAAGCAGTGAGAGGGAGATCGTCCGGTAGTCAACGAGATCCCTGTCCATACAAACCAAACCAAACCAAACCAAACCAAACAACAGCAACCTTGAACCGTGATGGACTCTGACGCCGCCCTCCCTTTTCTACTCTTTCTACTCCCTAATCACCTCTCATGTTGCACAACAATTTCACCTATCGATTGCCCCTTTTCCATCCTCCATCCTTTTCACGGCCTTTGCCGTTCGGGCCTGACTCACATCTTCACCCTTCCAACTGTCTACCAACAATGGCAACAGCGTCTGGGGGTCTCTCCAATTCGCGAAAGGCAGAGGATCTGGTCACGGCGACAGGATGTCATCCTCTCGAAATCCCCACGGAAGATAAAGATGGAGAAACGGGCACCCGCCATGACCACACTGATATGACCCGCATGGGCAAGGCGCAGGAATTCAAGGTTGGTAGCTGACAGCTGACCTCCACTGCTCACCCTTCGAAAATTCTTAACAATTGAGCCGATTGGAACGTTGACACCAGATCTCGTCTTAGAGGAATCTCCGACCGCTCGCTGCGCTCAGTTTTGCATCGGTCCTCCAGGCCACCTGGGAATTTATCCTGATGTGAGAACGCCTATGCAGCTTGTCCTCTCAAAGGCAGACCTAATAGCGACTCTCTGACAGATCGAATACACAAGGCCTTGAGAATGGGGGAATGGCTGGCTTGGTCTGGACCTATGTCTGGACCTTTGTTGGCTTTGGCTTCATCATTGTTTCGCTGTCGGAAATGGCATCTATGTCAGTCATGCCTCTATTCCCCCAGGATGCCAGAGGGTGTGATCTAATATACCTTGCTGAAAGTATAGGGCTCCTACATCCGGAGGACAATACCACTGGGTTTCAGAGTTTGCCTCCCCACGCTACCAAAAGTTCCTGAGTTATTTGACCGGTCTGCAACACTTTGTATCATTGAAGTCTGAGATGTCTCATTAACTTGCATAGGGTGGATGTCCGTACTGGCATGGCAGGCGGGTGCAGCATCTGGATCTTTCCTCACCGGCACTATTATCCAGGGCCTGATCAGCGTACACAATCCGAAATACGAACCCACGAGATGGCAAGGCACACTCTTTGTCTTTGCCATGATCTTAGTGATCTACTTCTTCAATGTCTATGCAGCGAGCTGGATGCCCCGGATCCAGAACGTGCTGCTCGCTCTGCACACCCTCTGTTGGGTGATTGTGGTTGTCGTTCTCTGGGCCATGGCCCCTCGCCAATCTGCTAGTGCGGTGTTCACGGAGATCAAGACATATAGTGGTTGGCATAATGCGGGGCTGGCCCTCATGATTGGACAAATCTCCGCCATCTATGGGTCGCTTAGCTCTGATGCCACGGCCCACATGTCCGAGGAGGTCCGTGATGCCGGTCGCTATGTGCCTCTCGCCATCGTTGGTGGTTATTTCAGCAATGGAATCCTGGCGCTCATCACTGTCATCACCCTGATGTTTGCCATGCCATCTGTCGAGGACGCATTGAATGATCCAACAGGCTTTCCATTTATTTACGTGTTCAAACAGGCTGTCTCCACGGCAGGGGTCAACGGGTTAACGGCCATCATACTTATCCCAGTCATCTTCAGCAACATCCTTTTCAATGCATCGACGGCCCGCCAAACGTATGCCTTCGCTCGAGACAAGGGATTACCATTTGCAAGTTGGATATCGCATGTGAACCAGAGCTACAAGCTACCGGTCAATGCCATCGCACTGTCGTGTATCATTAGCGGCCTTCTTTCTCTCATCAATATCGGCTCCGACACGGCATTCAATGCGATTATATCTCTGAATGTTGCCGCGCTCATGTGGACCTATGCAATTTCAATCAGCTGTGTCATGTATCGCAAGATCTACCTTCCTGATACACTGCCGCACCGACGTTGGAGCCTAGGCCGACACGGTCTCTGGGTGAACGCCACGGGCCTGGTGTATGTTCTCTTTGCGCTATTCTGGTCATTCTGGCCCCCGGAGATTCCGGTCACTTTGAAGAATTTCAATTGGAGTATTGTTCTATTCGTGGGAGTGTTTCTGATCAGCATTGCGATGTACATGTTTCAGGGAAGGTGGGTTTACAAAGGGCCTGTTGTGGATGTCAAACGGTTGTGACTTGATGCATCGACATTATGCGCATTTCTAAGCAGCGGCTACTCAATTGTGCGGAGATAGTGGCTCACGTGCTTATGGCCCTCTCTATCCCTGCCAGTTGACTTACCCCTCACTTTCACCATCTACGCCAATGAATTGACGCACTGCCTCGAGCCAAATCTCTGATTTTCAAGGTGAGATTGAGTAGTAAGACTGATCTGTCCTCTCTCGCAATATGGGATATAATCCTGTCATCACTCAAGCCTGCCGGCTCCTCGCGGTATCCGAAATTTCACCCTCGTCACCCTCGGTAAATGCGGGTGCGAAACCTGAGACCTTCTATTTAGCCTTAAATCCTTTGATGAAGTCATCAGGGTCAGACCGTGAGCCTTCGGGCCAACAATAGCACACCTTCAAATTCTCGTGCCGTCATTTAAAGCTTATGTTTCAATGTATTTCAATCGTTCGTCCTTGGAGCTTAGTCACCCCTACCTGTTCCAGATGGCATTGTTTGCTCAGGATGGGGGGCCCTTTCACCTCCTTCCGGGCTATTTTCCCGTTTTAAACTCCTTTCAATTAAGCCGACCCCCTCCCTCGCATGTCTAGACGTTCCGATTCCTGGATAATTGTGTCAATTCCCACACAATACCTGCAGGATGCTTTATAGCCGGCAAAATTCTTCGGCCTGGTACATAGCTCTCCTTGCACACCCCGCACGATGCGGGAAAAGTGGTGAAGAAGGAGAAGAAGCGGACAGCTACATAAAGTCAACCCCCATGGTGGAGCATACATCGCGACAGAGTGCGGTCCTCCCTTCGCCGTGCAAAACTTCCAGACTTCCTCTGACAATATGAGGTCTCCTGTCTTGCTGGCCATCGTCTCCCATATTGCCAGCGCATTGCCTAGCTCTGCAGATGGCGCTTCAGCTCCCACTGTGGACCTTGGGTACTCCGAATACCAAGGCACTCGTCTCGCGGGAGGGGTAGATCAATTCCTGGGTATGCGCTATGCAGCTCCACCTCTGGGGGATCTTAGATTTCGAGCGCCTCAGGATCCCGTAAAAAACAATACATTGCAGGCTGCCACTGAGGTATATTCCAATTTCATTCCCTGCATCCAATTCAAAGCTTCGCTCCTGTCCTCGTACTGATAGAGAAAGCCAGTATGGGCCACTTTGCATTGGCGTCGATCAAGTCAACTCCCCCACTGACTGGACGGAGGATTGCCTCTTCATCAACGTTTTCAAGCCTTCAACAGCTACGCCACAATCGAAGCTGCCGGTGTGGTTCTTCATACAGGGCGGAGGATACGCAGAGAACTCCAATGCCAATTACAACGGCACAGCCGTGGTAGAAGAGTCCGGTCACGGGCTCGTGTTCGTCACGCTCAATTATCGCGTCGGAGCGCTGGGCTTCCTGGCTGGTGAGGAAGTGCGGAAGAACGGCGACTTGAATGTGGGGTTGTTGGATCAACGCAAGGCTATGCATTGGATTAAACAGCATATTGCATCCGTACGTACCCGGTGTTCCCAAGTCATCACGGAAGAATCACTTGAGACTGACAAAGAACAGTTTGGCGGAGATCCAGACCACATCATCATCCACGGTGTCTCTGCGGGCGCAGGATCCGTGGCCTTCCACCTCACGGCGTTCGGAGGAAAGGATGAGAAACTATTTGTGGGCGCGGTCGCTGAATCGTCGTTCTGGCCCACTCAGCGCACGGTCGCGGATATGGAATTCCAGTACGAGCGGTTCGTCAACGACACCGGCTGTTCCAAGGCGACGAATTCCCTTGAATGTCTCCGGGACCTCGACATTGCAACCATTCAAGGTGCCAATACAGCTTCACCCTTCCCAGGAGGTAGCAGTAGTCCACTTCCCGACTGGTACTGGCTACCAGTGACCGATGGCAAGCTGGTTCCGGAGCTCCTGTACGATGCTTTCACAAAGGGCAATTTCATCAAGGTCCCGGTCCTAGTGGGTGACGACACGGACGAAGGCTCGAATTTCGCCTACAACGCCAGCACTCGCTCTGATGTGTCGCAATTCTTCAAGAACAACTATCCTCATCTGACCGCGGCACAGCTAGACCGAATTCTAGAGGCCTATCCGCAAACCAGCCCGTTACCCAAACATGGAGCCTGGTTCCGAACCTCGTCCGATGCTTACGGGGACGCATGTTTCACGTGTCCCGGTAACCATTTGACCGCATCCGTCGCAAAGCACCTCCCGCACTCGACGTGGAACTACCGAGTCAATATCCTGGATCAATCGAACCTCGCTGGTGGCATCGGAGTTCCGCATACCTTTGAGCTGCCAGCCATATTTGGTGCGGGCAGCACCGGGGCGCTCAGTAGCACGTCGTCGTATCTCAGCTACAATGCTGGGATTATCCCAGTGACCATGCACTACTTTATCAGTTTTGCCATGAAGCTCGATCCGAATCCCCTCCGCTATAGCGATGCGCCGGAATGGAACACCTGGGGTAAGGGGTCACGGATGCGGTTGCAGACGAACAGCACTGCGATGGAGGAGGTGCCTGCGTTGTCGGTGCAGCGCTGTCAGTTGTGGGAGGATTTGAGTGGCACAACCGAGGTCTGACTGAGATGATGCCTAGAGACTTCGTCGTCATAGACGACTGTAGAACATCTCCGCGCTTGTTCTTCAATGCATGTCGATAGCAAATGAATGGCAACCGGCTTGTGATTGTAACCATACCATGGGCTTATCAGATGCTTGGCGCTCGTAATGGGCACGCCTCCAAATGCCAATCCCTCAGCCTTACGTCGCGACGATCTTTTTGTCCTTTTTGTCCCGTGTTTGTCCCGTTTCTTTTCTGCCATCTTCCTTCCACCTTTGATACTTTTGGTAGACTTCTCTACTTTCGAGATACCAGTACTTAAACATTTCACAAACAGTCTCACATCAAACATCAAGAGCGTGAAGATGAGTGCAGAGAACACGATTCCAGTTCCCCCGCCGCCCGACCAGCCGAACCCCACCGACCGTGACGTCACCGATAAGGAGCAACACGCCGCGCAAACAATCCAGGTTCGACTCAACTTCATCTCCTCAATATTTTGTCTGCGTCGCTGACCTAGTTCCTTGCCAAGCGAGTGTATCGCGGCTATCGCACACGAAGAGAACTTCGCGGGCTCGGACTCTCGCAGCAGTCACAGAACGCAACGCGCCTGATCGAGGTAAAATCTCCCGCGACCGCGTTCCCGCCTCCGATCCCCCTTGTCGCTGACCCAACCGTGCTCAACAGGCCGTCAAAGAAGCCGAATGGCGTCAAATCCATCGACCCTCCGCGCCCGAAGACACCAGCGATCTCGATAGCGCCGCCCACGCGCGGAAGAACTGGCTGCGCGCCGTCAGCGTCGCCAAGCGAGCCGGGGGCGACGATGACGATGACCTCCTCCCCGCCGTCCACGACGAGCCCGTGTCGACCACAACCTCCACACAGCATGAGCCACACACCTCCGCCAGCGCCAGCAATAGCACTGGGCCGGCCATCCACCACGACCTCCCCGCCGGCACGACCGCCAAGATGATGGACCTCCAATACTTCTTGGAGATGGTCGACCTGAAACACCGCCACGGCAGCAACCTGCGCGTCTACCACATGTACTGGAAGACCTCGCCCACGCAGCAGAACTTCTTCTACTGGCTCGACCACGGCGAGGGCAAGGACCTTGACCTCCCGCAGTGTCCGCGCGAGAAGCTTGAGCGCCAGCAGGTTCGCTACCTGAGCCGCGAGGAGCGCATGAATTACCTTGTGACGGTCGACACGGCGGGACGGTTCCGCTGGGCTAGGAACAACGAGCTCGTGTGGACGGATAGTAAGCGATTCAAGGATAGTCTGCATGGTGTGGTGCCGGTCGAAGAGAACGCGCCGCGGTTCAAGGGGAATGATGCTGCTGCCGACGGCGAGGCGTCGTTTGGGACTTCGTCATCGTCGTCGTCGCTCTCCTCGCTCTCGTCATCAGACTTCAGTGCCACGGAAAGTGTGCATGATGATGCGATCGGCAAGCATGATACCGATCAGTACAAGGCGGCCAAGGTGGCGAAGAAGTTCGTGCACACCACGCCGGCGACGATGTTGAATGCGCTGAAGGGGAAGTCGTCCAAACGGAAAGAGGACATGTGGATTTTCGTCAGTTGCCCTTTTTCATGAGATGGTATAGTGTCGCGGTCATTGACAGGGTCTTGCCGATGTAGGTGGCCGATACTTCGTTCCGGCTCTTCGTCGGCATCAAAGAGTCCGGTGCATTCCAGCACTCGTCGTTTCTCCGTGGCGCCCGCATCGCCGCCGCCGGGTTGATTAAGATACGCAATGGCCAGTTGCGGAGTCTGGCACCCCTCAGGTAATTTCCCTCACCACTCTCACCCATGTCCGACCGGAGTGAGGAGCTGACCCAGCCGTAGCGGCCACTACCGCCCGCCCGCCGCCAACTTCCGCGCCTTCGTGCACTCCCTGCAGGACCAAGGCGTCGACATGTCAGGAGTCTCGATCAGCAAGTCGTACGCCGTATTGATTGGAATCGAGGGCTACACGCGCACCAAACGCAAGGTACGGGCGCTGCACGAGAAGGCGGATGAGACGAAACACAAGCTCCTGCGCAAGCGGAGAGAGAAGGCCGAGGCGCACGAGCGCGGGGAGGAGACGATCAACAAATCCGACCAGCCGAGTGACGCGGTGCAGAACAGTGCAGGAGGTGCTGAGGTACAGCCGGAGAGAAAGCCTCGCACGATGAACCTGCCCATCCGGCAGAAATCCTTTCCGGCCGCGTGAGGTTTCCTTTTTTGTTTGTGGGTTGTGTACGCTTTGATACTTGTTGTTTCTTTTCTCTGGCATGTCGACTGATGGTTGTGTACGTGCGATTTGGTACTCCTTATACCCCTACCTAGGAATAATAAAGGGCCTGAGATTCTAGACATGCTTCTTGCTGTGGTGGCTATTTTCTATGATTGTCTATTACGGAGGACAGGTGGTCGCTTGACAATTTCTGTAGATTAGCTCCTTTGTGTCTGATTGGAAGGAAGTTTGCAAATATACTTTTGTTTGGCGGCCACCTCGTAGCTGCTTCTCAAAATATATCCCAGGATCAGAGCCAAACACACGCTGTTTACTATCTGCATCCATAATGTTGAGCAGGCTCTATTTCCCTTCACATTTCACACTACCTTCACAACGTCAGATCCTACGATCACCAAACTATCTCTAATTTTAGTATTCTTCTTGCAAGACTTGACTCAAATCACTGTTAACAATTCCAGCAATTGATGCCGATAGGGGCCAAGTCACGTGTATAATCCGGCTGAGGGGAACGAGAGCAATTCCGCCCGCGGAATGTTTGTTTTCCACATCTACTAGACCGTACGGTACTTCCTTGTCAATAGTTATCCTGGCTAAAATTCAGCAGTCAGGTCCTATCCGACATTAAGACCTGTCTCTTTCGTGACGGTAGATCTTCTCTACATATGGGAATTAAATAATGCATGGATCCACTGCGAATGGGGAGATGATTTTAGCCGGTAGGTCTCCATACGTGTGTGTGTGCGTGTGTGTGTGCTCTTGTCTGATCTCGTGTTGCGTCTCCCTGCGTACAATCTCCACTGCCTGGAATGTTGGCTAATTTGATTCAGTAAGCTCTACGTGTGGTGGCTGCAATCTCTTTGAGTCTGTGCTCCCCCGAACCAGCAGTTTACAGCTTTCACCCTAAAGAAGGCTTCGAATCCGATAACCACGATTATGTCTATGCGACACCGCTGTAACCTGATCAGCATTCGAGTACATACCCATACCCAGTGCAGTCTTTCACACAGAATGTCTCAACTACCGCGCGAACAGGTCAAGGGGTGAATGGCATGTGTACGAGAGGGGTAATCTGAGACATCGCGGGCTAGTGCCTACCCAGAAGGGCATTGGAGCCGGTGCAACCTGGTCGGCCGATGTAACCCGTCATCCTGGAGGGAAGGCGATGGGGCTTCTCTGTGCCACTTGGCTCGACTAGTGGCTTCTTCTCCCTGTTAAGACGGTCAAAACGGGCATTGACCTCCGGTTATCAATCACCGCGTGGTGTGCAGCTGTCATAATTGTTGGCAGTTTATCTGATCGCCCTTCTTGCCCATGGATCCAATGGGTCGTTGAATGTCCAAGCCTTCCCTGCAGCTGGTTTGCCCCCTGGTGTTCACTAACAACTCGAGCTTTATCATGTCAATCTGAAAGATGTCGCTCCGGATGATACGATGGGTCGCGCGATGGAGCTTAATCGACTGCGGCCATTTCTTCACCCGTGGAATGTGGTCCTTCGCCGGTGAAGGAGAAATAAATCGCGCAGCCGTGCATTAGTCGACAAGCAAGCGCAGAGTCCATCAACACTTGGCAGATGATAAGCCTGGCCAAGAGGACGAGCCGGGAAAAGCCATTGCTTTGCACAGCTCCACGCCTGGCATCCTTTCCGGACTCTTGTCGCGCTATGCTGAAAAAAGGTGCACCTTGCGAGATTATCTGATCCGCTGGGACCATAGACGTAGACGACAATTATGGATTTGCTGCGACTTCACCCGGCTGGCTCCCCACCTCAGCCTTATGTCCCTTGATTACTCGACAAGCGTTTCTTGATCTGCGCTGGATCGTATGCCATGAGAAAATTCTGCTCAGCCCTACGCCTTGTAGGGCTGAAGGGCGGCATCGAATTCACAGGGACTTTTTGTGTTGTGTTCGGGTGATTATTTTTGAGATTGGCGGGATCTGATAAGACACAGAAACCTAATGCCATTTTTCTTTCAATGGTCTGATCGCGCTCGCTACCACGACTGGATCTACACCGCGGAGTAATTAGCAGCACGGACGAGTGAAGTAGAGTTATCTTATGCGGCAGCACCTTGTCATTTCCGAAACCATTCCGGATGTCCGCTGGTTTGGAACGTCATCCTTGTCGATAATCAATCAGATAAAATGTCAGTTCTGTTGATGAGATCAGCTGCACAACGGAATCATTGTCTTTGATTCGAGGGTTTCCCTCCACTGAGACCCTCATTTGCGAAACTAGTCTGGAATGCACCCACGGACGAGGGGAGGGTCAGTGGCTGGCCACTTTGCCCATTTGGCCCGTATCACCTTCATGATCGGGTCAAACTAGCCGAACGCTTAGCCGACCACCTTCCAGCATTGGCCGAAAGGTGGATACGTTCCGCACAAGAACATGCCCGCACAATCAGGCAGACAGACACTGTTGCTCAAACGCCACAAAATAAGAATGGAAGAGAGGTAGGATGATAATCTTCCACATAATCTACGATCTTCTGGTGAGAAGATGATATGTGGAAGTTATGGAAATGTAACTTTTTCAACACGAGACACAAGACACTAGAGCCACCGGAGCTCCACCCAGGCTAGGCAGCCGTTCTTTTCTCTCCCTGAATCCATAAGGCGAGGTAGGGCTGAGCCAAGTTCCAAGCCAAGCCGGACAAAACCCAGGTCCACTCTGCCCTTTGCCCCCAGCAGCGTGCGCTGTGATGACGGTCGGATGGTGCGGGTGGTGAAATTGGGAAAATCTGGTCAAACCACTGACCCGGGGCCAGCTGTTAAGTATCGCCTCCCCCCCTGGCAGGACAGAATCTTATCTGATGGAAAAATATCTGATCGATCAGATAATCTTGTTGCACCTCCCCGTCGTTCTTGCGGAACTCTTTTCCCACCCCATTGGGGCAGAAGTCTGGTCGCCCTCCCCTTTACTGAATTTTCTTCTGAAAAATGGCCACCGATATGAAAGGGATGGAAAAGAAGGTGTATGCCGTGGACAATGATGACAAGGGTACGTTTTTCCCTGGCAGAACGTCTCTGCGACCGTCAGCTTGCACCCAGTACTGGGACTGACAGCAATTCTCTCTGCAGCCGAAGTCGAGTCGCAGACTGAGGTGCTGCGAGCTGCTGGCATTGGCATCTCGGAGGATGATCCGACAGAGCCGGTCCTGACCCTGCGCATGTGGGTGCTTGGAGTCGGCTTCTGTATCGTTGCCAGTGGCCTCAACACCCTGTACACCCTCCGCAATCCATCCATTACAATTTCAGCCACCGTCGTGCTTCTTCTCGCATACCCGTTAGGAAAGCTCTGGGAAAAGGTCGTCCCTAGTTGGAATGTGCCTTTAGGAGCGTGGAGCTTTAATCTGAACCCGGGCCCGTTCAACCAGAAGGTGAGTGTCTTGCGTTTCACAAGTAACGAGATGAGATGTACTGACATTCGCGTGTTCAGGAACATGTCTTGATCTATATGATGTCGAATCTGAGTATCTATGTCCGTTTGGGCGCGGATGTCCTCACCGAACAGCAGAAGTTCTACGGTTATAGTGCGGGCTGGGGTTTCCAGATACTGATTACATTTGGAACCTTCCTCATCGGATTCTGTCTGGCCGGGTTCTTCCGTGCTCTTGTAGTGGAGCCCCGTGAGCTGGTCTGGCCAGGTGTTCTGAGCTGCACTGCCCTGACGACTACCCTGCATCAAGTGGGCCAGGGAGATGTTCAAGGACTGTAAGTGATTTTCGGATCGTTACGAGATTAACAGCTAATCAACCAATACTAGAAATGCAACATGGAAGATCTCACGTTACGGGTTCTTCAGCCTTGCATTCTGTATCTCCTTCTGCTGGTACTGGTTCCCGGACTTTATCTTCCCGGCGCTGAGCTACTTTACTTTCCCTTGTTGGATCAATCCCAATAGTACGGTTGTCAACCAGCTGTTTGGCATGACGAGTGGCATGGGTCTGTTGCCGATCACGTTTGATTGTAAGTATCGACGTCCTTGATATTGTGTGTGCGATGCTTACCATTGATCTCTCGCAGGGAGTCAGATCTCATATGTCGGATCCCCTCTATTGATCCCTTCCTGGGCCATCATCAATGTTTTTGCAGGTTTGGTCTTCTGGATTTGGATCGTAGCGGTCGCATGCTACTATTCGAACATCTGGTATACCGGCCATCTGCCCTTCCAGAGCTCCTCGGGTAAGTTGCCTCTCTGACGGCAATCTGTGATGTTTCCGCTAACGAGGGATCTACCTCCAAGTGTACGACAACACTGGCGCCGTGTATAAAGCATCCAAGGTCGTTAGCGCGGCGACTGGATACAAGCTGGACCTGGCAAAGTACAAGGCTTACTCGCCGGTAGGTAGTGACAGGAATGACGTTATTGAACCATAGCTGACAGACATGACAGGTTTATACCCCTGTCACCTACGCCCTGAACATGTTTGGTTTGTCCTTCGCGACGCTGAGCTCGCTTCTCGTGTGGACATTTCTCGAGAAGCGCGATATCATGACCGCTGCGGCGCGGAGAATCCCCACGCTGATCCGCCAGTCATTCTCCAGCGAGAAAGAGGAACCGGAGAAGGCCGGCACGCATGCCCGTGTGCCGACGTGGTGGTACCTTTTGACAGCTATCATCGCGCTCTTCGTGACTATCTTTGCCGTCGAATACTGGCGCGTTGAGCTGCATTGGTATGGCGTTCTGCTGGCCTGTGCCGTTGCCATGGTATTCTACGGACCGGTGAGTTGATTCCTCGCACTCACCTCCACGCTCCATGCTGATTGATTTATAGTTGGCTCTGGTGTATGCGACCTCGAACCTCAAAATCAACATCGATATCCTATGCCGGATCATCGCCGGGTTCGTCTTCGAGAATCGCATCCTCGCCAACATCTGGTTCTTCGACATCGGCTACATCACCACCATCAAAGGTCTCTACTTCGCCCAGGACATGAAGCTGGGAGATTACTGCCACGTATGATTCCTCCCTCGCCCAACTCAAAACGTCAATCTGACAACCTCCTCGCAGGTCCCACCCCGCAAAGTCTTCTTCGTCCAAGTCGTCGGCATGATTGCAGGCACCCTCAGCTCCGTCTGCGTCCTGAACTGGGGCCTAGGCCACATCGAAGGCGTGTGCACGACGACGGGAGTTAACGGCTTCACCTGCCCGTACTCGCGCACGCACTTCAACACGAGTCTAATCTGGGGCGCCATCGGCCCGCGCAACTTCTTCAACAACGGCATCGGCTACAACGCCCTGCTGTACTTCTTCATTATCGGCGCCATCCTCCCGATCCCCGTGTACTACCTCCAGCGTCGCTACCCCAACTCCCTGTGGCGCCGGGTCCACGTCCCGCTGTTCCTGGGCGGGCTGAACTACCTCCCGCCCGCGACCGGCACCAACTACGGCAGCTGGGCGGTCGTCGGGCTGACCTTCGGTGTGCTCATCCGCAAGCGTCTGTACCAGTGGTGGTACAAGTACAACTTCGTGCTCAGCTCGGCGCTGGATTCGTCGGTCTCGATCGCTGGCGTGGTCATCTTCTTTGCTATCTTCTACAGTGGCGCGTCGGCGCATTTTAGCTGGTGGGGCACGGAGGTGTATAAGGATACATGCGATTATAAGGGGTGTGCGTATCTGCCAATTCCGAAGGGGGGCAAGTTTGGCGTTGGGGTGTAATGCTGTGGTAAGGCGGGGGGATAGATGTTTCAGGGGTGCGCTGTGAGATGCATGTTGTTCTTGTCATCTCTGTCTGTGTGGAAGCGTGGTTGTGCGGGTTGTGCTTAGACTTCGTCGTTTGAGATCCATGCTTTGTGAATATTCTAAAGGCACGAGCAATGGCAAACGCTTTGTATCATATCGTACTCTAATTTATTTGCTAATACCAACATATTTACTATGAGGATCTCGGGGCTTTGGAACCCAGGAGCTCAGAAACCCAGGAAAGAAATCGCTACTTGTATCTTTTTCATCACAAGGGATGTGTTAGAATACAGTCTTGGTAGTGGAGTATGACGGAGTCCCCTCCCTCCGCCTTGGCGGGCCGTGTGTAGATAGCCTCCTCCCAGGTAGCCTAGAATCCACCATCTTCACGCTCTCATCAGAGTATATCTATGGATTCCATTAATAGATTGTAAATTGAAGGTATTCAGCACCAGCATTTAAGAACAATAACTTCACAATTAATAATAAAACACACTCAGCGAAACATTAACAGACTTAGACTAAAAGTATGAGAACTCAAGTTCATTTATAAGACATCTATAAGTTAATCTTGATTTAAAATTTGCATTTTATTAAGGACGAGGGACAAAAGGCACAATTTGTTAACATTGGTCACATATAACTGTAAAAGGTAGAATTGTTAGTGTTATACAAGAAAGAAATAACAAAGCATTAATGAATGCTGGTGTTAAGAGAATAAGTCCTGTAAAACAATTAGCTGTACAATATTTTAAAAGATCTTCCCACACTAAAGTCAAAGCTTAGTAGATTAAATCAACCCTGGTGCTATATTTCCTATACCTGGGTTCATAAATGGTAGATTGAATTGAACAGGCCTGAGCAAACCGGATAGTTAATCAAATTCTCAAGGCGGGAACAAACCCTCGGGGCGAAGCGATGACCTCACCATGGTTTGCATTTGGTAGCTCTATTGTAGGCCAATTCCGCATGATGCTGCTATTCGCATCTATGGTATAGACGTCTACTGCGCAAACGTTGCTCCGTACATAGGACAAACGATGATAAGGCTCAGTGCATACGACCACAGGGTGTGGAAGACAAGGGTTCCCTTCCGCTCAGCCATACTAGAGCCAGCTGTTAGACGCGGCTGACTAGGATGGGAGCCCTTTTGCACTCATGCTTCATAGGTAATTCAGCTAATGTTGTTAAAACTGTGGATAAGCTAGGTGAATTAGGTTGAGCCGGGTGAGCAATTAAGCAAGCGGGCCAACCAGGCAACGAAACAAAAGGTTTTAAGATTCAGAGAGCACTCGAACTGGTTGGCTATATCTCCATCTCACAAACTTTACCGGATATGTTATCAACACAGAGTTGTGGCCCATTCCTCGCCCTCCATTAGGGGCTTGATCTCCACCCCCCCCCTCCCCCCCCCAGCCCCCAGAGTAGCCTATCACTGGTCTTCTTGCGCTCCCCAGTGCAATTCGTCCATACGCTGATAATAATTTGCGTCCGTCTCTCCATCTTCCTTGGGGGTGTCGACAGCCTTAGAGCAGAGTGGGTGACATATACCGATAGCATTCGGCTGCCTGCTGTCACACTCGTTGTCCACCCGATACTGGTGACAGATGTTACAGTTGCCATGCGTCTGGTGGATGCAGTCTTGTTGGGTATAGCAGCCATAGTCATAGCAGAACATATTGGCCCGCTTTGTTGTAGTCAGGATACTGTCCAGGTTGTAGGTCACTAACCAGTCGCCGGCCGGCTCATGTTCCGGTAGTTTGAGGTCCGGATTGTGCCTGTTCATGCCTCTGGCAAACAGCACCCGAGCATAGGGGGGGTCAAACACGAAGGTCGTTTCTCCAGTCACCCTGTTCTTCACTTCTGCCGTGGCCTCGATCTCGTCAATGGCGATGTACTCGTCTAGTTGCGGTACGGAGGCCTTCTCAATCTGTAGCTTGATATGCTGGGCTGTTTCAGGGTCGAATCGGGTGTCGATAAAGTATAGGGCGCTGGGGCCGGCGGCAGCCACGTAGGGTGTATCTGGCGCCACAACCTGGCGGCCTAACACGGTTTCAATCACCTCCGGGACGTAGCTACTATTCCGGTACTCCTCTTGGAAGGTTGGAGTGCCCTCACATGGTCGGAACGGGTTCAGAAGCATGGCGATGAGTAGCAGTGGGAATAGCATCGTTGGGATCAGGGTTAGAATAAGGAGGAGGAAAGGGGGGCTATATCTGCTGCTAACTTTGGAGGTCCGTGTGCGGATTTTATATTATGCTTCTGTCAGTGGCGTGAGAGCTCCGGTGCATAGCATTGAGAATAGCAGGTCCCAGCACACCAAACACTTACAATAGTTTGATGTAACAAAGCCACATCAGGAACGATTGGCTACTGCATTGCCTTGACAATGCTACCGTTACAGACTCGGCGATGCCGAAATGAGGGGTTAGTTGTCGATTATTGCTGCCTTTGTTGGCTTGAACTTGTTGTGTTGATTGTTGGAAGGGAATTGTAATTCGACTTACCCTACAGGGCGAAGAGATATAGCGCTATCTACTTGGAATATGGAAGATAGCAGGGATTCTCAGCAAGTTGAAACCCCTGGCGGGGTACAAACTGGTACAAACTAGGAATGTCTGGGATATCCTAGAGGTTTGTCAGCAAGTGCTAGTCCTTGAACTCCACACCTGGCGTACCGGACAATATAGCTAAGCTAGTTAAGGGCTATAATGTGACCACTATACCTAAGTTGGAAAGAGTACTGTACATATTGTCTCAAAGTTCAACTTTCTACTAAGATACATCTTGCCTAGGCTACCTGTAAGGACTCTGAAAGCTAGCCCTGGAAATGGATAAGTATTGTGAGGCTGTCTAGGAGACAGAATAAGACTGAATTGACTAGTATCGCCTGATCCCTTCTGACGGCAGTTCTCGTATAGGCGGCCGCCCACCGCCCACCTCGGGGAGTTCTTAGCTAGTTCCGTAGATAAGTTAGCCTTTACGTAGTGAGAATTGGCAACTACTCCACCTTGCTCGCAGGTGTCATCACCATCTACATGTACAGCGCTAAGCTTGCATCAAGTATTGTACGTTTGCAGAGGGCGAAAAGGTCGTTAGTGGCATCTAATGATGGTTCACTTTTGGCAAATACGTTACAGCTTCCTTTCAGTGTGATTATGTAAGGCTATCACCTAGGTATTGATTTACTAGAGACTGATCTAAACATCTCGCTCTTCTGGTAGCCTGGCAGAAGTCAGAGGCCGATCGATAATTCGACAGATCTTCACGCCGCTCCAGAAGTACGTAGGTTTCGTTCTACCGACTGTCGAGAGACTAAACAGAGACCGCCATTTCGTACCAGTGCAAAAACATGAGTTTAATTCCTGGAACCCCGATGAAAAGAATAGTCAGAAAAGAGGCTTCCTAATCCAAATATATTCTACTACATCACATGCAACTCAACGTGATTCTTAATAATTTAACTGTAGGAAAGGCTTTTTAAGACCAGATGACTTGATAATACAGTGTGATAAACAACTTGGTAATGGTATTAATTTCCAGAGGGTATGCTGATCTCATACTACCACCGGAGCTCCGATGAATTGACAGGGATTGCTATCTGTTGCCCCACCCTGGACCTAAGACCTGCTTAGCTCGATACCCTGAGATTAGCCTCCTCACTTAGTGATCCTGTAGACCCTGAGACATCTCTGTGCCCCCCTCCCCTCTCCTGAAACCCCTATCCTTGAATACTTCTCACGCAGGGATCGGGCCCTCCTGTGGAAGGCAGCGTGTGTGTGGGTCTAGGAAGGCGCCTTTGGTTTTGTTGATCTTACGCTTCGACTCATGTGCGAGGGCTTCCGAGCTGAGGTCTGTGGATGATGGCGGGTACTGCCGCATCTTAGAGTCTGATGAGGTGAAGGGAGGATCTCGTAAGGGCGTTTGGCGAAGAGAGACCAGCATTCGAGAATTTGAGATCTTGGGCAACGAATATGATCTGGATACTAGAACTATGCGTATTGGCAGATTGACAGAGGACGATTGCTACTACTTCAACAGCTGATTACGTAGAAGATACAGAACAGGATTCTTATTCTGACAGACATCAAGGAGGGAGCCAGAAACAGCCTCTATGACTGACCGGCATACTGCTGGAGAACCCCCACCACTTCATTCACGCACCCTCTCTTCTCTATTCTTCCCCTGCATACCGCTTAGCCTACGGTTTTACTCCGAGGATTGCCTACTTACAGTAATATGTCCATCCTGTGGCCCGCTTTCCAAGTCCTCTCACTCAAGCTTTTCGGAATACCCGACAGGTTTTGTGGACTACTAGGCGATGTCGTGCTTCTCTCCCTGTCAACTTAGGCTGTTTTAGGAAGACTTGGTGGGTGTTCTATTCAGAACGAGAGAAACCTGTTGGAATCGCCTCTATGCATCTCTTCCTTTGGGCGGCTCCACAACGGGGGTGCCGACTTATGTTTGTTACTGGCCTACCCTCGACTGGATCTACAAAAGCCCTCATTCGCCAACTGCGCATCTTCTCGACGGATATGACTTTCGTGAAACTGACATACAGTAAGGCCACAGGTCCGTTTTGTTCCGCTGACGTGCATATGAACTGTCCAGTCTTCATTGTTCGGGCATTGCTTTGTCTGGTGCCACGTCTGCCACTCATCGAATGTTTTAGGAAAGGCTATGCTCAACGGTACGGGTGAGACTGGTCGGATTACTCGGAAAGCCCTAATCCACCAGGAGCGGTGTTATAAAGCATGCGGCAGGCAGGCGTAATTTAGACCTGCATACTGCATTGCGCTAAGAAGATGCCAGAAAGGCTGTCGCCACCCAACGAAGTTCATCCTCCATCTTTGCAAAATTCTGATCGCCACCAGCCGGAACGACGCATCCGGACGCGCGACCTTGGCCCCAATGACCCTGGAAGGCCGAAGCCCATTGTGTCCAGGGAGCACGAGGTAATGATCTTGCGCTGCCTATTCCACTGGAGGTATTGCGTGGTCCACATTTGGTGCTGCCCGACCCGGTGGTGACAATCACCGGCTTCGATTGTCCTTGGAGCTGGCGGTCTAGCTCTTCGAGGACTGCCTGTGGCATAATCGGTCCTCCATCATGCTGTGCGTACTTGAATGGATAGAGCTTCTTCCATGTGAGTTGCTGCCCCATCCAACCTGGTCTGGAGGAGCGACTGTGGACATGTGGCAGCACTCGAAAGATCGCATCGCCGACATCACACGCCACGGCTTCCCTAGCGGGGATAACTTGGTTCAAATGCGCTTTGTGAATGTGGATCTGGACCAAGCCTAGTCTTTCCGCCAGCAATGATGTCCTTGCTTTCAGGGCAAACATATTGGAGTCCCTGACTACTCGATCGTCAAGTCGCGCGCCGAAGACCAGCAGAAGGTCTGCTTCCTGAACCGCTAGGTTTGCAGCAGCCGAGTCGTATTGGCCGACCATCCCCAGAGATTTCGGATCTTCGTCATTGAAGCACCCCAGCACAAAAAGTGTGGTGGCCACTGGGCTTTTGGCGGACAGAGCCAGTTCGTTTACCATCTCCGCTCTACGAGAGGATATCACCACCCCCTGGCCGGCATGTATCAGCGGTCGCTCGGACTGGTTGCGCATCTCCGCAATCGTTGCTATCTGCTCATCTGTGATCCCGGGGGTCCCCGTTGTACCTTCCCATACGCCCCGCTCAGCGGCAAGAGGGAGGCTCATCATGACTGTGCATCTCACTTCGGTCCGTCCAGAGAAGCAGTCGAGATATTCCTCGGGATGGCCACCACCACCGGACCCGGTCGACCCCGCTCTGCGGTCCGAAACGCCTCCACCAAGATCGAAGGCAGAGCCATCACGGAGGTGACGGCTAAGCAGGCCTCTGCGCACGGCTGTATGATCTGTTCGGTTGGGATCATTCTGGAAGGCGTTCGTGTCGATAGCCTGCTGCGGCACCTGCCCGCAAAAGACTAGCAGGGGAGTACTGTCCATGGCGGCGGCGAAAACCGGGGTCACCATGTGGGAGGTACCCGGGCCAGAGGTGACCAGCACCACGCCGGGCCTTTGAGTGGCACGGGCGTAGCCTTGCGCCATGTGGCCGGCCCCCTGTTCATGACGAGGCAGAATAAAGGTGAAGTACTAGCACTGGTAAATAGCGTGGAAGATCGAGACGACCGCCGCGCCATTGTACCCGACTGGCATCATAGATACCCTCTCAGCACACTTCGTTGGAATCTCGGGGCCTACTCACAGACGGCTTTCGCTCCGAGCTGATGCAGCATTTCATGGAAGATTTCGGCGCCGATGATGGGCTTTGTAATGGAGCCCATGATGTGCTACTTGTGTTGGTTTAGGAACGAACGACGTTCCAATCTATTTTCTCCGCGCACTGAGAGATTAGAATTTTCGATTCACTTGTTGATCTATAAGCGCGACCTCAAGAAAACTTTGTCTATTTCTCTTTATACCCGCACAAGGCAGGCGCTCCCCAGCGCTTGTCAGCGAGTCCTAACAGTGACAGTAATAGCATGACACATGCCAACAGCCTCTTTTGGCTGCATCATCCAGGCTCATCTACTTTGAGGCGAAGTTAATGGTTTCCGAAGGTGGAAGTCACATACCAACGATCCACAATGCTACATGGGTACGATAGTGGCGGACAAGTTGTTGGCATGTTGGACAGTGTTGAGGCAGCCGGCCCAAGGGTGATCATGTCCTTAGCATGGATGACGTGGGATACAATGGTGTTGGCGAATATTACTGGTATTCAAGCACGCCATTGAGCACGTCAGAGCTTATTTTCGTGCAATATAGTACATTTGGACTGACAAAGAAGGCCTTAGATATTTTTTCACAACGATGGGAGATCTTACTAGAGATAAAATGGTAGACTTGATTACAAAAGTCATGATCTGATGCAGCTTGGTAAGCCGGGGCGCGCGCTGATTGATTGAGTAATCACAGCGAATGCGGGGGTGCCCCACGTCTATATAAGAAGCCCAACTCATCACACCAGATAACACCTCCAGCAAGCAACTTCCCACCTCGATCAGAATATCATCACTATAGCCCTCCTGCGACCTAAACTTCTACATCCACACGCAAACCCAAAGGTACACACCAAATGTCCCAACAATCCCAGACCGCGCTGCTGGTGACGGAGATCGGCAAGCCGCTGACCAAGGGCACGCGGCCCATTCCCGAGCCCTCGGAGAACCAAGTCCTGGTGAAGATCACCGTGGCCGGCCTCAACCCCCACGACGCCAAGTCGCGCAACTACGGCCTCTTCATCCAGGAGTTCCTCCCCGCAGTACTGGCCGCGGATGTCGTCGGCGTCGTCACCCGCCTCGGTCCCAACGTCACCCGCTACCAGGAGGGGGACCATATCGTCGGCCAAGCCGGGCTGACGCTCGCCAACAGCAACGACACGGCCGGGCTGCAGGAGTACGCCATTCTCGACGCCCGCTACTCAGCCAAGGTGCCGGCTGGCTTCACCGACGCGCAACTTGCCACGCTACCGACCAACCTGGTGGCCCCAGCCGTCGCCCTATTCGACGAGAGCGCGTTGGGGATCCCGGCGCCCTGGGCGACGCCCTCCTCCTCATCTGGATTCGATTACCACGCCACATCGCTCCTGGTCATTGGAGGAGGCTCCAACACGGGTCGCTTCGGGATCCAGCTGGCTGCGCTGGCGGGCATCGGCCGCATCATTGTGGTGGGGAGCGCGCGTAGCGCAGCCGAGGCCCAGCGCCTGGGAGCGACGCACGTCATTGATCGCGCCCACAAGTCCGGCGCCGAGATCGCGGCGGAGGTGCGGGCGATCGTCGGGGATGATCTGGCTTACGTCTACGACGCGATTAATCCGCCCGAGAACCAGTACATCGGCGTCGAGGCCCTGTCGAATACCCGGAAGGGCAAGCTGGCTCGCCTGATCCCTACGGGCCCCGTGGACGAGTCCAAGCTGTCCGCGCCCAAGCCTGCAGGCTTTGAGACCTTGAATGTGTTCGGCCTGTCGGCGGTGCGGCCCGCGACGGCGGCGCCGCTGTGGGAGCGGGTCACCGAGTGGGTGGAGGCCGGGCAACTCGTCCCCACGGAATCGTCAGTCATCGAGGGGTTGGACGTGGATGCGGTGAATCGGACTCTCGATGGCTATGCAGACGGTTCTGTGACTGGACATTGGCAGATTAGGCTTTGAGCGGCAGTGAGCAATGTCTAGTACCTGGGGAACATGCACACGTCGGTCGAGTCAGGTGAATTACGGTTGAAATACGGGAATAACTTAGTATCTCCTCAATTCCGGATACCTTTTATAGGATGATATGATAATATAATGCTTATAATGTTGATCACGCACGAAGCTTTGTATGCAAGGGATTCAGTGTGAAGATTGCGATCAGGGAATGCTCTAGCTGCTGCCAGGAATGAGTGAAGAAGTAAACAGCCCTAAGAAAGCTACTTCCCTCCCTTGCAACCTCCTCTGTGGTCACGTGGGAGAACCATAATGTGGATGCAGGGGTGGTAGCTACCAAGACACCTTAGCCGACGAATTATGGTATGTAGTGGGACATCCCGGCGAGTCACGGTAAGTAAATCTCGCCAATATCAAGATAAATTACCTTGTTGTATAGTTAGCGACTTGCTTAGTGCTTACGTGAAGTTATCAAAACTTGTCTGACTAAGCTACTACCAAGAATGACTCACAGCAACAACAAAACAACAATTCTCCTGACTCCTGCAATCTCCTTGATACTTGCTCAATAATAAGACTATATGACTGAAACCTACAATGGAGCCCCCTCTCAGCCGTACAACATCAGTTCAGATTTCACTTATCTCATATGGCCATGCCAACGGGCCTGTGGTACAACAACCTCGGGAGGCACGATATTACCAAATCTTAGCCTACAACATTCGACACTTGCCCAACCCACCCCGCAATCTGCGGGTCAACGCAACCGGCCTATCGCGGCGATTGCAGAAGGAGTTCCTCCAGAATGATGCGGTCGAGGCCGCCTTGGTCAAGGTCCAACAGGAGATAGTCAATGCGGTCCAAGAAGGCTGCGCACAGCCGCTGTGTTCCACGGCGCGGGAAGAACTTCAACAGGCCGCCTCGCAGACTGATACGTCCCCGAGTTTGCATGGCCATGCCAGCGCAGAGCTCGCCGTTGATGGTGCAGAGGTCGATATCGTGGTGACAATCTGTTGCGAAGAAGGCCGTCATCGGAGTGTGGCGTTTGTGGAGGAACTAGCCCGGCGGCTGGTTACCGTCAAAGATGGGGATGGTGTTTTGCAGCTCTGGGCCTTGAATGTGAATAAAACACATCGCGATATTGAAGAAGGGGAGGATTCTGAGCACTCCCTAGGTCAAAAGCGGCGTCCAAACAAGGTTCATGCACAGACTCGACAGCGAGAACGACGTGAAAAGGGAAATCGGTTTAGATCGCGGGTCGGAGACGAGGACGAAACGGACGAGATTCATTAAACCCATTATGAACGAAGTAGATGCTTGTTTTGTGCAATGAGAGGGTACACTATGTACATTATGGCATCGAAATAATGTGCCTTTCCGGAAAATCTGCTGGTGATGCTGAAGACCCGCCTCTTGAGGATACTTGCACTACTGTCAAACCCTAGGGGTAGTTGTGTGGATAGTAGTACCGAGCAAGAGAAAGAAGACTACAGTGGTGCTAGCCAATCCCACGTACGACAGGCAACACACATTAATCTTTCCTATCAGCAAATAAATGTGGCATTTGTGTCCGGTAATAATCGCATCCAGTCTCCTGAATACAGAACATGCTTTCAGTTCAACGTTTCTTCAGGAGAAACGAACCGACCCAACTCCCCGCCGTCTTCAAACGCCCAATTAAACCTACTTCTGGATACATGCCAAACGATCCTGATTCCGACTCAAGGATGAACAGACTCGCGAGGCGGACCGCATTGTCGAAGACTTGAGCACTTGCGCCTGAGGTATAGAACTCGTCCTGCCCATAGGCCTCATAGAACTCAGGTTCCCCCTGCGGCCGCGTCTCGACAAGGATTCGCACACAGTCTTGATAGAAAAGGACCGTTCCCAGAATCACCCGGCGCAGATCGGGCTGCGCGTGTCGCTGCGCCTGCCACGCCTGCCGCGCTTTTGATATCGCGAGTTCCCAATCGTTGGCGATAGTATCGGGGTCATTGGGCAAGAGCATGAGGGTCAGTCTGGGGTTGTTACGGCTCGCGGCCAGTGCCGATGCTGGGATCTTGATCAGGTCGTGGATGAGTGGGTTTTCGTGGGGTTGAGACATCGTTGGTGTTGTGGGACGTCTTTTGCTTTGTAGAAATGGGGGTCCGGGTAGAGTAGCGGTAGAGATAATCTGTGAGGGTCTGGGGTAATATAAGGAGAGAGGAAGAGCAAGGGAGACGCCGGGCGAAATGAGAAGGCTTCCATGGGGTATGCTTTCCTCTACCTGTGCGTTTGTTTGGGTGAGTCTTATCGAAGGGGAAGACGCACAATCAAAAAGTGTTGTTGCACAGACAAACGAGCAATCGCTGTTTCCCATCGCTTCACTCATCACTACAATTCAGAGGCCGGCCTTTTTCGGCCACTTGCAGAGAATTACCTCATCGTCGCCACATACCCCGCCGCGAGAGAAAAGGAACATCATGTTGCCCGCGTCTTCAGTTGTAGGAAGACCTACGGACAGGGGCAGCGTGTCGCTTGGAGAAGTACTTGGGAATTGAGGTATCACGACTTTCTTAATCATGCCAATTACTACCTAGCAAATTGTCACGTTCGGTCGTATTTTCGGAGTTTGAAATGGACACAGATGAGTGGAGTCGATATGCTACTAGGCGAAATTTCTCCGATGTAGCTTGAGGACATTTTACTGGGGGTATATGATATTGGAGGATCAAGGCAGCGAGTCAGCATCGCATCGATGGAAACGCCCCACGAGATGACGTCCTATCATTCCAAGTTCCTTTCTCTCGTGTCCATAACCCCAACACCCGATCTGGTCGCTGAAACGGTGGATGGACTCCTTGTTCCTGAGGCTAACGTCCTGGTCCTCTCCGTACTAGCTGCCACTTTCTCAGACAATCGGCTTCCTCCAAAGGAGTCAAAGTCATCGTTGACAAACCATGATAGCGAGAAGCAGGCTACCCTTCGCACATGCGACGCGATGTGGTACGGGTCGGCCTCCGTCAGGCAAAACGGGCACTCACGTGGCTCCCAACCTGCCATCAGCTTATGCTCACCGAGAGAGCCCTGGAGGCCTCGATTCTGGTGCGCAAAGACCTCATGCTTGATCCAATCGTCAAAGGTGTCATACTGCTGATCTGGTTCCCTGCAGCCTTCATAAGTGCAGATGTAAGGACGGAGATCGCGTAGGATGTGTGTTCTGTTAGGCTTTGGCGACGCATGCTACGCCAAGACTGAATGCATAGATACGTACTGCCAAGAGCCATGTTCCAGCATGTTGCGCGGACAGAGAGTGAAGCAATAAGGGCATTCAAAAACCTCTCCGTTCAATAAGTGTCTTGGTGGCGGCGGGATCTGCACAGGGTCACTGTTGTCGTCTTGGGAACTGTATACCACGCTATGACTTGAGTTCACGGAGACATCATTTTCTAGTTCGATCTTGGAGGCATCAAGATACGTCGCAGTCGATGGTCGGGAAGCTGGTATTGGACGAAGAGGGGCATTGGGCTCCGCTGGCTTCCGTGGTTGGGCTGACGGCACCGTGGCAGGCTCACCAGCTACTGCGGGCCGAGTTGTGGCCGTGAACTTGGTTTTGCTCTTCCTCCAGTAGCCAAAATGCTGCCTCCTGCGAGTGTTGGCATTGGCTAGGCGCAGGACAAGAAAGTGGTTCTGGAAGTTCGTGGGCGAGGCGGAACGATAGGAAGCAAATAGCTCTTCGACATGAGATTGTTCCCTCTGGCGGAGTTGATCCACGACATTCACACCTGTCTCAGGGTCGATTAGTTCATACTCGAGTGCCCTTGAGAGCCCCAGCCTCAGTGTGGGGTTATGAATCTTGAAAGCGAGACGGTAGAGCTTGTCGATGGTGGCAGTCGCGCTCTCCACCAGTAAGATCTGGATTTCCTCATCGTCAGAAGAATCAGATCCTTCCACCAGGTCATCGCCAGCACATGCGTCACGTTGCCTGAGGGCGGCTCTGGAGTTTGCCTCTTTCGGATGAGGCGCGCAGGATCTCGGAGACTCCACATTGATCAGTTCATAAGAATCACACAGTACGAATGTGAAGAGAAGAAGACACACGGTGACCAAGATGTCTGAATAAATTCTCTAAAAGTCGGATGGTGTATTCGCCAAAGAACGGCGCGTCTCGTAGTTGGTATTCCAGTGAGCTGTGGCCTAGGCGAAAGAGCCCAAGGTTCGTCGCCCATACTTCAAATTGCTGCGCTCGATTGACAATAGCAGCAATCCGGGGTGCAATCGAGTGTTGCAAGTATGAAAACCGTGACCGGACATCGAGGGCAGCGTTGCCCAGGGTCTTGCCTTTCAGCCGGTTCGCCATACTTGTAGTGATTGAAGCATATAGATAGGATAATTAAGGACATGGGAAAGTGAGCTGAGATTCGCAGTTGAAGTGGTTGAAGAGGTTGACGAGGAGGGGAGGACAACAAACAACAGAGGAAAAAATGGTCACCTGACTATCTGTTGGCCCCGCCCTCTCTCCCTCTCTCTCTCTCTCTCTCTCTCCACTGCATCCATTAATCACTCTCCCGACACGCTCGCTTATCCCTTCCCTTTCCCCAATACATCTTGACCCAGCATTTTCTGATCGTTATGTCTGGTTTCGAGGTTGTGGGCGTCGTGCTGGGTGCCATCCCACTGGTATTATCCGCTTTGAATGCCTGCAAGAGCACCAAGAAAACCATTCGGCTGATCAGAAAGAAAGATGTCCTTTTGGACCAATTGATTCAGTCATTGCGAGAGCAAGAATTCTTGATCCAGACCGACATCTGCTTGGCACTCAAGAAGACAGATTTGACGGAGACAGACATCATTGATATGCTTAATGACACTGGTTTCAACATGTTTCAAACGGATGCGCTTCGAGATCATATGGGGCTCGCATCAATCTTCTACACGGCTACGGTCGCGGAATGCGAGGGGATTCTGCAAGATATCGTTGCCAGGATCAGTGGATTGGTATCCACCCCCCAGGTATTGCGATAACCTAGATGCAGCCAAGAATGGACGCATGAGTTTTGACCTGGGTTCACAGTGCGGCCACGAGGCCCTTTCCACCCTCATCGAGAATCAACCCAGCAAGGATGGCTAGTTTGAGTTCACCAAGAGAATCAAGTTCAGCATTCGAAGTGACGAGTTGAAGGCGCAGATCCGCAGCCTCGATGAGGGGACGAGAAAATTGACTCACCTGAGGGAATCCGGCGCAGAAAGGCAGCAGCATGTCACCACCAAGCCTACGTCACGAACGGCAACAAGAATTACAGCAGCATTCAGCTCCGTGAATAGCCATGCACGAATTCTCTTTTCGGCCGTCTCCCGCGGTCCTCTATCCGCTTGCCATTCTCACCATGAGGTCAGACTTTTTCTGCAAACAAGATCATCAGCAATAAACACGAAGACACCAAGAAGACTCAATTTTCACCACCTGTTAATTTCATCATCTCATTTTTTCCGCTTTCCGTGGACTTGCATCCGTTGACCTTGCCTGAAAAGTATGCCGTATAGGCTTTGGACGACCAACCTGACACCGTGGAACAAAGGTTAGTGCGAGGACGCATCAATGTGAATGAAAATTAACCTCCAAGACTAGCCCGGTCATGAGTCAGACAACAGTCCCAATTGAGATTCCTAACTCGAGAGAAAATGAATCACGTAGTAATACGCATTGCACGTCCCCACGAGACCACTCTGCGTTGGTGAAGGCACTCCACCTGAGTAGGTGGCGGTTGAGGTGGTAGTGACAGTGGTGGCCGATGCAGATGTAGCAGTTGCAGCTGCAAGGATCGTGCTGTTCACAAAATCGGTCACCTCGGTGAAAATGACAACTGGGATCGCGGTATTCGTCGTGGTAGACGCAGCCGCGGTGACAGTTACGGCCGGGCCCTCGACACAGTAGCTCCATCCTTCAATCAGCACACAGTAGTCTTCCAGCAGCGAGGGATTCCAGGCATGAAGCTCAGCGACAGTGGCATCAAAGTACTTCTCCAGCTCCGCACAGGTGTCGGTTGCGGAGACGTCGTTGGCCCAATACTCACAGTCACTGGTAACATCCGGATCGGTGATACCGGTGGCAGTGTCCCCGTTCAGCCATCATTTCTGGAGTCGAGGGGATGCCACGGCCTGGGCCAGGAGACAAGAAAGGACAAGGGGGTAGAACTGCATGATCTTGACCCTTGAGGCTCTGACACGAGGAAGGAGAAGCGCAGTTATGGGAATGATTAATACTTTGTTCACAACAAGAAAAAGTTATTATCTACCATTCATGCTAGATTTTGATGAAGCAATTTAGTATGAAACGCCGTTTGTTGTTGGTTGTATGGCTAGTGGAGCAGTTCTTGCCCTAGTCCGCTGTAGGGGCGGGGAACATCGGACTGATTTCAGTAGTCGTGAATGCTCGTACACGCTTGTATGAGTAACAAATTGGGATGTACAACCTAGTTACACTAGTCGTATCGCACCCTTCTTTTGTTTAAGTGGCCGATATAGTCTTCCATACGCAGTGGATTTCTTCTCCTGCAAATCCTGGGTCTTGCTGGAAGTGGTCTGCTGGATGGTGCAGCATACGGGAAAGTCCGATTGCAAGCGTCTTTCATCAGACCTGGACCAGCATATCCTTCCATAGACCAATTGACTGGAGTAAGTTCCATCACCGTATCCCACTCACGCTCCTCCACTGCGCGATGTAAGCGAGCTTGATCCGCATCGCTTAGCTCAACGACACTGATTCTCGCCCCCTTATCGGCTAGAAGGTCTGCCAACCCATAATCTGCGTCGCGTAGTGCGCCGTGCAGCGCCCAACCTCCCCCGGCTCGCGCGGGGTCTGCGCCGTACCGAAACAGCAGCTGAATCCTCTCCCACCGCCGACCCTTTGCTTCTGCCGAAATTGGATATCGGCCGGCCTGCATGTGACAGTTCCCTACTGCGGAGGAGAGAGCCCCCCATCTGTCGTTATTGTCGATGTTCGGATCGGCACCCGCCTCAAGGAGGAGCCGATACAAGTCCGGTTGGTGACAGTAATGCAAAGGTCGCCGGACCACAATCATCGGGTCATCGGAATAGAGGAAGTTAACATTAACCCCGGTTGTGAGGATTATTCTGGTTGCCTCAATATCCTGGGCCTGCTCCACTGCATACCGTAATGCCATGTGAACAGGTTCCCAGTTGGTGAAGGGCTGCAGATGCTCTCGATGCCTAGCATCGTCGAGAAGCACCTGCAGCAGCTCCGAACTGAATTTCTGCAGTCGCACACCCTGAGAAAGAAATAAAGTATTCTTACCCCAGGGGTCAACGCCACGGGCTAGCAGCATCTGCACCACGGGCAGGTGGTTGTTAAGGGCTGCCCCGGCAAAAAGGACACTGTAACCCCGTTTACCTAGCCGGCTACCAAAGCTTCCGGCACTCCCCGGGTCCTCTTGCTCCCAATCGAAAATGGCTTCGAGAAATCTAACATGACCCTTCTCGGCAGCAAGTCGGGCTGGATGTAAAGGCCGGAGCCCAGTCCACCCGGTTGACATTGGCTTCTCCTGCCAAATTCGAGGGTGGTATGGCTCTGCGCCCGCGTCGAGGAGCCGGACTAGCGTATCATGTCTTCCATTCTTAGCAGCCCAGTGAAATGCTGGTGCTGGGGGTCGCTTGGAATGACTTGCAACGTGGTATCTGTACAAAAAAGGGTTGTACTGCATGTAAAAGGTACGGTTGGTGCGTGCTAGCGCATTGAAGGCATCCTCTGAGTCCGGAGACTCCGCGAGAAACTCTGCGATGAGCAGGTGCAGCTCGCTGGGTAGTGTGCTATATGCCATAGATTCGGTTTAATGCTCAGAGGAGAGAAAGAGACAATGGGCACAGAGAAATCGCTAAAGAGGCAAAATTAAGGGGTGATGATGTTGTTGGGTTCTGGAATTTCAGCTTTGTCGGATATTGTTCCGTCTGTCTGACTAATACAACTGTTGACAACAGAGCCCTGAGGGAAACTGCAGCCACTGCCATACTGCTATGAGCATTAAACACGTCCATTTCAGTGGCACATCTTCACACTCCTCGCTTTCAATCCGCAACCTCAGGGTTCTTGCATTATCCACTTCTCCGACTGCACTGATCCAAGTATAGACCTACGCCAGTTCTTCTAATCAGCGCTTTGGATTCTTGTCGAAGTACCCTAGTATATTCAGGGTCACGCTTACCGGCACTGAAATATGCAAATGTCGCTGCAAACGATAGAATATTAGTTTTGAAACCAAGGAACAATGTCAAAGAAAGCTTTAGCAGACGTCGATATCAAGGGCGTCGTTATCCAGACCCTCGGTTAGCAACAACAATGCAACAGTGAGTGTATAGGCTGCAGGCTGTCGGCTTGGTGTAAGAGTGAGTGGGGCCTCCTGGATGTCTTTGACAAGTCTTTTCAATTTCGTTTCTGTGCTAGTTGACGCCGGAACACCTTCTCTTCCTTTATCGTGTAAATATATCTTTGCGATCAAGTACCAGATCATTTTTCCATTACTATGGTGACGGAAGCACTCGGGCAGAGAGTGGACTATCCACCGCCAGCGAATATGCAAAAGAACAAAAAGCATTATTGTGAACCCACAAGCATAACATATACCAAGGTCCCGTGCGTCGAGAACCGTAATCGTCCACAGTTGCCTAGTGAGGTTTATGAACCACGCGAGACAGCAGGTGAAGATATGGCCCACCTTGTGGAGACGTACGTCCGCGCATGGCTGAGCGTGATGGTAGGTAACCCTAAGAAGGTCAAGTCGAACCCACACAAGAGCTGTGAATTGACAGACAAAAAAGGGGCTTCTGGCACTATAAGTAGCAGAAGCAGCGTATTATCCCTCCCTGACCTCTCAAAGTCTCTTTCACCCTTGTGGCCTAAAACTCTATTGAGGACGGCGTACAACGGGCCAATTCTTCTCCTCCTAGCCTAAACCCGATATACAACAAGCAAACGCTGCGTACACCACAGGACAGTATGAAGAACTTTCTTTCCACGGCTTTGCTACTTGCCCAACTAGCAGCAGGGCAGGGCGCCCCCAGCGCTCGCAGCAGCAGCAGCAACCTAGCGAGATCGAAGGGCCCTGGCTTCCAGCACCAGCCGATCAAGCAGGCACCACAAGCCGCGGTACAGCAGGGGCTCCTCGCCAGCTCCTCAGCAGTCGAATCCCTTTTGACAGGCCAGCAAAACACCCCCTACTACTACACGACCAACTGGGCCGGGGCGGCCCTCCTCAGCGCCGACCTCGCCTCCACCCCCATCTTGACCTCTGCGGCCGCAACCTTCACCGCACCCATCCCAACCGACTACAGCTATCACAGCCGGCCAGGCCGCCTCGATCTGGGTCGGAATTGACGGCTTCGTCAATACGGGCGCCATTCTCCAAGCGGGAATCGACGTGATTGCCGCATCCTCCTTCGCCGACGAAGTCGAGTACGTCTACACCGCGTGGTATGAATGTTACCCAGTCAACGCGGTGGATTTCTCCCCGGAAGCGTTGGCAATTAAGGGTGGGGATGTCATCGTGGCCACCGTGTATGCGACCTCCTCGTCCGCGGGAGTGGCGGTCATTGAAAACACGAGCACCGGCCAACGGGCTACCGCGACGGACACTGCGCCGGACGCTACTAGCACACTGACTGGCCAGTCGGCCGAGTGGATCGTCGAGGACTACCAGAGTAGCGGGGAGACGGTGTCGTTCTTGGACTTTGGGTCCGTCACGTTCACGGGTGTGACGGCGGGAGCCGCAGCGGGGAATTTGACGTTCACCGTGGAGGTGAGGACGATGAGACGGCGGTGGCGCTGGTGGATCTGGTGAACCTGAGCACTAAGAAATATGTGGCCAAGGCAAGTGTTGTGAATGATGGGTCTGGTATTTTGGTGGAGTATGTTTAGATATCAAGGAAAGACATATATATTCAATCGTAGTGCAATACAGGGAGCGTGGCCGCCAACTAACGGGGGCGGATAAGTTATATATCACTCGGAAAAGGAAATACATAAGTTCTTTCCAATCGTACTAAAGGTACTGTTGCGTATTACCGCATGGGTGGTATTAGTCAAAAGCAAATCTCAGAGGAGGTATCGACAATGAGACTCTCTACGAAGTCGCCCCCCTTGCTGCAATAGCCATGTAAGGAACGAGGGCGGTCAAGTGGTGTCCAGGCATCCCCTGTAGCTGCCTAAGCCAGGCCTCACTAAATCTCGAATTACATATGGCATGCGGTGTCACTATATGAGATATCTTGCCGGAGTCATATCGCGACATTGCCAGCCGGCAGCTCAAATTGCCAGTTGCAGGTCTAATAGCCAATTACCCACTTCCGCTCGTCATGAAAGTGCCACTGCTCCTCCGGCTTCCAGCAGAGATCCTGACCTACATTTTTGAGGACGTTGTCGCCAGTTGCTACGGAGCTCACAGAGAACTGCGGAAGTATGTGTTAGTCTGTCATCGCCTGACACAGGTTGTACTTCCTCTGCTGTATTGTGACGTCTTGGCTGGGGTGGCCTCCCGCACAGCCCTAGAAAGTCTGTTTGCCGCCCTACAGCGTCGGCCAGGATGTCGGGAGAGTGTCAAGCGTCTTGAGGTTCAGATCCCAGATTTCGACCTAATCCACCGACGCAATTTCTATATCGTGTGTGATATCATCACCTGTATTACCAATGTCAAAGCGTTAACCTTCTGCGGGGGATGGGAGCGATACCCAGACCAAACATGGGGCCTGGTTCACCGGGCCTCTCAGAGCATGCCAACACTGGAGAGTTTGACTCTAAGCTGTGTGTATCGCGAAGGCCTTACCGTGCGGGACATACTTGAGAACGTTCAGATGCCCAGCCTTCGCCAACTGGAGCTCGATGGCGTTGCCCTTCCGACTGGGGGACGCACTGTGGGCGCAGAACAAAAGGCGAACAAGCCCTCCTGCCTACCGGCTAGCACAAAGGCCACTGCTCACTTCTCCACCCTTCGTATCCGAGACTACCAAGAGAACTCCGCCGCCACCCGAGAGCTGATTCTCTGGCCCAGAGCCTTGATCCATTTCCACGCCTCGCTCCTGGGTGGGAGTAACCCGGAATGCGATCTGGATCTCTCCAAGCTCAGTGCATGGCTCTCCGCCCACAAGGACACCCTGGAAACCATCCACATCGGCTACATCCACAAGTTCCGTCCAGACAAGCTTTTTCAGACCAGGGGATTCAACGCCCTGGAGCGCCTGACGCTCTCCTGGTGGCATATCCGAGGATATGTTACGTTGCAGCAGGATGAAGAACACCCGCCATTCGGCTTCACGCCCGCCCACGCGGATGCCCTTCTCTGCGCGCCCCGTCTCACGACCCTCGAACTAGACTATGGCGAGAGTGGCCATGTTCTGGATTCCTGTCACGTGTTCGGGGAAGTCGAGGCCCGCTGGATCCGGGGGTTGGCCCACGCGGCACGGGCCAGGCAGGCAGCGCTCCAGACGATCTGCGTCCGATACAGGCCGCAGCTGTATTGTCTCGCGGAGATTCTGGAGTATCCATGGGATCGGCTGACCCAACTTCGAGAAGATCTTCAACCGTTTGGGATAGGATTGGAGTACGACGAGCCGTCGTTCTCGGAGGAGGAGTGGGCTCAGGCGCGCATGCAGGCCTCCCCGCCGTGGGAGGCGATGCGCGGGAGTGAAAGTCCCCCGCTGAATGATGATGGGATATTGCTCGCCCTCGGAATGTCGAAGAACGATGAGCCCAGTCTGGAGGAGCAGGAAGCCTGGGAGTGTGCTCACAAGGGAGTATAATCGACGAAATAGCTTCGATTCGAAAACGCATCCTGATTATATTTGCCATTCGCTGGATTTCCTAAGTTCCACATGCCTACATCCCATCCAATAGCACTGAGTGAGAGAGTATGCTAAGCTGGATAGAGCATCTATCGCAGCCATGTTCCACCAGACAGCCTTCTTCATCAGTTTCTTGATCGACCCTGTATAATATTATCACGATAGCTCAAGGCCTGGAACGTTGCCTGCCTTGAGCTCCGAGTGTAAGCACATGGAAAACTGTCTGATGCTTGATAAACACAATATACATGCAGAAATGTCGTAGCGACCAGCCCAGGATCCATATTCAAGAAATTTATCGCAGGAGCGCCACCAAGTAATTCATCTCAGTGGAAGTCGCGGCCTCAGGCCTAAAGTTCTTTAATACACACCAGCCGATGTGATTGGTCTGATGCTGCACACACGTGCTTTTGTCTCGTGTCCAATCAACACGCGCTGTTTTTTCGTTATAGGCCTCAGGCCACCCGCCGTGCCTGGCAGTTGTCGACCAATGGAAGGGGAGCAATGCAGGCACATGGTCACTGTCGGGAATCTCCGCCTTTTCCTCTGTACCTGCAATGCTTGATTGATTCTTCCCCACTGCCAGGTTTATCGCCAACCATCGTCGGCTCATTATCAGCTTTTCATCACACTAATGTCCTTATGGCCAGTCTACTGCAGCTAAGATGGCCTGCTCTAGCCGACGGGCTTGGCCAATTGCTGTTCGGGGGACTTACACGTGTGGCATCGTGCCTTGCTGTGCCGTCTTATCTGCTGCATACAATTTGAGAGATAAACATGCCGGCGATAAATTATAAAAACCGCGCTCATGTCGCTCCCAAATTCCCGAGCATGCACGCCAGTTGAAACGATCAATCTCACGTCGATACTGTTGTACGGTCCTGAAGGCACGCGACCATGAAGACCGCTGCTGCATCCGCCCTGCTGGTGGCCCTCTCCGCCACGCTTGCTCAAGCACGCCCTGTCGCCGACGAACGCTATCCATACACGGGACCGGCCGTTCCCGTGGGAGACTGGGTGGACCCGACTGTCAATGGCAATGGAAAGGGCTTTCCGCGTCTGATTGAGCCCCCCGCTGTCCGGCCCGCCAGCGCCAACCCTCGCAACAATGTGAACGTCATCTCCTTGTCGTACATCCCCAAGGGCATGCACATTCACTACCAGACCCCCTTCGGGCTGGGTCAGACCCCCTCTGTGATCTGGGGCAAAAGTCCTCACCAGCTCAACAAGGTGGCCCGCGGTTATACCCACACGTAAGCATCCAAGCCTCGTGCTATCAAAAGATAAAGGAAAAGAGAAAAAGAAGAATTGCGTTTAACATCATATCAGCTACGCCCGCACGCCGTCCTGCTCCGAGATCAAGATCATCACCCAGTGCAGCGAGTACTTCCACGAGGTCAGCCTGGAGAACCTCGAGCCAGGGACCACCTACTACTACCAGATCCCGGCCGCCAACGGTACAACCAAGTCAGACGTGCTGAGCTTCAAGACCGCGCGCGAGGCCGGTGATAAGGGCTCTTTCAGCGTCGCCGTGCTGAATGACATGGGCTACACCAATGCGCACGGCACGCAGAAGCAGCTGATCAAGGCGGCCAACGAGGGGACGGCCTTCGCCTGGCACGGTGGTGACATCAGCTACGCGGACGACTGGTACGAAGGCACCTTGGCGTGCGAGTCCTCCTGGGACGTCTGCTACAATGGCACCAGCACGGAGCTGCCCGGGAACCTGCCGCTGCCGGACGAGTACAAGAAGCCGCTCCCCGCGGGGGAGATCCCCAACCAAGGCGGTCCTCAGGGTGGCGATGTCAGCGTCATCTACGAGTCCAACTGGGACCTGTGGCAGCAGTGGCTCAGCAACGTGACGGTCAAGATCCCCTACATGGTCATGCCGGGCAACCACGAAGCCGCGTGCGCGGAATTCGATGGACCGGGCAACATCCTGACGGCGTATCTAAACGATGACATCGCCAACGGCACTGCCGCCGAGGATAAGTTGAACTACTACAGCTGTCCTCCTTCTCAACGGTGACCCCCCCCCTCCCCACTTCCCCTACTATCATGAGCGCTAACGAAGCCATGCAATGCAGGAACTTCACCGCCTACCAACACCGCTTTCGCATGCCCGGCGAAGAAACCGGCGGCGTGGGCAACTTCTGGTACTCGTTCGACTACGGGCTGGCGCACTTTGTCTCGATCGACGGCGAGACCGACTTCGCCAACAGCCCGGAGTGGCCCTTCGCGGAAGATATCAAGGGCAACGAGACGCACCCCACGGCAGAGGAGACCTTCATCACGGACAGCGGACCCTTCGGCGCGGTGGACGGCAGCTACAAGGAGACCAAGAACTATGCGCAGTACAAGTGGCTGCAGCAGGACCTGGCCAAGGTCGACCGCAAGAAGACCCCCTGGGTGTTTGTCATGAGCCACCGCCCCATGTACAGCTCGGCGTACTCGTCGTACCAGCTCAACGTGCGCGAGGCCTTTGAGGGCTTGTTGCTGAAGTATGGCGTGGATGCTTACTTCTCGGGGTAAGTTTGGCCCCTTCGCCCCTTGCAACCCCTTCTTCGCTTCCACTGCAGACAAGCTGACCCAGAACAACAGACACATCCACTGGTACGAACGGCTGTACCCTCTCGGCGCCAACCAGACCATCGACACCGCCAGCGTCGTCAACAACAATACCTACATCGCCAACAACGGCAAGTCGATCACCCACATCATCAACGGCATGGCGGGCAACATCGAGAGCCACAGTGAGTTCAGCGAGGGCCAGGGGCTGACGAACATCACCGCTGTGCTGGATACCGTACACTACGGGTTCAGCAAGTTGACGGTGAAGAGCGAGACGGAGGTCAAGTGGCAGTTCATTCGTGGGGATGATGGGTCGGTTGGGGATGAGGTCACCTTGCTGAAGCCCTCGGCTGTGAAGGGGAAGGGCAGTGGGAAGGGGTATTCTGGCTTTCGCGCATAGAGTAGAAAAGCTTGGTGAAGTAGGTGTAATGGTATGGATGATGATGATGTATGTATAGTGGCCTTGTCAATGATAATATGATTATTCTTGTTGCTGTGGGTAGGATGGGTGCTGCGGTGCCCGGACGCCGCTTCTTTTTCTGCGCAGGTTCATTGTTCCCTGAAGCCATTAATATTTTGTACGGAACCTCCTGATGCAAGAGCCCAATATTTGAGCAAGAGTTTCCTGCGACATCAGTCGTCTTCCGAGCGAGGTGTGTCGATTCGAGCTCAACTATGCAAACATGTTCCCTCAACTCAAACCGATTGCAGATGCTGGATTATGCTGACAGACTCGTGGTCATATCGATGGACGTCCGGCCCTTCAATTGAAGTCATGTGACTGCATCGCCGTATAAAGAGATTGATGTATGCGAGCCGGCCTCTCCGTGACGATCTCCGTCTGTGCTGCATTGAGGTTCCTTCGACTGACGCGCGATGAAAGAGGAGAGGAGAGAAGGCCAGGGCCCGAGTGCTTTGAGCAAAGGATGGTGATTTTGTGTTTGAGCCATCCATCTCCGGTGGCTCCCTTCCCTAGGACAGGGATTGTCCTTCATGATTGCATTGTCTCGTCTCCGCAACAATCGCCTCGAAACATGGTAGTGACATAGATCTGTACGCGAGAGCTCGTTGGCAAGATGAATCTATCTTCCGGCTGATACTGAACAGACCTGCGAGATCTTAGTTGACAAGCAACCACCACTCTGTCTCATCATGCCTGCAAGACACGTGCTTCATCGGCAGATTGAGATATGATCATTTCCACCGGGAAGCCCACCTTATCATGTCAACGTCAAGTCCATGGACACGCATCCACGACTCAAGGAAAGCTTGCAAGACAATCGGTGCCACAACAGAACATCGAAGATGATTCCCGACATGCCTTTCATGATCACCCCGCTTTGATCTTCTCGACTCTTCAGCGGAAGAGCTCCAACAAACTGCCTCATTCGAATGCCTGAAATCCAAGCAATTGCGGAACTTTCGTGGCCATGGGGTGTATATAAATAGACCGACGGTCATTCCCCTCTCCGGTTCAACCCAACACCCCCCATTCCAACACACACCATCGCAACCGACCCCGTTACCTCGGCTTCAACCCTCTGTACACAGAAAGATACTCACAATGTCTTCCAACAAGGCTGTCCTGTCCGCAAACCCCTACACCGAAGTACACACGGCCCCCAGCCGCTGCATCTGCACCGCGGAGTCCAAGACCGGGAACTACTGGGACGACGAGCCCCTCCGGGCACAAATCCTCAAGGCCCAGGAAAACCAGCGGAAGGAGTGGTGGATCCCCCGGCCCGGGCATTCCCTGGACCTGTGGGCGCAGCTGCTCTGCGACACGTTCGGGCTGGCGGGCGACGGAGAGGTCCTGCCCGACGAGCTCGACGACACGCTGCCCGCGAACGTGGTGGCGGCGGAGATCTACAACGCGCGGTACCCGTTGACCGGGATCGTGCGGTACTTCCGGCTCTCGGAGTGCGTCCAGAGGCCCCTCTGCCGCTTGACGGACTGTGCGCTCGTGGTGATCGATCTGGTCCCCGGGAACCATTCGGAGCTGGTGCGGGAGGCGTTCCCCGAGCGCGCGAGGACGCTGGATCGTCTCATCCGGAGCAGCACCCACAAGGAGGAGGAGACCGAGAAGCTAGACAAGGAGGAGCACGAAGTGGAGAAGGAGCCGGTGAAGTCGTTCGTCGAATACCCCTTCATCCGCGTCTTCTGCGCCTGGGGCGACAAGGAGCGCCTGGACCCGTCGCTGGACGAGGTCAAGGAACTCGTCGCCCAGATGGGGATGACGGACGAAGCGCGCAAGACGTGCCGGGCGTTCTTGCTTGCCAAGTGCTCCAGGGTCGGCGTCTATACGTGGGATCGGAGTGTGGTTCAAGACCGCCCGACGAAGGATCCCGCCTCGCTGCCCCTGCGCACCCACCCGGAGCAAGGGGATGATCCCTTCCTTTGCCTGGTGGATGACCGTGAGCGGGTGTCAAAGATCGTGCAGCAGCTGGCGAGGGAGGTGCGTGCGATCTGTAAGCTGGCGGCATTCTGGTGAGTCCTCTTTTCCGAGGGCTTTTCCTGTTTCTGTCTTTCCTGGCTGTCGATTACTGTAGCTTTTGCTCCAATCCATGTGATTATAGTCATGACTTTTCTTCCTATCTCCGTTTCTTTCTCTTGTCTTTTTCTTCCTTTCATTCTGCTGTCTGTTAGAACTCACTCGTGTTGGATGTTCTTAAGATTCTCCCTTCCTCTTCCTCTTTTTCTTCCTCTTTTTCTTTGTACAGTGCCTGGAGCGTTCCTCATGACTGGACGTTGCTCCGCGTCGAAGGTCCCTTCAATTCTCGCTACCACAGCTGATGTGAAAACAGGTTGACGTAGCTGGGGGTGTAAATCATCATGCTTGCATCGTCCCAGACAAGAGTCTTTGCTATGCGAATCTGCACGGAGACGCCTACAAGACATGCTTTGTTTTCAAGCCAGCCGTGACCGATAGCTTTCAGGGCTGCTTCTGGAGGTTTGGCTAGAAGCCACTGAGGCTCAAGCACTTGGATCCCAGCTCATCTGAGCCATGAGGCGTAATATTTCCAATCCCTGCTGGAACATTATTCCAAGGAAAATAAAGGCGAGGGCATTGCTGGTCTTTTCGCTGCGAACTACTTGCGATCAGATAGCGGCAGGCCCGAAAGTAGTCCGCATCCGGATGCGCCCGGAATTGCTCGGCTCGACGCACCAGGCAATGCAATTCCAGCTGCCTGCCTTGTTCCATGGTCTTTTCTCCCAATACCGTAAACAAGGACATTACCCCACCTTTGAACACCTTCTGAGTGACGGATCATAAGTCAATAATCCCATTCCTGTTGCACTGCTGGAGTGTCGTCATGGCGGACCGCGGCTCCCCAAGCCCAGATCCTCTGTGCTGGGAAGCGTTGCGGCGTGCATTAGACCTCTGCATTGTACTTATGCACCTCCCAATTTTCCCTGCAATAACAGCACGGCATCTGATCCATGGAAGGGAGATAAGCGAGAGGCAAGATGCACCCTCCAAACTGGCAAAAGTACCAGATGAGGGGAAACGAGCTGTTTTGGGCCATGTGCTTCTAACCCTGGCCATAAGCGGGCCGGCTATAGAGACGATCACCCTGTCACTCCGAAGCTTACGGTCGCATTGTTGTCTGGACTTATTGATCACGTAGACTGAAGAGATATAGAATGCTCGCCACTGTGGCGGTCTTGCTTTTGAAGCTCAATTGCTGTTTTGCCCGTTCTTTTCCGAGCCATCAGGGCTGATGCAGGGTGGGCTCATGTGGGTTGTATATCTTGCAGCAGCTCCGCAGGCGGGATCGCAACAGCATATGGGGTGATGCAGTGGATGCAGTAAGATGGCTCCACGTCAACCACGCCCATACGAGGACCCCCGGCCAGTATCTGTTCCCCGACCGTGTTCAACACTATAGAATCCGACCGCTGATAGGGTGCAACGAGTCGAACCATCTCGTAACCGAAGGACAGAAAACCTGCCAGAATCCCGACCGATGCGGCCGAAGGGAAAACCCCCCAGCTCCCAAAGAGGACTAGCGCCGAACGTGGCCAGCCCTGACGACGTCATGGACTTCCGGCCAGATTCGGTCGATGATGCATTAGTGAGGGAGGGAGGGAGTGCGTGAGGGAGTGCCTTTACCCTCAGACCATACCACCCTTCTTATAAAGATGAGAAGGACACAGCTGTCACGCAGAAGGAGGTTTTTCTCCGTCACCTAAATCCTCATTCCCAATTTACTCACATCCTCTCACAATGCCCTCCGACGAGCTGAGCATCTCGGCCTACGGTGCCGCCCGCTCCACCATCAAGGGCGAGCCCCTCGATGCGGAGGAGATCCGCAAGACTGATGCCTATTTCCGTGCCAGCTTGTACCTGTGCCTGGGCATGCTCTACCTCCGGGATAACGTCCTGCTACGAGAACCGTTGAAGAAGGAACACCTCAAGGCCCGTCTCCTCGGCCACTGGGGGTCCGACGCCGGCCAATCCTTCACCTGGATTCACATGAACCGCTTGATCAAGAAGTATGACTTGGATGTCCTGTTCGTCTCCGGACCGGGCCACGGTGCCCCTGGGATCCTCTCCCAGTCGTACCTGGAGGGCGTCTACTCCGAGGTCTACCCAGACAAGTCCGAGGACGTGGTGGGCATGCAGAAGTTCTTCAAGCAGTTCTCCTTCCCCGGCGGGATCGGCAGCCACGCCACCCCGGAGACACCTGGCAGTCTGCACGAGGGCGGGGAGCTGGGCTACTCGATCTCGCACGCCTTCGGGACCGTCTTCGACAACCCCAACCTCATCACGCTGACCATGGTGGGCGACGGCGAGGCCGAGACGGGCCCGCTGGCGACCAGCTGGCACAGCACCAAGTTCCTGAACCCGATCACCGACGGCGCGGTGCTGCCGGTGCTGCACCTGAACGGCTACAAGATCAACAACCCGACGCTGCTGGCGCGCATCAGCCACGACGAGCTGTCCTCCCTCTTCTACGGCTACGGCTGGACCCCCTACTTCGTCGAGGGCAGCGACCGCGAGAGCATGCACCAGGCCATGGCCGCCACGCTGGAGCACTGCGTGCTGGAGATCCGCAAGTTCCAGCAGCAGGCGCGCGAGTCTGGCAAGCCTTTCCGGCCGCGCTGGCCGCTGATCGTCCTGCGCACTCCCAAGGGCTGGAGCGCGCCCCGCGAGATCGACGGCAAGCTTCTCGAGGGCTTCTGGCGCGCCCACCAGATCCCTATCACCGACGTGCTGACCAACCCCGCCCACCTCAAGGTGCTCGAGGACTGGATGAAGAGCTACGGCCCGGAGCAGGTCTTCGACAAGGAGGGCAGGCTGATCCCCGAGCTGAAGGCGCTCGCGCCCACGGGCCACGCCCGCATGAGCGCCAACCCCGTCGGCAACGGCGGCCTGCTGCGACGCCCGCTTGACCTGCCGGACTTCCGCCAGTACGCGCTGGCCGACATCGAGCCGGGCGTCTCGGTGCGCGGCAGCATGGTCAACATGGCCAAGTTCCTGCGCGACGTCGTGGGCCGCAACCTGACCAACTTCCGCGTGTTCGGGCCGGACGAGACCGAGTCCAACAAGCTGGCGGAGATCTACAAGGCCGGCAAGAAGGTGTGGCTGGCGGACTACTTCGAGGAGGACAACGACGGCGGCAACCTGGCGATGCAGGGCCGGGTGATGGAGATGCTCAGCGAGCACACCTGCGAGGGCTGGCTGGAGGGGTACGTGCTGTCGGGCCGCCACGGGCTGCTGAACAGCTACGAGCCGTTCATCCACATCATCGACTCGATGGTCAACCAGCACTGCAAGTGGATCGAGAAGTGCCTGGAGGTGGAATGGCGGGCGAAGGTGGCGTCGCTGAACATCCTGCTGACGGCGACGGTGTGGCGGCAGGACCACAACGGGTTCACGCACCAGGACCCCGGGTTCCTGGACGTGGTCGCCAACAAGAGCCCCGAGGTGGTGCGCATCTACCTGCCGCCGGACGGCAACACCCTGCTGTCGGTGACGGACCACTGCCTGCGCAGCGCCAACTACGTGAACGTGATCGTCGCCGACAAGCAGGACCACATCCAGTTCCTGGACATGGACGAGGCCATCGCGCACTGCACGAAGGGGCTGGGGATCTGGAACTGGGCCAGCAACGACCAGGGCCACGAGCCCGACGTCGTCATGGCCTGCTGCGGCGACGTGCCCACGCACGAGGCCCTGGCCGCCACCGCGCTGCTCCGCGAGCACGTCCCCCAGCTGAAGGTGCGCTTCGTGAACGTGGTCGACCTCTTCCGGCTGATCTCCAAGATCCACCACCCGCACGGCATGTCCGACCGCATGTGGAAGTCCATCTTCACCGACGACAAGCCCATCATCTTCAACTTCCACTCCTACCCGTGGCTCATCCACCGGCTGACCTACAAACGCCCGGGGCAGCAGAACATCCGCGTGCGCGGGTACCGCGAGAAGGGCAACATCGACACGCCGTTCGAATTGGCGGTGCGCAACAACACCGACCGCTACAGTCTGGCCATCGACGCCATCGACCACGCCCAGTCGCTGGGGAACACGGCGGCGGGCGTGCGCGAGAAGCTGCTGAACATGCAGCTGCTCGCGAAGCAGAAGGCGTTCGACGACGGGTTGGATCCGGACTACATTCGCAATTGGACGTGGCAGTGGCCGAAGAAGAAGTCGGAGGGTGTCTAGTCTAGCCCAGCTTCCCTGCTCCCTGTTACCCTAACCCACGCCCAACGACCACGACCTTTCCTTTAATGAATGCGCAGTGGTATCAAACAAGTCAGTTCAATGCGATACCGGAGTCTAGTACAATCTAATGAACCTCACAAAAACAATCTTCATGCCTCGTAACTCATAAACCCCATCAATTATCCGTAAACCGTAAACCAACCCCCTCAACAATCCCCTCCCCGGAAGACGCTACAGCGGAACCGCCAACACCCCCGAATACGCACACTGCATCTTGATATACTCCGTCGTGCGGTTCCGGCACACCCAGTGCGCATCCGTGGAAGCGTCCAACCGCACCTCCCCTTGCTCGACCAGCGCACTGGAATTGGTCGTCTGCACGCGCAGCGTGAACCGGTCGATGTGGCTGCCCAGTCCCTCGGGGAAGCTGACCTCGTAGGCGGGATTGTAGCATTTCACGGTCGTGGCGACGGGGACGGGTTGGGTAGGGTGCCTTTTGGGAAGTGAACATTAGCGGGGGAAGAGGAAGAGGGGCTTTTTGGGGAAAGGGGAGGGGAACGCACCAGTTCACGTTGCAGATGGTGGGCGGAGAGTCGGTGTTGGGGTCGGTGAGGGTCATGTTGAAGAGGCCGAAGTCGAGGTCGGAGAGGGTGCGGGCGGTGAGGGCGGTGATTTGGAGGGGTTGGAGGGATTCTCGCGGGACAGTGGGGAAGGCGGTGGTGGTGGTTGCGATGAGGAAGGTGGTGAGGAGGGTAGGGAGTTGCATTTTGGTGGTTTTTTGTTGTTGTTGTTGTTGTTAGAAGTAGAAGCAGAAGTAGAAGTTAGGTAGATTAAATGGGTAAGCGTATCTGGATTGTTTGGTAGTGAGTGCTTGATGGAGTTGAGTTCTGATAGAGCAGTAATTTGGGCATCCAGCACACTTTATAACCAGTCAACCGTACCCCATCACAGAAAGGTGGGCAACAAAATGAGACAATCCCCGCCAGTCAAAGGGTCTGACAGGATGATTGTTGTGTTGGGTGGCTGGGAGAGCTTTTGATTCAACGAGGCTGAGCCGCCGATCCGATCGGCCGCCGACTCCCGATCGTCAGGGTTTGGGCGGCTGTCACTGGCTGGCTATTCTTAGCCTCCGCCCCCTGATTTCCACCCGTTTGATGAAGAACAGCGCTGCCTGTTGATGTAAACAGCAAGTTTGTCCTCTCGTGGTGCTAGGCACTTCTTAATACATATACACGTATTGATGTGTTGACACAAAATGGAGCTGTAGCCGCGCAAGAACAGACTAGGAGTACGTGTTTGGAGCAGTCAGCCACCTCAAGCTTAAAGTACGGAGTAGTGTGGTTGCATAAGTTGCATAAGCCTTTGCTGCAACCTACGCTTCTCAGCATCAAGACCCTGGTGCCCGGCTGCTGCCGCGCCTCGTTTGCTTGCAAGCCATCGCCCCATTCACCCCACCTCGACCCTATAGTAGTTCTTTGAGCGGGTCTATCCTTGTCATAGCTGCAGGCCTTATTTCCACCCATTCACTGACAGGGAAGAACGGTTTACGGGAAATCTCTACAAAGATCGATCAGCTTGAGCAGCTCCAGCTACGCTGTCATGCAACTAATACAATAACTCAGAGTCCACAACTTCAATGACTAATTTGGCATTGGCGGAGATGGTCACATAGTACAGAGAGGTAAATCAAAGAGCCTAGCAGGCAGTGTGGAGGAACACCAACCAATACATCCGGAATGATCTATACATTATCATCAACTGGCACGGACAGGGGTATGCTTACATAGTGACCCGCATCAATTCCTGTCACATGGTATACACAATCTGCTATGATAAATAATCACATCTTGTATTATACGCACGCAGCGACTGCTGCGAACTGCTCGGCCGATCTACCCGTCAGCTTATCTCAGCCCAGCCTCAAGAGCTGGAGGCTGGAGTCATACCGCATAGCCTCTAGCCCCTAGTCCGGGGATGTGTTGGTTCATCGAGCTTTGTCAGTGGGTCATGGAAGAGTGCCGCTTGCTTGTTTCTCACTGCCTCTGTATTGTAGCTTGCCGTTGGTCGCTTTTTCCTGCAGCGGAGATCATCTCACGGACAAGGATTGCTTGATTGACCCTCCGCACAGCCTCTTTGGGCTCATATTGATACTCTGGAATATCACAGTTGGAGAGTGAGTTTTCCTGAGTGGCCTCACTGCATAATGTGTTACTGCTAGCAGCATGGCTTCGCGACTTCCACTTACTCATGGTAGGCCTCTCTTGACATTTGGTAAACTGCTCCTCTCGTTGTATATCTGCCTGTCCAGTTGCACCTTTGTTTAACGCGCTCGTTCTGAGGATTGCAACTAATAAGCACGGGAGTAGACTCTCCCCAAGAATCGTAATCATTGATAACGATCACACGAAAGTCTGGGGATTGCCAGTTATGGAGCTAGCCACAAGCACTGTTGGCAGTGCGCTGGTCAGTAAGATCCAGAAGACTAGACATACAAGGACTGTAAGGAATTTTGAAAACGCAAAAAGGCTGTCTTTCTTCTTTCAAACAAGAGTAATCCAGGAATTCATCGGCAATGGATCGAAACCACAGAAATGTGCGGCAGCAAGTGGTATATGCACGCTTGAGAAGCAGTTTTTGGCATCCTTCAATAACTTGTTATTAAGCGGGGTCTGTGAACTACATCTGTTATGAGAGGACTGTCATTCACAAAATGCATATACCGCTAAATCCCTACAGTGAATGCACTGGATTCTATACCAGGAAAAAGTTGGATTTGCCGGAGAGCTTCCTTTTCTTTACTATTATCTCTTTCAACCACTGATCCTTACAACCTAACCATCCTTATAAATACTCCCATACATCCTTTCCCATGTCTCCCACCGATGCAACTTCAACCTGGCACTGAAGTTCATCAAATCACGGATACAACAACTGGCTAGTTCAACCACGATCTGGCCACCCACGGCAGCAACATGTCGACAGCCTCTACCGATGTGCCAGGCGATCCCATGCCAACCTTCAGGATCCCGCCTCCGCCAATGTCTGCAAGCGCGTTCTGGAGCACCCCGGTGATCAAAGACGCCGTGGCTATCACAACTCGGACCCGGAGGGTGTGCAAGATGGAGGAGACTGCGGAGATGTGGCGAAGGATCTTGACGGTACGTTTCGATGACTGGAGTCTCGCTGTTAGCCCCGTCAATAGTCCGCTGACCGAGCCTCCAGATAGCCCCGACCTGTCCGAGTTGGATGATGATGACATGGATGAAGACGGTATGAGCTCAGGCTCGGACATCCCGTTCCAGCCTTCTCTGACCCTTCTTCCTTACCCGATCCCAACACCACCGCCATCCTTATATCCCTTCGGAGCACGCAGTGGCTTACTGAACTGGCCCACGGCTGGGGGGTTGAGCATGAACCTCCCAGCAGCAGCGATCACGCAGCGCAGCGACTCTGTCAACACCGCCAGCAGCAGTGGATCGGACATCCCTTTCGCGGCTCCTCGCAGTTCACTCGCGTATATGCCGTCCTTGTTCGTACGCCAGTACCTGGAGGCTGCAAGGACGGGCACACGAGTTGGGCCTACCAAACGGACCCCGACCCGCCCTGCTGCCAACGCCCACAACCCACGACGTCCACTGCTGCCGTATACACCCCTAGACCCATACTGGGACCTGGGACCGCCCACGCAGATCCCACGTCAAAATGTCTCCGAGCTGCGTTCGACAGCGAGCCACGAGAAAGGCACACGGCGCAACGATGCCAGCACCCAGACGGCAGGCCCTGCGCACCCCCAACATACCGTGCTACCACACGGTCCCGCAACCGGGCCCTGCGATAGCGAGAAACCCACAGTCTCGACCGCAAGCTGTGCGCCTCCAATCGTAGACGACGAGCTGGGCACCGCCATGTACTCCCCGGATGGCACAGAGAGGGACCCCAACGGCCCATCGCCAACACCATCTTCCTCAACCAACCAAGAGGAAACCTCAGACCCCTACAGCGCCGCCTCCCCCACGCTGCACTCCCCCTCCCCACCTCCCCCTCCACCCTGGGAAATCACCGATCCCGCCCTCATCCCCAACTACACCCTGATCGAGACCACACACGCCTGCCAGACGCCATTGCCCACGCAGATGCTGACCCTGGTCCTCACCCGCACCCTGCCGGGCGACCACCCACTCCCGTTCCTGCTCCTCTACTGCCTCCCGGGATTCGGCCCGGACGCGGAGCACGACGAAGCCCTGATGATCGAGTGGCGCGATGTGAAGGAGCACGCGCTGCACGAGATCTCGGAACTGGTCGACCGGTACACGGATCCGCTTCCGGATCTCGGCGAGCGGCAGCGCGCGCGAACGCGGCTCCTGGCGAATCTGCACTTCGGGATCGCCACGGGGTCGAGCGTGCGCATGTACGACTTCGATCGCGGCGATGACGGCGTGTTTCTGCTCGAGGAGTGCGCGTGGGCGAAGCAGGATGGGCCGCGGTTGAATGTGCGGGAGACCTCGCTGGCGTTTTTGAACCTGGTGGATTGCATTGCGGGGTGGGGGTAGCTGCGCTGCACCTTGGATTGGGGATGTGCTGTCGGGTGGGTTTGACTTGACATGAATATTTACAGAAGGAAAAAAAAAAATAAACAAAAACAATTGCCTAGCTCCGCTGGGTCAGATTACCTCTATCATGATTTCGTCTCTCTCTCCGCTCCCAAGTCAATTATACTGACCCGGAGCCATCCAAAATTCTAATTTTAGAAGTCCACAAGATATGTCGTGAATGATATACACAGAATACAAACCCAACTCCCCCTCTATACCGCCAAAGAGATCTAGCAAGCGGAACCCAAACTATTCCTTGACCGAACCGGACTGCGCCCCTGCAACCCGGACCCCTCCGACTCAATCTGCCTCACCACCGTCGTCATCGTGCCCGTGGTCCCGGTCTCCGCGCCCGCGACACACTCATCCCAGCCCTGCGGCGTGGTGACAAACGCACTGGTGGCACTGGTGTTCGACAAGGGATCGGCACCAATCAAACTCGGGCCCTTGGCGATCTGCACCAACCGCCCCAGGATCGCATACTCCAGCTTCAGCTTGATACTATACGCGACGGGCTTGAACATGACCTGCAGGGCATAGTACCCGGCATACTCGATGGCGACCACCGCGAGATCCAGCACGAGGATCACGACATTGATGACCAGCAACTGCGCCAGGAGGAGCCTTCGCGGGCGCTCCGGCCGCAGCCGCAGCATCTTGATCGTCTCGTACACGTAGATCCCGGACAGCAGGGCCTCCTGCACGCAGAAGGCGACCAGCTGGATGCGCTCCATGATATTGTAGCCGGACTGCCAGCGCGGGGAGCCGCCCAGCGCGCCGTAGAGTGTCACGGTCGTCGGGATGTGGAAGAGGATCGCGTCGACGATGATGCCCCCCAGGATCCAGTTCAGAAGCTTCGGGCGCTGGAGCATCAGGTGCAGCCGCGACCAGAGCACCAGCGAGTGGCCCGTCACCATGCAGTACCAGGTGAGCACGATCAGGGTCACCGAGATGTAGCGCGAGACGTCTGGCGCGAAGAGAAACAATGTGTAGCCCAGCACGTGCGGGATCAGGCTGAAGCTCGTGATGAATAGACTCCAGAAGTAGCAGCCCCGATAGGAGTGGAAGGTCGTCAGGCATAGGATCACCAGCTCGATCGCGTTGTACCAGGTGATCGCCGAGAAGGCGCTGATCACGTATTTCTGGACCGTGTCGCCCGGCGTCACGGCGCTGAAGCTGCCTTCATTGTGGGTGGCGCGGTCGAAGGCGGACATTGCATTTCATTGTATGTGTGTGTCTGGGTGTTTCAGGTCGTGGGAAGGGCGGTGCGCATGGTGGTGGGATGCAGGTGCCCAGCTAGAGTGATTGGGTGTGGTGGTGGTGGTGGTGGTGGTGGTAGTGGTGAAGACAGCTGTGAAGAAGATAGGGTTATGGGTCTCTCTCGTCTATACCACGCCGCTCAAGCAACCACTCCATGTTCCTGAACACGAAGCCAGCCCAAAGAAAAAAAAAAAAAACACGAGGTTCTGCAGGGATTAAAGAAGGATTTCGAAGGAATGAGAGGAAAAGAAATGCATTGGTGTTAGGGAGAGATTATGGGCCTTTTCCCCAAGAAACCTTTTTCTTTCTTTTCGCCTCCTCAACGTGGAGGAGGAGGGGAGCAAGGAACTTTGATGGTGATATTCTGACGTCGTCGACCTGGGCGAGACTCTCGCGGTCGAATCCATGGTTTGACCCCGGCCGCTCGTCCTCTTGCCCGCAATGGGGAATTCGATGGCCGCTGCGACCGGAGCCGATGCCTCTGATTGGTTCATTCTGAATTTCTGCCAAGCAGACAGTTCCAATAGTCTAGTCTACGAGGGTCAGTTTTGCGACCGTGAGGGTTAACCTCCCAACCTGCGACATCGGATGCCAATGGATTTGGCACACTACGCACGCTAGCCCTAATTCATCTCCCCCTTCCCCCCTTCCCCCTCCCCCCGCGTTCGTCCCGACTGAGACATCGTGGCTTCAGGGGCGACTGCAGGCACCGCGATCAAAGTTCCAAGTTCCTCCTCACGATCGCTCGATCGGGCATGGATCGGCCTCATGCGGGGGAAGCTGCTCGTCTGAAGCATGCCAACTAGCGACCGCCGGGTAATGCATGTCGATCGCACGCAACATCCTCTCTTGCTGATCAAGTCATGAGGTAATGCACCACGGCCGATGCTTGGCTTCCCTGCATGCTCAAATTGCGAGACTTCAGCTTGCAAAAATCGTTCATCGTGCCGGTCAACGTGAGGAATTGGTAAAATCCGCCTGCCCTTCCAAGACCTCCGACCGTGGCGTGGTACCTCAATCTCCGCGGCCGATGCATGCACTGCCTCAGCTTGTAGTTCGTCAACCCGGAGCGACGGAACCACCCCATGGATCATGGCATCTGGGTCTCTGGATCCGTCAAGGTGAGCGATTGCGGTCGTGATTCGCTGGAAGAGCTCTCCCCATCGGCGGTTCCCGGCGCGTGACAGCAAGCTTTGAGCAGATGTAGGCGAAGATGCAGGGTCTGCAGGGTCGAGCTGGCCGGTCGGCCGGTACTCGAACTTCACTTGGGGTGTTTGTAGCCGGCCCGGTGTACATTGCGGGTGAAGTCATTTCCTGCACACTGGACCTCAGTCGCGCTGCGGCTGGGTCCTGCAGTCTGGAAGCACTGAGGCGATTGCTCGTAAACTGTCAGAGGGATCCTTGGAAGATTGGACGAGCACGATGCCGTCCAAGTGCTCTCCGACCACGCCAGAGTGGTCGCCGGTCAGACTAGACTATTGGGAAGCACGACATTTGGGTCCGAGAAATATTCTATCGTGTCGTCCTCGATCTCCTCAGATAGAAATAGTCAAACACAGGCATTGTTACTCCTCGTCAATCGCCCCACTCTTCTCAACATATTATACTCTTAATTTGTTCCGCTTCGTGGCTAGATGTCTTGGCCGATCTCGCCCCCTCATCTCGATCTCTTGGCGAGATTCACATATGGAGTCAAAGGATTGTCGCTTCAAATACCTGATTCTGAGTACTCGGAGTGCAAGAAGCACATACAGGCATCATCTCATTATCTCGACGTCGAGAATTCAACCCCCAGTGTCGTGCAATAGTCACGGAGCCTAGTGAGTCATACCCAGCTAGCAAGCTCCTGGCCTAGGTCACCTCCACATTTTCTGCAGTCTTCTGACAGGTACGGTACTCCGGGCAGTCCAGCTGCGAACCATCAATCATATATTATCTGATAACTTGGTAGCCCCATGCTCTCGACTCCCAGGCCATCGCCTCAAGATGGAAGATTGGTAAGATGAGGTTCTTATAGCTATCAAGCTGCGCGAGCAGAGAAAGCCGACCACCGTACGCTCCTGACCAGGAACTCCCTCACCCAGGGGTTATGCACGGGTCATCCAATCACCTCCGCAAGAACAGCAAACAAGACCTGATTATCCACTCGGCAGCCCTCCCATTGGAACCGCGCGCTGCGATACCCGGCCCGCAGACGCAGATCCAGCTCCGAGATACTGAGATTCTTCGTGTTGCAACTCATGACCAGCTCGAGGGCCACCGCGCACACGGTCGTGTCTTCCTCGTTGTCCGTTGGGGACACTGCTTGCAATGCCATTCCGGGGATGCGCTGCTCAGGGCAGAGCCTAGATCCAGGGACCGGGGCGACTTCGCGGGGTAATGGGAAATAGCTTGCATCCAGCAGCGAGACACCATCGACTTGCTCGGTGAACGCAGAGGATGATGGATAGGAGACGCGGACTGGGGCTGTGTCTTCCGGGCTTGCGGTCTCGGCTGGTCTTGCGCACTTCTCAACCGCGTTAAACATGATCTCTGACGGAGATGGTGGGCAAGGAGGTAATGGGTTGGCGTGTGTGTCGGAGGCGGTGCGCGCGTTCAGAGTGCCGTTCTTCATACCAAGACTGGATAAGTCCAGAGAAGAAACCCGATCATCAACTATCCGTTCCAAGCTGCTCTGGTGGTCGTCCTCCATTTGCCCCGGGAGTCTGGATACCAGATCGTCGTCAACGTCCAAAGGATCATGGAGGAAAGCCTTGAGCCGTTCGTTCTCCTGGAGCAGCTCATTCGCCAGGGACTGCAGTCTCCGAACCTCCCGCGACGTGGTATTCTCGAGGGATGCCAGCCTGCGCTCGAGATCCGTCACATAGTCGCGTTTACGCTGTCGGCAACGACGCTGGTTGTTGCGGACGCGCGTCAAGTCTTCTTCCTAGCTAGCTGGTTAGGCATTTGCCTACCGTACTAATACGGAATAGCCATGACAGAAGCATGGGACTTTCACACCTTGGTCTTGCGTTTAATGCGTGGCATGGTCGTGGACGGTAGTGTCGAATCAAGTCACTCCACGTTCGTTTATTGTGAAGCATCAGACAGATGACGATCTTCTGGGTACGATGAAAGGAGAAAGAGTGGAATAGCTGTAGTCTAGATGTTATTAATCGGTCGGATAGCAAGTGGCGTGGCTTGCTTATCATTGGTGAATAAAGCTCCTTGGGTTGCGGGGGCGGGGGGAAATCAATCCACTTCCACTCCATTGAAAGTGGTGACATACCACTTTTCACCGCCCCGTCTACCTTGGCTTTGTTGTGCCCAAACTGATGACATACCAGGTATACAAGAATTCACCGATTCCAACAGAGGTCACCAATTATACTAAGCAGTAACTGTCGTCACATGGGCCATATCAGATCGATTATTAATGCAGAGGACAACCGTTTAGTGCTCTCGCGGTGGATATAAAAATGGTTGAGCGCCCCGGTCTGCATCCCGCTACCATGCTGAACCTACAACAACACCTCTTCTCAGTAACACACCATCCACTTGTATCGGAAATCCTCCTACAATATGGCTGGAGACATCTACAATCTGGTCCAGTCCCGCTATGGCGACATCGCCAACCGGAGTACTGCCGGCCAGCGTGGCAAAGAAGAAGACATCGCTAGGGCATTCGGCTACAGCGCGGAAGACCTCAGTATCCTGCCTGAGAAAACCAATCTAGGTCTCAGCTGTGGGAATCCCGTGGGGTTCGCTAATGTAAAAGAGGTATGGCCTCCCATCCTGGCTCTGCCGCCACAACAGCAAGAAACTAGATTTTTGACAAACACTATAACAGGGCGAGACAGTCCTGGACCTCGGCAGCGGTAGCGGCATTGATGTCCTCCTGGCCGCTCGGAAGGTTGGCCCCAGGGGGCAGGTCATCGGGGTGGACATGACGAAAGTGAGTATACCGCCGAGCGCTTCCTTCCCACAAAGACAAAGCTAATGGAATTCGAGCAAAGAGTATGATCGAGCTCGCCGAAAAGAACATCCAAAGGGCAGGACTGTCCAATGCCAGGATCATCGACGCAAAGATCACCTCCATTCCGCTGCCCGACGCCAGCGTGGACTGCATCATCAGCAACTGCGTGATCAACCTGGTCCCGGCGGTCGACAAACCCGCTGTGTTCAGGGAGATCGCTCGACTCCTGAAGCCCGGGGGCAGAGTGGCAGTCAGCGACATCTTGGCTAGAAAGCCTCTGCCGGATCACATCACTCAAGACATGGCGCTGTACGTGGGGTGTGTGGCTGGTGCGAGTCTGGTTGAGAAGTACGAAGAATACCTTGGGCGGGCCGGCTTTGAAGGTAGGTATCCCATCGATACGAAAAGCCTCGTGTACTAATTTTGGAGGAGGTGTTTTGATTGTGGACACAAAGTCGGATCTCAATGTCTATAAAGAGTCTTCGAATTTGCCCCAGGGCTCGGGCTGCGGCTCGTGTTGCGGCGGTGGATGCGGGACCGAGACCGCCAGTGCCATAACCGACCTGGATTTCAATGAGTGGGTTGGTCAGTCTGCCCTTCTCTCAATCCTTGCTATGATTAATACAATACTAACTATGTGCCTAGGCTCATTCCAGATCTACGCCATCAAGGCCTAGGGCCGCTCAGTTGGCTCATATTCGTTTTCGGGAGAGGTAGCCGCGGAAAGAATGCTGAAGAGAACGGTTCCTCGATGTGTATGACGCAAGAATAAGATTATCCAGCGTCCGGTTGAGATTTTGTCGTTCTGATTTCATTCTTCATCCAGTAGTCGAAATATATCCATGTTCCGCACCATGCAGTTGGTGTCCGACTGGCACCCGAGTTCTGACCGTATGTTCCGCGCATCGTAGTAGCTGCGCATAGACTGGATGATCCCGGCAGCGGTTTCGCATGGAGTAGACTGCCCTGCGCTCTGATACCTACTTGTCGGAGACGACTCGGAGCTATCGTAACAGAAATCATCGAGAGTAGCAGGCAGCTCTCTGCCCAAAGGTTGACCATCGGACAAGGCCCTCTGCTGGTGGGTTGCGGGGCTCGACGGTGCTAAAGTGCTCGTGGTTTTCCCCGACGGGTCTGTGTTATTCGGGCTTGATACACTTCGTAAAGAAACCCCGTCACTACCTAAAGTGGAAGGCAAGCATTTTCTCGCCGGCGATCGCGCTTCGCTAACCGCTTCTGGGCGACATGCTGGAGGATTAAGATGAGTCGACTGTCCGGTCAAATACGCCTGGACCTGCTGGTCTGAAACACCGCGGAGTCTCAGGAGCGACCGGAGATGAGCGTTTTCTATGGCCAGCTTACGCCCCGCAGCTTGCACTTCTTGTGTGGCTTGGACTCCGAGGCGCTCAAAGCTGCGCAGGCGTTGCTCAAGATCCTGGAGGTATTCTTTACGGCGTGCGCGCGACCGCCGTTGGTTGTCACGAATGCGCTGCAAGGATGACAATTGCGCTGTCTGGCATTCGGTCAGTCCTATTGTGATATAAAGACAGAACCCACCCTGGTTCGCATGGAAATACTGACTGGGGCTGTCATTTCTTTCGTTTATTTGCAGGTGGGTCTTCCTCGTGTCGGGTAGCCCGATTGAGATATATTTATCGAGTATATAAATTTCGCTTCACAACATTTGTTTCACTAGCGGGAGCAAAGAAAGACAGGAATCAAAACCAAGTCTAGGACCCTCGGGCAATCCAAAGAATAAATTTACATAGTGTGTCTAGAGTGGTTAGAAATGAGAGGCGTGGCGACGACTTACTTCGCATACTAAATTCCTTGCTGGTCTAGGCAAGTTGCGCATCAACAATGGTCCGTGGCTAATCTCCTTGAAGACTGTTTCTCCGAAGCTAGTCTGAGCCTGCTGCCCAATCATGTTGCGCCAGTGACATACTCGCCGCCGGCCCCGGCATCTGCCCATGGGTTTCAAATGTATGAGAAGGCATCAATCCACTACGTGAATAAAGTGTTGAAACATCTTGATCGGGGCCCTAAGAGTTGCTTATTCTTCGTTCTTCTGCCTCGACCCTAGGGAATAATAGAAAGAAAGTCCCCAATGATCGCCTGTCGCAGGATTCCCTTGTTACACCGATTTAGCCGACTCACTCATTCAGCGGTGCTTTTTCCGCCCCAGAATCACAACACTATGGCCTCTTCTGCAGCTGTCCCGGCAAACCCTGCGGCTCCCTTCTTCGATAGGCAACAATCGCTAGCTATTCCGGAGACCGAGGACAACTCCGACATCCGCCGCAAATACCGTCCCTTCATTCTCGAGGATGACGCCGCGGAAGACTGGGTCAACAGGCTCGAGTTGACCACCGCCATGGACATGGCGGCGCAGGCGCTGGCGAAGTCCAACGACCGGCTCAAAGTCCTGGTCCTGTACGGCAGTCTCCGTCGGCGGTCCTACTCCCGCCTCGTGGCGTTGGAAGCCAGCCGGATTCTTTTTCGACTCGGGTGCGATGTCCGCGTGTTCGATCCCGAGGGTCTGCCAGTGAAGAATGATACCGAACACAACCACCCCAAGGTGCAGGAGCTGCGGGAGCTCAGCAAATGGAGCGATGGGCATGTTTGGGTGTCTCCTGAGCAACATGGGAACCTGGTGAGTATGCCTGTTTGTCCACGTATCAAGTCATAGCAGTCACTAACAGATAAACCTGTGGCTAGACCGCCGTCTTCAAAAACCAGATCGACTGGATCCCACTCAGCACCGGAAGCGTGCGCCCCACGCAGGGTCGCACGCTGGCGATCGCACAGGTATGTGGCGGATCGCAGTCGTTTAACGCGGTCAACTCCCTGCGCATCCTCGGCCGGTGGATGCGCATGTTCACCATCCCGAACCAGTCCTCGATCCCCAAAGCCTACACCCATTTCCCGGACGAGGGGTGGCCGGGTGATCAACGGCTGCTGCCGAGCGGGAACCGCGACCGCCTGGTGGATTGCATGGAGGAGTTTGTGAAATATACCATCCTCATGCGGCCGCACCTGGAGCTGTTTGGGGACCGGTATAGTGAGCGAGAGGAGAAGCGGGCGAAGGAGGAGAGGGCCCGCGCGGAATCAGGAGTTTAGCCCTACGTGGTGCACGTTTGTACAGTACTTACATATAGAATTTCTTGACTATGTTCTTCTACTGCATGTACATAGACTACTTAGAATAGCAAATATTCTCGCCCGAGGCTGGCTATTGCTGGCACTTGCTATATCTTTATTTAACCCAGACGGAAGCATCGTATTCGTCCATCAGATCCGTGTATTCTTCCCCGGCCGCAGCCCAGCCCTTAATTCCCCCTTCCAGAACGAGACTCCGCAGCCGGGTTTCTCCTTGCTGCTCTAAGTAGTCAGCGAACCAACTGGCGGCTCGCGTGCCCCGTCCTTTCGACGAGCCTAAGTATTCAGTCAACTTCACGCTTCGCTGTGCACCATGGGGTTCGGAAGAACAGACCGCAATACCAAACAACCTCCTTGACGGGGCTCTGGCTGAGCAGGGTATAGACGGTTGGGATCGTTGGGTATAGACTCTGAGCTGGAAGGTTGATCGATCCTCGGATGGTCCCGCCCTGAAGATAAAGATAAATGTCAGCGTCAGTCTCAGGCTTCATCGTCGTGTTTTCCTGTACCTCAAAATCCGTACGGCGCAGATCGACTAATACAAAATCGCGTCCGGCTTGCCTGCCTGCGCGGAACCATTGCAAGACTTCTTCGCGACCGATGCCGACGGCTGCGCTGCGCGGTGCGGGGTAGATTGCGTGCCAGGGGAGAACGGGGGCGCTCATCCTTACTATATTGCTGTTTAGTCCAAGAATATGCGATCGTAGAAAATGTCAGTAACGGAGGAAACGTCAGGCAAGCTGGGGTCTTAGGAGCTGTGACGATGGGCGATAGCGGAGAAGCAAAATGTGTCGAAACCTCAAGGCATGAACTTTCATGCTAGGTAGGGCCTACGGTAGGTACGGAGTAGCTCTACCTGGTAAGGTAGCTGCATCGCGATGCAGTATGTCACTCGTGGAGTGTCATTGGCTAAAGGCAAGGTTGACGGCTGCACAGAGAGATCCAGGCTCAGGGCTTCAGGTGCGGGTTCAATTTTCCCATGGGTTGGCTCGGTGGGGCAAACCAGAATCCTCCCTCAGAACCAGAGCGCAGACATTTGTGCAGCCAATCAGCGAAGGGCAGTGACATTCACTTGCAGCAACCAATATTGCCCCAACATGATCATGCTGAAGTAGAAATTGTCGAGTATCAGGCACGGGGTACTAGACATATTTTAGACTCTCGTCTTTTACATCCTATGTATGACATCGCACATATTTTATATACCAGTTATAGCTGTCTAACACCTAACTTCGAATTATAGACAGCCTCGCAAACCGCATTCGTGTTCAAACCAACCCTGCCGGCACGGTCTCAGTTGGTGCATCAACAGCGATGGCTGAGCACCGTTTTCCAACGCCCGCTGACGAAGGCGCCAAACCTTTTCAGTCCAGCGACCTTGAGAAACAACAAACAGGTGCAAGCACAGTAGACTCCCCCCAGGTGAAGACGTCCGCGTTCAAGAGCCTCGGCCTGCTGGACCGTTTTCTCGCGGTGTGGATCTTCCTGGCCATGGCCATCGGCATCATCTTAGGGAACTTCGTCCCCAGCACTGGGCCTGCTCTGCAGAAAGGAAAATTTGTGGGTGTCTCGGTCCCGATCGGTAAGTCCTGTCGGTCATGACGCGTCAAGTTCTCCCGCGTCAAGCGATGATCCTAATCCCAACTCGCTAGCCGTGGGCCTCCTGGTGATGATGTACCCGATTCTCTGCAAGGTGCGCTTCGAGAGCTTGCACCGCGTCTTCAAAACCCGCGAGATCTGGATCCAGATCGGGTTCAGTATCTTCGTCAACTGGATCATTGCTCCGTTCTTCATGGTACTGTAACCCTTCACTTCCAAATCCCCAGTCTCGGCATCGCATGGCTAACAAGGGTTGTGATGTAGTTGGCACTATCCTGGGCCTTCCTCCCCGACGAACCCGAACTCCGCCAGGGACTTATCCTCGTGGGACTGGCCCGATGTATCGCCATGGTAAGTCACCCCATCCCCTCGAGACGTCATACATTTAATCCCCACTTTGCACCGTGCCAAACCCTAACAACCCCCAGGTCCTCATCTGGACCGGCCTCGCCGGCGGCGACAGCGAATACTGCGCGATTCTGGTAGCGGTCAACTCCCTCCTGCAGATGGTCCTCTTCGCGCCGCTGGGCGTCTTCTTCATCCGGATCATCAGCGGCGACCACATCGCCTTCCAATACGCCACCGCCGCGCAATCCGTTGCCGTATTTTTGGGAATCCCACTGGGCGCGGCCGTACTCACGCGGTTCGCGCTGCGCTGGGCCACCAGCCCGCGGTGGTACGACGAGGTCTTTCTGAAGTGGGCTAGCCCGTGGTCCCTGATCGGACTCCTGTTCACGATTCTCGTGCTCTTTGCCTCGCAGGGCCGGCACGTGGTGCATCAGATCGTGTCCGTGGTGCGGGTGGCGGCGCCGCTGATCGTCTACTTCGCCGTGATCTTCTTCGCGACGCTGCTCGTGGCCTACCGGCTGGGGTTCGGGTACCGGCTGGCGGCCACGCAGAGCTTCACAGCTGCCAGCAATAACTTTGAGCTGGCGATCGCGGTGGCGGTTGCGACGTTTGGGGCCGATAGTAATCAGGCGCTGGCGGCGACGGTGGGGCCGCTGGTCGAGGTGCCGGTGTTGCTGGGGCTCGTGTATGCGGTCAAGTTGGTGGCGAGGAGGGTGGGGTGGAAGGATTAGTGGTGTTATCCGGTGTTATCTGGTGTTTCACCCATAGAAGCGAGGGTGTGTTGCGGATCCCCGGTAGATATATGACATAGTTCTTGGAACACGGTTGATATGATAATGTAGACGATATAGGTCCCTGTATGCCCTTTGCAATCCTTAGTCTCCGTTTGACAGCGCCAATATCGAAAGCAAATACTCAAATCCAATGTCGATTTATGAAGGCCGGGTTCTATGCATACGGGCAAACCACATACCTTCAGCTTCAGCACAAGGCGAAAAGAAAAACAAAGATGTACATACAGGCAAAGCATATTAGACCAGAACCCGCCAGTCTAGACGAAACGAAATCCCCCAGCCCCAGCCCCCCAGAAACAGCAATTCAATCCAGCATAACCACCCCATCAAACAACCCATCGTGGCCCATCTTCCTAACCATCCGCAACATCCTGCCGGGATGCACCGCCGCAAACGCAAACACGGCAATCGTCAACAACGACGCATCGAAGACATACAAAAACGCCTCCTTCCTACTCAACACACTATCCGTGCCGGCCAAGAAATCCACGAGCCGATAGATACTGCGTACCGTGATCAGCGCCGTGACCGCATGCAGCGTCCACATCGTGCGGGGCCACGGCACGGCGGGATCGCGCGCCGCGCCCGACGGCGGCCGCGCGCGGAGCCGGCGATGCACCGAGCCCGCCTCGACCATGAACCAGCCCAGGGCGACGAGCTGCACGCCCAGGCCCCCGATCACCACGCGCTGGCCGGTGCGCACCCCGTCCGCGTCGCCGCTCGCCTGCATCGCCGACCCCATCATCTGGCACACGAAGCTGCCGATGTCGATCAGCACGTAGATCTTGGTCATCCACGTCGACCGGATGACCGTCGCCGACTGCGCGTTGAGCGCCCGCACGACCCGCCCCAGCGTCATGTACACGCTGGCCGAGAGCAGCGGCGCCGACCCCAGGATCAGCATCAGCTGCAGCAGGTAGGGGCTGCCGTTGCGGATGTGGTTGTGCGACCAGGCGCGGCCGTAGTAGCCAAATGCTTCGCCTGGAGATTTGGGTGGTGGTTAGCTTTCGCACTGCCACAGCTGACGGTGTTGAGGGGAGGTCCACGAACCGATACACCCCAGCAGGAACGGGATGAAGAACCACGCGCGGAGCCGGAAGATCAGAAAGAGGTGCACCGCGGCACCCAGCGCGAAGATCACGACAAAGGCCCAGCCCGCGGCGGCGGACGGGTTGTAGGCGTAGAGGTCGAAGGAGGCTTCCCCTCGGGGCGCGAGCGGCGCGGGAGACATTGTTCGTTCGGCGGCGTGAATGTCGCGTTGGAAATCGGTATAGGCAAGATCGGGGACACAGGCCAAGGGGAAAGGGATGGACTCCCATTCCTCTACAAAGGGAGTCGAACACTATATAGCTATTTCTTGACGGGGTCGACCGTCAATCGCCAGGGAATCGTGAGGGTACGAATACGGCACTATTGCCTAATCGGGGAATATCTCGGGATGCCGCCGAAGCGGGGACTGACGCTATTTTGAGCCCTGAAAAGCTTTGCGCCCATGGTGCTGTCAAGGCAGTAGTGACCGTTCATGATAAGATCTTCCAAATTCCTGAGTCCTAGACTAATCTCATTTGTTCGATCACTGTGTTGCCTTGAAGCTCCACCAGAGCGCTGTCTGCTGGGTGAATATTCTGCTCCGGCGACTAGTATCAGTGGCCGATATAATCTCCACTGATGGGTGAATGTGTGGGGAGCGATACTAACTGTACAACAAGCACTACAAGCACTAGTATTCATTTTAAGAGAGCCAAGGAGGGTAGAACAGGTTTATTCGGAGTAGATTAGCTGGTATATGAGCACAGATGCGACTCTAAATTGTCGCAACCCGCTCTATTGTTGATGAACCGTAGACTGTCGCCAATACCAAGCCCAAATGATTGTCTCGAGGATATCTCTTATCTGGAGTTCGACGCTCTCTATATGGAAGCGAAGCCTGACCATGTACTCCGTACATCATGGACTATAGTCGTTCTAGGCGGCATTGCCACCAAACCAACAAAAAAAACCACTAGGCTTCAGTCTACCAGGCTCGAAATTTCCACTGCATCTCTTCTGCTGCGCAAAATTGAGGATGACGCAAGAACTGTAAAAATAGCACAGAGGACGATCTCACAAACTCCATTCTACCGTACTTCCTTTCGATAGATTATGTGAAACCCCTACCGAGGAAAAATCTGTTACAAATGTTGCCTGACCACTAGAAAGAACAATGCGATCATGGTTACAGGAGAAGCATGCAGTGGGGAAATTAAATCGGCAACGGGCAAGTAAAGTGGGTCCCTTAGTCCGCGAGTACGAGAGAATTGCCGCATGGGGGAAACACTTAAGATGAATTGCCGGAACTCTAAACCTATTTGTAGAGACTTTGCTGGTGGAGCACAGAAGTCTATTCACAAGTACAAGCCAGCATTGATATATAAGTTAGTGTCCCTTTCCTATGCACCGAATCTGCCCTTGAAATTCCCTGGATTTGTCTGAGACGTCCTCGATTGCCTCTTCATTCTCCATCCGGCAACAAGAACCGCATTCAGCCAACAATGATCAGGGAAAGCAACATGGCAAACCACGAGACCACTATTGAGTCGCCTCAGGTCAGCACCAGGTACGGACCAGCAACGCGCGCTACCCTCCGCACCCTCCAACTCATCTTCGCGATACTCGTCGCCGCCCTCTACGCAGTTGACCTGGCCCATGCCACCGAAACGCGATCTCACGCCTCCTCGGAATGGATCTTCGCCCAGGTTGTCGCCTGTTTCTCCGCTATAACGGCCATCCTCCATTTCACGCGGGGGCGGAAGCGGGTGGTTGCGGCGTGGGCCGCTTGGGACTTTGTGCTGTTTGTTCTCTGGCTCGCGCAGACGGGGGTCTTCGGGACGATTTACATCTCTGAGGACGTGGAGCCGCTGTACCAGGAGCGGACGACCTCGTTGCTCAGGATGAGGGTGGCGGTCTGGATTGATCTCGTGAACATGGCGCTGTGGTTGGGGACGACGGTTATGGGGCTGGTTTGGTGTGTTCAGGGGCGGAAGGTCTTCCGGGGTATCAAGAGGTGCGATTGTGCAGGGGCAGACAGGGGGTCTGAGCTGGAGAACGAGGCGGTCGATGGTCCGACGAGGAAACAGCAAGAGACGGAGGCATTGGCGGACTACAGCAAGGCCGTGGAGCGGTTGGTGGCGGGCGAGGCGAACTGCCCTCCGCCGCCTTACTGTGAGAAAGAGAGTGCTCACTCAATTGAGAAACGGTTACAGTGAGGGTAAGCAAGTTTAAGGACAAAATCCTCAAACAAATGGCTAGAGGAATGACTCGATTATTGAATAGCATATGTCATCACGAATGGGTACTTTTGGATTATGCGAGCCTGGACGGAATCAGGTATACCAAGCTTTGGTTTTCTTTTTTTCTTTCTCTCCCCTTTATCATTTTGTTCTTCTTTGGTTTATATAATAAACACACAATTCATTGCTCATTGGCTTTATGCATATCATCAACTGACACGAGGGTTCATGGTAAGTGTGCTTTGATTCAATGATAAGAAAGGGATTTCTAAGTCCGGACAATGCAGTGTTCTTCCCCTTCGTGAATACACCTCAGCTCGTCTGCTTTCCATACAGGAAATTCATTGCGCGTATCCTTGCTCTCGTCTACGCAATCAATATCCACCGCATCCCCAAACAAGAGCGGCAGGAAGTGCAAATACGCCTGCCCGGTCCAAGTCACCGGAACAAAATGAGCTCCCCGGCGGATCCACCACAGTGCCACACAGACAAGCCAATTAGGCGACACCATGAACCTCGCTGTCGAGTGGTGGTATGCTGGAAGCACGATATGACGGTAGGTGACTTGCGAGGTCCGATAAAGGGAGCGAGCATAGGGCAGGAAGGATGACTTGGCTGGAACGGAATCTTGTTGGCGATGGATGACTCCCCACGGCCGGGGCAGCTCCGACTCGCACTCAACGTGCCAGATCTCCGGGAGGACCTTGGCTCTGCGTGTCGCTTTGAATCGCAGAAACTCCTGAATCATCCGGACTAACGACATGGAGTTTGGCACTGTGCCGTCTATCCTTTGCGTGTCGTGCGCGAGGATGAGAATGTCCGCCTCTTCCAGCATGGCGACAAGGCGGGCGATGTCTTGCTGCGAGCAGCTTGGCTGGACATTCTGCTTGTAGATGCATTTGACCCGTTCCTCGAGGAGATGCTTCTCCATCGCCTGCCCAAAGTCTCCGGAGCCACCGACCATAACGACGGTCTTGCCGCGAAGAGAGTATGCCGTCCCCGCTACCCAGTCGAAGAGCTTGATCGCCGATCCCATGTATTTATCCGGGTAATGATGGTGCAGGGCATGATACTCGGGGCCCACGAAGGCCCAGCTCCGGTCTTTGGGGACTGTGTCGTAGGAGATGTGGTTGGAGTCCTTCCCGTCATTGAGGATCACAGTTAGGGCACGCCCCGTTTGGACCAGCAGGACGAGGAGCAGAGCCCTGCGATCGGAATGACCACTCGGGGACAAGCAGACCGCTCTCGCAAGCAACCACCCGAGAACGCTCCCCAACAGCTGGCAGACCAGCTCAAGCGGGAGGGCGATTCGTGCATTCAGACGGCTGTACTTGGGGTTGAACTGGAGCAAGCGGCCGTAGTAAAGGTGGTGGTATTGGTGGTAGCGGGAGAGCTGGCGCAGGAGCTTCCACTCTGACCGTGCCCAGCGATGGAGCAGATAGTGCATTCCATCGAAGAAAACAGTACCGGTGAGGTAAAGGTAGCAGATAAGGAGAACTGAGCCGATAAACGACATGATGGTAACGAGGATACTGAGTCTGGAGACTCTGCCATTGTCACGTTTGGCCTTGGTGTCAGTCTAATAGTCTTTGCACATGTGCCCCTGAAATCCTTTACAACAACCACTCTTTGTTCACTTCTGTGGATGAATTGGTGCCTGGAAGTGGATACCGTCTGTGTGACGGTGGCTCCCGAGTCCCAAGTGTTCATTCAGGCACAGTGTAGTGATTCTTCGAGGGTTTTCCCAACTAGTACTAGATGCCCAGTGTGAGCTTCTTTGTGCCATTCTTAGACTCAAACCTTGTCAAGGATTTGCAGGTTTTTGAATGGAGAAGTGGGTTTTTTCTAGGCGACGCATGCTGAAGCAAAGCCAAGCCGTGATGAAAGTCAAATATGCCTTGGGATTCAGTGAATTTGGGAGAACCTTCGGCGTCGAAATCGTCGGCACCATTTCATGACCGAGACAAATCGGCTGTTGTGAGCTGCATGGTCTTGGAGCGCCCCACACCCCTGCCAAAAATAATCGAATGGCACGTGCATACGGAGTACGACCTAATACGAGTACGAGCGGAGAATGAGCTTGAGTGTGTATGGAGGAATGGAAAAGTGCGTTCTGAGGAATCCTCGTATAAGACTTATGCGAAGCCTTATGCGAACTCTCATTCATTGACACGTGGATATAAGGCTAGTCAAGGCCGCGTAGTGCGAGCTTAATCACCATCCAGCAAAGACGCCAGACTCGACAGTCTTTGCCGATAGCAGCGCCAAGCCTGTGCTATGGGCACCTGCGAAGCTAAGCGAATTTTGACAGCGCTGGAGATTTCGCGCAATTACCTCGCAGTTAGTTGGAGCCCATCACTCTCCCAGTTCTGGTAATGCATACGGAACTATTCTCCAGGACACGTCTCGGTTTTAGGCAAATGTCCAAGTTCCGAGTGCGGTTTAGGTGCAGCAGGAGTTGGGGTTTACCGTGAAGTAGGAACCCCTCATCTCTATCCGCTTTGGACCCAAATTGCTACTAGGTAGTTAGCCGTCATCAGGAGATCTCTAAAGATGGAGTATTGGCTAATTGGCTAGGAAGTTGGCCAGCGGTCAACGCCAATGCACAGCACAGCCACTCCTCTCCGCTTCCAGGCAGCATCCCCCGCCAAGATGGGCGAGTCTATCCCCACTCCCCACCCCGTTGTCGCCGACACAGCATTCTCTTAACCTTATTTCCCAGCTGAAGTAAAACTAGTGGTTTCGCACTTCTTGGTGTCTCGGGCTGTCACCATCGCCAAGGCATCTGTGCAGCTCTATTGTGGCCGTGCTGCTGGAGGGGCCTTACCTAACCAGGAATGTATCTGGAGTGGCGGCCTCGCTTGTTTAGTTAAATGCTCTGGGAGATGGCTGGAGAAGCCTTTCTTCTTTAAGAATGTGTCAGGAGAGGTTTGGTTTGCTTGTTCGCCCAGGAGCGTGTCTGGAGAGGCATCCTTTGGCTAGGAAAGTGTGTAGGATTATTCGCTTGCTTAGAAAAGTACAAAGAAGGGGTCTTAATCTCAGATAATGATAAAACAGTTCAGATTGAGAACACTTTGTACCGAATGGATGGAGATATCTTCCTGGAATGTCAATACTTCCAACAGGAACAAGTTAGTAATTGTTTTGCTCCCTCGAATAGTACGGGTAGCCCATTTCGACTAGGTCGTGGTAATCTGATTCTACACAAGGGCTCCAGGTTGACTCTAAGCTTTACCCAACAGGCGATTCCAATTGCCCAATTGCAATGCAGACTTTTATCTACACTTACCCAGCAGAATGTATGGTTCCACTGACTATCGCAATCGAAACCAAAAAAAAAAAACAAGACAGATTGTTAACCTCAATTATTATATCATATTACATGATTGACGCAAAGCATCAAATCCCAATGTTGATTTATTATCTCACGCACTGCCCAAAATGTTCTTCTCGTAGATGCTGGTCAACTTGCCCGTGTTCTGGTTCTCGACCTGGTATCATGTGATTAGCAATTTGTTATTGTTCTTTGTGTTTGTAATTGTCTGTCAATACACACCTCATAGCGGGGGTTCTCCTCGCTGGCATCGACGTTTCGGTCTGCTTGCATACCGGGCTCGGTCAACACACCCTTGATCGTTCCGACGCTCTCCGACGTGTTGGAGTTGGGGCCTGTCGGTGCTTGTTAGTCCTCCATAGATGCATGACATGCGTAGGATAATTCAAGCAAGGGATCATACCGCCGACGGGCTTGTAGCGGATAGCCTGTCCGTTGCTGTACTGAGGCATGTTGGGTTGTTTGAGTTAGAATTGATGAAGGACAAGATTGAATTTGTGGTACTTGAGTGTGACAATAAGCTTGTATTAATGATATACATTGAGATAGAAGTTAGTTATCTTTATATATGCTCAATCTGCATAGTTGAACAATTCACATGGAAGGTCAATGTCAGCTTGACGTCAATCTGACTGGTCCAAGAAGCACAGCTATGATTCTGAAATGACGACTCCATTCAATCAATTGCGGTCATTGTTGACGCATGGTGACATTATCGGGGTAGTCCCGTGGTACTGGGCGCGCGGGGGCCCGATCGATCCGGCGATCGGGTGGGGTTAATCGATCGTGTAGCCAGCGCGGCATTTCTCCTGGGGCTCGTAATGCTAGTTTACAAGTTCGCTGCGTATTTTGAGCCTAAATGCAACATGGGAAAGGTTCCACAATTCCCCTCAAGCTGGGAGCGAGCTTCTATGCCGACAGAGTGATTTGTGAGGAAAATGGGGGTGTACCCCTACCCATTACGCGTATCCCTTCCAAATCGCGATCTGCCCCCTAGCCTAGGATAGTCTCCAGCCCACACTCGATCATCACGTCGATCCAATGTACAACCAGATTCTGCTGAGACATGACTCGCGCCCCGTTCCCGACCAATCCTCCGGCCGCCTGACTGTCCGCTCGAGCCCAAGATTGCTCCACGATCCTGGCTGCCTGTTGCACGGTCGTCAAGCTGACGTAACAAGCTAGATTCTGCAGCCGATCGGCCACAAATGTTCGCCAATGTCGGATCTCCGCTTGTGTAGTGGTAATAGTGGTAGTCGGAGTAGCGTAAGACGGTGGCGTATATTCTCCTCCACCACCCCCACTTGCTCTCCCCGACAAAAGGTCCGCGCCATCATTGACCGGCAAAGGCTGCAGTGTGCTCCCAGCAATCACGAGAGCCAGCATCTGGGTTGCCCGCGTGCTCGAGGTCTTGGGGATGGACGCGATCAGCGACAGAATATCCATGGCCCGCGCATTCAATTGCCTTCGCCAATGATCTACCTCGCTCATTTCCTCTAAAGCAACCTCATGCGGAGGTAGCCACGCTCGAGATGCAGATTGATCTTGCTGCTCCAGCTCGGGGAACATCCGATAGAGCTCCAACAGCGCCGAAAGCTGGTACACCCTCGCCAGGGTGCGGAAATGATCGACGGGCGCAAGTGCGTCGCCAGTCTCCCGCACAGCCTCAGGAGGTGGAACCCGGTACTGCGATACCAATGCTTTGAGTCGTCCTGTACATAGCCGCAGGGCGTTGTGCCGCGCGTGAAGCTGGGTTGCAGTTGAACCTCCCCCGTCTGCTGCTGTACAGGATGGCCGATTTCTTCGGAGATAATGGAGTTGTCTGGCGATCGCACCGACTTTTGACAGGCAGATGAAAAGCTCTGTCGAGATCCCGCTCCACGGATGGGTGTCGTTTGGCATCCTTCGATTTGCAGCCTGGTGACTCACACGCAGTTGAGGGGACAATAGGTACTCGGCGACCTCGAGGTCTTCTTGATCCACGACGAACGATGTCAGGGCTTCCCAGTAGGCCAACGCGCCGACGAAGAAATGCTGCAGAGTGGCAGCGGCGGCGGCAGCGTGAACGGGAAATGAAAGGCGTGGAATGGAAGAGTCGTGAAGGACACCCTGCCCGCTTGTGTAGACTGCGAGGGATACGCCTGGGTACGAGTATAATGCTTGGAAGATCGCCCGTGCCGCTTTGAGGTGTTGGATACCAAGCGAGGAGGAATCGTGCCAAGACTAGGAGTTGAAACTGACTTCAGTTGGTGTTCAATGCAAGAAATTGCACCCAAAGGGAGCGAAACGAGGAAATGACCACTAACTCAACACAGCGAGCTGACTACAGAACATAGAGGAAGAAAGGAAGAAATTCGAACATACCGCGGTCATGCCAATTATGATGATCCCAAAGAGCAATGCAGTCAAGGATTCATTCCTGCATGCGACTGACTTCCTCTCAGTGTCCGCTGCAGTAGACCCGAGCAGCGTACCATCTAAACCGGCAACCCCGGCTGCGAGGCTCGATAGTGCGCGCGTGTGATAGCTCAATGCCAGTGTCTTGGTTCCGCGCTCCTGCTGCGAGATATGAGCGGCCGATATTGCCAGCACGCAGGAATGGACCACGTCATTCTGTGCTGAGAGCTTGGAAACCCACTCGCGTAAAGGGTTTATATGCGAGTCAAACCCGGAGAGGATACGACATGTGTGATAGAAATAATATCCCCGTAGTATCGTGCAGGTATCCGCTAGAGGGCAGGGATCAGGCAACTCAATTTCCGTGCCTCTTCGCATATCCCCTTTTGTCCAGTAAATGCAACGTGGGGTGAATTCTAAAACTTCGTCCATCCAAGAATTGTCCAAGGCATACGTATAATCACCTACGCTGAACTGGTTGTGGGGATCGTGGCCTCCGGGAACTTGGCTGTTCAATGGGCGACGTGGTCCCTCGGAATCATGACCGTATAGCTTGCCCGGAGATGAGCACTCTGCATGAACGTAGAGAGCAGGGGAGTTTCCATTAGATGATGTGTGGTTCGGTACGTGCTCAGGATGGGTTTGCAAAACGTTACGCAGTCGTTCTGCGGGCTCCAGGAACCAGCTCAGACAGGGACGAGTTTCCGAGCCATTGGCCGCCGAATGCATGCCCTGCGCAGAAGAATTCCACTCGCGGACTTCATGCTTCACTGACCATTTGACAAGCTTGCGGTATCCCGGGCAATCGTATCCTCTGGTGGAGCACGCCAGACAAGAAGGTCTTTCTTCGTCGCACTTGATTCGCTATCAGGGATTAGTCCGTATTTGACATACGGGTTTGGTTACTAGTTGTCAAGACACGCGAGAAGGGTCAGGAATGGGACATCATGGATCAACCTACACGTTGCTTACACCGTGCACATCCAGCTGTTATAGCCATTTGTTAGCAGTTTTCTGATATAAATACCCCATTCAGGTGATATGAAAATTTACCACGGGATTTGACTGTCCGGCGCGCACGTTGCAAATCTCGACGGATCATGTGTGTGAGGGCTAGGGGGTGTCATGGGGTTGGTCAAGCAACGAGGACAGGCGGATAAGCAGACACATTCAAGGGGCCCGGTCGGAAGCCTGGTACTCATAAAGACTCCGTTCTGAATCGGTTCTTATGAAAACGACCCTTGTTACCTTTTGTGGGGAACAGCTTATTAATTGGGACATTCACAACTTGATTGCCGATTGCCGGCGGTGGTTCGGCAGAGGGCACCACCAAACTAACCCTTGTTCAAGGTTGCACTCCCACCCAACCTCATTGCCAGCAAATTGCTAGAGAGAATATAGGTATTGAGATATCCCTGCATGAGCAATAAGAAATACAATAAGAAATACATCGTACTTCTCACATTTTCGCGTGGATGCCACCGAAATGTCACGGAGAAATACCGTCTGCTCATCACCCTGCCTCACGTTGTATACTGAACGGGGTTTTGCGGAGTCCCCGCTCAACCAATCGCACTTTTTGTCCGGGAATGGTTAAGCGTGGGATGGTAGGAAGTATACTAGCCGAGTAATTGGGGATGGCATCATCGCAGTGCTTACCAATACAGGACAATTTCAGCGCATATAATGGCTACCTCACGATGCGACTCCAGGTCTCGTCCAGAGCAGATCTTCGCATCTTCACCAAGCTTGTCAAGCAAAAATATTAGATCTGAGCAGCAATGGCATCCTCATTGAGAAACGTCGTGATAGTCGGGGTAAGCACGTCGTCCCAGAGAGCAGCCTCCAAATGGACACGACACTGACCTGAAAATTTTCATCGCATGGTTTCAGGCCGGAGGCAACTTGGGGTCCCATGTCCTCAATGCGTTCCTGGCTACTCACGATTTTAGCATCACCGTGCTGTCCCGGGAATCCTCAACGAGCGTGTTCCCGGAGAGCGTGCCTGTGATTCGGTCCGACTACAGCCACGAATCCCTGGTTTCCGCCTTCCAGGGCAAGGATGCAGTCATCAGCGTGGTTGGTCGGGGCGGTTACAGTTCCCAGCAGAAGCTGGTCGACGCGGCACTCGCAGCCGGGGTCAAGCGGTTCATCCCCGCGGAGTTTGGGAACAACTCGGCCGATGAACGAGTCCGGGCTCTGGCGCCCATTCTCGAGAGCAAGAAAGCCAAGGTCGATTACCTGAGAGCGAGAGAGCATCAGATGAGTTGGACGACGGTGATCACCGGCGCCTTCTTTGATTATGTGAGTTGTCTTCCGTGTGTCTACTGCAGTCTTGAATCCGATCTTGGATCATCCCGCATGGGGTTCATCATCCTTTGTACCCTCATCAGCTGTCGAGATACCTTCTCTTAAACCATACATCTCGACCATCTGCGAGGTTCCCTACTCTCCTGACAGCCTCTAACACCTGTCCTCTCGAAATAGGCCCTCAAGATCGGGTTCCTGGGCTTCAACCTGCAAACCCATGAAGCCACCATCTACGACGACGGCGTCACCCCGGCCTCCGTCAGCACCCTCCCGCAGATCGGCCGCGCCCTGGTCGCCATCCTCCGCCATGCTGAGCTGACCAAGAACCAATACGTCTACGTTGAGTCCTTCACAGTGACGCAGAACGAGGTCCTCGCGGCGCTCGAGCGGGCGACGGGGGAGAAGCAATGGAAGGTCCAGCACGTGGACCTGAAGCCCTTGATTGACGAGAGCACGGAGCGCTTCAAGCAGGGGGATCTGGCCGGCGCGCGGATCCTGAATCTGGCAGCCGGATTGGGGAGGTTCCACGATGGGCCATATGGCGATTGGAGCCGCGTGCCCGGGGGCTCCTGGAACGCCAGGTTGGGGCTGGAGGTGGAGGATTTGGATCAGGTGATTCGGACGGTAACTCTGTGATGGCGTGTGGTCTCGCGTGAGTTATCAGAGAGGTATGAGTCCTCGGTCGCTGAAGCTTCTTCTGGTGGGGTTGAGAGTGGGCTCGATAGGCTTAGAGTGATAATCCCACTGAAGGTGGTTGTTTGGTGGTTGAATGAACCGGCGAAGTAACGTACGAGTGCAATTTGCCAAAGACAGAATTGAGGAATGTAAGGAAAAGACTATAAGATCAGGTATGCATTGATATGCAAAATTGGAAAGTTCAGGCCAAGTCTACAGCGGCTCATGCACCAGGAATGGCCGAGCAGGACGAGTCAGGGCTGCCCGCATCAGGCTCTATTGCGACGCAGCAATCCATACTCGGCCGGTACTCGACCGGAATGGGGCAATCTTGGATGCGCCGACGCAGGGTCTTGTTGAGCTGCTCGATCTCCTCGTGGTCATGCCAGAGGCAGCGGAACCCATGGTCTATGTCCCCGCCATACCAGGGAAACAGGGTCAAATCGTCCGGGTTGCCGTCGGAACATTCGGGTCTCCACCGAAAGAACGACACCCGGTGGCCCTTGGCCAGGATGAACGCGCCGCCCGCGTCCCGGATCTCCCTCCGACGCTGGCGCGGCACCCAACGCTCCGCAAAAGCGCGCGCCTCGTCTAGGGTGGGCGGCTCCACCCCGCCCATGCAGAAGACTTGGAGAAACGGCACGGCCGGGATGTAGCGGTCGGGCCCGTCCGTCGGTCGGGAGCGTGTGAGGGTGACGGCCAGCGGGCCCTCGTGTCGCGACTCCCAGTAGGTTTCGCGGACCTGGCAGATGTCGACCTCGAGACGCTGGTGCTCGTGGCCAGGTTTGGGGTCCTTGACTGAGGGCGGGACGTTGAGAGCATCGAGGAGAATGCTCGTCCAGAACTTAGCTGTAATCTCGGCTAGCGGAATGCGATCTACACCTTCCGGCGGGCGCTGGATGCTCTCTTCAATGAGGCCCCTGATTCTCGTACTATCCCAGTAGTCCGCCGTGCTGTTCACATGCCTGATTCGAATGATTTCGAGCGGCCGACCCGGGAGCATTTTGGGGAAGGTTCGTGGGACGGACGACATGGTGGGTATTGCTTTTCCGGAGAGTAGCAATAGTCTGCGGCGATGGATGTACTTGTCGTGGGGCCGGTAGGGTGTTGCAGTCGGGGATGCATGGTTCTATATATAGCAGTGCAGCAGCAGCAGCCATGGCGCTCACATTTCAGGTCGGAATTCAATTGATAATGATATTGATGAAAATCTCTGATTGATTGCACTGTGACAGTTGCAACTTATTCAATGCAGAAATAAAGCAAAGGAATGACATATCAAAGACATCGCAATGATCACCCAGAATGCTTTGTCGCCATCATTCATTGCGCAGTGCGCTCCAAAGAAGAAGGATCATTTTAGACTTTAGACCACCTTGGAACAATGTATTTATCCGCTAATTGCGTCTAGTGAGTATTCTCAAAGCAAGGTAGACGAGGAACTCCGATGGCTGACACAGCTATATGGCAGAATTTCACTGGTGGCGAGCAGCGCGACTCGAGGCCACTGTCGGATCCTTCCTTTCAACTTCACTGTCTGGACCGATGGACAAGAAAGGATTTATCGAGTACTGTCCGTGGGGTGAGGATAACAATGCCTATCCCTGATACAAGGTTTCTGCTTCTACGTTGATCAGGGTGGTAGGACCCTTCTCACAAGAATGGCAGCAGCGCCTGAGACGCAGATGAGCACCACGATGCTGTACATTGCTTCTCAATTTATGGATGGATAGTGGGCTAGAACCACTGAGCTCTTGCCTCATCTCAGGGTCGGCTATGCGCAACTATCGTTAGCTCTTTAACATCATTGATTGTTTTATTGATTTGGATATTATCCCTTCATACAGCCCTTGATAATCCCAGTACTTGGCGCTTTTTCTAAGCTTGAAGCAATATCAAGTACTGTATAGCTGTACTCCTATTTTTCGTGAGAGAATTTTCATATTAAGAATCAGTAGAAATTTTATCCAAATGTTAAGAGAAGCTTAACATGAAAGGTTGATATAGTAAGGACCCAGCTTAATATACCCTCTCTTAGTACAGTTCTTTGCCTGTATAACATCATGTTTGTGATCAATTCATTTGTTCTTCAACTGACAGAGAAGAGATATCGGACCTTAACAGTAGACTAGGTATTCCAGGTTTGTATATATGTTTGGTCCCAGGCAGCGGATCCGTGAGCATAGGCGGCTCTTAAACAATTCGACGACTCGGGAATGGGCGATATGGAGCAATTTCCCAAATTCTGAATGGTTGGCTGATGAACCAGTGAAGATCTCGGGGTGGTCAACTGGCCTAGAGAATCGCCTCGGATCACGTGGCCGGAGTGTGCCCGATACTGCTCAACGTGCCCCCAAGGCAGAGTCAGTTGATTTTCTGGTGTTATCTGTGTAAATGACACAAAATCAAGGTGGACGGGTGAACACTGTAACATGTCATGTGACCACCCTCTCATAGTACGAGGCCTCTTGCTCCTGCATGCATCCGGATTACATGCAGAGTCGGTGGACCGCTTAATGTGGATATATATTGCATCAGACCTATATTCCAAGATATGTCCTGCATGTCCATGTACTCCTTGGTTACAGCATGCACAGACTATGCAATCTTAGAGAATGTAAAACCTGCTTGACAAGTAAGCCCTTCCGGGACATTGTTGAGAAAGCCTTAACAAGGCAAACGAACTAGAGATAAAAGGAAACCCAATCCTCTCACCGGGCCACACACACACCCTACAAAAAAAGCTTGGTTTCATTCCAACCCCCAAATCATCAACTCCGGTTCGCACCCTCGAAAATCCCGAATGATCGACATATCCAGCCATCGTTCTCGACCCGGTAGAGTATCAATTGAGTAAAGCCAACAGGAAAACCGGTTCCCTTATCTCCCACCGCACGTTGCGGTACCTCGCGCTTTGACTCACCGACCGAGACGAGAGCCTGGCCTGGATAATCGGGATGTGGATCTCACACATCCCACTAGGGTATCAAAATTCGCCACGCGAAGACTCCCGAAGAGGTCGGACGCTAAGTGGAAAATCCTGGCCGACTGCTGCGCACGGTCGCGGTGCCGAAAAAAGAAACAATTGGCTTTAGCGACTGGATGCTTTCATTGGCTGGGAGCCCTCACGATGCCGCCGTTCCCGATGGGACCCGGTCGACCCGGTGCAGTGCCCTGCCCCTGTTCCCTACGCTAAGGTACGAGGAGCATATGACCAGATGAGTTTTTTTCATCTGATGCTTAGCGTTTGGTAGGGTTAGGGGATCGGCATCAGGGATTGGGGTGGTTCTAAGGTGGTTGAGTAACACCATCTCTTCTGAATAATGATAATTTTCAAGATAAGAAAGTTGGTAGATGTGATCGGTGTTCATCCCTATGAATAGTATACACTACAAATTGGCCAATAAAAAAAAAAAAAAAAAACAAAAACAAAATAAAGTAAAATTAACAGAGTTGTCCGTCCTTTGAAGGAGACTGGTTCTGGTTATCGCGCTAGTAAGCCAGAAGAATGAGAATTGTTAGAGATGGAAGTATTGTTCATAGAGCTTTTGTTGAACCAAGTGAAATGAATATGTAAGTCTAAAGCGTTCATATATACATGCCCGCCGACAAAATTAAGTATTAACAGGTATTAAAAAAGTTTTCACAGGTGAAAAGAAACTCCCCGCCTCGCTCATAACCCTCTATGACTCCTCCAAAAATGCCGTAATATGTCGTATCAGAGCGGATGTGCTCAGTGGTTTTTCAAGGTTGATTATTGATAGTGGTTTTGTTGGTTTCGTGATGTGGTTGCAATGTGTGTTTCGCAATGACTGATGGAAACTCAAGCGAAGTGGAACTTCTTGTACCTGTTGTCGTATCATTAGCATTTTGTAGGTGCAGGTAGTGAAGTACTCGGTAACTCACTTTTGCGAAAGCTTCTGTCTCCAGCTGGAGGAGGAAGAGGTGGTGGAAGTGGTGGCCATGGTGGCAGCCGAGGAGCTGCGCGAGCCCAATTGGCCGCGGGAGACATCGGTGGATTCGAGCTCCTTGGCGAGGGCGTCCTCGGCGACGTTGCGAGGAGCAGCGCGGCGAGTGTAGAGGCCGTAGCTCTCAGGGCCAATCATGGGGAAGGGGATAGTCATTTTGAAAGGTGGTGTGTGTGGAGGAGATTAACCCGGAAGATAGGGCTTTGGTGTTGTGTGTGGTTTGGAAGAGGAGGAGGGAGGTATTAGAATTAGGATGCTTTGTTGGATGATGAGAGAGAGAAAAAGTCGAGGAAGACCAGCTCGACAAACCATTTATATAACTTTTTTACCCCTTAGGATGATCTCCTGATAGAAGAACTATTCAGTATCTTTGGTGTTGTGAATCATACACCCGATCAAAAATTTTCTTCTTACGCGGCACAATCGATCCGAGGGGCGATATGGCCGGAACGGGACCTAGACCGTTGGGATCGAAGCTGTCAGGGCCAGTCTATGCTTCCTTGAGGATAGTGGGGCATCTAGAACCGCAGCGAACCTTAACAATATCTCCGCCAAACTTGCCACTCTTATCAGAAGGAAACCCGCCCGGTCCCCCCTGTGCGAAAACCGCGCATAGAAAGGAAATCTCCCGCGCAGGGAAGAAAACTTTCGGCTCACCCGACCACCACCATCCAGCTGGGCTGGAGCGCCGTGTTAACCGATTGTGAATTTCCTCTACCTAATGGGAATTGCCCTTGAGTTGTTGTGATGTGATAAATTGTATGCTACTATCGGCACGGTCGCCAATGCTGCCCAATGCAGACAAACCACATGGACTACCTACCCATTGCGTGCGACCGCGCAATCATGCTAGAAATTTTCCACGACGGCTGCGACCCCCCAACCCGCGGAAATACAGCTCCCCAACCTGTCTGCAACCGGCAGACCTGCTGAATTCTGCAATTAAGGTTCCGAAAGCGTGCTGATTGTGTGGCCAGGAAGCTCTGACCCTTGGGCCAGAGCGGGCCGAGGCCGATGCCGTGGATCACACCACGATAAGATAAGGCCTTTGAGTTGGCTGAGCCCTGGGTGTCGGCATGCACAATCAGTTGATATGACAGAGGCATGATGTGAGGGATGGGGATGGTGTTGGTCTAATGTCATACCCCTGAGGAACCTTGGTTTGGGATTTCATCTTAAAATAGCAGATGCGTTTTCATGCTGATACTCAGGGTGTCTACGCATACTGCTTGATGTTGTTGTGGCGTGTCCAGTTGGTGTACGGGTGTCCGGATTTGGCATCGGTGGTGGGAGGAAGAACAAAACCGGCTTTTTCCGACCGAGTCCTGCGCAACACCCACTTCTTAACTCTTGATATGCATTACTGGCGGTGCTTACGAGTAACATCACTCTGCTTCCACTGTCAGACTTCCGTCAACGATTACGCGACATGAATGCTGAGGATGTGACGTTGAAACAGTAAAGAGAAAAACTTTGACAATCATCCTTTGGTTCAGTTTGAGTTCCCATGAGGCAGCGGTGGAGCCCTGATCTTCCCAACATGTCAATGACGTTAGCCCAACATTCTCTCGCAAACGTCAATCGACCAGAAAGAAAACTTAGATTTCCGGACAATATATTATATCATATCACCGCTGCAGCATCCGTGCTTGTATCTGAGTGGGACACTGACGAAGACCCTCCACCTCATGTCTACCAACCTACCTCTTAGTGCGGCATTAACTCCAACGAAAGACTGCTCTAACTTCGCCCAGATTCCGGAATCTTCGAGTCCGGAGTGAGCGATCAGACAACACCAACCAAGCCCATCGACCACCTATCTAGAAGACATCCACTAGGCTGCGAGGTCCTCTCCAGCTTCTACCTGCGCATCCTCAATCGACTTATCATCCGCACGCTCAACCCCGACATCCTGCCAGGTCTCCTCCGTCACGGCCCACGGCCCAGCCGGTACACGCTCATCCCAGATTCCCCTAGGCGGCCTCCAAAGCAACAACATTCCCACGTCCCGATAGTCAAACATGAGCCTCTCCCACTCGGCACTGGGATTTTTCCGGTGACAATCCACCGCCAACGCCATCGCCCTCCGATACCCGCACTCCTCGTACAGCCACCGCCCCATCGCCCCGGACTCGATAAAACACTCATACCCCCACGCGTCAATCCGTGCATGGCCCCACTGCATCAGCATCCGTCCGACCCCCTGCCGGCGGTAGTCCGGGTGCACACCCATTCGATTGACGCCTACACGTGTACCCAAGTAGTCAGCAGCAGCCCATATCAGTACAGAAGCGTACCGGGTCCATCCCCAGGACCAAGCCCCTTGCGACAACCGCACGCCTGCCACATACAGCTGTATAGAACAAGACCAAGGAAAAGGAGTAAACGAACCCGCATGCGCCCGTTGAAACCAAGCCCGCCGCGGCAGCAAACACTGCGTCAACACATGCGACGCGAACTCCGCCACCTCCGATCCCTCCGGGTACCAGGTGCACGGGACGCGGACTGGGCCCTCGGGGAACGGGTTGGTATGGTGGAAGGTCCATTCGCAGCCGCCGACGACGCGGCCGGTGGTAGGGTCGACGACGTAGATGTAGTGCGAGGCCGGGTTGCGTTCGTGCGCCGCCCAGTGGAGGTCGGTGTCGCGGGCGATGTCGGCGGCGCGGTCGGCGGCGGTTGGGCCGGTGATGGCGTGGCAGAGGGTGAAGATTGGTCTATATTGAGGGGGACATGTCAGAATATGGGATCGTAGAGATAGCGCGTGTGTTATGATTGGAGATGTGGAGGCGAGTGTGGGTAGGTGGTAGATGGTGTAGCTTGGGGAACAGGCGGGGGAGAGCCTCACTCGTAAGGATGGAAGTTTGCGGTCCAGAGAACGTCATTTAGACGCGCGAATTCGGCTTTGGTGCGGACTTCATGGATTTCAAAGTGGGGAAAAGGAGAGTGTGTTGTGGACGCCATGTTGGTAGATGTCTTGAAAGAGATATCGTGATAGATTTACGGTAAGAGGTGTCTAGCATTTATGTCTGAATATTTACGTCTTCATTCACTATAACACAGGAAGTGTACTGCGGTTGGCAGCCCCAATCTGTTGGTGTCACAAACCCCTCTCGCATCTTCTTTGTTCCACGGATCCCGCCGTAACTTCAACCTCCGCCAAGGGTCCCATATAATGTTTCCTTCCCCATCCCAGATAATACCCTACCGCCAGGATCAGCACCCCGCCAAAGATCGCCACGCTGTAGTTCATGTGGGACGGGGTCGGATGGCTGCTCGCAGGCCAGAACCCGAAGATGACTACGATGCCCGAAAAGACCAGCGCGAAGATGTTGTTCGCGATGCCTAGCCACCCTCTCACCCGGAAAGGGCCCCAGACGAAGCCTTTGTTATCACCCCCACCTTGCTGCGGCTCGGAGATGTGTCCTTTGACTCGGCGATACAGGAGCAGAGACAGAGGGATGGCATAGGAGAAGAAGAACGCCTCCATCAGCAGGGAGAGGACGATGTTCAGCACCACCGACGAGCCAATGTTGATGAGGCCGATGAGGCCGGCTGCGACGACGATCACACAGATGCTGTGGAATGGGACTGATGTTCGTTCATTGAGCTGGACAAGCCTGGTTAGTGGGGACGGACGGGCAGGTAAGCAAACTGCAGCGCACCTGAAGAATCCACCGCCAGCCTGGAAGGGCCTGTTCTCTCGAGAAGGCCCACAGCATGCGACTCCCCGAAGAAATCCCGCCGAGCCCGCAGCAGGCCTGCATGATCGCGGTCATGCTCGAGAACACGATAGCAGCCCCCGTGCTCTGGGTGGCATTTTCGAGGATCTGCATGAAGGGATACGGGGCGTCCGATTTGAGAACGGCGGACAGATCTCCCGCCGTAAACAGGAAAGCGATCAGCATCGCGAAGCCAAGGACTCCGTTGATGGCGATCGCGAACAGCATCGAGTGCGGAACTACCATGGTACTATCCGCGACCTCCTCCGCCATCTGGGGGTATCAGTAGTGAATTGAACGAGCCATGTGAAGATACTCACATGAACCACGCCATCTGTGCCTGCTTGACGTTAGCGCTCATATTACACCGAAGGGACGGGCCACTGGACTCACCTAAAAAAGCACCAACGATTCCCTTCAAGCCGACAAACGTGGCCAACGTGATATCTCGCCAACCGCCGACATTGAACGTCTGGACAAATACTGACCTGGCGTCAGCCTTGGGACCTAGGTAGACGATCGGTATGAGGACTGCAAAAAAGCCAAGCACGTGGACGATGCCGATGAAAACCTCCAGCACGGGCAAAATCATCCCGAGCCAGGTGTTTAGGATTGCGCAGATCAGCAGAATTCCCCACATAATCAAAGTCACATGCCAGCCTTGAGGTTCGTATTCTGGATGTTTCATGGCAACTGCACTCTGCAAAATGCTTCCGGCTACATACACCGCCCCTGTTGGAACAGCTGTCCAGGCGATAATGCAGATTGACCCTTCGCATGGGGTTAGTATTTGGAGGTAATTCCATGTTGAGAGGTTGTCATTGACATACCAGTGACATGGCTGATGAATCGCTTTGAGGACTCGGGTGCAAGAATACTCGCCCAGTGGTACTGCCCACCGGCCTGCAGATATTATGTTAGATAGTGATCACGAAATCCAGACCCCGAAGCCTACTCACCGAGGGGATCATGCTCGCCAGCTCACCCAATGCGGTAAATATGCTGATGAAGCCAATCCACACAGCGATATACCCATAGACCAGACCGGCCGGCCCTCCACTAGGAACAACATTAACACCAACAGCAACACAGAGCGCTTCATATCAGCACGGCAACCAGGGAAACTTACTTTGGCAGCCCTACGCCGAAGTTACTATTTTCATGTCAATCAAGGTCTCGTGGGCAATGTATGGCACGAACATAAGAAAGGCCTCCCATGTGAGCATCAGGCTGCAGGCAAATCCCACCGTGCTGACCAGTCCGAATCTCCGCTGTCAGACGGGTCAGCTGACAAGGAGATGATGGCATATGTCCAACCGTGGACTTACCTTGAGGACCTCCCTCTTTCCCACCTGGGCTAATTCAAGAGCGTCTCGACTGGTGAGGATCACACTCTCTCGGCGGAGAACAGAAGGTTCCTCAGCCACTATTGAGGTCAACTCAACCACAATTTCATTCGGGGAGCGCTCGCGCATCTTGTCGGAGGATGTTGGCTCTAGTATCGGATGGAGAGCAGGATGGAATGCAAGAACAGACCTGATTCGATTTCAGGAAAGGACCGGAAATACACAAACTGAACGGAAAACCCCGAGCGAATCCAACGGTTGACAGAGGAAAGGGATGGCTGTCCCCTGATTCAGCTTCGGGCTGTCCGATCGGCAACGTAGGACAAGGTGCGGGGCTTACAGTTTACCCAGATGCCTGTCGCCTGGGATGACCTTCTTTGTGCCACCACCCATGGCCGACTTGTCATTCAACTTCTGACGAGGAGAGCCTGAGCCAGAACCAGAACCGGAGGTGTAGGACAAAGTCAATTTCTGCTGACCGAGCGCCGCCCTGGAACGAGATCGAGATGAGGCTGCTCCCAAGTCTGCGATCCGCATTTGATATGTAGGTCCCGAGCTCTCTCGGGCCAGGGGGGGGGTTCTAGCTCCAGTCCCAGGGAGGGAGCAGTATCGAGACTTTAATATTGCGATGTTGCCTTGGTATAGCCCGATTGAGCAAATGGGGGGCTATTGCTGGTTCTGTTAGGGTTGGGTGTTGGTTTGGTCACTCAACAGTTGCCGACCGGCCAGCCCTCCCTCGCCATGATCACCAAACCACCAAGACCACACAGTACCACCATACCCAGTGGATGTGACCAAGTCGACATTTCCGCTTACTTCGCGGTCTTATCTCGCTTTTAAATGTATCCAGCACGCCCATGGCTTTACTCCGAATACGATAAACTTCCGAAATCCTTCGGATAGACAGACCCCACGGTTGGCTTTCTCGCCCTGCGAGATGGAGGATCACGGCGCCGTCGTCAAGATTGTTTCATGGTTCTTGCTGATCGTGTCATCCGGGGCGGTGGCGGCCTGCCTTCTGACGAGCTGGCATCTTCTCGGAAGGAAGATCTTGGTTCTGACCCTTCTACTAAGTACGCTGGTCAGTAAGAAGCCCGTTCTCTTCCCGTGTGCTGGCTGCAAGCAAAGAAGGCTGACACTTGGCAGCTCTCATCCGCGATCGCCGGGGCCACCGTCTCTCTCGCTGCCGCCCGTGGCCTGGGCCGACCAAGGATCGACGAAGACACCCCCGAAGACCAGCTCGCAGGTCTCCAGACAGCCATCTACCTGACAGAGGTCTTCCATGTCCTGACCCTCGGCCTGGGGAAGCTCTCCTTCATCGCTCTCTTTTACATGGTTCTGTCCGGGAGCGCGCTGACGACCCTCACGCGGGCGATTTTCGCCGTCGGGACGTTTCTCGTTCTCTGGACCTTTACTATGGTCGTTGCGGTCGCACTCCAGTGCCGTCCGCCCGAGGTTTGGGGTTTGATATTTGGGACATGCTTGGACGTGGTATGCGTCTGTTGGATCAAGTGTGGTGGATATACACGCTAATCTTCTACCTCGGCACAGACAGCCCTATGGACCTACTACGGCGTCACGAACATCATCATAGAAGCTCTATTATTTGCCGTTCCGAGCATCCTCATCTACCGGCTTCGCATGCGCTTGCGCAAACGGTTGGTGGTAATCGGATGCTTGAGCGTTCGGACTCTGTACGTTTCCCCTCTTCGTTTGTGCACCTGCTCTCTCGCGGATACTTCCCCGTACTAACCACCTTGCAAAAACAAATAGAGACATCCTCGTCTCCGCAGTTCAACTCCACTACGTCCACGGCTTCGATCCCAGCCCAGCCCTGCCCGTGGCGCTCTACCCGTGGATGCTGTGCGGCCAGGTCCTGCAGACCGTCACCATCGTGGCAGCGTGCGTGCCCTATCTTCGCGAATTCTTGGAGTCCTTCCCGAGCGGCATGCTGAAGCCAGCTGGGGTTGAGCGCACGACAGGGTTGCGGTACGGGTCGGGGTCTACGCGGCTGTAGGATAGTGATTCGGGGGCGTCGCCCTAGTCATCACTTGAGGGGAGTGTACTTTTCTTTATCATTGTGTATTAATACTTTCCATCCATTTTGAAGTTCCAAATCAGTACAACCGAGACAAGAGTCATAGATAAAACGAAGTCTTTTCATGGCCGAAGAGTTGGAAGGTGGAACTATCTGAATATAGCCGCCACGCCTATCGAAGAAGGGATGCAGTCCGATGAGGTCGTGGGGCCGGTCGAAACACAGGATGTTGTTTGGACCCTGGTGACTGTGTGCGGAGCGTAGTTGTTCTGGTCTGCCCCGTAGCCCATGGCTGCTGTTGCCAGGGTTATGAGGACGATGTTTGAGGTGCGCATCGTGGATCGGTGGTAGATGTACAGCGACCCTCGGGTTCGAGGGAGGGTTCCGGATCTCAGGCTTAAGGCTTAGTTAGCAAGTCGCGTAATGGGTTCATGCATCATATACCTAACGTATGCACCCGTCTCATGTTGTAGGTTTTGCCAGGGGATGAGTTGTTGAAACATCATAGTCAGCAATCTGGCCCACGGAAGAGGTGGGTAATATACTCACCGTGGCCGTCCATCATCCAGGGCCACGGAAATACATCCCTTTCAGAGCCGCGAGTCGCGCATTGACCTACTCTTGTCACACGCAACACGATTATCAGTGTCGCTCGGAGAATTATTTGATCTCGCTCGGGGGGCCGAGTTTCAAACCCATTGCTTTGGTCAGTGGCACGGGCTCCTGGACGTAGCACAAACCGTGGTGCTGAACTAAGGTCATAGGAGCTTTCAGATAGTAGCAAAATGTGACTGTTACCTTATTCGCATAAGGCCTCCAAGTTATTATAGCTGACTAAAGGGTTATAGTGATTGTGGAAGCTCGCACGAATGTTGATGGTTGTGCTACCCAGTCAGGCAAACGGGGCTGGTTTCTGCACACCGTAGTGAATCTTGTCATTGGTCTGGGCATTTCAGCCTCAACTACGTAGCTTGGAAGGGGAGAGAGTGCTCCACGGTGAGACGTCATTTTGTAAGCTGGATAGAGCTTTACTTGTTGTTTGTCTTGTGTGGTGAACCCGCCAAATTACTACATGTTGGCGACCCGTGCTGCGTTCCGTTGATTTGTCTTCAAACAGTGACAATTCATCTCCATAGCTGAAACGGCCTTCTACTATGTTGGGCGAGTACAAGAAGCTTGGTGAGCATGGCAGTACAATCGAGGACGGGGAGCTTGAACCGACCGTCGCAGACGGGCTCCTCTCCCACAAGAGGGTAAGTTTGCTGTCAACAGTCATTATCCGTGGGACGTCCTTTGTGCCGGTACTTCTATTCATATCGCTGGCGATCAATGTCTGGTCGATATTTCTTAGGAGCCCACAAAGCTCCCACTGCGACAGTGCAGCCCTTTGCAGGACCCCGGAACTCCAACGCTCTCCATACAGTGAGTCTTCTCTACATCTCACCGCACACAGGAACATCCTCACACCTCTGAACTACCAGCCGGACTCGCTTACGATGTGCCAACCCGATACTCCCTCTCCACCGACTACACGAGCGACAACCAGACGCTTGCCACTTACATGTGGGATAGCCTAAATCTGGACTCAATGGTCATTGCCCCGACGATCGAATGGGCTGAGGCAATGGGCCTGCCAGACTCCTGGGACTTTCCATGGGACCCAACGCGGAAAATCTACTTTGTCAAGGTCTATCATCAACTGCATTGCCTGGTAGGTCGAACATTGAACTTGTGTTCCCCTACACGATTATGTTCCATCGCAGAGTTAACCGTCTTCCATTTCGTGTGGTAGAAGAACATCCGCCGCGCCTTCAATCAACTCCTCTCCGGTGAAGTAAACCCAATCCCCTTCGGCCACGTCGAGCATTGCCTCGACACCTTACGACAGGACCTCATGTGTCGCGCCGACGACACACCCATGCCATCGCTGCAGTTGGTCAACGGGGCTGGAGAGGGCCAGATTCGACAATGTAAGGACTTTGAGAAGCTGGTGGCGTGGACGAAGCACCCGGACCGCGACGCGTGCTACCGGCGGCTGAGCGACTATCGGCCTCCGTCGCGCAGTATCGATCGCTATGCATTTTGTGCACCGGACAGTGAGCATTTCGCGACCATGACGAGGTATTTTGAGTATTATGGGTATCCGGAGGTGGTTGAGGATTGACTATGGAGTTTGTCACAGGATGAGGGGTAGTTTCTTGAATGAATATTGATTGGGACCGGGGTGTGAGGATTTGTGTGGTATGGTGTAACATAAGCTTCTGTTTGGAGTATGATAAGGAGTGAATCGAACTTCCCAGCCCCTTGTCTTTTTCTGGGTCTTATTCCTTGCTTTTAAATTCTGTTACTGTGTTTTTAAGATTCGTTTACTTCGAGCATGGACGGGAAATCCGAATCGCAAGGATACCACTCTGCTGCTGGGAATGACGAGGCAATATGCGGGCAGCCCCTGGTGGATTACTACGAAACCAATCCAGACAATCCACGCAACTGGTCCAAGACATGGAGGTGGTCCATCGTGGTTCTCGTCGCATGTCTATGTGCAGAGGTGTATGTCACTAGCCATCACCCAAATGAGTGAAACTATAACCTACTAACACCACGACCCGACATCAGACAGCTATGCACCATCATCGCCGCGCCCGTCTCGCCTCAGATCTTGACCTTCTTCCACTCCAAGAACCTCCTCTACCGCACCCTCCTCGTCACAATCTGGGAGCTGGGCGAGATCCTCGCCCCCCTCGTCTGGGGCCCGCTCTCGGAACTCTACGGTCGACGGTGGATCCTCAACGGCGCGAACCTCCTCTTCATCGTGTTCCTCGCCGGCACGGCCCTGAGCACCAGCATCCAGATGCTGATCGCCTTTCGGTTCCTCAGCGGCCTCGCCACAGCCTGTATCCCCATCGGCCCCGGGATCATGAAAGACCTGTTCCGCAAAGAGCAACGCGGGCGCGCCATGTCCGTCATGTCGCTAACCAGCGTGGTCGGGCCTGTAGTCGGTCCCATCATGGGTTCGTATCTGGGGGAGCGCGCCGGCTGGCGCTGGGTCTTCTGGCTTCCGACTCTGCTCTCCGGGGCTCTGGGGGTGCTGATTCTGGTACTATATCGCGAGACATATAAGCTTACAATCCTCAAACGCAAGGCTGCTACTCTACAACAAGACACACGCGCGGCCACCCACCACACCGCCCCCTCCCCTCCACACAGAATACCCCACAAAAACGCCCTGATCCTCCACCGCCCCCTAACCCTCCTCATCCACTCCCCGGCCCTCGCCCTAGCAACCCTCCATCTCAGCATCATCTACGGCCTCACCTACCTGGTAATGACAACCATCGCCCCCGTCTTCGAAGACCTCTACTCCTTCTCCGAAGGCGCCTCCGGCCTCGCCTTCCTAGGCCTGTGTCTAGGCTTCACCCTCGGCGCCCTACTCTGTAGCCTCCTGCTAGACCGGTACATCACCCGCCGACGCAGCAACTCCAGCACGCATGCCTCACAGACCCCAACATCAACTCCAGAACAACGTCTCCCGCCGCTATTCCTGGGGTGTCTCCTCACTTTCGCCGGACTATTGCTGTTCGGGTGGTCCGTCCATTACCGGATTTACTTCCTGGTCCCGGTCGTCGGGACGGCGATGGTCGGGCTCGGGCTCGCGGCGACCTCGATCACGGTGCAGACGTACGTAGTGGACTCGTTTGGGGCGTGTGCGGTCAGTGCGATCAGTGCGTTGATGGTGGTGCGGAATGTCACGGCGGCGGTGGTGCCGTTGGCCGGGCCGCCACTGTTTCGGGCGGTGGGGTACGGGTGGGGTGGCACGGTGCTGGCCGGTGTGGGGTTGCTGGTGGTGCCGGTGCCCGGGGTGTTGGTTCGGTTTGGGGGGCGGTGGAGGGTGAGTGGGAGGGGAGGTGGGGAGGCTAATGGGGTGGGTGGTGGTGGTGGTAGCAGTGGGGGATAAGGTGGGGGAGAGCTTGGGGGGTGCTGTTCGGGGGACGGTAAGTATTTGTAACGGGGTATGTCTAGCAGGGAGCCTTCTCTTGTTTCTCTATTGGATTGGAGAATTGGTCGACAGCTCATGTCTACGCCCAAGGATTATAGTAGGTTTGCACCTTGGTGGGGCTAGATAATCAGGGTCTGCACTTCTTTCGGTACCTTGGCTACAGGTTTATCAAACCGACCGCCTGTATTGCTGCTGCCTTTAGCATGAAGGCAACGTTGAGATGCTCTGAGGAAAATTGAAACTAGTATGGGCCCTTACTACAAGATAAATAATACTCATACATGGTATCTCACATTACTTAGCTTTATCTATACTTGCCACCCACTTGCATATCAGGGTAAATTGCACTACAACCTCTTTACATCCCCCCCCAACTCAAGCGAATGACACGTTACTCTTGAAGATATTAGCCAACACCTCTCCACCCCCCACAAACCTTATCAAGTTACCAAGCATCAACCCTCAACCCTCACCCTCACCGTAACCCTAACAAACACACTCTCCAACACCCTCCACACCACCTCCTTCATCCCCTCCCTCCTCAACCCCTCCAGCACCTCCCCCACCTTCTCCCCAGCGACGTCCCCATCCCAATTACCCGAATACACCCCCGACCCCGTCCTCCCATCCGCCCCCCTCGCAACCTCCACCCCTCAACCTCCACCCCACCATCCCCATCCCCATTCCCTCCTGTCACCCCAACATCTCAAGCCCGAAACCGCCCACTCGTCGCCAAAAACACATGGCGCTCCCCACTCTCCACCGCAGGGATATACACCCACCGCTCGACCACCGACAAAACCGCCCACACCACCCACCCGTACCAGCCATACGCCTCGCGGAAGAGCCCCGACCGCACCGTGCCGGGGTACGCATTCATAAAGGCTATCGTGGGCGCCCGGTCAACCAGAACCTCCATCGCGAGGGTTGTCATAGACGTAATCTGGGCGCGGAAGTCGCGCATCGACCGGCTGCGGCCGTCCGGGTCGGCGGCGTCGAGGATCGGGCCTTCGTGGCCGCCGGCGAGGACGGAGATCACCCGGCGGATGTGGTTTGGGGGTGTGGAGTGCAGGAGTGGGAGGAGGTTGAGGGTGAAGCGGAGGCGGGCGTGGTAGAGGAGGGAGGGAGGTTAGGGTGCGGGAGGGTCTCGGCGGTTTCTTTGGCATGTGTATTGATATTAGGTTGTGGGCTGGCTGAAGTATGTTCATTGCCTTCTATCCGGGGCGACTGACGCACCAGCTTTCCCGGCTGTCGTGCCGGGGCTCAGAAACAGGAGGCTCAGGTAGGCTTCCTCGCGCAGCAGCATGAGACTAATTTCGTCGACTACAGACAGCTGGAGAGGCTGACGTCGGCCGGCAGGAACATGAATTCCCCGGTCGGGTTCAGGGCTCTGCATTCCTGGGCGATGCGGTGGCCGGCCCTGGCGTTCCGGCCGACGAGATGCGCCCGCGGAGTCAGGGTGCGGGTGTGCTGGGCGAACTGTTTGACGGGGTGGCGCCGACGAAGAGGGCGATTGGTTGGGAGGGGATGGACGGGTGGGTGGAAGTCCTGCGGTTGGAGGCGTGGATTGTGGGGAGGGGGATCATTGTGGGTGCGTGCCACGGGCGCTTGGTTGGGGGTTCGGGGTTAAGGCGGTTTCTTCCGGGGTGTCATCATGGATCTATCTCCGAGATTTCCTTGTCTTCGGGAAAGGATTGGTTTATAACATGGGTTGTATGCAGCGAATGGAGGACTGGTGGTTGGATTTGTAAGCCCTACAGGGGTTTCTTAAGCTGTCTCCTGCTACCTATGCACTTTGACAGTGCTTATGAGCAGGCTCAGTAGTTTCTTGAATAGGGCTTTTATCCAAGCAGTAGTTTATATAGGCTAAGTATGTGTCAGGCTAAGAGAATCTGCATAATGCAGGTGTCTGTCTTTTTCATGCACTCCCATTGGTTGGTGCTCAGATATTAATCACTGTCACCGCTTGAAAGCTTGCTTTAAATCATGGATCATGATTACGGACCGGTGGACCAGACGCATCTAGCTGAATGTGCCAAGGAGATAAGCCCTTAAGTCCGTTGCGCAGTACACAGGATATATACGGTAAATGCGAGCATCTGTCTGCAGCCCTGTTAAAGAATAACCAGGGGATCTGCCAGACCACAAAATGGAAGAGAGACGTCCCACCTGGTTAATCACCGGCGCCTCGTCCGGCATCGGCCGATCCCTCGCTTTGGAAGCGTTGAATGCCGGGTTCAAGGTCCTCGGCGCAACCCGCAGCATCAGCCAGGCCGAAACCAATTGTCCCCAATTCGCATCTCGAGGAGGGACCTGGGTGGAATTAGACCCTGCGCAGCCGGATGCCTACCACCAAGTCGTCAAAGTCTTCCAAGAGCAGAGCATCGATGTGCTAGTCAACAACGCAGGATACGCTTTCATTGGCAGCGTGGAAGACGCTAGGTCGGTAGTGGAACCCCCTCCATCACACATCTGAAAGGCCTGATTGCTAACGACCCCGGTACGCAGCGAGGAGGAATTCCGCGCCCAGATGGAAGTCAACTTCTACGGGCCCCTGCGCACCGTTCGAGCCTGCCTGCCTGCAATGCGCGCGCGGGGTTCCGGCCAGATCATCCTCATTAGCAGCGGTGCTGGGTGAGCAGTCGCCTCCGACTTTCTCAGGCTGGAGAGTAAGAACTTAAGCTGAATAGAATAGGTTCACTGCTCGTCCTGCACGGGGTGTCTACTCCGCCAGTAAATTTGCCATCGAGGCTGCCCATGAGTCTCTGGCCCAGGAGGTCGGCTCCTTCGGGATCAAGGTTCTGATTGTCGAGCCCGGTGCATTTCGGACGCCGTTTGCGAGTCGAATCATCACGCCTGCGCGGCTCAGTGAGGGATTCAGTCAGGATTACGAAGGGACGGTGGTGGAACAGATGATCACCGGTCATCAGACCATGAAGTCTCTTCCTGACTCTGTCAAGGGTGATCCGGACAAGGCTGCGCGGGCTATCATCCATGCTGCGGTTGGGGGCCATGACTATCTTCGTCTACCCCTGGGAACGGACTGTGTGGCTGCGTTGGAGCTGAAGATTGGAGAGCTACAGCATGATTTGGAGGCGACGAGGGCTATTGCTGTGAGCACGGATGTTGAGTAAGAGGTACCGACGTTGATTATAGGTGTCGAATTCGATTCGACAGAATATGATAATAATAAAATAAACCCAGGTGGACAGGAATGTATCCTCCCAAAGAGAAAGAGAGTACCGCCAGACACAACTATACCGACTTGGGCTGCTGCGCCTCGAGCTCAATATGCGGCCCCTCCCGCGCCAGCTCATAGATCGGCCGCGCCTGCATCTCCGTCGGCGGCGGTGGTGGTGTCCACCCCGCGTCTTGAAGCCCATTGTACCCGCCCACCCCATCCGGTGAGGAGGTCGACCTCCGCCGCCGCAAGCACAGAACCGCAACCACCGCGGCGACGGCAATCAGCCCCGCCGCCGTCCCCACCCCAATGCCAGCGGCCGCCCCGGCCCCGATGCTCGATGAGCTACCCGTGTGCGACTGTGTCGATGTTGCGACCGTGTGGGTGGCCGTTGCGACCGCGTAAGTTGGCGTGCCGGAGGCTGTGGACGGAAGGTACTGGATGGTCGCGAGCTTCGACGGCGCGGGGCCGGCCCACACCTCGTCGGACGGGTTGGAGCAGTTCACCGTCCCGGCCGAGTTCTCGCAGCATGCCCATAGGCCTGCGTCGGTGTAGGTGATGCGCGCGTTGTTGCGGCCGCCTGTGAGGATTCAGCCGCGATTAGTGAGGACCCCGTCATCAAATCAGGCTGTCAGTGGGTGTGGGGTGTGGGTGTGGTTGTGACGGCGCACCGCATCGCGTCCCGCAGGCGGGATCCATGAGGGTCTCATCTGTGCAGTCGGCGGCGTAGTAGTAGTCCTCGTTGTCGGTCTGGCGGGTGTTGACGCAGATGGAATTGCTGAGGCAGTAGTCGCCGTTGACGCAGCAGGTTACGTGGGGATGGGTGGTGTTGGTGACGCCGCAGGCGAGATCGGCTTGGATGTTCTGGATGATGCTGTTGTGCATGCCATGGCAGACGGTGGAAGACATTGGGGTTCTGCTGGTCGTGGTGCAGATGGAGTTTGTAGGGATCACGGTGGAAAGACGTTGTCAACTGTCATGATGCTCAGTGGGAAAGAATTCAGCTCGAGCTCCGGCGGCTAGCATTGAGAGGGGGCAGGACCGAGGAACGAGTCATTAAGAGGCACCGGCGGCACTTTAGTGCATTGCATTTTAAAGCACATGATGGGTTTGTGCATGGTTCGAGGCTGTGTTGCGCAGGGAGACTAGGATATCACTGGCGTGTAAGATGGAGCTGAGGCAACGCAATATTGTTGGTCGGCAATGCTGACGCTGATACACGATGGCTGTCTAGTCACTCTAGGGTGTTGGACTTAGGTCAAGAGCGGAGACTTGGTAACCAAACTAAGTAATCAATAACTACTAGGTCCGGTAAGTTAGCTTTTAGCTCAAGGGCCGGGCCTGGTACGGGGACCAGTTCGGGGACCAGCGCAGCCTGGCCAAAAAAAAAAAAAACGTTCATCATAGGTCGGAATTTCAACTCATTAAGCTTGGCACCTGTCTTAACAAGACTTTGATAAGAAAATGAGGTGACCATAGATATATATATCAAGGTAATCGACGTAGTAAGTTACTTTCCCGGAGATTAAACATGATCTACATACATGAGTAGATAAAAATACCGAGTCAGTACTGATCAGTACCTACCGCCTTTGGGACCGTTGAGTAGTCAGTAGCCCACCGTACAGTTCCAAGTTATTTTCAGACCAAGCCCTGAGCGGCCCTTATTTTTGAAGGGAACCGACAAAGCCCCAGGCCGCGAAAGTATGTGAACCACATGACTTGACGCTGATTCCAACCAATGGTTGGGCCGCATTTACCGCCCGTTTCCCTCCGCCCCAAAAGCTCAGCCGCGGGCGGGCGCTTAAGGCAGCGCAGCTTCCAGTTCTCTTTAAGCCACGGCAGATGTCTTCAATGCTTACCTGCGCAAAAACAACACCATCACTTCCACATTTGCTACACGTCCTAATCATTATACTGTGATAAGCCATTAAAACCCTCCTTGTTTCTCATTTTTTTTTTCTAGTTTTTGTGCGTCCTGGGGATAGTTTGGAATCGAGTCTTTCCATTCATTGATCATTCTGCCACTCCTCACTAGCACAGAGACATATTTGCAAACTTGAAGATTACTTACGAAGAGGGCAACCTTGTGCATTCAACAGATCAATACTAGATTTATTCTGCCGGTCTTTTTTGCTACACAGCATTTGGCGAATTGTCCTATGTTTGATGATTGAATTGTTATTGGTTTCTCAAATGTCAACAATAAGGATCACCTCTTCCCGTCCCAGGATGTCGACATCCAGCAACCCTGCAGAAGAATAGATGTTTTCACACCTAAAACCTGCATGAGCTCTGCCTCGGCTCGGTCTTTGCTGTTCGACGCCTCGCTTAGCATCCTTCGCTTAGCAACCGAACGACTAAGTTTCCATATACTATGCTGCAACGGCCTGTATTACTTAAAACCGACAAGGCCTTTAATCTATTTCAACAGAAAGATTGAGGTGTCGCAATTCTGTCGCGCGAGCAAAGTATGTCGCAATTGTCTCGCACAATGGGGAAAGCAGACGTAGTATCATCATCTCAGCACCTATAAGTAGAAGTGGATATGACCCATCACCCAAAGCATACGCTGCTCTCAGAACAAACTCGCCCTGCCTTCGATTCCTCAGCCCGGGTTATGATGGCGGCGTTTTCTTTCCCCAGAGCAATTGGCTCCACTGTTGCCTTTATAGCCAGCTTAGGGTCTCTGGCAGCTGCGTTGAGCGTTTCCGGAAATCCTTTGGCTACTTCGGATCAGCGAGATCTCGATGCATTGGCAATCGAAATCTACCAAGACAACAGCTTCCCTGTCCTGAAAGCCGAAGCAAAGGCGGCCTACAAGACGGCGCACGGGTCGCCCATCAGCGACGAAGCCTCCTCGAGTCTCGACGCGGCCATTGAAGAGCTTATTTTCAGCTCTGTCCAGAAGGCCGTGAACAATGACCCATACTATCCAAAGGTCTACTGGGTCGATGCTGGTCCGCGTGACTGGTTCGATCTTGAGGTGCCTGGCGGACGGTACTCCTATGACAATCCGGACTGCATCTACCGCACTATCCCGATCAGCTCCGACGTGGACTATATCGTGACCGGCTATCGCCACACACCAGGCCCCACCGACGTCAGCTTCTCGCTGATCAGCGACCCGAACTCCCAGAACACTGTCGCATACCTTGCCGGTAGTGACCTGATTATCGACAGCGATGGTTCGTACGGCATTACGATCAACAGCTCTGCCGCAGACGGCCAGTCAAATCATATCCAGTCCACCAGCGCCGCCGTGCAACTCTTGATTCGAAACAACCTCGGAGACTGGCAGTCCGAGAAACCGGACAACATCACCGTGGAAGCAGTGAGCGATGTGACAGGACACGAGGCCATCACCAACGCCCAGATCCTCGTGGATGCCAAATGGAACCTACAGGAATCCATCGTCGACTACGGTGTAGGCGCACTGGGGCTGAAGACATCCATCTATGCGGTAAACACGCTCTCCACGCCCAGTCAGTCCAGCACCCTCGGCACCTTGACGACCCAGGCGAGCTCATTCGGGCACTTCAACCTGACCGACAACGAGGCGTTAGTCGCCACCCTCACGCCTGGCGCAGCAGATTACTTCGTCTTTCCCGTCACAGATCCGTGGCTGGTGACCACAGACCCCGCCAGTCAGGTCAGTCTCAACAGCAAGCAGGCCACCGCCAATGACAACGGAACCTACACGTTCGTCGTCTCCGTCGCCGACCCGGGGGTCTACAACTGGATCAACACGACTGGCCTACATGAGGGCACGATCATGGTGCGCTGGCAGGGTCTGAGTTCGTCGTCGAGCGACTCTGTTGCGATTCAGGTTCAGACCGTGGCCCTTTCGGATCTCGCATCCGTCCTTCCCAGCGAAACCCGTTACCTGACTGCGCAGGAGCGCGCGGTGCAGCTTGCGGATCGTATTGCTGGGTATGCTTTGCGGTTGGAATATTGATGCACCGGACGGTGGTTATACCGATAGCGACACTTGATCCTCTTATCTCGGGGCCAAGGAAGCCGAGCTCAACTGGCTCAGGTAGGGACTTTAAGGGAAAGCTCAGGATAGTAGTGGGTATTGTGTTCGGGAGGATATGCGGGGATAAAAGATGGTAATCAGTGTCAAGTATAGAATACGTTTACCTTTCAGCCTGAACGAGAGACTACTGAATTAATTGTCACCCACAAGACTCTTTGAAAGATTCCCCCATCTAGGCAAACAGATTTACCATGGTCATAGTACAGTACTGTACCTTGTGCGGGGAAATCTCGATTGTGGTTGATTAATCCTGGCCTTGGCTCTCTGTATTAGGCTAGCTGAAATGTGGTCAAATGAAGTGAGTTGCTGACACTCACACCAGGCACCCATCATTGAGGGTGCATATAAGAATCACAATACCTGTTGATTTATGGTCCCAAGTCGGGTCACTATACCAAACTTCAACCCCTTTTTGGATCGATAATATACCTCTTATGCTGTCGCGCACACAATGAAAGAACAAATTTGTTCACTATCAGATCCTAACCTTGAGTCCCTCGACATAGACTCCCTTGACCTAGATTCTTTGGACCTCACGCCACTCGAAAGACCCACAAGGATCGCCATTATCGGTATGCCCAGTATTGCTGAAAACAGCTCCGGACTTCACCCGACTAACGAAATATCCAGGAGGTGGCATCGCCGGCATATCCATCGCCTACGAGCTGCGCAACCGTGAATCAGCCACATGGTGCCCCGAAGTGACTCTGTTTGAACGCGATGCCCGCCTGGGCGGTCGGATCCACAGCGTGTTCAAGTATGACGAGGGCCGCCATGCGGTTGAAGCGGGTGCTGCTTCTTTCTGGTGGGAAGACCCCAGTCTCCGGCGTCTCTTCCACGAAGCAGGAGTTGACCTCGTGGATTCCCACGGTGGGCAAATCCGAGATGAGCCGCAAAGCCGCCGCGTCGGGATCTTCGATGGACGAGCTATGGTGGGAATCAGATTATCGGGTCCGGAGACGTGGATGCACTTTGCGAAACAAGTCTGGCGGCATCGCTGGTCGGGTTGGTTCTGGCTGCACTTGTGCATTCAACTCGTGTCGATTGCGCGGGAGAGTCGGTACTGGCGAGACTGGCGGCAGATATTCAGTCACGCAGCGGATGAAGCTGCGGTGGCCGTCGATCCATACGAGGATGAGGTGACCAAGCTTGCAGGCAAGTACGGTCTTTCGTCTAGGCCCCAGTTGTCCGCGGACGGGGGGAACGAGCGCGCGTTGCGCCGACTCGCCCTCTTGTCGCAGGCGACCGTCTATCTCCGGTCCACCGTCACCGATATCACGGTGCTCGACGAGCAGGATTTCAATCTCTCCTGGACAAACCCCACCAATGACGGCACCGAAGAGAAGCATACCGCGCACTTCGATGCGGTGATCGTCGCCGCCCCCTTCTCCCAGACCGGAATCGCCATCAGCCCACCGCATCTCCAACCACCAGAGTCCGCCTCCGTCGAGTACACCCCGCTCCACATCACGCACTTCATCTCTCGCTACCATATTGACCCTACTGTCTTCAGTCTCAGCGCAACAGACCCCCTCCCCGACGAGATCTGGAACCTCAACCCTAATCCACAGCCCACCGAGAACAAAGACCAACAGCCACTGGCAAGACCACCCCCATTTCTGACCCTAACCCGCGCCCCCTCCTTCTGGATATCCGGCTGCCGCGGCGACACCGAGAACCTCTACCGCATCACCTCTACCCAGCCCTTCACCGACGCCGACATCGCCAGACTCTGCATCCCCGCCTCCCCGGAGAAGGTCACCTTCCCGCACCAGAGCCGCTACATCCCGTCGTCCGACGCGCTCGCGGAGCTCAACCAACCGAATCCGCGCTTCCGGGGCGTCCGCGTCTTCGATGGCGGGCGCGTGCACGATGAGGGGTGGTATCTCCGGCACCGGGGGTGTACGCCGGCGCCGCGGGTCAGGTGGGTGCATCGGCAGGTGTGGGAGAATGGGGTGCCGGTGGTGCGGAGGGGGCAGAGGGCGAGCGGTGGTGGAGGTGACTGGGTGGAGGTGAGGGCTCGGGCGAAGGCGGCGATGCGGTTGATTGCGGGTTTGTTTTATGTTTCGGGGTTTGAGGCGAGCCAGGGGGCGAGTTTAGCAGGGAGCGTGTGGGCTGGGAAGGAGGTAGTGGATTTGGTGTGTTGTCGGTGTGGTCGGTGTTAAGTTGCATTTGATGCGTTGATTTAAGTTCCGGGGGGGGGGGGGGGGGGCTAAAGTAATAGTGACTCGAGAGGATGTGTTCTTTTGATTGTGGTTTGGGGTAGCTGCAGCTGGAGAGTGATTTCGAATTGTTTAAAGGTGTAAAATCGCTATGGTATATTCTGAACAAGCCAGGCTTGGCACGACTCGGAATGTCTGTTATTTCTTAGGGCACGCAAATGGGATGTCAGGCTGTCGCGTACTATATTGAATCTCTTTCCGGGAGAACTCGGCGGGTAATGAACCGCCTCTTCCTACAGGATATTTAAGAGAAATAGTGGAACAGCAGCCGCAGCCACTTCATCAAGTCTACTCCCGGGCCACGGCCTTATCAATCAATTGATTCCGAAGAGGTCCTGGTAATGAGATGCCCCGAGAGATGGAAATAGCCTACCATCTTGACAAACCCAGGATAGCTTGTTGCAAGGGTGTGCTTAGAAGTGGGCCATAGTGTGACTGAGCCCTAGCTGCGTGCAGGATTTCATCGCTCGTTGGGCTTGTGGCGTCGTTTGACCTTACTGTGATCAAGATTTGCCAGCTCACTCTTTTTCAACATCAAGTTGAGAAAAATGCCGTATTGTTGGTATAATCATTGGTGAAACCTTGGTCAAGAAGGTCACTACGATTACGACCTTCTCGACGAGGTCTGGCAAGCCTTGGCTGATGGACTTGTACCTTTCGAAGACAATCCGACCGTAGCTTCATGTCGTCAGCGTCACCAATAAATCTCAGTGATTAGAAGACCGGTAGGTGAGAGGCCATGACCGGGCATAGGCAGCGCAGATTAACCAGTGATCATTGCAGCTATCCCAAGCTCCATACTGGACATGGTTGGGGAAGAAAATCATGGGATTTGGCTTAGAGAATTGTCTTTTGAAATCAGGTCATGTCCCAAAATTGCACGTCAATGAGGGACCTGCCTCCATGATGCAATCTTTGTACTGCCTGTACGTTCTCTAATGAAGGACCTTAGTAAGGGTGAAGGGGGCTATTGAAGCTTACGGGCGGGCGGGCTCTGACCCTGGTTTTTGTGCTCGTTGTGGCATAAGTTACCTGTCTTCCAGCCGAATGACCTGTTAGCCCATCTTGGTGAACAATCATCTGCTGTATGGGCTTTCAAGAGGTTTGCGCGATAAGGGCGGTACTGTACAGAGTACTTGACTTGAAATAACGAACTAAGCATCTCTCAAGTGGCTTGCACGTACCTTCGGTCTTAAGCGGCTGATAGAAAACTGGAGGCGGTAGATGATACAGCCACCTGGTACCGGACGATCTCCCTTGGGATTCAGCCACCACCGCTTCAATACTACACAAACAAGCGACGTATGTACAGTACTGCTGGAGCCAATGTGCTGATGACTGCTGAGACTAAGACTGGTGAGGAACACCACGTTGCAGATGTCATAAACTCGACCCTGTCTGGAGTCGAGATCTGAGAGTATAGAATCAGTATCTACAATGTATTTGATAAATAGCGTAAAGCTCCTCATATGAGTTGTTGGGTATACCACTTCTTGAGAAACTCGGAATCCTTCGAGGTGTGTGTAGGGACCCTTTTCTGGTGATGACTCGAAGGATCTTTTGCCACCACTGCCGGACCCTGTCAAAACTATGGCTTTCACTAGTCAAACATGTACTAACCAAGAAGGTAACAGCAGATACTGCCAGCTGTGGTGGCGGTGCCAATGGCGACTTTTGTTGGATGAGATGTCGGTCTTAGTAACCAACCATCAGCTGCACAAATAATTGGCTTGAAGGAAGGGATTTGCTCGAAAGCTGAGTCGTAAGGGGCCCAAGTCAACGACTGGCAAAGTGAAGTGCATACAGGGGTTGTACTTCAGGGAAGCCCTACCCCGCCCGACACTTTAGCCTAGACCGGCCTTGATCCCTGCCTTCCAGCTGACTTGGGCGCTTTGGAGACAAGGCAAAGCGAGGCAAGCCTGCTTTATGCATGTCAGACCGACATACGAGGCTTAGACCATTTTCAGAACTGTTAACTGTACGGTGCAGCCTGGAGCCCATGCATGCTGTGTGGAGGGGACATTAAATTCCCGATCGTTGCTAGCCCGATCACACCTAATCAAACCCCATCACCGCCCAGCGTCTTTCATTTCCACCCTAGATCTTCACTGCAACATGACCCAAATAACGATCCCCATAAGCTACTACAAGCTCCCTGTCAGTTTTGGCTCAGGATTTGTCACCCACGATGGGTCCGCAGAGCCTAGCACTTGGTTCGACTCCCTATTCTGGTGGAATCGCAAGCAGCAGGAACGATGGGTGAAAAGCAAAGATCTGGGCGTTGGCGCCTTCGGACATGTCTGGTTAGAATCGTGTTCCAGCAGCGACAGTGAGCCGCCTAAGCTCCGCGCGGTGAAACGAGTGCAGAAGGTCATCATGTTTCACCACAATATGGATTATACCCGCGAAATCCAAGCGATGGTGCGGTTCTCGCAGCCCAAGTATGCCAGCTTTTTCGTCAAGTCGCTCGGATGGTTCGAGGATCCCGACTCAGTCTATATTACGATGGAGTACTTTGAACTTGGGGATCTGTCCAAATACCTATCGAGCCAGCCCTTGCAGGAAGCGGAGGCTCGGGAGATTATCTTTCAGTTACTCTCGGGGCTCGAGCTCTTGCATGACAACGGATTCGTCCATCGCGATCTCAAGCCGGCGGTAAGTGCCTCCCTCGCTTCGCACCCTGTAGACCAAGATAAGGGATGATATTCAACCCCAAAGGCACGCTCGAATAATCTGACCACTCTTTTTTCAGAACATTTTCGTGGTGCAGGGCGCCCCTAATTGGCATGTTAAGATCGGTGACTTTGGAATCAGCAAGCGAGTCAAAGACGGGACCCGCCTGCGAACGGTTATCGGCACACCCCAGTACCTCGCCCCCGAAGTGCGGGACGGTATATATGGGGTCATGGAAGACGAGGATGGGGACCTAGCATACACCAATTCAGTTGATATGTGGTCCGTTGGCGTCATCTCTTTCTATATCCTCACAGGATCCTTACCATTCAAGAATTCTTCCCATGTCCGGGCTTTTGTGCGGGGAGGTCCGTTTCCGTGCTCGAAACTTCGGCTAGTGGAGTCGAGTTTGACCAGCCAAAAGTTCATTGAGGCCCTGATTGTGGTGGAGCCTGCTCGACGCTTATCTGCCGCTCGAGCTTTACAGCATGCCTGGTTCGAGACCCTGAAGCAGGTCAAATCGGCAAGTACAGACGGCGACGAATCGGATATTCTTCCTGGTAGGTTTTCCACGAAGTGATCTCCCAGCCCCCAACTCGGATTCCTCGCCTCCTCGGGAGAGAGGGATAGGTGGAAAGAAAGAGAAGACGAAAGACAGGAAAACCCCAAAGTTAGAATTTCGAATGGACAAATCACTCACATTAATTTCTGCAGAGACAGCAAACGCACCCGAGCCGAACCCGGGTCCCAAACCAGCTCTCTTTGCTACGGGTACGCCGACGAGAAATGCCCAAGATCAGCTCGATCTAAGGCACCTTCCACAGTCTCGGCTAAGCGAGCTGTTTTTGAAACATCAGGATCTCGACACTCTCTGCGGGGGCTTGCCAGAGGCTCCTTTTCAAATGGGGGCAGGTGTTGACTCAAGGCTAGAATGTGGCTGTACCCTCCTTCACCTTGTCGCGCAATATAATCACATGGACCTGGTCGAACTCCTCTTGCAACATGGCGCGAGTGTTACGATCCAAAACGATCACGGGTGGACGCCTCTTCATGCCGCTGCAAATGCAGGCCGGACTGAAGCCGTGACAGTGCTTCTCGAGCATGGGGCCGTGGAAGTCGTAAATCTCGGCAACAAAGACGGCTGGACCCCACTCCATGAAGCGGCCTTTGCAGGCCACAGGAAGGCATGCCAGCTGCTGCTGCAGCACGGGGCTAAGATTGATATGGCCGACCGGATGGACCGGACCGCATTGTTCGTTGCCGCGAGAAAGGGCCATGTGTCGGTGATGAAGTTACTACTACAATTCCAGGCTAATATCGACGCCGTTGGGGAGCGTGGACGATCCATCCTCCAAGAGGCTGCGAAGCAACGCCACGTAGAGGTGGTTCGGTTGCTGCTTCAACCCGGAGCCAACGTCGAAATCAAAAATGTTGACGGTTGGACCCCACTTCACGAGACCGCCTTCGTCGGCAGCATGGTTATTTGTGAGCTGTTGGTGGGAGCAGGAGCACGCACTCTGACGACGGACTTGGCAAATCGTACTCCATTAGACATTGCCAATGCCCGTAGTCATTTGGAGATCTCAGAGTACTTAGCGGACCATCAAGAAAGAGAGGGTGCCGAACAGACCAGTGACCACCAATCAAACAGGCACGAATCCAATGAAGGTCCCTTGCCAGTATGACAGTGACCAACCGGTACCCCGGCTTCCCGTTTGTTCTGTTTTGTTGGCCTGAGTCCTATGCATCTAGTTGACAGTCGGAAGCTTAAAATCCGGATCATGCATGCTTATCACGAGCATATTCTGTTAAAATAAAGTCTATGCATTAATTGACGGCCAAGTTCCGACTAGCTTACATTGCCTTGACAAGTTGCTTCCAGGTCCTTCCTATCGTGTAAACACTATAAGTACAGTTTGCACACACTTCATAAATCAGATAAACAAGATTTAGTATTTGATCGCCTGCTTTCCCAGTGCTTCTTATGCATGCGTCAATCGATCCGTCTAGGTGGGTCGAATTGCCACTAATACGCTGGGGCTAATATTAAGCCTCTATATCTATGATTACTGGGGTCCCCACTAGCTTATCGAAGCGTTCTCTAAACATACAACCATCTCTTACCACCTTAGCACCTTTGGTGACCCAGTCGCGAACTCGCCGTAGGGGGCGATCAGGCTAGCGAAAGGCGAGTTAGGCTAGACCTCAGGCTAGCCGCACTGGAAGGCGAGGGTTGAGAAGATTGTGAGCAGACAAGGGGACCTTTGGTGAATGGCATTGTTCCACTTATTGCAGCTCTGGGTGAATGTTTGTCCTTCTGGGGTATCTTTCACGGCGTCAATCAGAACCAACATCCAGTCCAGGTTGAGGACGGCGTAGTTCTCGCCGAAGCTGAGGGGGCTGCTGGCGGAGGCGGCCATGATGCCGTGGGCTGGGTTGGCAAAAGCTGCATAAATCAACCAACAGGAGTAGTAAGCTTAGGTCTGGACCTTTGATATAACAGGGATAGAGAACATTATCAACTAAGAGCATTCATTAATTGTATCTCTATGCAGTCAGTATAGTACTAACATCGGGGTCTCGGTGCCCCTTGAGTGAAAGGGCCCAACGGAATTCCAAGGCAGCTACTGGTTTTTCATTGGTGCTTAAATGCTCATTCCCCCACTCATCCCTTGACAAGGTGGAGATTTGATGGCTGAACTCCGAGACTGCTCGGGATCCCGACGTCTGGGCGCGGTTTGATGCCACTTCTTGCCACTTCAACAAATGCGCTATCTGAAGCCTATAAAGCGACCAGTCCAGCTTTATATCCAACCTTTAGCACACTTAGAAAAGTTTTTGAATCTCTGGTCATTTGTCAACCGGGGTCACAAACTCAGCATACAATGTCACTAGACAATAATCCCTACGAACACAACCAGCACAACTGCAGCAGCCGAGGCAGCCGGCACCAGCAGATGCAACCCTAAGCGCAACCGTTTCTTCCACCACCAAGGAGGCACCTGCAGATTCCACACCTGAAGCACCATATAGCATCTTTGATAAAAGGTAGAAGTGGCTGATCATTGTCCTGATATCCACAGCCGCAACCTGTACGTACAAATCACCCATCCATGCAGAGCCAGCTTCGACCATTCAGCCACTAACTCTTGATTCCAGTTTCCGGGTTCGCATCCAACATCCACTTCCTGCCTTACCCAGGCCCCATTATAGGCGGCACCATCGCCGGCTCTCTCGGCTGGAAGGCAATCTTCTGGTTCCTCACCATCTACGGCGGCGTATTCCTATGCATTTTGATCATCCTTTTACCGGAGACCCTATGCTCCATCGTCGCCAACGGCAGCCGCACCCCGTCCAACCCACTGACTCGCTTTTCCCTGGACGTATACCAACGCACCACCAAGATTCCCTGGCATGACCACTCCCGAGATCCACAAACCCAGCCCGCCGCCCGCAAGAAAATCGACCTCCTCGACCCGATCCGCATACTCCTCTCCAACCACGCCGCGCCCATCATCCTCTTCCTCGCCATCTACTACGCCGTCTGGCAGATGAGCATCACCGCCATGTCCTCCCTCTTCGAGGAGCACTACAACCTCACCGAGATCCAGACCGGGCTGACCTTCATAGCCAACGGCGTGGGCTCAATGATCGGCACATTAGTGACGGGCAAGATCCTGGACGCGGATTACCGGCGCGTCAAGGCGGCGTACGAAGCCTCGTTCGACGCGGAGCACGCCAATGACTCCGACGCCGCCAGCGCGACAGCCCTCGCCTCCGCGCGGGAAACAGACTTTCCCTTGGAACGAGCGCGTCTGTGCCTGGTGCCCGTATTCTCGGTCCTCCAATGCTGCTCCATCATCTTGTTCGGGTGGACGATCCGGTATCCACACAAGGTGCACATGGCGGTGCCAATTGTCTCGACGTTTATTACCGGGTGGACGGCGGTCTCGACGCAGTCGCTGGTTATGACGTACCTGGTGGATGTGTTTCCCGAGCGGAGTGCAGCCGCCAGCGCCAGTTTGAACCTCGCAAGGTGCCTGTTTGCGGCTGGGGGCACGAGCTTCATCACGCCGACGATCGATGGGGTGGGAGTCGTTGTCGCATTCACGATTTGTGTTGCGGTGCAGCTGCTAGCGCTAGTAGGGCCCTTCATCCAGTGAAGGTTTGCGGCGGGGTGGCGCAAGAAAGAGAGGGAGGAGGCTGCGCGGAGGGCTGAGGCTAAGAGCCCATCGCCCTCGCCTTCAAAGGGACAGGTTTGCTCTTGGACTATAGGATCTGGAGTCTTGATTCCGATGCACAGCCTTCCATCACCGTCGCGGATATTCTTCCCTGCTCGGGATGTATGATAGATAATCTTGCGGCCATTGCCGATTGTCACATTCGGATAAACTTAATACATCGATTCAGGTTTCGTAGATTATGGTAGATATAATCTCAGTGCTATAGCATGCCTGTGTGCCTGTAGTCTGTGGACTGACGATAATTGGCGAGTCAGATTCAACAAGCCCTCAGCCAAGCCAGCAGGATTCGGCAAGTCCTCGTCCGCCAAAAGATTTAGCCGCTGTCGACGGGGGAACCGGCCATCCTCTCTGTTGATATCCAAGAAACCGAGTCAGGGACGCAGAAACCGGCAATTGTGAGTCATTGACAGACTCCCGTCCGGAGTACACCCGCACCATCCCGCATGAATGAGCGTCATTGTTGGGGTTGTCACCCCGGATTCCCCACACAACTCAACGCTTCAGGGTCCACTCCCTCAGCTAACCTTTTTGTCCTTGCCTGGTGAGGACTAAACTCCGCAGACACAACCGGTAAAGCGATCTTGGCTCGACGGCATCATACCCGTCATTGCCATACGTAGGATAAAGAGCAGGAGTATAAAGCAACCACGGCAGTCTATACTTTCGACCGCGACACGCAGTATCTAGCAAGCGCATGCATTTAAGATGAGGTCCCTCATCTCTCTAGGCTTGCTCCTCCCTGCAGCGACCGCCCTCTCGTTGAAGGTGAACACCACGATCGGTCAGGTCTATGGCATGATCAACGGATCAACACCGGGGGTGGCTCAGTTCCTGGGCGTGCCTTTCGCCGAACCCCCCCTCGGCGATCTCCGATTCGCACCACCGCAGCCCAAAGCCCACGCCAACAGCACCATCGACGCCACCAAAATCTCCCCAAACTGCCCCCAATACCCTCTCACCACCGTCACCGACCCATCCGTCTACACCATCGACTCCCCGTGGCTGCAGCCCTACGGACCCTGGTCGGAAGACTGTCTCACCCTGAACATCTGGGCGCCGCTTCACCCGCGCACCTCAGGCCCCTTGCCGGTCCTCATCTGGCTGTTCGGTGGCGGTTTCTACGAGGGAGGCCTGCTGACCAACGGATTCAACCCGAGTCCTTGGATTCAACGGACCCAAGAACATATCGTCGTTGCGGTCAAGTGAGTGGTCCACTACGACAAATGCCCAGCCCTAACCGCCCTCTTCCCTCCCCACCCTCACCACCACCACCACCACAACAACTAACAAACCCCCAAAGCTACCGCAACAACATCTTCGGCTTCCCCAACGCCGCCGGCCTCGCGGCCACAAACCAGAACACGAACCAAGGTCTGCTCGACCAACGCCTCGCCGTGGAATGGGTGCGCGACAACATCGCCGCCTTCGGCGGCGACCGCTCCCGCATGGTGCTGTGGGGCCAGAGCTCCGGCGCCGCCAGCGTGGACTACTTCAACTTCGCGTGGCCGGCGGACCCGATCGTGCACGGGCTGATCATGCACTCCGGGAGCGTGTTCGCGACGGGCGCCAGCAAGGACGTCACGCACAGCAACTTCACCTTCGTGGCGGAGCAGCTCGGCTGCGGCCACAACTTGACTGCGAGCGAGGAGCTGGCGTGCATGCGCCACAATGTCAGTGCGGAGGCGCTGGTGGCCTTCTACGAGAACTATACCCTCGGGGCGGACGCGCCGGCGCTGAAGTTCACGACCATCGTGGATGGGGTGACCAAGTTTGCGAACTTCACGGAGCGCGCGCTGGAGGGGAATTATTCGGGATTGGTATGTTTTTTTCCTGCCCGTAGACTGTGTTACCGGACAGAAAGGTTGGGGGAGCGATGCTGACGAGCCGACAGCCCGCGATTCTCGGCACAAACGCCAACGAAGAAGCCTCGCTCGTCGCGTGGGTGGGACCCCAGGGCCCGAACCAGACGTATATCCACCATCAGACGCTGGAGACGGACCAGTGTCCGGCGAATTACTATAACCAGTGAGTTTTCCACGAAAGGTCCTGCTCGGAACAGAAATGACTGACGGCGGCCGCAGACTACGCTACAACACCTCCGCGCTGACCTTCCGCTGGTACAACCTGGCGCACTTCCCGAACACCTCGCCCCGGCCGTGGGAGGGGGCGTACCACGCCTCCGAGCTGCCGCTGCTGTTCGGCACCTACCAGTGGTACGGGGGCGCGCCGACGGCGCTGCAGCGGGCGGTGTCGACGCGCTGGCAGGATCTGTATCTGGCGTTCATGAAGGACCCGGTCCACGCGCTGCCGCGCATGGGCTGGCCCGCGTATACCCCCGATGGGCAGGCGATGGCCTTTGGGGCGAACGGGACGGTGTCCAGTCTGATGCCGGTGAGTGCGTTGGCGGTGGGATGCGCGGAATTTCCGTTGCCGACGCAGTGAGCTGTGTTTTGCACTGCGGGCAGAGATACGGACCTACATTATTGGATATTGTAAAGAGATCTAGGATTTGACTCCACGGTCACCCGACGCAGTCATGCCAGTATAGTTCGATGATCCACAGACATACATATATTCATTGCTCATCACACATCCAACACATGCAGCTATCTACACCCGCCCGGTCCCCAGCCCTAAGTGCCCTCTCCACTCCTTCCACAATCTCCCCTCCTATACCCCCTCACCCCACTACCGCCATCTCTAACCCCTTCAAAAGCCAACTAAGAAACCCACTCATAGCTCAAAACCGGAATCTCAAACGGCGCCGCATCACACGTAGCATTAAAGAACGCATCATGCACGCAGTTCAACTGGAAGTCCACACTGCCATGGTAGGTGATCTTGCTCCCGTTGTTACACGTCAAGGCATGGCCCGAGCCGAGCTCGTAATCCATGTGGCCGACGGAGACGTCCTCGTTCGACGTGCCGTAGAACGAGACGATGCGGCCCAGGCCGCGGTCGGCGTAGCCGCAGTTGGACTCGCCGTGGGCGATGTCGTGGATGCGGTAGCCGATGTACGTGTCGCGGCACTCGAGGCCGTCGGCGAAGTCAATGGCCAGCGTCTGCGGGGGCCCGTACCCCCAGGGCTGGTAGTTGGGCATGCCCGTGTAGCAGACGGGGACCATGGTGCCGTTGCAGGTAGCCGGGTCCTGGTCGCACCAGGCGTTGCCGCACAGGCAGTCCTTGAAGGCGATGTCGGCCGGGTTGTGGATGCAGTCCAGCGACTTGGAGCCGTTGAACCAGTGGAAGTAGGTCACCTCCCAGGTCGGGATCGGGCAGCCCTCCGGCGGGGTGATGGAGGCCGGCGCCGGGTCGCGCGGTTGGATGGAGAGGGCGCTGGTGCTGGTCGTTGCGGAGAGGACGGTGAGGAGGGTGGTTAGGGCGTTCATTTTGGCAGGTTCGAATGGCTGTTTGAGGTGGGGATTTATTTTGGTGCGATGGTTGAGATTGGGACCAGCCCTGCTGCTTTCTCCCCCTTCTTATAGTCGATCCGATCCATGGACCGCTGGCTGATAACCCCACCGTACACCCCCGCAGGGGTCTCTTTTTTTTCTCTCTACGATCCGGCATTCTTCGAACCGACCCATCTCCAATCTTGGATACTACCATACTCATTCTAGTACTATAATTAGCCTCATAACTGAGACAGCGCGAATGGGAATTCTGCAGCGGCAAGACACGCACCGTCTTGGCAGTATTGAAGCAGGGATCAGGTTGTGGTTTTGGCGACACTGAGACAAAAAAAACCCCCCGCTCTTCGGGTAAGACCCTGGCGACCTTTTTTCTTTCGCCACCGAAGAACTAGACTAGCGGCGTAGGGTCAGTTGTCCAGACTCCTGATTGTGCAGAAGGCAGATGGAATACGAGCGATTATCGCTCCGTGCCTGGTTGCCGACCTGCGCTAGGGCGCATCCCGCCTCGGCTCGCAGCGGATCCGGCCTGCCCCTTTAGGCAACTGATGGGGTTGTTACGGCCTGCATCCGCAACCCTGCGGGCTGAGTGGCCTGCTCGGTGCAGCTGAAGGGACGAGACATGCAGACATGAACTTGTCAACCCATGTTTCCCCCCGTATTTAATGAAGCGGATGCAGCGTAGCGTGCCATTCGGGTTGGCCGGGGGTGGCTGGATCAATCAGATAACCAACTAGTGGCGGATGGAACACGGCGAGTGAGGGACATCTGGGCTGACACGAGGCCCAGGAGGAAGGAGGAGTGTGAGGGGGTTTTGAGACAAGGCTGGCTAGCTGACTCGTGTTCTGCACGGTGATGGATCGCTCCATGATGGTTTGTGTGTGTTCTTGGACCATGGTTGAGGGGTTATACGGTTAGAGTCTTGAGGATGTTTGAGGTACGAAAGGTGAGTCTGCTCGGAATCATTTACTACATTCGCCGAGGTCTTGGCTGCGGAAAGATGCCCAGTCTTGGGTTGTGAAGGTCTCCTGCGCCTGGGCATGCATGCCCAGTTCCAACGCCCCGGAGACTGGATTGCCGGCAAGGACGGAAAATTGATTAGGGCGAATGCCGGGCTGGACTGCACGGTCAGACCCAGCCCTACCTCTCGTCAACAACCGTAGGCTATTGTAGAATACCTCACTTCTATTCCATCCTCACAACATAACTCATTATCGGGGTAGCCCAGACTCGCAAAACCGATGTTATAGCGGAGTCTAATTCTCCAACTAGCAATGAGGGCAACGCTATATAACGTAGAGACCTAGACGTAACATAGATGTCAAACACTTGAGAACAGGTGATACTGACCAGTTCTGCAGCTTACCGCTCGCATTCCCAAGAGTATTTAGCCTAATTGAGTAGTTCTGACTAGGGTTCCCAGCGTGGGGGCGGTGGAAGATTCGGGCACAGTGTCGAGGTGCTATGGTGCCATACATGTCATGCTACTCAGACATCAAAACCGAGCCATTCTTCAACTACCTCCGATGTAGTGTAACGGCTATCATACCTGTCTTTCACACAGGAGATCGGGGTTCGATTCCCCGCATCGGAGAAGCATCAAAGAGTTACTTTTTGTGGCCATTTTTGCTCCCCGGAGGCTGTGCGAGGAGCACTCTTAGGACCCGGATTGTTCCGCTTTCGTGTGACGCTAAACCTCAATAGGCACTAGTGTCTTTCCCATGTCGAAGAGACTATACCTGATTGGCAAGAGGAAGTGATGGAAAGATGTTATCGATTCTGGTTTGTCGCAGCAGGTCGAGTATTCTGTCTACTGTGATTCACGTGGAGCAGCGTAGTGCTTTAGCTCTAACTCTTCTCTTCGTTATGTTATAGCAGAATGACCAATGGTCAGAGCCTCTATAATCGACTCAAAATAGGTGTCATATCATGCAGCTGAGCTGTATCAGCTTGAATAGTACAGAGTACTTGCTAACTAGGGCTCTGCGTCTGGATCATCTGTTGTTCCGAACCGCCACCATCTGCGGGAGCGATAGGCGGTCATGATTCTGCCCTCCCTGTTCCATTCCCCCACGGGAACACACTTGATGAGTGTTGAGTCAAGACTGGTTCTCATTCAATTGGGCATCTTAGCCTCTCTGATATTTCAAATGACGCTCTCCCAAGTTTGTTGGACATGTATCTCCCACTGCCGTGTCCACTGAACATTCTTTCCTTCTTAGCCACAAAAAAGTGACCATAGGCATTGGCAAACATGAAAGCTGTAAGAGACTGCTGCGTTTGAATGGGCCGCCTCGATTTAACCGGAGGCAACACTTCACCAACCTAAAGCTGAATTCCATGCACTTTATACAGACATCATCGAATGACTTGGTCAAATGAGAATAAACATGGAGTATGACGCACGACTCCTGCTCGCCCGCCAATGGGGTGGCCGGCATCGGTGGCCCCCCGAAGAAACCCCGAAACAGAGTTCGGATCCACCTGATCGGGATGCCCTACCTCCAAGATTCGGAGAGCGACCTTCGGCTTTGCAGTTCATTTTATGCAAATACACAAACCTAGAGACAGCTGTATCGGTATGGATCATCATACGTAACTCCAATACTATATTCTTTTCCAGTCTATACCTGTAGAAACCTGTGAACAAACTCGACCGACCGCAACCATGCGGGGAACATCCGCCCGCCTCACCGGGCCAAAGTATGGAGTAACTTTCCAAGCTGGAAAGCCTTTCCTCCCCCACCCGTTGCCCCACCGAGGGGCACAGAGGGTGAGACCGTGAGGGGTGGGGGTTCAGGAGCGCAGTCAACCGGGGTTGCATTCTCCAACCTACAAAAACAATCCGACCACCCTGCTTGTTCCCCGGGCTGCTTCTTCACTGTCCAACTCTCCTCCAACCTCACTCACCTCTTCCTCAACCCCTCAAAAAACCACAAAACCCGCCAAAATGGTCTACACCATCGTTGTCCGTACGTGAATCCCTACCCTTCAACTTCGCCCACTCCTACAACTTCATCCCCCAAATCTCCCAACTCAAACCCGCAACACTAACACCACCTGGTATTACAGACATGCGCGCCAAGCCCGACGAGGAGAGCATCAACAAGCTGCACGCCAAGCTCCTCGAGGCCTCGGCCGTCTACTCCAAGGACAAGGAGACGCTCTCCTGGTTCGTGATGCAGAGCGTGCACGACAAGCAGGACTTCTGCATCGTCGAGCGCTACCTCAACGAGGGCTCCCAGAAGTACCACCTCGAGAACCCCTACTGGAAGACCTTCGACCCCTACGTCATCCCCCTGCTCGAGAAGGAGATGGATCTCCGTCGCTTCGAGGAGCTGGTGCCCGGGGAGGAGCAGAAGCAGTAGATTTCTCTGCTTTTTCTTGATTCTCAACAAAAGGGTTGGAGGGTGGATCGTGGGGATGCCACTGTATTGTACATATGACGGTAGTTTTTGGGGAAGAATTCAGTTGCGCCGGGCCCTCTGGAGGGATTTTCCGGTGCGCGGGAATACATGTTTTCACCGATACTTTAAGGGTGTGTGTGTGTGTGCTGACGGCACGTTGTTTTGGGCAATTGGATACCCTTAGAGTCGATTATATGGATCTGGATAACCACCAGCTAAATACAATATTCTCAATCTGAGTCAAGCATGTTCTTTCGGTACCTGTGAACTACTTACTAAATTGTGGTTTACATTGAGGGTCGCACAAAGCCACACACACCTCTAGCATTCTTGCGGGGCTGCAGTGTGAGGTAGCTCACCGCTTTCCTCGAAAGTCCGAACTTGCGACCGAGCTTGTAGTAACTGGTTCCTCCCGGACAACCAAGCTATGTATATGCTTGCATAATGTTTATGCTTATTCCGCTGGAGGACCTAATGTCGAATGATGACTGATTGTCCGAGAGGTTATTTCCGAAGGAGCTTGTCGCTATCAAGCTGGCCCCATGGGGCCTGGTTTTGAAACCTCTGGGGAGCTTCGGCAAGAGTCCAAGGCGGCATCCACCGCCTTGGCCCGCGACGCTGTCAATGTTCTCCTTTGTTTCTTCTCCATGTCCTCCCAGCAAGATTGATATCATATGGAAAGCGTCAACAACCCTTCCTTCGAAGCGCGCCGCGTAGGCTTTTCAGTTCCGAACAATTCGGTTAATCGTGAGGTGCGCTCACGCGCTCCCCAGAAACGCCACAGGTCAGTTGTCACCGAACCGTCAAGCCTAAAGCGTAGGTCGATGACTAAGAGTGTCCAGTTTGTAATTGCGCGAGTAAGTAGGCTCGATCTTCTAGACAGAGATCCCGGAGATAATTTGTGTTTGGCGGATAGGTGTGGTATTGTTGCGTTGAGTATCTCCTCCCTTTTGCAGGTATCCTTCCACAGTCGCTCTGATGCTAGGCAATTTTAGATGACTCGGTGTATAGCATTGCTCGTAGATGATGCCAAAGGCGATTGTGGAATCGATGGTTCTTCTGAGCTTCTTAAAGCGAGCTTAGGGAGGCGGTAGACGCGGGTCTCGTCGAAACAAAAGCCATGTTCTGCTCATTCCAGTCTGGTGGGTATTCCGGCATCGGCGGAGGAGGTACAGGGATCAAACTCGAAGAATTTCTCGATGCCATTTGTTACTCCTTTACCTTCTTAGATCGACTGAGCGAATCAGTTGCGATCAAAAAGGGAGCTGGTGGTCTGTACACTTACAAAGGATACTTTTGGATATTTCTCCAAGCACACAGAGTCGCCTCTCTCTGTTCTAGCTCGGTATCCGAGAGGGGATTGATCGAGTTCAAGAGAATGGAATTAAAGCTGCCGTCCGTTCCTTCAACAACTCACTGCGCACAGAACTCGAACAACCTTGGATATTAGCCAGCAGACGCCCAGTCAAGAAGGCAGAGCGATCCATCTTCCTGCCACAAGAGATTCCTATCTAAGGGGCAGAGCACAAGCTGACAATTCCGGAAACTCCGCTCCGGGTTGTGTTCGAAAAGTCGGCTATAGAACCACATCTTTATCTCGTCAAGATAAGAACTTGAGTCTCGGGGAACAGAAGTCCACGACAGACCCCCCCCCCCCCCACAGAGTGACCCAGGGATGGTATGTGCCAACGTTGCGAAGTGATCGAGCACGTCCGCTACCTTCTCGATAGCCCTGACGTCCTCTAATGGGTCAACGACCGTTCCCTCTACAGACTCCATCATAATATAACCCCAGCCTCGTTCGTCGGAAAAGAAGGCATATACCCGTGGAATACGAACTATGTGGCTATCCACAAGCTCATAGGCTAAACTTTGGTTTTTGGCTTCTTCTTCCGTTACATCTGGGCCCCACTTGACCACTTGATGATCGGATATTTTGATAACACGCTTTCCATGCTGGCTGACAACATTGCATGGTAACGGATTTGCACAAGCAGCGATCACTGACGCCTGAAAGTCGGTTGGGAAGCGCCATCTTCTTCTTCCGTAATAAGGTTGACGGAAAAGGAAACCGTCAACTTTCCCACTTGCGCTGATTGGAATTGGAAAGAAAACGTAGAAGACGACGATTGGAAAGCAAGAGCTCAAGACCGCAAAGACAAGGGAGACAACGACACCTCATGCCGAGCGGTGTGCTACTGTGCAAAAGCAAAACCAATCACGTCCACGGTTTTGGCCAAACTTGCCGAGTTTGGGGTCAGTGGAGTTAGCGGTCCTGAGGCCTCGCGCAGGCTGCCGCTTATACGGGTCGCTCACCGCCCTCCTCGGTGGCCTCATAGCAGGTAGTTTCGCAGATAGGGCTTACAGTTTGAGACGTCGACATAGGAGCCATATTGAAAAAATGGTTCGAATCAACGGTAACATCGCGGAAACTGCTTCCATTGGATCTCGTCGTGTCTAAAGAGACAACCGCCACTTTCTCCTATTCATGTTGGCACACGATCTCGGTATATATGCCGGGCAGACCACTATTTGATTGTTGCAACCCAGAATCATCGCACGACCTTGGAATACGAGCTTCTCAGCTGCAACCTAGCCAAAGCGTAACAGTATATATCCATCTGAGAGAATCCTCCCCCGATATTAGCCTACAAGCCCCAGAAGTGTCAACCCCTCACCCCCCGCAGCCCGGGAAGTAGATGCCTCTGCAGGACCTGATCGGTAACCATCCACACCTGAGGCATATGATGCGTATCCCACGTCGCGCCCGTGTAGTAGGTCCGCCGGTGGCCCTGCAACGCACTCAGCTGCCGATAGAACCCCGCCGCGACTGCCGCTCCCGAGACCGTCAACGTATAAGGCGAGTGATCGCGCACCACCAGGATCTCCGAGTCCGAGACGTTGCCGCCGCCCAGCCTGCGCCGCACGCTGTCCACCCCGGCGCGGATACACTCCTCCACCTCCGCCTCCGACAGCCCCCGCGATGTACTCCCCACCGTGACCCTGACAATTCCAGACACATCCGTCGGCCGAAACGCCAACACAGCCGGAAGACGCGGGCGATGAAAGGGGTGGTTCTTGCCGTGGTTCTCTAGGAAGGTGTCGTTAGGAAACCCGTCTACCCGGATTAGCGCCGTGTAGAACCACGGGTCCTTGAATTGACGGAATAGCGACCGCTCTGGTTCATCCAGGCCCAGCACTTCGAGGTTATCCGGCAAGGGAGGCGCAGCGAAGAGGAGGGTCTTTGCACGGATGCGCCGACGGCATGTGAATATGCTCTGCCTTCGTGTCTCGTCCACCGTGGCCACATCCACCACCATGCGATCAGCAGCAGAGTCTCGAGCATCTACCCTCACTACGCTACTGTTAAACAGCAACGTTTGATGAGCCCCTCGCAACTCCTGCTCCATCGCCCGGTAGATCTCGCTCGCGTCGTGGCTTTGCGGCCGCACCCACCCCAGTCGAAGTCGGCCGGCCAGGTAGTCTGTCCCCAAGTACTTCATAACATACAGCGTCGGGTAGTCCGGCCACTCGCCGAGGCCGCTGAGCCACGAGCTGAAGGTGTTGAGAAGCCCGTCTAGATGGTACTTGTCCATGAATTCTTGGAAGGGCGCGACCAGATCCTCCGGCACGGGGTCTGGGAGGTCTTCGAACCCGGTTTCGAGGTATGGGTGCTGGGCGAGGAGGGTTTCGTAGCGGTCGAGTGCGGCGATGATCTCGTTGGCGGGGATCGGAGTGACGGACTCCCCCGTGGCGAAGTTGAACATGTCGATCGCATAGTCGATTTTCTCTTTGACTAGGGGGATGTTGTAGTGGGCGAAGGCGTCTCGGATGACGGGCAGGTTCTGGAGCCAGGTGACCCCGTAGTCGATGGGCTGGTTGTTGGTGATGATCGGGTCGCGGTAGGTCACGGTGTGGCCGCCGAGATGAGAGCCGCGCTCTACGATGGCGACGGTGTGGTTGAGTTGGTGCAGGCGGTAGGCGGCGTAGGCGCCTGCTGCGCCGCCGCCGATGATGCAGGTGTCGACGAGGAGGTCGCTGACGGACATTGTGTGGATGCTTTCGCAGGGGAGTGAATGGTGTGAGTGGTTGCTGTCTTTATGTCTTCATGGACGGGGAAAGCTGAAGACGAGCCAGGAGCGGGGTATTATGTCCAACGGAGGTGGAATATAGTCGCATTTAACGTGCTCGCTGTTTATAGTGGGTACTAGTAGTTTATGGGGGAACAGTGTTGCAGTCACTGGAACCATGGTCGATTGAATGTCAAGCCATCGGAGAATAAATACTGACGCAGGCAGGTGCAACCCTGTCAGGGGAATGAACACCACCGGAGATTCCTTTGCCCCCCCCAGAAATGACGGCATCGAGATCTAATCCGCGATACGAGTTCTTCAACATAGGGTGGCACGAGGTACTGATAATGAGTGAAGATCCTTGCGCCACCGATTGGTGACACAGTTCGCGGGCAAAGGTGACCGTGGTATCATCGCATACATTGGTTGGGATGTCTTGGCAGAATGCATGAAGCTGAGAGGAGCATCCTCGCTCTCACCAGCAACATACAGGACCCGTGCGTCTAATGACAAACCCTCAATTCTAAACAATGCTTTTGGGTGTGCTTTTGGCTAGTTCCCTTAGACCATTCCATCTACCTCCGCGCACTCCGCCCACCAAAACAAACCAACATGCCGATATCATAGCATGCCTTCAAGACACCAGCCACAGTGAACGAGGCCCCGAACAACCCTCTACTAGCCAACACACCTGTGATCAGCGGGCCCATACTCTGCGCACTGGTCTTCACCACATTGACCGCGCCCATGATGGCGGTGCGCTTGTCCGAAGGCAAGGCGCTGGCCAGGAAGGCCGACCGCGGGGCCACGTCCATGTTCTGCGTGCACGCTCGCAGGATCAGGAACATCAGCGCTAGGGGAAGGGCGGAAGGGAATGGGATCATGGCGAGACAGATGGCGGAGGGGAGGTGGGTGAAGACCATTGTCTGCGAGAGAAGTTAGTCTCACCAATCTCTAAAAGAGGATTCAAAGGGGCTGCCACGAACCTTGACGTTACCAATGCGCTTCGCAATGGAAGATGCGACGATCATCGACGCGGCGGAAATGATCGACGTGGTAAAGAAAATTGACCCCAGCTCGCTCTCGGGGAGAGAGAACTTGCGCTTGAAGAAGTATGTCATCCAGGAACTGCAGCCAGCTTAGTATGCGTACGGAATGCAAAAGCCTTTAGAGAGGGGACGTACAGCGACGCAAGCCCTGAAGCAAACGAATCCAATCCAAAGAGCAAGAATAGCTTGAGCACCAGGCTCAGGAGGTCACGATCAAACGCAGAGAAGAGTGACGGCTTATCCGTCTTTGGCGGCTGCTGCTGCTGTTGCTGAGACTCTTCGCGTGGACGATCACCTAGCAGCGCCTCAGTCTCGCCGGATTCCTGCGCATCCTCCGCTGCACGATCCTCCTCCTGGATCGCCTCCACCTTTCGACTTAGGCAGAGGGTCAGAGCCAACTTTACCACCCCGACCGCAGCATATCCGAAGAACATGGCCCGGCAGGCGGTGATGAAATCGCACCCTTTCGTGACTTGCAGGAATTTGATGGCCCACCCGCACGACATCATGCCCAGGGCCGTCCCCGCCGTCCCGAGGAGAGAATACCAAGCAAAGATGTCGCTCAGATGCTCGTGGGAGGTCAGATGCGCCAGCGTGGATTCCTCCACCGCCCGGAAGGGGCCGATCTCGTTGCCGCTATAAGCTACATTAGCAGGATTCCCCTCACATACAGCTAATATAAGTAGTAAAGAGAAAAAGAGAAAAACAAATGACAAAAAAAAGACAGCGCAATGGAGAATTAAGTAAAGACATACCTTGGACTAATAACTCCCAGCACCGCAGCGGCCAGCAACCCCCAAAACCCAGCCCCAAGGCCAAAGACGACCCCGCTCCCCGTCATCAAAGCCGACCCCAACGACAAGACCGCCCGCCGCCCCATCGCATCCGCAAACAACGTCAAGAGAAAACTAATCACCACATCCCCGACCAAGGTCAAGGTCATAAATAACCCGATGCGTTCCTCCGAGATGGCCAACGCGGAGAGATAAGACACGAGGATCAGCGTGGAGGCCCCGTAGGCGAACAGCCGCACAAACCGCTGGGCGCAGAGGAGCTTCACATCGCGCGGGGACCGCCAGACGGTGACGAGCCCCATTTCATCCAAGACACGGGTTAGCACGGCTTTCCCATGTTGTTGCGGGTGGTGCTGGTGATTCTCTTCCGATCGAGACATGATTGAACTTCTCTCTTTTGCCGGGAATGAGATGTGGTTGAGACGAAAGATAAATTGTGAGCATGATGCTCCTTTATTCAGGCGTGCATGCACTCGGCCATAAGACGAGAGAAAAAGTCATTGCCTTGCATAAATCCGAGGTTGTGGCTGGATTGGGTATTTCCGCCTCGGGCTCGGGGTCGGCCTCGGTCTTGTGGTCGGGGTCGGGCTAAGTGGGGGAAGTCAAAGCCGAAACCGAATGTTGCAGCGGCATCCTGCTTTGCGAATCAACAGTTCAACCTTTGCTTTTGCAACGGGACTTAACAGAGGCGCCATCGTACTGAGACGCAGTGAGAAAAGGTAGCAGCATCTAGAGGTAGCTGCTTGGCTTTGGAACAGGACTGCTTTCACGCAGGTGCTAAATCATGGCGAAGATGACAGCCTAATCCCTCCCCTTCCATGAACAAGACAACTTTCGAATTATGCAGTCTCGGAGGACCAGCATCAATGGCTGCAAGAAAACTGCGAAGGTATCACTGATGGGCTGTCAGTCGGACCAGAGATGATGCGCTTTAGAGTCCACTGAGCTCGCGAGATAGCGGACCATTCTCCCTGTTGTCCAGGATTGTGAATGCGACAGTGCTCATCACGTGTGCCGGAGTATTCCAACTGAGCGTGCCACCTCCCAATGCCCAAGTCTCTCGGTCTGCCTTCCTCAATTGAACCTGCTTTAAGGCTGCCCGGAAAACCCCCCCAACGCCCTCAGACCCTGGTCGCCAAACCGGCGCTTGTATCCGTCGGAAGGCTGAGGGGTGGACCCTGCAGGACCCACTTCCACAGCCTCACAGCCTCTTCCACTCCTTCGGCCCCCAAGCTAAATATTGCTGCAGGGCAAGGGAAGCTTGTTCCCCGCTATGATTAGGAGAAGAACGGTGACGCTAACGCATTAATGGTAATTTCTTCGGATATGTGAGACCCTCAGATGGGGAATATAAAGGCATTAGATTAGGGTTGTCTAGAGCCAGCACGGAAACGGCAACAGGGGCTAAGTTAGAGGCGGAAGGATTCCGAGAAGCAAGAGGTTCTACTCCGACCACAGATTGTAGACCTTTCTCTGATTGTATACTTCCAAGGAGACTCAGTGATTCAAAGTCAAATACTCGATTGGTATTGGTGGGTACTAGAGCTCTTCAACGGTCTGCCTGCAGGAAACCATCAGTGAATGTGTTCTGGGCTGTTAATTTGATGCAAGACCCACTACCTAGTAGCAGCGCATTCAGCCTTATCTGTACTAGGCAGAGACGAGAAGTGGAGATCGCCCCCACGCTCCGTGCCCATACGTAATTTGAAGAGCCAAACCCCATGGAGGACCCTGACTCTACTCATGAAGTAGCATTGGTGTAGTAGACACCATCTTGCGTCTCCAAGTCAGGATTCAGGAATGTGAGACATCTCCACGTCCACGCCGAAAGGTCCTGAACCTAATCAGGAAGGTCGAGAATCGTACGTTTTCTGAAGATAGACAGACTCACAAGTATAAGGAGCAGACGAATCTCCTCCTCAACTCATCAATCCCATCATCCAGCTTCCTCTTCCTCTCCAACCTCAAATCCCCTCAAAACAAGCCACTCCCACCTTCTTACCACCTGATACCAAAAACCTCCACAATGCACTTCCTCACCACCGCCACCACCCTCCTCGCAGCCCTGGCCACGAGCGCCACCGCCATCACGACCCTCAAGCCCGATGGCAAGCGCTGCATCGCCGGCTACGCCAACGAGGACGCCTCCATGTACATGGGCCCGACGCTGGGCACGCAGAACTACCACTCGCACACGGGCTTCGTCACCGACCCCAACGGCAAGATCATCTCCGAGATGTCGCAGCGCTTCAACTCCTGGCAGACCTTCACCTCCGTGCTGCCCTACACCGTCGACATGTACTGCGGCCAGGACACCAGCAAGACCCTCACCCGCTGCACCTCGGTCGAGGTGCGCTACGCCGGCCAGGACATCCAGTCCAAGGCCGACAGCACCAACTGCGTCTGCGGCAAGGATGATACCGTCTTCGATGCCAAGGGGTACTGCGCTTGTTACTTTGATTGCCCTCTTTAAGGGAGGGGATTGTTGGGTGGATTGGGATTTGGAATGCGCTGTGGCTTTTGCTCGGGTTTTCGTTGTGTATCTATCTATCTATGGGCAAAGGCGGCTTTAGTCGCTTCAGATTATGCGGCTTTGGGCACGTGTTTGAATTAATATCCTGAGGTCGTCGTAATATGCTAGCTTAATGAGGGGGAACCACTGGGTTTTACTGTAGACAATTGTTAGTCAATAGCTCGAGCTCTGCATTACTCAATATCTTCACATTTCATCCGACTGCGGATCTGCCTTGGAATTCCCGAGATCTTCCATAGTGATATCGTGACTGATTTTGTTGTTGAGTAAACTCGGGCTATAAAAATATATCGTAGGGACTTACACTAAGGAGCTCTCGGAACGATGGTTGGTATTAAATATTTTTAGATCTAATGTGAACAAAATGTACAGAAGAAAAGGCTTCTAGCTCAGTAGTCCAGGACAGGGCAATTGGTCTCGACGATCAGCTCCGTTGTGTAGACGGTAGTTGTGACCGTCACGACGTCTTCAAATACACTGGAAGACGATGCGACTGCACTGGGGCTGGGCGTTGCGGAACGAGCGACCGAACTTGACCCCGCCACTGAGACAATTGTAGATGAGGATGGCGCGGCAGCAGGGCTCGAATGAATCAGAGTGGACGCAGGCACGGCGGGGGAAGAAGTCGGGATAGTGAGTGAGCTGGACAGTTGAGGCGTCTGGGATGTAGAGACGATATGGCTCGATGGAATGGCAGGGGTGGATGCAGTGGGAATTGAATTGATGGATGACGGCACCACTGCGGAGGATGATGCTAGCGAAGGTACAGACGGCTGGGACGAGGAGAACGCGCTTGCGACGACGCTGAAGGATGCTGCCGGAATAACACTGGCGCTGGATGTCACGGCCTGCGAAGGAGTCACAACAGGCGTCGACGTGGGAGTGACGGTTGGGGTTGGAAGAATCGTGATGGTCGAGGTATAGGCCACATCCGTGCAGATCTCGATCTCCTTGTTGGGGTTGGAGAACTGGGTATTGTCGACGTAGATGGTCGGCTGAGCTGCAATGCCGCGAATACCGGAGCTGCAGATCACTTGGATGTACATGTCCAGACTGCTGCTGGTGGGCACGTAGGTAGTCGATAAGGTCTGCCAATCGGTCTCCGTAGTGCCGTATTGGATGTAACCATTGACGGTCGTAGTGATCCGGCTCGATGCGACAATGCCGTCGATGGCAAAGTAGAAATTGCATGTTCCCGACCTTGTTGCGGACTGGATTTTGTAGTCGAAAGACAAGGAGTACGTATCACCCGCGACCAGGTCGGTCAGGGTCTGGTAAAGGACGGCGTATGAAGATGAGCTGGGAACCATCGCTCTGTTCATTTGTGTGTCAGTGATTACCCATTGCCAGACAGAGGCTTTACCTACGCCACGTAGCCTCCGTCGCCTGAGGTATCGGCGACAATCGATGCAGTCCCATATCCATTGTATACAGCCCAAGGCGTAAGAACTCCGGAGTCGAATGAAGGATTTGACAAGGCATTGTCAGTCCATGTGCATGACTGGGTAGTCCCTGTTACCACCTTGGTCTCGGCCGCAGCGAGGAATGGCTGCACCAAAAGCACTACAGCAGAAAGAGAAGAGAAGGACCGCATGACTGACCCGTCCACAGAGAGAGTACGAAATGAGTGACTGTCTGTGAAGGCCAGCAATGCACCGAACTAGAGAATGAGGAAATGGACCGGGCAAAAGAGAGAAAGTCAATCAAGATTGGTGGATCTCCATCGATTATAAGGGATTTTTGCTGAAGGGTCTGGCCTCGACAAAAAGAGCAAGGTAGAACGCGAATCTCCACTGAGGCTGAAAGAAGGCATTATCTCGATGAGTTCAGACACGCTGGTTCGTCGGGTCTTTCGAAAATACGGCGAGTCCGCTTTGAAAAGCGGTTAGTTTAAGCGAGCAAACCCTTGCCCCTGAGCATGAAGAGTGAGGTTGTGGGATTGAAAGTAGATGTATCCTCTCGATCACAAAGAATTGGTAATCAGGCCTTGGGGAAAGGGTACATAGACATTAGTGAAGTAAGTTATCGCAGATAAACAAGTGTTGAAGCAGTAATTGAAGAGTTGATGGTTGTTGATACAAGTAAGTTTCATTTGGAGGAACAGGAAACCCTCAGGCAACGAGGCTGCAAGGCACTAAGGCACTAAGGCAAGTCTGGAACGGAACAACAGCGGGCCGACTGCACGGCTCCTCGACTGGACTAGCCTGGCTGCCTGAGATTCCTCCGTTTCCTCGTCTTCTCCTCCACACCTTCAGTATCAACCACCAGTACATTTACCATCATTCATTACCAGTCATCACCTATGGATCCCAACACGCGCACTCAGACAAACACACTATCCTGGACTCGTGAGGCACCGCTTCCCCATCGAGAGGACCTACATCCCAGATTTCAATCTTGGTATCAATTCGATCCTGCCCAAAAGTGGATCCCCACTCACACGGATGCCGATTCAAGTGACCATGGAGAGCCAACCCGAGGGGGCGACGCATCAAATCTGGTGTTACTGACATGGAACATCGATGCGGGCTCGGCTCAAGCTCAGGAACGCGCCACCGATATTATCACGTATCTCACCCAGTTAGACCCCCCCGTAGACATTGTTTTCCTGCAAGAGGTTTCAAGGCCGGCCCTGCAGCAGATCCTGGAGGACGAGCGCATTCGTGGATCCTGGTTCTCAAGCGACTGTGATGATCTCTCGTGGAATGATCGACCCTTTATGACAGTGACTCTACTGTCCAGAGCACGCTTTGCAGCACCTTCGAACCCAGAGACCCACAGCCTCGTCGCCGGCCCAATATGGAGGGTCAGATTCCCTAGTTATTTCGGTCGAGATGCGCTCTGCTGTGACATCTTTGTGCCTTCACACAGAACGGATCAAGCATCTTCTGCGACACGAATTCGGCTGGTGAACGTCCATCTAGATTCTTTGCCGATCAAGCCTTCTCACCGGCCTCGACAAATATCTATGGTTGCCTCCCTTCTGCGCACCGCCGGACGTGGACTTGTGGCCGGTGATTTCAATCCCGTTCTCGATGAGGACGACGAACTTCTCGAATTCAATGGCTTGACTGATGTCTGGACATCTTTGCGTCCCAAGGAGCCTGGTTATACGTGGGGAGTTGACGGGCAACAACCGTACCCGCCCAACCGGCTCGATCGAGTTGGGGCCCTGGGTTTAAAGGCTTCTGCAATCCAGGTCCTAGAGCCAAGACGAGTTGGCGACTTGGATACGTCTAGCTCCACGCAGATCAAAAGCGCTGAAGAAGTACCCTTTTGGAGCGATCATCATGGCCTACTTTGTTCATTCGGCTTGGCCGAAGACTAAATCATGGTGTTCCTCATTCGCTCCGGTAGGAAGTCTTCCTTCCTGGGCTGAATCTGCCAAACCCCTCTACAGATACAAGAAGCTGAAGTTCTAGAAAGCTTGGGATAGTTTATATACAAGCATGATCTTTTCCCGTCGCTTCCTCAAGAAACATGTATCCTCATCTCTGGAAATAGCGCCACTTGTAGCCATCTCACTTGGCCCCTTGGCTCTCGCGCTATATGCATCTCATGAATTCAACGGCAATCCAAGCGCACCCAATGCACCTGCAAAGAAATCAGCATCCTAGCTCATCATAGTTAAGGAGGCTACACTTACGATGAAGTGCCATGTCATCACCAAAGATCCCGTTCTTGACCTCCGGGCCGCAGAAGATATTCCCTGTTTTCTCGTCGAAAGACGCACCGGAACCACCAATTATCAAGCTCAACCCTTTGTTGGGCCCCCGCATTTCGGTCAAATATGGCTGCGACCCGTGAGCCTGTTCGGCAGATACCATCATATGGGCAATGTTCATGGCTGCTGTACGTCCCATGCGGATGGCTGTTTTGGCGAGTCGAATTCCGGGTGTTGCGATCACATCACCAACTGCAAAGTGGGTCTGGTGATTTGGGATGCTCGCAGCGAATTGCATTCTATAGTGTCATGGTCAATACCAAAACGTCGATCATGACGATGTTATCACCTACGATGGAAGAACGTTGACGAATCCCTTCTCATCAAGAGCCTCGCGAGGCAAGAACTCGGTAATCGGAGCAGCTGACGACGTTGCCCAAATCACTTCATCGGCAGTGAGATGTTTGCCATCCTCAAGCTTGATCGCTTTTGCGTTCCCTGGCCCTTCCGTGACACCCAGCACGCGATTCTTGAGCATCACGTTCACCCCACCAAGCTGAGTGATCTGCAGAACCTGGTCTTGGAATTCTGATGGGACCGGCTCGGACGAGAGCAGTGCCGAACGGGAGTGCACCAATGTCACTTGCTTCGTTGGGTAACGGTGTTTGATCTCAGCTGCCATCTCAATTCCCACGGCACCTTGATTCATCAGCCACAACCCTGCCAACTTCCTGCTAGAAGCCAACTTACCTCCACCAATTACCACCACTGAATCGCATGTCCGCAGTCGGTCAATATATCTCCCTGCTTGCATCGCATACTCCGACTTGGTTGTAGCAACCGGCACAGTCGGCCAAGGCCGTCGCAACCCCGTGCCTACCACCAAGAAGTCATAATCCAGCGTATGCTGCTGCTGTTTCCCATTTGACTCTGACGAGAGATAGAGGAGTCTTTTCGTCTCCGGGTCCGCTCGCACCGCCGTGCCCTTCAGGATGGTCACCGACGGTCTTTTCAGCTCCGCGATCTGATCCCAGGTCCGCCACGGGTGCTCGATGTAGCTTTTTGTTGTGTGTGCCATGGGAGTACCGACTGCGTGATCTGTGAGACTCGGCTGTCAGGGATTTGCTGCATTTCTTGAGTGTGTAGGGGGGTACATACAAAACCCGTCTCTGGGATCGAGAATAGTGATTCTAGGCATGCGTTGCGGGGCTTGAGGCTCCATCATCTGTCTTCGACCACCGTCCCCAAGCATTCCTCCTCGGCCACCTCCACCGCCGCCGCGGCCTCCTCTTCCTCCTTTGCCGCCTTTCCCGAAGGAAGTTATCGTGCCGTCACAGATGCGAAGCAGGTTCAAAGCTGTCGAGAGACCCGCGTATGCGCCGCCCAGTATTACGACATGCTGCTCGCGCAGCGCAGATGACAGCGTCACGGCTACCATTGTCGAAGCATTTTGCTCAAGACGTATAAAAGTAGTGGTTCTATTAGGGATATGCCCGGTTCTGGTGTAGCTTGCTTGTCGTGTGCAATCGAGTTTGAATGACCATAAGTATTGACATCGGTCGCATGTACTGAGACGGACTTTAGTTATTTATACCTCCAGTCCAGGCTTCTTGGTTGCCCGGCTATACTCGTATTTCTGTGCCACTCGGCAAATTCAGCTCGGAATTACCTATTCGGGACAAGCGCTAGCCCCGAGGCGCTTGTCCGTCGCAGCTATAGATGCTCGGGTTTACGGCATTCGTACTGGAATTTCGCACTCACAGTGAGACTTTGCGCTCCTGATAAGCTTTCAATTGATAGATCTGTTTGGGCCGACTGTGGCAAGACGCGGAATTACTTTGCAAGTATCGACGTGACAGCCTCGGTCCGCTACATCCAGCCTCTAGCACGGAGCAGAGGAGACGAGTTATTCTCAGATCAAAGTGGTACTCTTTGAAAAGCATAAGGATCATGGTGTTGAATTATATGACGTTGAATAACTACGTAGAAACAAGGAACAGCTAGATAGCCACCTGCAGAGAGCACCAGCTTATGCCCAGCATCATCTTGAGCATGTCCCCACAGCATTGGCAAGGGCATGCTCGCCCAGTGATACTTCTCAGATGTCTGATCCAGCTCAAACAGCAAATTCCCTCCCCACCATCAAATCATACGTAGGAATAAAACTCATATCAAAATCCCCATTCCCATCAAACCGATGCTGGTCCTTCTTCCGTTGGCAATAATCCATCACTGCATCACGCACCCTCTCCCAGTCTGGCATCCGTGCCCCCAGGGCTCGCGAATCGGGACTCAGCATACCCAGGGCTTCTTGAACCCAAGATACACAGTTCCACCCGGGTGAGTCCTGGCCGATAGCTGTATTGCGGAGGATTTCGACTGCACGGTCTTTGTCCACGATCTTCGCAACCGCGACGCGCACAAGCACCATCTGCGGGGAGACCTCGCTCTCTTCGAAGATGAACTCGGACTTCCCTTCCACAGTGAGTCGCTCTTTAGCATGATAGCGGACTCCTAGACTCGGTGAGTTGGGATCTTTGGGTCCGATGTGTAAAGCCCAGTGGTAGCTGTTCGAGCGTGAGGGTCAGCTTCATCGTTGAGATCATGGGTTCTGTAACGTACGTGTCCTCCTTCCCCGGCATCCTAGCCTTGCCTCCACGGACATAGAGAGCAACGTACAGGCGATCTTTCTTGGATGGCATCAGAGCTGGATTTCTTGCGCTGGTTGAACTAATGATTGCACAAACTGGCGCAAGTAGATTATAGCGCACTCGCTGGATTGTGAGACACCACCTTGCCAGCAAATTGTATCACTATATCTGAATAAATGACTTCTCTTGTTCGGCAGGCTTGTTTCCAAAAGATGGCATAGTTTCTAAAGGATAATTGTGTGATATTGAACTTCTTTGGTACGGCTTCTGCCGGATAATTTCTATGCATCCTAAATCTAGAAAGTGAATGGGCGCTTACTCCATGATTCGGGCCACGCCGTGCCCCACATACACATGTACGCGCGCAATGCACGCCCCTGATCTATCTAGCCAGAAAGTCTAGAGGTCTCTCTTGCTTACATCAACTACCATTGCTCATGCTTCAAGCATGCGGTCCACGAGTGATTGCAGCGATAAAGTATTAGATCATAACTCAACAAAACTGGTTAACGACGCACGATGAATTATGCATCAACACAGCATTTCAAGAGAATACCTGACAATCCCCCTCCCCCCTTCTCTCTCACACTCATTTTCCTGCTGTACATGACTTGAATGAAAGACCCCGGGTCCCTACATCCCCGCCCCCTTCAACGGGGCAGAGAATAATGATTACATCCCATCCATCCTTCCGGCAGAACAATCAACCGAGAAATCAATACAGCAACCAAGGCTTCGCCTGCGTCAGCGCCTTATCCCAGCCATCCTCATTCGTCCAGATCGATATACTCTCGACCTCGTCCTTGCCCAGTTTGAGCCCATTGTACAGATGCTGTGGCATGTTAGCGATTTTCCTATCCTCTTCCCCACTCATACATAGGGAGACCATGGAAGCAGGAGAGACGTACAGGAAACAACCCTTCCGTCGGTCGGGGCCCGCACACCGTCCCCTCGGGATTCTCCCACTTGATGTCGTTCTCGACCCGATCGTAGCGGATGCGCAGCACATACACTAAAGGCTCATCCTTGAAGAAGAGCTTGAGGGTGTTGGGGACCTGGAAGGCGGTGGAGAGGTGGATGAAGCCGGATTGGTTGTCGAGCTCGCTGATGGGGAGCCGGTCCGGGAGGGGTTCGCGCACCGGCGCCGTGGAGGGGACGAGCTTGTAGATGAAGAAGGGGGGTGCGTCTGCCATTCTTGCTCGGGTGGTTCCTCTGGTCTGCGATTTGGGAAGGGTATGGGAAATGGATAATGCAGATGCGACAGAAATGAATGGAGCGGGATATTGATGGTGGGGGAGGGGAGACCGGACGAACTCCGTCATATCCCGTATCCGTATCCGGCAGGCTTATCCGGTGTTTGCTCGGTTTGATCTTGCCTGCATCACGTGAGGGTTGTGGGGGCTAGGCCGAATGCGGGTAGTGGGAAGGAGGACACTTGCTGTGTTGGGATTAGTTGAGGGGAGCACGGACTAGTTATCGGTATCTCACTCTGTGCAAGGCATAAAGAATAAAACTCCCTCAAACCCAATTCAAAGGCTTTCTATTACACCTTTTCTCAGTTTTGGAACTGTACCCCCTTTGTATATTTCTAGTGTAGGCTTGGTTTCAATATGTGTATATGGTAAGATAGAAATAATTAGCTACTATAGTTTTATTCACTCAGGAGTCGAAAATATATCCCGCATGAGCCTAATGCGAGCTTTTACTTTGAGGAGCAACATAGCAGCCATCGGGACGTAGCGAGCTTGAATGAACAGGAAAGTCCTTTGCTCGCTGAAGTTCACCTTGGGTACTGTTCGACTTAACCAAGGGGCGGTCGAATTTCTCGAATGTGGTGGCAAGTAACAGGGAAGAACGCCGTTGCGAGTCTGGAGACTACAGATGCTATAGCGGCCGTAAAGGGATACAGCCGTAGAGGATTCCTGTCATTAGCATTATATCTGTGGTTGAAGTGGTGTCTGGTAGTTCTTAAACTGGATTAATCTGTGGGTTCCGACTACATCATACTACGTTCCCCTCTCCATTGCCGATGAAGGTAATCATTAATGAGCGATGCAGGGGCCCAGAGTGGTCATTGTTTAATCCCATCTTAGTAGATAATTCGGACCATCCGGATATGATAGCTCCGCACGCACCTCGACATCTTCCCTCACGCGTCCCCGAGTCCCCACATTCTCTTCCTTGTTGTAGTCACACGTTCCGACAGACTATTAGTTGATATGTGTGTCTGTAGATTCACCTTATCAGCTACAGCAATATGAGAAGCTGAGTCATGGCTTACCCATGTTAAGTAGGATAAAGTGTCAGGCGGGACAAGCTTGAAAAATATCTCTGGTTTTTCCTGGAGGTAGCTTTAACGACCTCGGGTGAGGTTCCAATTTGGACGTCTCGCCCGAAGGCATGGTTTTTATTATCTCTTCCTTCCCGTCAAGGAGCAAAGGCTAGAAGCTAAACTTGTGGGGGTTTCGAGCTTGCCGTTCGGCGTCTCATAGTGGAAAATACCTCGAATATCGTAGTTGGAGATTTCAGCGCAAGATTCTTGAGGAATCAAGCGCATCCAGAAGTTAGAGCCTAGCCTTTCCTTGTTTGCGTGGACAATGACATCATATCGTTGTCCTTGGAATGGGAATTAGTTTCCAGCGAAACTTTACTCTGTTTGATATGGTATGCTGGGGTTCTGTTCAGGACTCAAACTTACCAACTCCAATCAGGAGCGAAGTCGTGTTGAAAGGCTTAATGGGCACAAAATTCGTCGAAATGACAGTGAGGGTGTGGTCATCGACCATGAAGCGGAAAGGATTGCTCATTCCTCCATTGAGTAGGCGAAGGCGATAGCTTTGGCCCGACGTCACATTCATATTGAAGCGAGAGCCGACGGTCTGGTTGTTCTCTGTGAGCCAAATGTTGGTGGCGTTCCTCAATCCGGTGGCCAACGTTGGCTCTCCGTCGGTCTCCGCAGTGGAGTATAGAGCGTCGGACGTGCGATGGGACCAGTCACTGAGATAAAGGATACCAGCATCCACATTATAGTTCGCGCTCGCAGGGCCATTGATGACGATTCCACCATAAACTCCCTCCCATGCTTGCAAAGCAAAATGCGAGTGGTAGTAGGTAGTGCCGTATTGAGTTGCCCGCCATTCATAGGTGACCGAGCCACCGGGAGGCACAGGACACTAGGTGGTGGAATTAGTGCCATCCTGGGGATTGGTATGGTTCTGACGAACACCGTGCCAGTGGATACTGGTGCCATTGTTCTCCGATCCATTGTAATCATGGATACGAACCCAGTCTCCCCAGTCAGCGTGTAGGGTAGGTCCCGGCGACGTGCCGTTGACGGTCAACACATTCCGAGGGATGCCATCAGGAGTAGCCGTGGTGTTACCGAGAACCAACCAGTACTCCCGGAGAACCCCCGTGTCAGGGACCTCCGTGTAATAATCACTCCTGATGTCAAATCCACACCATTGGTCGCGGGTCTCTGGTGTGTTTCCAGCACATGCGCTTGAAGAAACTGAGGCACCGACGCATTGACCACCGAAAGTGCTTGCAGCAAACAGTAGAGCTGCTGGAATTGGAGACCACCGCATTGTTACTCAAAAGAAAAAAAAAGAAAGGAAGCAATCAGACGGAAAGAGGATGAATATGAATGAACTTGCGAGAAGGAGAAAGAATGGATGGACTAACTAAAACGCTGATATGACGAATCAACATATTTCAAAACGTATCTGAACCATCTAGATACGGGTGAGGTTGCTATATACTGAGCACTGGGTTCGAGTTTTCGACAACGTGCGGTGGGCTATAAGGGATCCCATGCTAGCTGGGTATAATTGAGATCCGCTTAGCCTACTTTCAAGTCTTCAGCTTGAAACCTGATGCCCATGACAGCTTAAAAAGCTAGAACGGGATATGCTTCCCGTCTACACAGGAGTGCTTGCGCGGCCATGTCTTGTGTTGGTAACCCACGTAATCCTGTTGTAGCTGAGGAATGACATTATTATGGGATCGGAGATATGAAGTACCGAACTGGAGATTTCATTCGAAGTGCCTCTCGCCCCCAGATTTATCGAGGATCATTTCTGTAAAGGGTCTAGTTGAAGCTAAGCCAAATTCGGGGTGACCTTGCGACTTATATATGTTTGGTCAAATTCGAAGGCCATCATGCAAGCCTTTGTGGGCCAGAGTCGCAAGAGGGATACATGAAATATTGGAGGGTTCCATGGCTGAAACACCGGTGTATCAATCTTGAATACAACACAGGACGTGCACCTGAAAGATTCGGGCTCCAGCTTTTATCTTCAACCAAAGTTCGAAAGGCCGCCCACTGCGGGCGATGGTCGACTCCCTCTTTTCCCATGGGTGGTTTGTATCAAGTGAGAATCCATGCAGATCGGCATCCTCAGGTGTACTATTGGTAGATTGATCATCTATATATGCAAGTGATATCACCGCCACTAAAAACCATTCCCACTTAGTGAGTAACAAGACGACAGTTATAATTCAGGGGTGCATCTGAGAGTTGACCCGTGTTTGCGCATACCTCGAGCTCCAGCACTCCTGACTCGGAATCAATGTTCGAACGGCTCATCTGAACAGAATGACTCGACTTCTCTGGGCATTGTCCTTTCTTGCGGTCACAATTCAGGCCACCACTCTCCAGAGTGTATGTACAGTTGAATATGTGACCGCAAACCTCCCGGGCAATGATACATTACTCGGCATGCAAATCAACGAGACATCTGTGACGGCCACAATGCTAAGCACGTCAGCTAGCAATACCAATTACCCGGTCTGCGATGTCAACTTTGCATACACTCATGATGGACTGGATAGAACCAATGTCAATTACTGGATGCCAGCTCCCGTTGACTTCAGGAACCGCTACGTATCGACCGGCGGCGAAGGATGGAACATTGGGGAGAAAAGCTCCTCTCTCCCTAGTGGAATCAGTATGGGTGCAGTTGCTGGTACCACGGACGGTGGATTTGGAGGCTTTGATGTCAGCTCCTGGGAAGTCTGGTTGAAAGGCGACGGCGAGGTCAATTGGGACACTGTCTACATGTTTGGGTACAAGGCCATCGATGAGCTGAGTCAGATTGGCAAGGCATTCACCAAGTCCTTCTACAACATGTCAGACACCAAGCTCTGGTCTTACTTTGACGGGTGCTTCGAGGGAGGCCGTGAGGGCTGGAGCCAGGTCCAGATCGGGGCTGATCTTGATGGTGCCGTCATTGGCGCACCAGGCATGCACTTCTCGTTCCAGCAGATTCAGCACCTGTGGTCTCAGTTTGTGGAGTACCAGCTCAATCACTACCCGCCGTATTGTGAGTTGGAGAAGATTGTCAATCTCACGACAGAGGCCTGTGATCATCTCGACGGCCGAGTAGACGGAGTGGTCGCTCGCACTGATCTGTGCAAGCTGCGTTTCGACTTGAATTCGACCATCGGTGAAGCCAATACCTGTGACTCATCCGCCGAGATCACCAATTTTATGCCTTATATCCCATCCCAGAATGGGGACTGTGACTGCAGAGGGTGTGGCTGTCGCTCGGGAGATCCTCAATGGCGCGCATGACAACCTTGGTCGACGAATTTACGTGTCCTACCAACCTACAGCGGCATTCCAAGACGCTGTCACTTCCTATAACGAGACAACTGGGACGTATGGCGCATACTTCGTTGCGCAGTCAGCCCAGTGGGTTGAGATCGGGCTGAACCTCTTGACCAACGTTTCTGCTCTTTCTAGCTTCGAAGGCGTGACAAGGGATACCTTCCGCGACTGGATTGCCACTGGCTTCCAGAGATATTACGATTTCACTGGAGACGACGTGGCCTGACCTTTCAGTCTGGCACAACGCCGGCGGCAAAGTTCTGCATTACCACGGCGAGTCAGACCCCCAGGTTCCAACCGCTGGCTCGGTCCGTTACTTTGAGTCGGTCCGAAGCGTCATGTACCCCGGTCTCTTCTATAACCAGAGTGTTGTAGAACTCAACAATTGGTACCGTCTGTTCCTCATTCCTGGTGGCGCTCACTGCGGCGCAAATAGCCTTCAACCCAACGTACCTTGGCCGGAGACTACTCTGGCCACCCTGATCGATTGTGTTGAGAAGGGCATCGAGCCCAAGACGCTTAATGGAACCATTCAGTCTACTGGTGCTCAGCAGCAAATCTGCGGCTGGCCCCCTCCGTCCGTAATGGACCAACAATGGTACCAAATTGCGATGCGTCTATGACCAAAGGTCCCTCGATACCTGGAAGTACGACCTCAATGCTTTTAAGATGCCGATTCTCTGATTTGCGAACCAACAGCTCACTTCTTTGTTCAGGCCGTATTGCAATATGTACAGGACAATGGTGGCGGCTCTACGCTGTCTCTATCCTATTTTCAAATTTTCTGAGACTCTTTCTCTGGGAAGATAAACCACTATCTGGCGTACATGAATGTGAACATACTTTAAATGACTTTTGCGAGTCAAGATCATTCCCGCCCTCCCGGGGGCCTTTATCTTGGAACTAGGCTCTTACTCGCCTTTCCCCGAATCACCACCTCTAGACCTAGATCCAGTACACCTTTTCACATCCCAGACCAGGCCTGTGCGCTCCCAGGCCCAAATCCACCATTTGGTGACATCCAAATCTCCGCGTCGGACCCCATTTCGGTAGTCCCCGGGAAACGCATGATGATAGTTATGATACCCCTCGCCGAGGGTGACCACCGCCAGCAGCGCACAGTTCCGCGCCGTGTTGCGGGTGGAGTACGGCTGCTCCCCAATCCAGTGGGCCAGCGAGTTGATACAGTACGAGACATGCCATACGAGCACCACCCGCAGACACCCGGCGTACAGGAACCCGCCGTGCCAGTCGCCCCACAGCGTGCCGGCCACGGCAGCCGGCAGCAGGAAGCCCATTAGCCCCGCCAGCGGGTAGTAGGCGCGCCGTTGCCAGACTACCACGGGGTCGCGGTCGAGGTCGCTCAGGTCTACCCCTTCGGTCTTATGACCAAACTTCTCGGAGTTGTAGGTGATGATCCAGCCGATGTGCGTGTAGAGGAGACCGCGTTTGGCGTTATAGGGGTCACGATCGGTGTCGGTGAAGCGGTGGTGGGCGCGGTGGTCGGCGGCCCAGACACGGATGGGGAGCTGGAGGGCGCCGGCGCCGAGGGCTGCGAGGATGATGCGCAGCGGGAGGCAGGCTCTGTACGCTTGATGGGTCCAGAGGCGGTGGTATCCTGATTTTGTTCTTGGGTATTAGTGGCGGTTTGTTTCTCGGAGGCGGGATGAGGGACGGACCAGCGGTGATACTTAGCCCTGTCATGAAAGCGTAAATCAACGTCCACACGCAGGTTTCCCACTGAAGTGGTGTACGGGAAGCATTGTATGCCACGTACAAAGGCAGGCCAAGTTGGGCTGCCGTGTAGCGGGGGTGTACTAGCTTCCACCACGGTTTGCGAGGAGAATCCATGGGGCGAAGAGCACGGGACGGGCGATGGACGTCCAGCAATGCGGTCGAATAGCTGGGATATGCACCTCCCAAGAGAGGGAGGATGCCCCATCATATCAAGGCCCGAGGCCCTAGACCCTAGGCCCTAGCTAGCCTGCTGAGAAGCCATGCCTGGGACTTCAGACAAGGGACAAGTCCCGCCTGCATTTGACCTTCGATTCCAGATCCACATATGCGCCCCTGATCGACTGACGCCTTCACATGCAAGGGTGAATACTCGACCCGCTACTGATCGGACACTTTTGTGCAGCGCAGTACTTGCCATAGGACCGTGGCACCGTACGAATGTCCCCATCAGTCTATTTCTAACATCTCGACCCATTTCAGCCCATGCAAAATCTCTTCCTCCTCTCCCGCGTGATTTAACCGAAGCAACAAAAAGGCATCAATGACCATGGACAACTCCTCGCGCTGGACAGCCCTAGTCCACAAGCACCCGGTCCCAGCGATCGAACTCGTCGGGATGCTAGGCGTCCAAATCCTCACCTTCTGGGTCCCCGCCGGTATATTCACCATACTCGACCTGCTAGCCTGGCCCTCCATCCAACGCTACAAGATCCAGCCGGCGCGCAAGCAGCCGTCTCGCGAGCTCATCATCCGCGACGCCCTGCTGGGCTCTCTCCAAAGTCAACTGCTGAGCACCACGCTCCAGGCCCTGCAGCTAACGGTAGTTCACGCTGTCCTCGCGCGCCCAGATCTCGGCTACCGCATGCCGGCGACCCTCCCCAGCCTCCCGGAGTTCCTGACGGAGCTGACCCTGTGCGTCCTGGCGCGCGAGACAATGTACTATTACAGCCACCGGGTGCTGCACCACCCGCTCTTCTACGCGCGGTTCCACCGTCAGCATCATCGCTTCCACACCCCCGTCGCGCTGGCGACGCTGTATGTCCACCCCGTCGAGCACATCCTCACTAACGTTCTGCCCATCGCGGGGCCCGCGCGCCTGTTCGATGTGCATGTCGTGACCTTGTGGGCCTTTGTTGGGGTCGTTGGCATCCAGGCCGCCCTGGCGCACTGTGGGTACCGTCTGTTCGAGATGCCCGGCGGGTGGAAACCCGAGGTTCATGACCTACACCACGAACTGATGACTGTCAATTACGGATTGATTGGACTCCTGGACAGGGTGCATGGGACACGGGCGACGACCAAGCTGAGGAAGAGGGAGTGATGCCAGGGGTAGGTCATCCATAGTTAGTGGGGCTCGCTGGGGAGGTTTCGAGCGATGCCTCCAGTTAGCGTAGGTCCCGGTATATTACAGAATGAATTCTCTGAGAAAGTCCGTTTGGATTGGTTGTTTTCACCAAGGCTTGACTACCTGAGCGATGCGGCGTATGTACGGAGTACTGTTTACCCCCATTCAGGGGGCACGCCAGCTAGAGGCACAGCCCTGATTGGCGAAGGGGGGAAGATTGAAGAAGAAAAATGCTGCATTGGCAAAAAGCTTAGAACGTCGATTTGGAAAGAGGAATGTGTGAGCGGCTGGCTCGGTAGTCCATTTTTGCATGCGATGTGATATGTCAAACCACTTCATTGGGACAAAGCTTCTGGGATCTGCTATGCGATGGGTGATAGATCCGATCGGGAGCAGCACCGATCGGGAGGCTCTCACTGGCACTGTAACGATAGACTGAAGAATTTAATCTGGCTGAGCAGTACGGAGCAGACCGTAAGGAGCAGAACAAGGGGGTGTCTGAATCAATAACTGACCCTCATTGACGCAAGGGAGCAGACATTGGACTCAGAGGCATGAATGTAGACACGGGACAAAGTGCAGAGGACACAAGCCCTTACTTAGTGCTGGCGTCTGCATCCAAGCTGCAAGTATAAATATGATTGGTGGCCAGGCCACTGCGGCCGATGCAGCTAGCGAAGTTCGAGCGTTTTTGCCTCCAGAATCCTGTGAGTTGAGCTCCGAACGCTCACCGACTCCGAAACCACACCCACAGAACACACACAACAACGATAACCATCATGTACCTCGCGGCCTCGGCTCGGTGGCTCTGCTTCCTAACCTGGATCTGCGCCGTCATTCACCCCGCCTCAGCAAAGGATGCCCCCACGGTGATCGCCGGCATGAATGATCTTCGCCAAAGTGTCGACTCGGCTCAAGCAGTTTTCAACGGCTACGATGGTGGGTGGATGTCGTCGTGGGAACTGGCCCGTGCCGTCTGGGACGTCTATACCCAAACCAAGTCGGCTCGGGGACAGTGGGATTCCGCCCCAGCTTTCAAAGACGATGAAGTGCCGGACATCTTAGTCGCCTACCACTCTATGAGGCAATCTGTTGCGGATACGCTGGGTGCAGCCGGCAGCAAGGTATGTGTTCTTCCCCCTTCCCCCGCGCTGCGGTTGTGCCCATTCTGGATACGTCTTTGCTGACTGACACTGCTTGGTTTCCCCCACCGCACAGGGCTCAATGTACGATAAGAGCGGTGTGAGGCTTATGGCAATCGCTATCATGCAAATGTTCGAGAACGAACGTAGCTCCTTCCAGGAAGCGGCGCGGGCGAAGATCCCCGAATCGTTCCATGATGATATTGCGGGCCCAGTGGCCAATCTTGGCAACGAGTTCCAGAGCGCTATGAAAGCTCTCGCATAAAGGGCTTTCTACGTCAGACCAATCACATTTTGTCCCAATCGAGCTAGAAACCTCAAATAGCCGACTGCTCAATTCCATGTTCATCGCAGACAATAAAAACATGCAATTCCCCATGAAACATGCAAAGCCCGAGGTCGAGCTTTGGTAGAACACATCATCCCGTACAACATAGTGCACTCGAATGTATGCAAAATGGCTTCAGGAACCATGTGTCACGACTCTCATCCATCAAAGGAGCCTGGCCCTGAGCCGCTGGCTATTGTAGGCATGGCCCTGCGTCTTCCAGGGGGCGTCAACACGCCGGAGGATTTCTGGAACTTCCTCCTCAACAAGCAAAATGGTCACGGCCAGGTACCTGGGTCCCGGTACAACATTGATGCCTTCCACCATCCCTCGCGAACGGGTTCGGTGCGGACGAAGGATGGATATTTTCTCCCTGAGGATCCAGCTTATTTTGACCACCAGTTCTTCTCGCTGACCCCATTTGAAGCCTCTCGACTAGACCCTCAACAGCGTCTCCTACTCGAGGTCATCTATGAGTGCATGGAATCCAGTGGACAGGTGGGGTGGCGTGGCCGAGGGAGGAAGATCGGCTGCTTTGTCGGTGTATTCGGCGAGGATTGGTACGACCTGCAGTCCAAGGACACGCAGAGGATAGACCGATTGCATGTTCTCGGAACAGGAAACTTCGCGCTCTCCAATCGCATCTCCTATGAGTTTGACCTTACAGGGCCGAGGTAGGATCAAGCTGCCTCTCTCATGGACGTCCTCCTGCGCATCGGTGGCTAACTGGATATTCCTCAGCATGACGTTGGCGACGGGGTGTTCGTCGTCCATGGTAGCGCTGCACGAAGCCTGCCAGGCGATATTATTGGGAGATTGCGAGTCGGCGATTGTGGCTGGCACAAACCTCATCCTGACTCCGACCATGACCACCACGATGTCAGACAACCTGGTGCTATCGCCCAGCGGTATTTGCCGTACCTTCGACGCTGGAGCCGACGGCTACGGTAGGGCTGAGGGAGTGAATGCACTGTATATCAAGCGTCTTGCTGATGCCATCCGCGATGGAGACCCCATCCGCGCGGTCATCCGCGCCACAGCGACCAACTGCGATGGACGGACCCCAGGCATCACTACCCCCGGCTCAGTCACGCAGATGGCGCTTGTCAAAGAAGCGTACAAGCGCGCACAAATCTCGAGAATCACAGATACAGGATTCTTTGAGTGCCATGGCACGGGCACAGTCGCAGGAGATACTGCGGAGACATCGGTGGTTGGAGATCTATTTCGCGAAGCTGGCGTCGTTATCGGCTCGGTGGGTGACTTAAAATTGACAGATTCAATGACAGAGCGTGGGGTTGACTCGGAAGCAGGTAAAACCCAATATGGGCCACTCAGAGGGTGCATCGGGAATTACGAGCATAATAAAGACTGCTCTGGCGCTCAAACATCGCACCATCCCACCGAACATCTTCTTCAGTTCTCCCAATCTGAATAGTAGGCGTCACATTTCGACATAGTCTTTGGTTGTCACTAACAAATGCCTTGCAGTACCGTTCGAGGAGTGCAAGCTAGTCGTGCCAGTCGATGCTATGCCATGGCCAGCGCATAAAGAACTCCGGGCCAGTGTGAATTGCTTCGGTATCGGGGGAGCCAATGCGCATGTGAGGCCATTCGTCGGTCAAGACCTCGCACGATGCTATGCTGACCATCATCACAGGCCATTCTCGAACCAGCGCCAATATCGTGTCGAGAAGTTCAGGCTTTGGTTGCCCAGCAGCCTCATGAAACTACAAAGAAGCTGTTGGTATTGTCCGCAGCTAGTGCGCAAGCTCTCTCCGAACGCGCCGGGAGTCTGGAGCGATTTTTGGCGAACACAAGCTTGGGTCTGAATGATGTTGCCTACACCCTTGGAGTAAGAAGGGAGCATCTGAAGTACCGCACCTTTGCGATTGTCTCTTCCGACATCGAGTTTAGCCCGCAAGAATCCCCTCTGGAGGCTTCATCGTCTCCCGAAGTCACCTTAGTCTTCACAGGCCAAGGTGCACAATGGGCTGGAATGGCTCGCGAGTTGCTCGAAAATTGCAAAGACTTCAAGAACGACGTTGAGCACATGGATGAAGTGTTGCGGTCTGCAAAGCCTGCTCCGTCATGGTCGATAGCAGGTATGTACATCAACCACGAAGTGACCAAGACCAAACTACAACTCATGCCCTCGCAGACACCTTGTTAGTACCAGAGGCGCAATCACAGATTCATGATTCACGTCTCTCTCAGCCTATTTGCACTGCGATTCAGATTGCGATAGCCAACCTGCTCAGAAATTGGGGTTTTAAGGTGTCGAGTGTGATAGGACATTCCAGCGGAGAGATTGCGGCAGCCTACGCGGCCGGGGCTTTCTCGCTTCGCAGCGCGATAATGATTGCCTATCATCGTGGAAGGTTGACCCAAGGTGTAAGCAATGGTTCTATGGCTGCAATTGGCCTCGCACGCAACGAGGTTGAGCCATGGTTGGTAGAGGGTGCTGTCATAGCCTGTGAGAACAGTCCTCAAAGCATAACGATCTCAGGTGACACACAAGCAGTCAATGCGACCATTGACGCAATTCGTACTGCATACCCAGACGCATTCTGCCGGATGCTAAAGGTTAAAAAGGCCTATCATTCTCGTAGGTACCCCCTCCGATGGCAAAGCCTTTGCAATTGGCCATCACTGACCCACTGAGTAGCAAAGATGCAGCCCATGGCCGCGGACTATGCTGCGGCTATTGCCCCCGAAATTGAAACAGTCGCCCCACACATGATACCGATGTATTCCACTGTGGTTGATGAGGTGATCCAGGACTCCGGTAGGCTCGACAGTGACTACTGGAGCCGTAACCTGATCTCGACTGTCGAGTTCAACAAAGCGATGAAGACCATGCTCCGAACCAAGCCCGACCATGATCGGCTTTTCATCGAGGTCGGGCCTCATAGTGCGCTTCAGGGGCCGCTGCGTCAGGTATTTGACTCGATCAAATCCAAGGGACAGAATTGGTACATTCCAACCTTGGTACGGGATCACAGTGCGGAGGATGCCCTCCTTCGCGCAGCAGGACTGGCTTATGGCAGAGGGGCTGAGATTGACCTTTTGCGCATCAACGGCCCAGGAAAAGTTGTTGACTCTCTGCCACGGTACCCATGGCAACATACAGAGCGGCACTGGAGCGAGAGTCGGCTGAGTGAGAACTGGCGACTGCGGGAGTTTCCTCATCACGAGCTTCTCGGATCCAGGGTACTCGAGTCAAGCCCTATGGAGCCTTCGTGGCGTAATGTGCTTCATATCCACAATTCCACCTGGTTAGGGCATCATAAGCTGTTCCGGGATACCGTATATCCTTGCGCTGCATATGTGGCGATGGTCGGGGAAGCCATTCGCCAGCATTGCCACTGCGAAGGATATGAAATTCGAAACTTGATCCTCAAGAAGCCACTTTTCCTTCAGGAAACAAGCGGCACCGAGGTCCTCACGTCTCTTAGGCCCGAACGATTGAGCGATATTGCTGACTCCGAGTGGTTTGAGTTTACGGTTCTTGCCTTAGACGGCACCGAGTGGAGCAAGTACTGCCATGGTCAAATACGAGCGATTGCTCCGACAGCGCTACCGAAAGTCAGCAAACAACCCCGTTGGACGCGGGGAGTAGAGCCGGCGGATTGGTATCAATTTCTGGCTCGCCTGGGGCTCAATTATGGAACAAGCTTCCAGCGAATGAAGGACATAACGGCCGACCCGGTAGAGCATCAGGCGAATGCAACTGTGCTTGAGAGCAGCAGTGACTATGAAGGCGATTACCTGGTACATCCAACGGTAATTGATCACTGCCTTCAACTATTGTCAGTCGCTGTGGTCAATGGAATTCGAAGACACGCCACCTCGTTGGCTATCCCAGCCTTCATCGATCGGATTAGCATCACGCAGACTGAAGGAGATATGTGGATTCAAACTGATACATGCAACATCTTATCCTCGACCAGCATGTCCGGAAATGTCAGTATGCTTAGCAAAGGGGGACCGGCATTGGTAATCAACGGAGCGACTTGTATTTCTCTCGCCAATGATGAGCCAGATAATGAGAGCCCAATTCCTCTCATGTCTCAGGTGGAATGGGCGCCATGCCTTGACCTCATCTCGCCGGCAGAATGGCTGCCTCCCAAGACCGAGGAAAGGGGTTTGTCGCTGATGGCAGAACTCACATGTTTCTACATTTTAGAAACCACATCCCAGATTGCAGGCTTAGTACCCGCGACCACACATCTGGCAAAGTACCAGTCATGGCTGATGAGAATACACGATCAGCTCGTTAATCAAACCACCCAAAATTTTCTTCAGATTCGCTGGCAAGACATGACCAGTGAGGAGAGACATGGTCGAGTCGCCAAGATTCAAGAGCAACTCGCGCTGCTAGGACGAGGTGTTGACAGACTAGGAGAAGTCTTGAGACAGGTATCTGAGAATGCAAGACGAATTATACAGGGCCACGTTGCTCCACTGGAAGTCTTGTCCATGGATATCTTGCGAGATGTGTATGACTTCAATAGCTCGCTCTCAGACTGGAAGCCATTCATGTCGCTGGTCGGCCACTGGAACCCTCGGGTCAGGGTTCTCGAGATTGGCGCTGGCACAGGGGCTACCTGCGAACATGTGATGAGTTCCCTGCGATCGAAAGGCGGGGAGAGAGCCTGGGCCAGTTACACCTTCACTGACATATCACCGGCCTTCTTTTCAGCTGCAGCAGAAAGGTTTAGCGAGCACGAGAATATCGTGTTCCAAACACTCGACATCACCCAGGACCCTCTCCAGCAGGGATTTATCTCGTCTTCATATGACCTGATCATCATCTCTAATGTAAGATCCGCCGTCGCTTCTCACCTAATTCAGGTATCGGCACGTAGCATAACTCATCCTTGCTGACACCATTATGAAAGGTCATTCATGCCACGCCTTCGCTCCGCGGTGCATTGAGAAATGTCTATAATCTCCTGGCTCCCGGAGGATTCCTTGTACTACAAGAGCTCTGTCCCGGTGAGTTAAGACTGTGCCATCTCGCGTTTATTTAAGGCTCTTAGATCTGACCACAACAGACATCCTGTTTATCGATTTCGTCATGGTAGGTCACATGCCCGCATACATTGCTTGTGGTCCAATTACGCTAACAGTATCTCAAGGGCACTTTACCTGACTGGTGGAATGGTGAAAGCGACGGAAGGCGCCAGGCTCCGTACGTCAAGCCGGAGCGATGGCACACTGAGCTTCTGGAAGCGGGATTCACTGGAGCAATGTGCGTGACGCTAGACCACAAGCCCCCATATCAGCAGAGTGCCAATATAATCTCCCGTCGACCCGCCGAGTATGTGCCGGCACAAAAGGTCACACTCCTCTCAGTCAGCGCCGAAAGCACTATTCCATGGGAGAAAAGGCTGGAGGAAACACTTTTGAAACAGGGTTACCACGTAGATTGGGCCACACTGCAGTCGCTACCCGCGAATACAGAATGTCTCATCTCTCTCCTCGATCTGCATGCACCCGTGATGCATGACATGAACGAGACGCAGTTTGAGGAGCTGAAGGATTTATTCTCAATGAGTTCCAAGGTACCGCTCATTCATCTAACGCGCAGTGTGCAAACCACCTGTCAGGACCCTAGGTTGGGTCTTGTCCTGGGGTTTTCTCGAACTTTGCGAAGGGAGATAGTTGGGAAGATCGTCACTGTTGAGCTTGATGCATTGAATGACGAAACGTGTAAAGCGATCGTGGACATATATCACCGAACACGACAGAGAGTCCCGAAGGAGGCGCTGATAGACGACGAATATGTGATTCAGAATGGCCAGGTCTATACTAGCCGAGTTCACTGGCACACGCTCAGAAGTCAATTGGAAGAAGACCCTGACTTGAAGGCAGGACGCTGCTTGTCTGTTAAACGGTATGGGCTTGTTGATAGCCTAAATTGGGTAGCTATACCAGATGCAAAGCCGCTGCTCGAGCCCACAGAGATTGAGATAGATGTCCATTACGTTGGCCTGAACTTTCGGGTAGGTGATTGCACCATAGCTTGAAGCCTTTTTGAATGCTAATCGCACACGGAGTCAGGATCTCATGGTTGCTCTCGGTGTTATGGGTGAAGCAAATGAGCTTGGAATTGAAGCAAGTGCTACGGTGCGTAAGGTCGGCGACAAGGTCACGCGGTTCAAAGCTGGGGATCGAGTGGTGGTCTGTGGTAAGGGTCTTTTTCGAACACGGGCGCGCTTTCAGGAGCACGAATGTACCAAGATTCCTCCAGGGCTGTCTTTAGAGGACGCGGCGACGGTCTCAGCGGTATACGCGACAGCGTTTTACGCCTTGATAACTGTCGGTCAAATACAGCCAGGCCAGGTAAGGAAAGATTTGGTTTCGAGCGTCGGAAGCTTTGCGGTAACACACACTGACATTTCCGAAAGACTGTTCTCATTCATTGTGCCACGGGGGGTGTGGGCTTGGCCGCCATTCACATATGCCAGGAAATTGGCGCAACCGTATAGCCCCCGACTCGACTTTCCACGCCTATGGTCTCTCGCTGACAATGTTAATAGATCTATGCCACTGCAGGGTTGCCTGAAAAACGTGAATATCTGCATACCGAGTATGGTATTCCCACACAGAACATTTTCACCTCTCGAGACGATTCCTTTCGTCAAGGGGTCATGAGCAGAACAGCTGGAGCAGGGGTAGATTTGGTTCTAAACTCACTGGCCGGAAGCCTGCTTCATGCATCGTGGCAGTGTGTTGCCAAGTTTGGCAAAATGGTCGAGTTAGGGAAGCGAGACTTTCTTGCGCGCGGAAGCTTGAGCATGGATCTTTTCAACGGCAATAGGTCCTTTTTTGGTGTCGACATGTTGAGCATCATGGCAGAACAGCCTAGTGTGTCACAGCGGTAAGAGTCGTTGCAAAGATAAGATAGCTGATTGACTAATCCAAGATGCCTAGATTGATGGAGCAATTCGTTGAGTGGTACAAGGGCAATAAAGTACAACCGCTCCGACCGACTCGACTATTTGCAGCCAGCGAAATAGCTGAGGCTTTCAAGTATATGCAAAGTGGGAAGCACATGGGCAAAATCGTGATCAGAATGCCAACAGTGGGAGACGGATTGTCTACAAGTCCAGCCAAGATTCCTGTGACTCTATCGGAAAACAAGTCGTACTTGCTGGCCGGTGGACTGGGTGGCCTTGGGCGCGCCGTGGCGAATTGGCTCGTCGAGAATGGAGCCCGACACCTGATCTTTCTCTCGCGGTCAGCTGGTCGGCGGGCGGATCATGAGCAATTCGCTCGTGAACTAGACCGACAGGGCTGTATGGTCGAGATGGTTTCCGGAGACGTGGCGCGGCTACAGGATGTCAAGGTAGCTCTTTCCAAGGCCGCCGGGCGGGCAATTGGAGGAGTCATTCAACTGTCCATGGTGCTTCAGGTACACTTCCAGAGCCCCAATTCTGCAACCTTGGCTCGCCCCTCTACTTTGTATCCCAGCTAACGCAGCGATATAGGATGTTAGCTTGGCTAAGATGACGCATAGTCAGTGGCTGCAATCCATTAGACCCAAGGTCGATGGCACCTACAATCTTCATTGGGCATTAGAGGCGCACGAATCAAGCCTCGAATTTTTTGTCTTGTTCAGTTCTCTGGCCGGCGTGGTTGGCACAGTAGGGCAATCAAACTATGCAGCGGCTAACGCCTTCTTGGATGCCTTCGTACTGTATCGTCGGCAGCTAGGCCGCGTCGCGTCGGTGCTAGATCTGGGTCTCGTGGAGGACATTGGATGCATGCATCAGGACCACCAGGCCACGTTGAACCGTGCGCGGTCGACAGCAGCGCGTCTCATTCGTGAGGAAGATGTTGTGAACGCACTCCATGTAGCCATTCTGTCCGGCAGATCGCCACCAGATCCCGCAAAGATGGTCTCAGGTGTGATGATGGTCGGGGCGAGTGCCGTGAAGCCCCTCTCGGCGCCAGGCGTGACACCCTTGTGGGGCCCGGATATCAGGTTTTCCACCTATGAGAACCTGCAGGGGCAAGTGGAACGAGATCTTGAAACAGACAAAATGGACCTGAAGGGGTTCTTCTCCGAGATTCAGAGTAACCCAGATCTGCTAGATGATCCTGCCACGGAATTACGCATTATGTCCGAGCTGTGCAATTTGATCAACGCTCATATGTCTCGCGATGGAAGAGAGAGCGAAGATATGGCGACTATCCCGATCGACTCGTTGATGTCGATCGAAATTCGAAATTGGTTTCGCAGGCAACTCGGGATGGAGATCAGTCTGACAGAGATCTCGAAAGCGGGCACCGTTGGTGGGCTCAGTCGCGTGTGTGTGGCTACACTCAAAGAGAGGTATGCTGCGCTGAGTAAAGGCACAGAGACTGTTGAGAAAGAAAGCAAGTAGCACAATATGGATTGTTGTTGTCTGTCTTTGAGAAGTGGGTTGTGGATTAATTGAAGAGGGGGAGGAAACGAGCCTGAGGGGCGGCGGAGCCTGGAGCACATGACCACCTACCAAATTAGGGAATAGCCAATATCTACCTTCTTCACTCGTTTCACTGAACCTCCACGCAACTTGCAGCTTTATTCTAACAGTTATGCGATCCGAGTTTTACAAATTCATAGACACTCAAGTCCTTTAAGGACTCTTCGACTGTATCTTGCAAAGAAATAATCGGCCAGATAGGTGTTCCTCGCCTTCCAGGGCTCATCGCTACCCACTCTTGGGAGACAACTTTCTTGAGACAAGATATACGATGACTTCAGAGAAATTGGCCGCTGGGCAATAGCCTGCACGTTCCCTCTGAAGCGAGGCACCATAGCAGGCGCACCGCTCTGCTCCATCTCCCGAATCACGCGACAGATCAGTTGCGCTCGCACGTCCGCCCCCAACGTCCACGAGGTATGCGCATACCCGGTGACAAAGCCCGCATTTGGGATATCTTGAATCATAACGCCATTCCAAGCAAGCCTTCCGCCAAGATTGATCTCGATCCCATCCACAAGGATCCCTACCCCACCTGCGAATTGAAGCTTTAGCCCCGTAGCAGTCACAATGATGTCCCCTGGCAGGTACTTTCCAGACTGAAGCTTCAGACCATGTCGGTCGACATTGGCGATGTGGCCTGTCTCTATCACCGCTCGGCCACTTTCCAACGCTCGGAACATATCCCATCCGAAACAGACATTGGGTCGTTGCTCCCACGGGTCATATGCGGGGATAAAATGAGGGTCGACGGGTACATGGGCTGGAAGCTGCCATCGGGCCCAAAAAACACATATTCGCTTTGTCAGTCTCGGGAACCAGTGACAGATCTGGAAGAATTGCTTGAGGACGATCATCCAAAGAACCCATTTGAGCTGATGGACCCAGTGCCAACTTCCGTTCTTCCGATGCCGTCTCTCGGGGAGAGTAAGGAGGTAACCTGGACTTCTCTGAACGAGCGTCACCGATGCAGCAGTTTGGGCAAGCTCCGGGAGTAAAGTCATGGCCGTTGCTCCGCTACCAATCAGTAGGATATGTTTACCCGAATAGTTCAAGTCGTCTGGCCAGAACTGGGGATGTACCACTGGGCCTGCAAATACACTCAACCCTGGGATTTCAACTAGTCGGGCCTCGTTGTGGTCAAAGATACCAGTGCAGAAAATGACAAATTTCGTGTGAAGTACCACAGCGGAGACCGTTGCTCCGTGGTGGTGGCATACCAGCTCCCACTGGCGCAAGGCGCTTGACCAATGTGCCGAATATAGTTTGTGATTGAAAAGAATATGATTCCCAAGCTCAAAACTGCTGGCAGCGGCCGCCAAGTATCGTGAGATTGATTCCCGATCGGGGTGCTTAGTCTTCTGATTCCATGGAAACCAAGGATACGAGTAAGTATAGATGTCGGAATCTGCGCGGAGGCCAGGATAATGAAACGTGTCCCAGGTGCCGCCTACAGTGCTCTTGCTTTCGATAACAACGTATCGACAATGAGGCAGCTCGTGTTGTACCCGATAAGCCATGTTAATGCCGGCCAAGCCAGCCCCAACAATGACGATGTCCCAGTCAGATCTGCATTCGTGCTTCTGCATTGTGCCATGAGTCACTATGACTTCTGGGATGAAAGGAAAAAGCTTTCATGACGCCTTCACATCGCCTTTATCATCCCAGCGACGAAATGAATTGCTCCAAGCCCTGACAGGGGCTGAACCTATTTTCCCCGCCCCCTTGCTTCGCCCTGCAGATCATTGAAGGCCTCTCCATGAGCCCGACGATAAATACCGCAATTTCCCTTCTCAATCGACTCCGGGCTCGTTTCTAGTATCCTATCCTTGCAGCAAGTGTTCTGTTCTCGCAAACCGCGATGCCTGACATCAGCAATGGTCCTGATGATGGCCTTTACTATCCGGTGATTATCATCGGAGCTGGAATATCCGGCATCGGATGTGCGTGTCAACTGCAACGCAAATTGAACTTTGATCAATACATGATATTTGAGGGTAGGGACGGATTCGGTGTAAGTCCTCGGTTCATGGCGTTGAATGCTTGTTTCAATATCACGTTGACATAGATTAGGGGACATGGTGGAGTCACCGATACCCAGGGGTAGCTACTGACTCGTGAGTCTTAATTCAGAAACCTCTCACTTCAAGCTGCCATTCGCCAGTGCTTAACCGATTAGCTAGACCCTCACCACTCTACTCTTACTCTTTCGCTCCCAAGGCAAATTGGTCGGGCCCCAAGGCGACTGGCAAGGAGATGTACACCTACCTGCGTGCGATTTGCAAGCAGTACAATCTTCTAGATAGGATCCAACTCAATAGCGTCGTCACTGAGTTGGCGTGGGATGCCACTCGAAACGTATGGCAAGCGACGGTTATCACCCCCAAGGCGCGAACCACTGTAAGGGCCAAAATCGTCATCAGCGCAGTCGGCAAGGTCGGAACTCCTGACATGTCGATGTTGAGAGAGGTCCCCGGCATGGAGACTTTTCGGGGCGAGATAATGCATACGGCGCAGTGGGATGACTCTATTCCTTTGATAGGCAAAGACATCGCGGTCGTGGGTGGGGGATGCAGTGCCGCGCAGCTCGTGCCGCAACTGTTGCTTCCCTCGAAAACGAACGGGTCAGGATCTGTCACCCAAATCATCCGCTCGCCTCACTGGGTCACGCCGGATCCTTACTTAGGTAAACTGTTGGGATTATGGAATCTATGCATGCCAGCGATCACCCGGAGCAGACTAGGCGCCCGGTTGACGCGTTTCGTGCTTTTCAGCATCTACGAACTGCTCCACTTCACTTTCTATCGGCCGCATCCTAACGGAGGCAAGCTACAAAGATGGCTACAACGGAGGCTAATACGTTATCTTAACCAGAGGGCTCCCGAGGAGTATCATAGTATGCTCACGCCAAGATACGCGGTTGGGTGTAAGAGACTAATCCTCGATCCAGGCTGGTTTGACTGCCTGCATGACCCGAGGTTTCGCCTCCACAATTTACCTATTAAGCGGTTCGAGCGCACCTCTGTGATATTGGATCACGGCGACCAGGAAGTCAAAGTGCCCACTGATGTACTCATTCTAGCGACAGGATACAGCCCAGGTGCAAATCTCCTCTCGTCTATGCGCATCATGGGGAGAGATGAAGCCGACCTCCACGGCCTTTGGACTGCAAGGGGAGGGCCACAAGGGTATCTAGGTGTTGCAATGGACCAATTCCCCAATCTTTTCTTCGTTTACGGGCCGAATTCCTCGGTTGGACACACTAGTGTTCTCGCCGGTATTGAGAACTCCATCAATTATATCCTGCAAATTGCCGATCCTGTACTGAAAGGTAAAGTTGCAGCCCTGGAGGTTAAGGAGGAAGCGTGCATGCGGTGGACCAGGAAGGTTCAGCTGGCTTCAAGAGACTCTATTTGGGCCACGGGCGGCTGCACCAATTGGTACATTGACCCAAACGGATGGAACTCGATGATTTACCCGTAAGTCGTGGAACTTCCCCTATGGGCTACTCTCTTTCTCTGCTGATTGCCTACAGATTCTCCCAGGTCTACAATTATTACACCAGCATGTCGCCAGACTGGAACGATTGGGCCGTTACTTACACAGAGCTGGGGCCTAGTCAGCCTCTGCGAATAAGGTCAAGGTTCCCGCTCTGGATTGTGTTTATTATCATGGCTTGTTTGATCCCCATCGGCACGCAATTCGTCCTGAAAGGTGCTATCAGAGAGGCGATATGGTTCAGACCGATGAGAGTCTAGATTCTCAGCACTTTTTGATCACCGCAAACTCCCTGTCTGGCCAAGCCAGAGCTAAACAGAAAGCCACGGACTGGATCAGATCGACCACGGGCCCCAACACAACAACAAGAAACACATGCAATATCAGATCTGATACTGTGACCCCAGGGTAATCAAGATCCTGTATCACACATCCCACCACGCGCCCATGAAGATGAACAGCGAGATTCCAAGTTAGCCAGACAAAAGCATGATGCGATAGCGATACCCTCCACCCAGAAGCGACAAAGATAGTCCTGAATCAAGTCATCCTTGGTTAGCAATCAGACTGCAATGTCCGGCGAGCACTTACAAGCCCAAGTGCACAAAAGACTCCAGCATTGGAATCGCCAACGCCAGTCTGACCTTCCAGTCTGGAACGGACATGATTCCGCTGTACCATCTCCGACGTTGCCGGACGAGATCCGCCAGTCTCTCCGGGGGCTGTTCGCGCGCGACGGCATGAATCCAGCCCGTTTTGAAGCCTTTTTTCGCAGCCTTGCCATCCCACATTGTGTCATTAATCAGCTCCAGCGAAGAAGTCACGTGCTTAGAAGAACAATTGATCGACTCACATGGTACGCAAACCAAAAGTCCTCGGCCAGGCAGTCCGTATCCCAGGTGACTGCATTCTCCGCTTGCCCATTGATCAAAATAAAGCTGCCGTGCATCCATCCGAGCAACGGGCGCTGCAAGAGCCGGACCGGCAGCTGAAACCGGCCAAAGTCCTCTGCCACCCGAAGGGCCTCGGCGACGGTCAGGAGCGGGTCCCTCCAGTGATTGTGGGCGTTGTAAAAGATTGTTCCCTGATACGCGATGATTCAGCCAGATATCTACAGCGAAGTTTTAGAAAAGTACATGCGCGATCTTACCATGCCAATATCCTCCGCGCCCCGCTCAATGAAGTCCACGCACGCACTCAAAACCTCCTCGGTGATCTCCGTCTCTTCATCTAGATGCAAGACCCAGTCTTGCTCCGACAACTGCCAGTGCCTTCGGCACCATTCCAGAACTCTCGCCTTGTATCTTGCGTGATCAGGTCGAAACGAATACGGTACCTCCAACAGCTCCACAAAGTCCGGCAGTATGCCTTTGAAAGGGTTCGGCACTGAGTCTACGACCACATGGAAGCTGATGCGACGCGTCTTGCTGAGCCGATTCCAGTGCTGGGCGGTATGAATCACGGTCTGTGACTTCACGATCAGTTGGTAGCTCTGATTGTCTCTGGCATCGGTGCCTACCTGCACATTCGTCGCTTTAGTGACGAGGCATACTTTCAGACTTCGGAAGAGCCGCTTCTTGGGTGCCTTGGCATACGCGAAGGGTCTTATGGGGAGGCATAATCCCCAAACGTGTAGTATGGCGGGAGCTGGAACAGCAGGAATGGACCCAGAATCATGGCGAGCACGGTGCAGTCTGGTGTCCACCGGGCGTCAGGTACGACGACCTCATGGTAGACACCTGTCCAAATGCTGATCTTATAGAGTCCTAATCGCACTCCTGTTAGTGGAGGGGGTCTACACGGTCAAGAACGGACTCACCCAGGAAGAAGACTGTCGCCGTACAAGGAAATATGGCCCAATTGTAGTTCAAAATCCGATATAGCTTCCGAGTTCGGCTTCTGAGATCGAGCTCTTTGCGATCAGCACCATCCTTAAAGCTCATGATGGATGTTTCCACAGGCAGCACTGGCTGCAAGCTAGACCCTGAATTCACTGATGGTTGGTGGTTACCCTTCGCTTCTGTTTCAGACGGGAGCAAATAATATCAGGCCGGGCTGGAGTCACTCGAATCGGGGTGCTACTCTGTCCATGCAATGGCATTGCTCGGGGATGCGGCAATCAGGCAGTTTGGAGGGTTGAGGAGGAACCAGATAAGTGAATTTTTAACCAGCCGTGAAATCGTGACTTTCATACCGAGGTCTCCGTGTCTGATCGTATGCAGTCTCGTATTCATGACTGGTCAATCTGACTGGGCCAATGTGGCCAGCTGACTGTGCGTTGCATAAAGACAATGAGACACATCAATCCCCGCAAGAGGCTGACTCGACCGTAGAGAGACGGTCAAATGCGAGGCAAAGGTCGGGGCCTTGGAAAGAGTTCTGTGGCATTCGACCTATTAGGCTCGGGTATCGTTGTCCGATTGAAGTTCGCAGCGCATCGATCGCGGTCCATGCAGGGAACGTGTCAGAAGTACGACGATTTGTGGTCAAAAATCAAATTTCCACTCTGTCTGTGTGACGTCAACACGCGAGTTTCGAATGCAAGATGATCCAATGCAGATCGCAGATCTGACTGCTCTGATAGATCATCAAAGCATGAGCATTATGAATTATCTCGACACAATCCCCGCAACCCTCCTAAGAAGAGTGCACTCCGCCGGAGCATCGCAATTATCTGTAAGCGAAGAAAAGTCGCTTCTCAAGCCAGAATTCACCATCATGAAACAGCTCTTGGGTATCTCCAGCCTTCTGGTCGGCATCCTCCTTCTTTCATCATGGTGGTCGTCCGGAATCCTTCCCTGGCAGCGTGCCAACCATAACCAAGCTGCTTCGCCGACGCAGAGAAGCATCTACGCCGCCTATCTGAGCCCCCCAACGGAATTCGAGGACTTTTGGTTCTCCAGATACAAGAATTCAAGTGATTCCTACTTCGATGCTGTCCGGATTCTCGCCTACCAGATCCTCCATGCCTCGGCAACACGCACCAGGCGCAACCTGGACTTCGTGGTCTTCGTCCACGAAGGGGTGGACGAGAGCAAGCGCGACTGCCTGCGACGCGACGGTGCACGGGTGGTCGAGCTGCCGGAACTGAGAGCCGACTGGACGCGGTTCAAGGATGCGCGATGGGCGCACGTTCTCACGCGCCTACGGCTGTGGCAGATGGTGCAGTACGACCGCATCCTGCTTCTCGACGCGGATTCTGTGTTGACTCGGTCCATCGACGCGGTCTGGGACCTTCCAGAGATCCAGCCGAAGGCTCCCTTGTCCACGTCGGTGCATGTGGGTGAGAGGGTCCTGCCGTTACCGAAGTCCTATGTGCTAGCTGGTCTTCCACAGCTGCGACTCAATCATACAGCGCGCCCAGCACACGTGCCAGAGGATTTCTATGATTGGGAGACTCTGAACGTGGGCTTTCTGATGCTGCAGCCGTCGCTCGAGATCTTTGACTATTTCGCCGCCATGCTGGCGGTGCCAGAGAGTTTTGAGAGTAGCATCGCGGACCAGAGTCTCGTGAACGTCGTCTTTGCAGCTGATGGTCCGATGCCCTGGACGCAACTGGATCTGTCGTGGAATGTGCAGTGGCCGTGGCCGGACGATATCTGGGCGGGCTATGCTGTGTTGCATGAGAAGTGGTGGGCACCGCTTCATCTGGAGACGTTGGACTTTTTTCATTCGTGGTACTGGCGGATGATTGGGTTTTATTCGGGGAGAGATGGGTGAGCAGCAGCTGTAAGGAAGCATTTATCTGCGTGTATCCTCAAGTGTCAATTATACTGTTTATTCTTGAAGAAGCAAAAGTGCAGTAGAACAAAGAACAGATCCGGTTAAGGTATTGTCGCCGCTTTTACGAAGATGTTTTCAACTAATCCAATACCTACTGCATACATATTTCCGGTGGAATGACGATTAGATTGCAAGGCTACTCACCGCCCGTCATACCTATGTTCACCCAAATTGATAGTGCCACTCAGAGAGCCTCACTTAGCCTAATAACATCACTCTTCCACGTCCCTAACAGACATATACTATGTAGAAATATAGTGAACAGCTTTCTAGTGCAATTGCATCCCTGCTCCATAGACTATCGGATGAATATACCGGAAAGCTCGGATGTGAATCCACCCGGAACACACCCACTAACCCCATCCGGGCATAGTCTTACCTGGCAACTGTCACGACGTGGACTTTTCCTCCCTGATCCAAACATGTCATGTCAACAAGCTTGACTTTTGATTGCCCTATAGCCTCCCCTGCTCACAACAAACACTAGAATAATCTTGATCTTATCTTTGTTGTATGTAATCTCTAATTTGCTACCATCAACTACACCGACACAAGCACATTAACATTCCCTCCCCACACGCAATGGATCCACCGGAACCCCCAACCACACTCAAAGTAGACAAGGCAGTGACTCTCTCCCTAGAAGATGAATTCGTCACTGTAATCGGTATGGTCCACAGTCCTTCGATCCCCTTCACATGTGGCCACATCGTTTAGCTAACACAAGCCACCTCGCAGATAACCGTCCTTCCTCACGCGGAAGGACAAGAACCAAGAAATATTGCTGCGGGTTATTATCCACACGAGGTTAGTATTGCATCGCGCTCTCCAACGAATCGTGCCCTAACTCCCCCTCCCCTTTCCAAATCCCAGCCCCGAATCGAATCAAAGACACTCGCTGACCACTCCCCAGAACACAAATCCCACTACAAACTCGACCACTACGGCATCATAAACGCAGAGGTCACCACCAACAACCTCACAATCACCTACGTCGACGGCAACGATCTAGACATCATCCACTACCCCGTGCGGCCCGACGAACACGCCCAAGCCACCACCTGGACACAGCACCTCCTCACCCGCGCCTACGGCCACGCGCAACCCTTCAAACGCCTCAAGGTAATCATCAACCCGTTCTGCTCCGGCGCAGTGACCAAATTCCGCACGCTCGCTGCGCCGATCCTCGCCGCGGCACACTGCCACCTCGACGTCGAGGAAACACGCTACAAAGGCCACGCCAGTGAGATCGCCGAGCAGATCGAGCTGGACGCCTACGACGCGATCGTGTGCTGCTCGGGCGACGGGCTGCCGCACGAGGCGTTCAACGGGCTGGCGCGGCGGCCGGATGCCGTCCAGGCGCTGACGACGATGGCTGTGGCCATGATCCCCTGCGGATCGGGCAACGCGATGGCGTGGAATCTGTTCGGGACGGACGATGTCGCGCAGGCGGCGCTGGCGATCGTGAAGGGCCTCAAAATGCCCCTGGATCTGCTCTCGATCACCCAGGGCGATCGGCATACGGTGTCCTTCCTGTCGCAGTCTTTGGGCGTGCTGGCGGACTCGGACCTCAAGACGGAGCATCTGCGGTGGATGGGCGATCATCGCTTCATCTATGGCGTTCTGACGACGATCGCGCAGCGGACGGCGTATCCCTGCGAGCTGGCGTTCAAGACGGTCATGGAGGATAAGGTGGAGATCCAGGCGTATTACGAACGTGCGAGGGTTCGCTTGTTGGAGTCGTCGGATGTGGTGACTGAAAAATCGAGGGCGGGTTCGAGTGGCCTGCCGCTGAAGTACGGCACGGTCCACGACGATATCCCGGAGGACTGGGAGGTGGTCTCCGGCGAAGGGTTGTCGAGCTTTTACGCCAGTAACATGGCGGTTGTGGCTAAAGATACGAACTTCTTCCCGGCCGCGTTGCCCAGCGACGGGCTCTTGGATGTCATGACGGTGTTCGACACGATTGGGATCGTGGGCGCACTCGACGCTACCGTCAAGCTCCCGCAGGGGAAATGCTTTGAGCTCGGCGATGTGCACATGCGCAAGGTCTCGGCGTACCGTCTTACGCCGAAGGAGAAAGAGGGGTGCATCAGTGTGGATGGTGAGTGGTATCCGTTCGAGGCCTTCCAGGTAGAAGTGCACCAGGGTCTGGGTCGGGTGCTCTCCAACCTGCGTCATGCATACCACGTATGAGACACCTGGAAGCGTTCGCAGGGTGCAGAGGTTTGGAGCACAGTCATGCAGAGACCCTTTCATGGATCATTTCACAGAAGTTTAGAGTCTTTGAGTGGACTTGCCCTTGAGCTTGGAACAGGAAATAGGAGGAACTCGCGGAGGGTCCAGAGGCAATATGGAGCGTGTCATTTACTGTAAGACTAGAATCTTTTCAGGACTATCTCTCGTCGAGCTGTTTACGGTTAATCAAACTATGTAACTACCACTCCGTATTGGGAACAATATCAAGTCATAGCCTAGGAGGTGATTTCTCCGCTCAAGACACACTAAAGCAATCCATCGCCATTCCTTCTCGTAACCCTTGTAACAGAAAGCCTCGCTTATCTAAAGAACGGAAAATCCAAGCGCCAGCAGTGTCTCAAAGCATGGATTCTATGTGAAGCTTCTGAACTATATTTCATTGTTGCTACCAGAGACCAATATCTATGATAAGCAGGGGAAGCAATATTGTGAGGCAACCTTGCGAAAATCAGACCACGTGTACTATAAGCATTTACTCGCATTCTTTGAACACAACCTCGCGATCCAAGCCGAATGCATGGGTCATGGGACCTCGAATTGTAGGTTTAAACAACTCTCCATGATCCCTGTGACCATCTGCGTCTACACTCCGGGCTTAGGTTTGGCACGTGGGAACTTTACCCTATCTTCTTTCCTCCACATGAATAGTGTATCAGTCCACGACAGCCCCTTTGAACCGACACAACGCCCAAATGATATCTCCGCTTACTTAAACCTACACTAAATAGAGACTCTAGTACGAACCCAGTACATATAACCTCATCCACAACCTCTTCAACCCATTCCCCCCACAACCTCTCTGCATAACATCAACTATTTCCCCAATCCACCCCCCTCCCCCCTCTCCCAAAACCCAGCAATCAACCCCGCCACCTCCGGCACCCTCTCCCTCACAACCCCATGCCCCACCCCCAGCACAACATGCACATCCCCAAACCCCAAGTCCCGCAACTCGCGCACGGTACACAAATCATCCAACTCGCCCAGCACACACCTGGCCGGAATCCCCGTCGACGCCGCCTCCCGAAAGACGTCATGCATATCCATGACCCCGCCATCGCGAAAGATCCCCACCACGCTGGCCGCATGGCCCGGATGCTCCTCGACCTGCCACGCCCGGACCTTCGGCGCCACCACCTCCCCGCTGGCCACCCTCGCCTCCCAGTCCGCCGGCACGACCAACGGCCCGCCCTCCAACCACCCCAAAATCCAGTCGCGGGCGCGCTGCTCCACCGCCGCATCGCCATCGCCACCCGCCAGATACGCCCGCTGCTGCGCGGTGAACTGCGCCGCGCGGAGCAGCCCCGCCGGCGCGACGAGGGCCATGCTCTCCACCCTGTCGGGAAACGAGGCCGCAAAGGAGACGGTCGTGGCGCCGCCGAAGGAGTATCCCACAAAGTGGGCGGCAGGCCAGTAGAGGTAGTCCAGGAGGGCGAGGAGGAGGTCGTGGAAGAGGGCGGGCGCGTGCGGCTGCACCGGGGTCGCGGAGAGGCCGTGGCCCCAGTGGTCGAAGAGGACGCAGTGCGCGGCCGGGAAGCGCGCGGCGAGGGCGCGGGCGAGCGGGGCCATGCCGATCGCGCTGGTTTGCACGCCGTGCACGAAGAGGATTCGCGCGGGCCCCGCCGATGCGGCACCGGGTGAGGTCCGGGTGGTCGGTGGGATGGAGTAGTAGGCTGCTTGGCCCGCTGGGGTTTGCAGGTAGGAGGCTTTGGGGAGCACGGGGCCGAAGGTGGAGGTGAAGGCTGCTTCGGTGGGGGCGGGGATGGAGGATGCTGGCTCCGGGGTGGTGGTGGTGGTGGTCCCGGGGCGGGGGAGCACGATTAGCGGGAAGGTTGGCATTGCGACTGTATTCTCTTGTCTTGGATTGAGGGGTTTCGTTTGAGGGGCAGGTAAAAAGGCACACTGGAGGGAATTGAGGGGGGTTGTTTATGCTTCAAATTTCCTTATCGTGTGATCTTTGGCCTGCTCGGCTGACTAATCTCATGATAAGGAGATAAGATCGCGTCATTCTTCTGGTTGGGGGGGGGTCAAGCAGATGCTACAAATCGATGCCTAAACGATAGCGTAGCGTGGTTGTTCGGGGTTCTTCTGCAGGTATAAACCTCGCGATAGAGCCGTATCTCCTAAGGACCGACAGGTGGGGGTGTGTCCAGAAGGCTGCGTAAATGTATCGTGGGGAAATGATCACGGACTAAAAAGAAGAAACAAAGAAGCGGAAATTCCTCAGGACGGACTAGACTAGAACCACACATGTCATCAGATTCCCAGTTCATCCCAATCTACCGCACGTGGAGTGCTCTCACCACGGTACTTCTGGTATCTAGCTAGATAAAGATTGCCACACAAGCACCGACGTCCCACCTTAGTGGTTAACACTATTGAGTTGGTGCAGCCCTAGCGCGACCAACCGGCTGTCGATTCCATCATTCCATAGGAGCTCATGAAGCAGACGGGCTCGATCAGACCCAGCTGGCAGCCTCAGTCAGCTGTCAGCCACCATTGCGACTGCCGATCGTCTCCTTGATGAGCGGTGGGGTCAGTCCCTCAGTTGCAGAGTTCAATCGGATCGAGCCACTGGGCGGGTATCCGATCGCCCGCGCTGGGAACAAGTGGGAGAGCTGAGCTAGCAGTAATCAGCTCGCAGGTGTGTTTGCCGGATTGGGAAGAATCAAGTCAGTCACCCTTGTTTACCAAACATCTGACCCCATCCTCAGCTGAGCGTTAGGTTGTTTGATGGGAAGTAAGCTTCTCGATGGATCCGCAGAGGATTCTCTACGCGGACAAGTTACAAATCGTTCACTATAGTGTACAGTGTACTGTACTATTTATCTGATAGAGGAGATCATGAGGAGAACGGAGTAAAGTACATACGACTGTTAATCTTCCTCCGGACAGGCAAGGGGGCAACCCTCCCAGCATGGCGTGACGAGTCCCCAGACCGTGGCACGTATGTTTATGCCAACGACGGATCCACCGGCATCGGCAGTGTCTCTGTCGACGCCTACAACGCCTTCATGCACCACACCACGTGAGTCGGCGTTTACCGGCCGGCGCCAGGCACTTTCGATTATGTAGATTAATTAAGAGGTCGCCAACTAGTGTCTGACAAGTCATGTCTCATTGAGCTCAGCTAATATTCCGACATCACATCAATCAATCACATTAAAGCGGCGATACTACCGTCGCCACGTATCCCGGCCACGCTCATCGTCAAGTAGGTTGCCCCTTCAGATTCTCAAGTCGATGCTGGATGGCTTGCGGGTCGTATTGCCCTTCTTCCTCCTTATACTCTTTCAACACCACCGTGCGCATCAACCGTCGCGGCGCACGGCGACCAGTAAACAATTCAAACTGAGCGAAGCCTTGCTCCGGGAGAACATCCAATCCATCCAATGCCACCCAGCCGCGGTGGGAGAGAGCGCGGATTTGCTTGATCAGGGGGGTGTTGAGGGATTTGTAGGCCAGCTGTCCCAAAAAGAAAAATGTCAGTTCTGCTTACAGAATATCATGTCGGCGCGGGATAATGCCAAGCACCAAGAAAGACTTACTTCGACAACTACACCCCCCGTCGGGCTCTCCAGCCACTGGGACGGTATCTCATTATTGGGCGCCGGTTCCCCTCCGATACTGTGTGTCGGGATGCAGGAGCAAATGACGGTCGGTTGCTTGTAATTGACAGGCCAGCTGTCTTGTTGTGATTGCAAAACATGAACATGAGGGCGGGTCGTTGACCCGGCACGGCCGGGTGAACGTAGGTTTTGTTGGTTGTAGTGCCGGGCTAGCTTCTCCGCGTTGGCAACAGTGCGGTTGAACACAAAGATGTTCTGCACCCCCAGGTGAATCATGGCGTAGACGGCAGCGCGAGCCATACCACCTGCCCCAATAACCAACCCGGTAGACAAGGGCCGGATGGCATTCGCAGGGGATAAGCCTCGCCGGAAGCAGTTACCAATGCCAATCCAGTCGGTGTTATCTCCATGCAAAGCTTTCACCGGGCCCGCGCGGCTCTTGCCCATAAGCAAAGGAGAACCATCCCCATCCAGAGCCTTTTCGTCGCTCTCTCGAATGGGGACAAGAGTGTTCACAGCACCGATGGCGCGAGCGTGAGGAGACATCGAATGGAGGAGGGGGATCACTTCGGTCTTGTACGGCAAAGCAACACTGGTGCCGCCAAAGTGAGGATTGGACACCAGATCATTTAATCCACGCAACGTAGATGACTGGTGGGTTCGGTAGACATGCGGCATGCCACAGAGATTGTATGCCGCGTTGTGCATGATTGGCGACAGACTGTAGGTGACGTTGCCACCGAAGAGGAAGAACTGCATAGGGTCCAGAGTGAAGGACGAGTATAGAGCTTCCTGAGCTTCACGCAACGTAATACAGGGAAGCCCCTTGAGTTGCGTTTCAGAGAGAAGAGACTGGTGTGTCACAGGCGTCAATATCGGGTTGAAACAACAAGACAACCGGCCTAGCAGTCCTGAGTTGTATGCTATAAGGGGTAGAGGGGTCGGAAGCGACTTGAAGGAGTCGCGAAACCTTTGAACAGCAAAATTGTCATCTATGGAGGTCGCCGGCTGAGTCAACCGTACGAGATCACAGCCCAGCCGTTTTGCTCGCTCATAGAGGTTCATGTAAGTCGGATCGTCCCATCCCCTCGGCGGAGGCTGAGCCGCAGCATAATGGCCGATCACACGGCTTGAGCCCTTCGACGCAATGATTTGAGACAAGAGGTCGTCGCTATACGACAAGTCGACCGTCACGAATTCTGGAGCCAGGCGTAGCCCGTGCTGGATAAGATTCAAATACTCGTTCGTGGGTCGACGCGAGTATTCGTTGTGCTCGCCATTCTGGCTACTGAAGCCTACACTACTTTCCACGTGATATACGAGTGGGACGACCGTATTTCGTCGAATGTTTGCGACCGCATGGCTAATCTTGTCGGCGATCCCGGAGTCCACAGCTAGTCGCGAGGAGGGCGGTTCCGTGATGTCAATCTTGAGTTCGAATGCATCAGACGTAGACTCAAGGTCTTCGATGTCCAGGTCCCGCTCCAACAACGACGAAAGCGGTACTGTCACAGCGTAAGTAAACGCCCGGGACTCAATCGCTTGCATGGACAGCGGGAAGGACGCGTTCAGACTGCTCAGATCGTGGGCATCGCCCGTCGCGAAAGCGATAAACCGGAGAAAGTCGAGCTGCAATCGTTTCAGAGTCAGGAAGGGCGTGATAGCCTGAAAGCGCTGATCCAGCTCCAGCTCCAACTGAGCGTGATTACCATCTTTGGCGGCCGCATGCTCCGCCATGCCTTTCTCCGACACGTTGAAGAACTCCAGGTTGGAACACGCCCGGTAGATCGGCCCCGCCAGGCCGAGGAACCGACGGACTTTGTCAACATTCCACGCCTTCAAGTAAGACTGGATGCTTTCCGCGTCCCGGAGGAGATAGATCACCGGGTGTGTTCTGGCGTACTCGCGGAGCAGCATCTGTCCACTGCGCTCCATGGAACCCGGCCCGCAGGCGATCACGCATCCTTCCTGATGTTCTGCCAGCATCGACTCCATCACTCGGGCCTCCTGCTGTCGGTATTCCACCAATTCAAATTCCTTTTTGTACGCCGCGCGCGACCGTCCGGTGATCTGCTGGAAGTACCGGTCCGCATCGATCAACCTCCGCCCCGACGTGGCCGCCAGTATCACCGCCAGACTGGATTTGCCGGTCCCTCGGATGCCAATCAGCACGATGGATGAGTTCCGCGCAAACTTTCGGGGCACCTGGGTAGCGCCTTCGAAGGCCGTGGGGGACCCACGGCTGGAGGTGACCCCGCGCAACGAGGGGGCAAACCAATGTGAGGCCTCTGGGTTGTCTCCGGGGAGGCTGTGGACTCGTTCCCTCGGGGTCTCATCTCCGTAGGCCGGGTCGACAGATTGGGAGCCACTTGAGACGTACGGGCTATGCGACAACCGTCGGTGGTTCTGTGCGATGGGGCCGTCGAGGTCATCTAGTTTGCGCTTGGGGGGTTTCACGATCACGGACATTATAGCGGTGGCGGGGTTTGATCCGAGTCCACGGGGGAGTTGTAACGGGGGAGAGTGGGCGTTATATTAAGAATGTGATCTCTGACGGAGTGGCGCATGACTTGGGAAGGATGTGATGCAGGAACCGACAGGGTGTGGGAGGAATAGGAGGACGGGTTTAGGCCATGGGGGGGGGGGGTCGGTGCGAAATCCGAGGAAAATGCGACAGAGGGGTAGACCGGATGGAGGGAGGATCTATAGACGAAGGACGAGAGAAGAATTGAGGTGAGCGGTCGCACACGCAAGATCGACTGGGGTTCCAATGTAAAGAAGTGAGAAAAAATGCCGGTGGGGGAGCGAGGCAGAAGTGGGAGAGGGGGAGGAGGGGAGAGGGGGAGAGGAGGAGAGGAGGAGAAGTGTGGGTGAACTGGGTTGAATTGGAGAGAAAGAGAGAAAAGATGTGGGGGAACTGGAAACAGAAAGAGGCGGCGGGCGGGCGGGAGCGAGCGAACAGCAGCAAGCCGAAGCACCCAAAGAAGCGATCGGTGGAAAAGAGCCCAGCCCGGCAAAGCGGTTGGAGACAGCCAAGAAATGCGGAGAAAGGCTCACCCGTTCCAACTTCCTCCACTTCCTGCCAGTGGCTAATCAATTCCCGCTCTGTCCTTGGATTGTCTTGTCTTGTCTTGTCTTGGTCTTGTCCCTCTCACCGGTAACTAGGGTTGGGGTTGTTCATTAATAATTTCCCTTAGTTCACTGGTTTCCTCGCTTCCTCGCGTCCTCGCTTCCTCGCTTACCCCGTGGGGTCAACAACCTGACCAGAGCCTCGGTTACATCTTGGGTCTGGGTCGAGGCTGGAGTTGAGCTGGGGCTGAGTGGGCGTCCCATTGATTCAAGTTTTCTAACGCATCAATCATAACATAGGGATTATTGATGGTGGTCAAGGCCTTTTTGCGGAGTTTTATGTACACGTATGAGTATGTTCAATGTTTGTCCTCTACCTCTACCGCAAACTGGTCCATGTGCTCTGACCCTGCAGATCACAGCCAACCGAACTGTTACGTTCTTCCGCTGCAACTTCCGCTGCAACTTGACCGGGCCGGTGTAGCTGACCAAGGCATCAAATATGGCTGCTGCCTGGCGTCACCATCCTTTCCGCACACTAAGTTACCTACACTTACTCCGCGCAAGCTCGTAGACTCCATAACTCCTCTCTCCGTCTAATGACTAGTGATGTTAATTTCTACCCGAAATAAACCCCGCCACAGAAAACAAAACTCTCCCCAACGCATAAATCCAAATCCACCACCATTCCTAAGGTATGATGGTATGTATCTACAACCTCTCCGGCAACCGTGAAAATACATAGCCAAAGATCTCCCGGCTTTTATACAGATTCTCCACCCGCAACCGTTCATTATACAAGTGGGCGTTGTCGCTCGCCTGTCCACACGGCAGATTCGCCGCGGGGGCGGAGAACTCCTTCTCCAGGAATCGGATGGTGGGGATCGAGCCACCCTCCCGGATGTAGATGGGACGCACCCGAGTCGGCTGGCTGGGATCGACCACCTCCGGCGCCGCCTTCGGGGCAGCGGGCTCGTCGGCGGCGAGCGTCGTGGCGCCCGACTTGCTGGTCAGAGTCGACGAGGTCGGGACCGCGGTGCTCAGCGACGACCGCTTGTGGGCCGACTTGCCGGTCGACGAGATCGTCGTGGACATGATGATGCGGTCGATATGGGAGGCCAGGCTATCCTCCGAGTCCGCCCGCTTGAGGCGCGGGTGCTGCTCCTTGGCGCGCTTCGTCGCCTCGAGGGTGCGTTGCGGGAGGGTTTGGATGGGCGGGTATTGGTGTCGCTGGGTAGTGGTGTCCGGAGTCCAGGCGGCCGCGATCGCGTCGGCCAAGGTCTGGAACATCTCGTTGTCCGGGTCGCCCAGCCAGGGGTCGGATTTACCCGTGATCTCGACGGTCAGGTCGTTCTGCGACTCCAGGCTGTCGAAATGCTCCTGCGCGAAGAGCGTCAGGTTGGTCGCTACCTCATCGGCGGTCTGGTTCGGCACCAATCGGATGGACAGGCTGGCCTTGGCCTTGCGCGAGATCGTCGTCGTAGCACTCTTGCTGCTACCAGGTACCTCGATGGAATGGATTGTCAGGGAGGGCTCACGCCAGCGGTGCATGAGCGAGTTGATGAACGCGTCGCTGTCGGTGATTTCCGGGTGGTGGGGGAGGAGACTGTCAGCGATCGCGGTGTACCGCTGCTTTTCCGCCTCGGTGAGTGGGAGGACAGGCTCATGGAACCCTGGCAGGTTGATCCGGCCCTTGGGTCCGACGAAGGTGCTCAGGAGCATGGTGAGATCCTTCAGTGGCTCGTCCAGTAACGAACTTCCGTCAATACCACTGTGGAGGTCGGGGTGGTCGCTCTGCACAACCAGATTGGCATTGACCACGCCACGCAGTCCATATGTCAAGCAGGGGTTGTAGTCGTCAAGCCAGTAACTGTTGGCCAAGAGGATCCAGTCCACGGGGCCAATCTGAGGCTTATGCTTGCGGACTGTTTCGTGGAATCCTTGGGATCCCGACTCTTCTTCGCCTTCGATGAGAAAGACCACGTTACAGCGAAGTGCTTTCTGCCGAGCAAGGTCCGCGGCCGCATAAAGCGCCGCTAGGATGGGACCCTTGTTGTCCGACACGCCGCGACCGTAGAGGAAGCCGTCGATGGAAGTGAGCTGATACGGGTCGGTCTTCCACTTGGCCGCATTCGCATCCGCCCCAACAACATCATAGTGGCCGTAGAACAAGATTGTTTTGTCGACCTTGTCTGGAGATGTAGCATCAAATCGAGCATGCACGATGGGATTCGTGTCGGCTCCCGTGGTCAATAGATTGGTCTTCGCTCCGAGATAGATGCAGTGACGACGAAGGAACGCGGCACCCTGGTTGCATTCGACAGCGAACTTGGGACTGGCCGAGACAGTCTTGTAGGCGACAAACTTGGCCAGGGAGTTGACCATCTCATCTGTTCGAAATTAGCTCAAGTAAACAAACTACCTTGCCCCTGTCCGCCCATGCGAGACGTACCATTGTTGATTGGCGGCTTTTCGGCTTGACCTCCCCGCGTCACGTCCGTCACGTCCCAAATGCCGACCGTATTGTCGTTGCCACCGCTCGCGTAGATGTAGCGATCTTTGTACTGACCCGCAGCAGACGCGAGCATGGTCCCTCCGTGGGCAACCCAGCTGCCGATCTCCTCGAACCGCGAGTTGAATTTCTGCAACACGTAATCAGTCGATCGTTCCGCAGCACCCAGCGGTCAGGGCTCCACCTACCTTGATCACACCGTTTGAATCTCCACAGACCGCAACCCCGTGAATGATGTCTACGGCCCATAGATCGCCGGTGTGCATGGCGATGCGCTTGACCAGCTGCCGCGAATCAAGGTTCCAAATGTTCAGCGCACCTCCAGCCAAACCACAGTAGAGGAAAGATCCATCAACGGCGATGGAGAGAACGGAATCGCCGTTCTGCAGCTTCGCGATCGGGGACGGAACGGCGTTTGCCGAGTTCTGCTCCAAGCGCCACAACTTGACCACCCCATCGCCGGCACCCGTCAGAAGCACCTCTTCCTCTGGGGAAGACTCGATCAAGCCCTTGACCAGGAGCATGGTGTAGACGTAGCCGTGGTGGGCAAAGAGCTTATGGTGGTCGCGTTTGAAAGTCAGGACTTGGCCACCCTGCATGACTGAATGGGGTCCCTCAGCGCCGGCGTCCGGCCGCGGCGCACGCGATCCATCCGGGCCCCTGGAGTCGAAAAAGCGATGAGTCCGTTTGCGCAACTGCGCTGCTGATGACTGTGCTGAAGCTGCATCGACTTGGGAGATGTCACACCACTGAGAAAATCAGCAATCACTAGCCCATGCTGACGTGGGTGGGTAAGAGACTGACCTGGATGCTGGTGTTCTGAGCACCGCAGTAGATCGTCTTCAAGCTCGACGAGTAGGCGACCGCGAAGATATCTCCAACATCATGGTGAGAGTGGATCGAATAAAGCCGGTCGAATGTCCTCGTCGACCATACCTACTAAGGTTAACAATCTCCTGTAAGGGAAAACAAGGAAGGGCAAAGCTCTACATTTACAACGGAATCTCCGCCCGTAGAGAACAACAGCTCCCCATCCTCGGACAAGTAGAGATCAAGGACACTTTCCTGATGGGCGTGCACCGAGAGCACAAGATCATAGGTCTCCAACGACCATGCCTAGATTTCGTCTTAGCATTTTTGGCAGATAGCAGACCAATCGGTAGATTCGGAGAATTGTCCCCACGTACTACAATGTCTCCCCCCTGCAGACCAGCAAAGACACATTCCTTGTCGAGCACGAGGGCCAGAACCGAGCGACTGGCCTGTACGCGGTGGCCGATGGCACCGCATTCGACGGGAGCCGGAAGTTCGGCCTCATCCTGGGCCAGATGGGCCGTCACGGAGCGCGGATCGGACTCCCAGAGCTTGGTTTGATCATCGGTCTCTGATATACCATCAGACTCGACGAGTACTGTATGATCCATTGCTCCTGGCAATGGAGCTCAAAAAGTCTCAGCCTTATTTTCTAAACTCCTTTTTTTTCACGAACGAGACAGAAAAAAGAAAAAAGTTTCCAAAACCAAGATGATTCTGGGGGATCAATGAACGGCTGAATTCACGTGACGTGTGATAATGATGTGATGGAATGCGGTGAGACGCAGGGCAAAGGCGGTGGTTTTGATCGCGTGAGTGAGTCAGTCGGAGCGAAGTCGGACACACGAATTAGACACGGCCACGAGACGGAGATCAAGGCAGAGAAGTAGTACTCCGTAAGCCAGGGGCAATTTCAGTTTCCGGCTTCTAGGGATGTAGCTATCGCAGATGTTGCAAGACCGACTTGAAATTGTGAGATTGGGCCCGTGAAGAATGTCGGAGGTTGTTCTTGGCGTTCAATAGTGGTGAAGAATAAAAAAGCAATGATGAATGGATGGATGATGAATGATGAAATGTTGGCCCCAATGAGGATCGACGGGCGGTGTGGCGGTGTGGAAAAGGTTAAGGTAGAAGAGAAAGAAAGGGAGACCGCCATTGAGACCGCCATCGATTTCCCCGTCCAGAATCATTGCCCGCAATGGAACACTCTAAGAAACCACACCAGACTCACCTCGATGCTCAGCAACGGGAGACTTCCAGCCACAGTTCTCCCTGGTCTTGTATCAGTATATGGATTTCTAAGCATTCCATATGAGAAGCTACATTGCACAGAAACTGGAAAACTCCTCAGAGAGGACTCACCATGGCTCCCAAACCAACCTCGCAATCAACGTCTCAGTTGTAGTAGTTGTGGTCGACATGGTAAATGAACCATCCCCCAGGATATCGAGTGATATGCGCACAACTCCCCCCTCGAGGGAATCTCCTCATTTCTTATAAACTCGCCGACGAGAATGAAAAATGGAAAAGGGGGGGGTGAAACGGTTATGAACGGCCACGCAAAACCCCACGCCCAGTAGGAGTACAAGGAAAGGGACCCAATGCGTTCTGACGTACGTTGCGGTATGTACAGTACATACATCTCAGGCAGCCCTTTTCCCTCGCCTGAAGATGCAGATGAAAGAAGATGATCAAACAGCGCAGGAGGAGCCAACTGTCGGAATCCGATAATAATCTTCCCGGCCAGTCATGTGCGAATATCTCGCGGCCGCGTCCTGCAATGGAACAATGAATCCGCAGGAGTATTGACCCGAATCAGGGTCGATTTCCAGGATTGGCCACGTCATTCCGTGGTTCCCCCCTGAGTGCGACTGTTCCGGGAGAACTGGTACGTTTGACGACAAAGGCTATCTATCTATTCTCCATGGTTTGCGCTCGTTGGTAGTTCCGGCCATTGAGGGTCCCTAGAGGGTGCCAGTGTGATGTTGTTGGGCATCGTTAGAACAGTTCGTATGCATCACGTGTCGTTACATAGGCATTCTACTTCAGACGGGATTGCTAGGAGAAATGGATGCCCGCTTTGGAGTCCATTTCGAATCGGCCCAACGGCTCCCAATCTGGAAGCTAAGCGGGTAGCCGATTGACTTGAGATAGCGGACCGCCTGCAGGGATGGGCAGTGTAGAGGTAGGCATAAGTTAACGGATATAAGCTTTGACATTGCGTCACTTTTCAGCAATTGGGACGATGGCGCATCTGGGAGCGCGTCAGACTGAAGCTCTAACTTCGGCCATAAATCTGAAGGTGGCCGGTTCAAGCCCGGCTCGTCCCATTCTTCTTTTTTTCGTTTTTCTTCCCGTCCCACCCTTGACTACTACTACACCCTTCTTCAACTACACCTTAGATTTGAATCTAAACGTCCAAACATATACAGACGATTCTCAACCTGAACTATATTTAGTTACTTTCATGAGCAATCCTCACTGTTAACCATTATTGACATACCACACTGGCTTTATCGGTGGTATGGATTTCTTGCGGCCCCCTACGGAGTACCTCTCCACGGTATATTATATCCCGCTCCCGCCCATTCCCACTTACCACTTGCTGAAGAACCTTGCTTTCCAGTTGATAGCTCAAAGATTATACACCTGGCTTGCCGAACTATAGCTGACTATAAAGAGTTTCTTTACAAGAAACAGAACATTCATTTAACTATTGTTAACGTTTTAGCATATTTTCAGCTATTCCACTTCAGTCGTAATCCATCTGTCCCGAAATGACACATATCTCTCTCACAGCTGCGCAACCTCCACCCTGCGCCCAATCTCATCAAACCGGATCTGCTTCCCCGTCACCAGCGCCTCCTGCAGATACGCGCCAATCTCCACAGCCTTAACCGCATTCCCCAACCGCACCGGCAGGGGCGTGCCCTCCAAACACGCGGCGGTGAACTCATTCGCCTCGCGCACAAACGCCTCACCAAACCGGCCCACAAAATTCGGGGGCACCTCGCGCGTGATGCCGCCGGGGTGGTAGTAGTTCACGAAATCCCGCTGCGGGTTGATGTTGACGGACAGCTTGCCCTCGGTGCCGATGACCTCAGTGGTGTCCTCCTGGCCGTGCGGCATCATGCGCGAGCAGTAGTAGTAGGCGATCTTGCCGCCCCAGAACTCGACGATGCCCACCGCGTTGTCGTAGTCGTTGAACTGCTTGAGCTCGGGCTGCACGGCCGTAACCCCGTGCGCCGAGATGCTCTTGGGGATCGAGTCCTCCCCCAGGAACCACAGCGTCAGGTCGATGTCGTGCACGGACATGTCCACGAACACCCCGCCGGACCACGCGGCGTACGCGACGTAGAACCCCGATGGGTCGTACTTGTCGCACGTCTGGCTGCGCAGGATCGCCGGCCGCCCGATCAGTCCCTGCGTGATCTTAGAGTGTACTTCGCGGTAGGAGGTGTCAAAGCGCCGCGAGAAGCCGCACATGACTTTGAGGTGGGGCTTGGTTTTGGCCTTTTGGACGACCGCTTTGCACTTTTTTGCCGGGTTGTTAGTTGTTGGTGTAAGAGAAGGCGGTGGGAAGAGGGAGTGTGGTTAGGGCAAGAACGTACTACTTCAACGCTCGTCGACAGAGGCTTCTCACAGAGGACGTGCAGGTCACGATCTATCGCTTTCATTGTTTCCTCGGCGTGCACGGAGGTCGCCGTGCCGATGACCACGGCTTGCAAGCCCGGGTGCTCAAGCATCTTGTCGTAGTCATCGTACAATGTGACGCCGTAGGGTTCAAGGTGCTGTCTGCCCCAGGTAATCTCCGCAGGGTCCGGCGAGAAGGCGGCTACCAGGTCGGCGCGGGGCGTCTGGTGCAGAAAGTTGTTAACGTGGATCTTGCCTACGCGGCCGAGGCCGGCCATGCCGACTTTGAGCTTTTGAATGGGCATGATTAAGGGTGGGATATGGAAAGGCAAAAGAAGAAAAGAAATGAGAGAGAGTGCTTTAGGTGATCGGGTGTGATGGATTGCGTTTGCTGCTGTGCTCTTGTCTTTCGTGAGGGTGTCTAGGTGTTTATATATGTTGACCGGACAAACCTCCCTCTCTGGAGCATCGCTGGAAGACCCACCGTCCCCAAGGAAAAAATTCCTCCATCTGAATACCGCAGTCGAAGTGTAGATGTAGCATCATGTTCAGTTGATATTATCGGAGATCTTGTCGAGAAATGCGGAGAGAGAGGGCCCACCGCTGCAAGAATGCGGAGTATAGACACGGGCCAAGTTGCCTGCCGAGACGGAAAGACTTGCCCGTCTTTACGGGTTCGGCGACTGATATCTGTGATTGGTCAGCTGGGCTGCCTGTGACCATGAGGGCAAGTCTTTCCTCAGTCACGTTATCTCGTGTACATGACGAGACCATGAGTGATTGAAAATTGATCTGCAAGGCTTCAGAAGCAGTTCATTGCCTTCATGAGACATTAGATCTGGAAACTGGAACATGCGGGGTGAGCTTATCCGTAGGACGAAACTTGCACCATCATCAACTACCCAATCGAGGAATTTTGTGCTTTGAAACAGAGAAACCGTGTTCAATTACGTCTAACTCTGGAGCAAGCTCTGGTCTCTACACTTCTCAATCTCTGAAGAATTTTTGATCATGTTCATTCTCTCTCGATAGGATAATCATGCGGAGCCTGCTATCGCTTGTTTCATCATTTGACCTCCAAATCCATCCTACAGCCTTATTACCATGCCACACCCTATTTCTTGTTCGGATTCTTAAAGTGGCGCTTGAGGGGCTGCCAGCTGTGCTCATTATATTCCTCCTGCACCTTCTGACAAGTTTTCAGCCCCCACTCGGAGACACCCACCATTAGACAGCTATACCGATCGAATTAGCACTGAATCCACGAAGAGGGACACGGCAAAGACTCACCTCTCAAACATGAACGCCATACTCCCATCGCCAACCTTCGTTGGCTTGAGCTCTGCATTACTCGCGCCCTCAAAGGCATCTGCATCCGGCCCGTGCGCACTCATCACATTGTGCAAGCTAGCGCCCGCAGGCTGGAACCCACCTCCCGTCTTGGCATCGTAGTTCCCCGTAATCAACCCCATGAACTCGGACATGGTGTTGCGGTGGTACCAAGGCGGGCGGAAGGTGTTCTCCTGCACCAGCCAGCGGGGCGGGAAGATGACGAAGTCGGCGATGGCGGTGCCCGCATGGTCTGACGGGCCGGTCAGGACGGTAAAGATGGACGGGTCCGGGTGATCAAATGAGATAGAGCCGATCGTGTTGAAGCGCCCGAGGTCGTACTTGTAGGGGTAGTAGTTGCCGTGCCAGGCGACGATGTCGAAGGGGGTGTGCTGCTGCCGGGCGGAGTAGAGCTTGTTGGCGAACTTGCTGTACAGCCGGTACTCGGAGGGTTCCTCTTCGTCGTCAAAGGCGGCTACGGGCGCCTGGAAGTCGCGGGCGTTGGCGAGACAGTTGGAGCCGATCGGGCCCAGCTCGGGGAGCTGGTAGTGGCCTTGGTAGAGCTCGCAGATGTATCCTCGCACTGGACCGGCGGGAAGGGTTACGCGGTATCTAGTCAACGCGTCATTAGATCTCTGTTTTGTGAACAAGGTTGGTGGGTGTAGGGATCATACCGCACGCCCCGGGGAATCACGCAGATCTCGTTCGGACGGACCACAAGCCGCCCCAATTCAGTCTGAATGTCCAGTACGCCGTGCTGAGGCACGATCAGAAAGTCGCCGTCAGCCGAGTAGAATGCCTCCTTCCCCATGTCCTTGCCCGCCGCGTAGAGAATGATCCCCAGACCCGATTTCAAAGTAGGGTCACCGGCTCCAGCAACAAGATGCAGACCGTGGACCCAGTCGACAGTCTCATCTAGGTCGAAAGGATCCCATCGCAGTTGGTTAGGAATGTGGTGGAGCTGGTGTGTTTCAGTGGTCATGCGAGTATGATAGGAGTCCTCTTCCTCGGCGACAAAATTCTGGTGGGCAGCGGCGGGGAGAATGCGGTAGACCCATGTTTGTCGGTTCTCGTGTCGGGGGGCGGTGAATGCTGTACCGGACAGCTTCTCTGCGTACAAGCCATAGGGGGCTTTCTGAGGGGAATTTTGTCCTACTGGAAGAGCGCCTTCGACAGCTTCGGTCCTGTAGGAGAAAGGCTAGTCAGCCAGTGCGCCAGGAAGCTGGGTGAAGAATTCCGTACTCATGATAAGAGTCGAAGCCCGTCTGGTAGGAGTACGGATCAGGATGGGAGAACTTGGTCACTGGCATGTTGTTCAGTGATTTGAAAGAAGGATATGTTAAGAGGATGTGATTGAGGGGTAATACAGAAATGAGGTCAGAGATTAGAGATAAAGATGTGTAGCAGTGTTTAAGAGGAATGATCAAAAGAGCTGCCCCTCCAGCTCACATGTCGGATGTCGGATGATATAATGGTGGAACGCGACAATCGCGGGACTGCGGAGTCGCTTTGTGGGGGAAAGTCGCGGAATTGCGGTTGGCGGGGAAGGCCCAGTGCGGCCAGATTCCGCAGACTACAAAGTGCAGTGCATGAAAGAGTGTGAGATGACAATCTCTGCAAATGCTTCTCGATTCCCATTTAGAAGCTTCGACCTCCAGGGATGACCTCACGCTCAGAGTATGGAGTCCCTCACAGTTCTCAGAATCGCATAGTCATCATTACTTCTGAGGATGGCCTGTTGCACTAAGGAGCTTCCCGGACGGAAAGTCTTCCGCTGTCTCTTTCTCCCAACCGACAACCGTCCTTTTCCGCGGATTGCCGCATGTTTCCAGAACAGAGGCATTGTAAGGGTTGCCGAGTGACGCAACAATTTGAAGGATTGTGCTCGCACGCAGCAAGATGATGAGTTGAACACCATATACCCTATATGAATGGAGAAGAATATGACGACAGTACACCCTCAAACATAAAAAGTCAAATCGAGATTTTGTCCCTGACCCCTTGCGACCCAGCGGAACCAAATCTGCGCATCTCAGCTTCGAGACGACAATTCTCTGCTCCAAAACTCCCCAAAGCAGCTCTCTTCCCTATAAATGTACTCAGACACTCGCTGGGCAATCGAGCAGATGCCAGAATTATCCTTTGCCTGAACGACACGACTGTGGCCTTGTTTCTATGCCCTGACAACCAGCAATATGTAGTCGGACCGGGTATGGAATATGATGATTGTGAGTAAGGAGTCCGTGGTTCCATCGCAACGTAAAGTAAAAGTCAGTCCGGAGAGGGTGCCCGGGGTTCGTAGTACCTGCGGTCAAGTTACTCTGAAATCTATCCCAAACCCCCCATCTTCCACAGAAAACTATTTTTCTGTGCTGTCGCGACCGCGCTCTGTATTCTTGCATGCAACAATGGCATCCATACCTGACTCCCCACTCGGGGTCTCATCGTCACGACTTGCACTCGTCGACCGATTCCCACCAACCACTTACACAGGCTTGAAAGACCTGAACAAGCTCACCGTGGCCAGACGCGACCAGCTGTATCAGGAAGTCGAAGGCGTCAGCCAATACCTTTCGGTCAAGGATGTGTCGTCGCAACAGTTCGACTATATTGTGGAACGCGAGGAAGGACTGAGCGGCCACGTTCGCCTGAATTACTTCCGTGATATCGAAACCTTGGTTGTCAAAATCCCCGCAAGGGAGACTGAACAGGCACACGCCAACTTCTGGAGAATTGTCAATTGCGCCTCGGACAGGATGGGCGTGGATTTGGAAGAGGCCTGCGGCCTTGGTGCCACAACATTTTGGGGGCCTACGGGTTCGGCAAAGGAGGCCGACTCTTCGTTCACGAACCTCCGCATCCGATCATCACGCCAGTGGCCAATCTGGGTGATTGAAGCGGCAATACGATCCTCGGATTCGATGCTGCGACTCCGAGCCGCTGCCGCGTGGTGGGCTGCCCACTCTGCTGGCGACGTGAAGCTTGTCTTTCTCATCGAGATCAACCGGGAGACCAAGGAGGTCATGGTCGAGCAGCATGTGCCCGTGCGGTGGAACTACCCTAACACGCGTTCGCACTCGAGAAGTGGTGCTGGCCTAGCGTGGAAAGCTAGCAGAGTGTCGACAGTCACAATCCGGACTCAAGGAGTCGACTCTCCCACAATACAAGGGGGACCACTTGTTCTGAAGTTTGAAAGTGTTTTTGAACGGGCACCCAATCCACCGCTTGAACAGGACATTGTGATCTCAGAGACAAAGCTTTTGAAATGGGTCGTACTCTTCAGCGATTAGTGAAAAATGATTTTTCACGACTGATGATATTGAAGTCTGGAAAACAAGCACTGGTAACATCTCGAGGCATACTCTGTGTATTTGGGTGGTTTTCCAAAATGTGATTTCAATCGATCTTCTAAGCTCATTCGGGCCTATTGGATGTTGAGGGTATTAGGGAAGTGCAAAGTCAGCGAGCTGCATAAGCTCTAGCCGAAATAAAAAGTGTAAACCTTATAAACCATATGCAACAGTAGGGGAATGAATGCTTTCCCAAGGTACAGTACTCTTTGGCACCGCATAGAGCAAAAGTGGCCTCTGACCGCCTTCTTGACCGCTTGAGCCGGCAGAACGCTCGCGACCTCGCAAGGAAAACCACGGATTTAAGCGGATTTAAGAAGTAACAGTCCAGAAAAATCGACTCGCGAAACTGTACAATTTAGGCGGTGGCAGAAAAGGGCTGCTGGCCGCGTCTGCGTGGATGCCAGTCGAGAAACTCATGAAGATGCAAGGCATTCATACAGTACATGGGCAGTGTATAATGTGTATATTCATCTGGACTGTATCTGCACAATGGCTGTTCTTGCTGCTAGACCTATACTAATCGTTTTGATCTATCACCTTTGAAGGTAGAAAGCAATGGCTGTAACAGGCCGATCACATGCGCGTGCCTGGATTAGATTGATCTACTGATTTCCCGCGTTGGCGCATCCGCTTCCTTCCACCTCTCCGCAGTGACTGCAACCCTCCGGCCTCACTTGTCGCACGTTCTAGGGGGATGCAGGTTCTGACCAACTCTCTTTCCCCAGGGGACTATGAAGATGAATCTTGGTTCTTGGCTTCATAGGCGTGCAAGGCCACTTTGGAACCTCTTTGCTTTGCATTCCCCTGGCTAGTAACACGGTCTGGCCTACCACTCTTGGTGAATGCACCGATCTGTGTTAATCGTGAGTGAGAGATCCCCAGCTCGAGCTACACACTTACTGACTTCTTTAGTTTCTTATTACTAGACTTTTGTCTTTCTTCTTTTCTCTCTTCACCTGATGCTTAACACTCCACCTTGACTTCCACCACTACACCTTCCTACCTTACCATCCTTCCATTACCAAGTACTATTCTGGCTCTCTCTACACACCTCCGTCAACCCAAGCAAGCGAAACGCGCCCACGATGACGACGTCTGTCTCCTCTACCCCCAGAACCAAGCGCGTTGAATTCGCCGAACCCCTCACCTCCTCACCCCGCCGATCCTACACCAACGCGATCACTAGCAAAGATGTAACCGAAGCGATCACCCACACCCCCATGAAGGACAGTGCCATGGTTAAGGACATGGCATATAGTGCCTCTGACCTTCTCCACGCTCTCCACGAAAAAACCGTCGACGACATCCTCTCCGATGAAGCCAGTCAACATTCCTCACGGTTCGACGACTACAGCCAAACCTCCGACCACAATCATACTCCGGACTACAGTCGTAGCCCAGACTGGTCGCATGGGTCGCAGCGACAGTCGCCGACAGCGCGGCAGCTAAGCTCGCCGGACTGGGCGCTGGGCAAGCGGATCATACCTGACTACCGGTCGGATTCTGAGTCGGGAGATGACTCCACGTCTGAGTCAGGATCTGCGGTGAGCTTTGAACCTGGGTTCGAGTCTGCAGCACAATCTCGATCCGAAACCAAACCAAACTCAAATTCGGAGCCCATCATGTTGCCTCCCGATAGTCCTAAGCAGAGCGCCCTGCACCCCGACATCGAATCCATAGACCTTCTCAAGTCACCTTCACCGTCGGTTTCACCGGACCCTGGATCCTACTCTACTGCGCGCGAGCACACAGGGAGCCAAGATGCGGATGACGATACTAGCGAGTTCGAATTTGACTCTGAGTGGGAGGAAGATTATCATCAGTTTCCATCCGTGAGCCGGCCGCAGGTGAGAGAGCTTGGTTTCGCGCTGTGTAGGAGCGACTTCATGCGCAGAGGCATTTATCCAGTGAAGAGAGCCGCGAAACGCGCGTTCGTTGATTATGCCTCGCAGAAGGCGGTCGAAATCGGGATGACGGAGTGGGAATTTGAACGGATGATGAGGGCTTTAAGAGGTGTCTATCTGCTCCAGTGGGGCGCAAAGAGTGGTGATGACTCAAAGGTGATCCCGGAAACAGGATCCAAGCCAGAGTCTGATGATGGACAAGAGAAGGATCCGGTCGGCCCAAGAGACTCACCAGTTGTGATAAGTGAGAGCCAGCAAGCGGCCTCCGGACCTAAGTCCGTTGAGTCACTACCCGGTGCCGTTCTCGCAGATGACCAGGGAGAGGATGTGGTTCTTGGTACCAGACAGGACGAGCCGAAACCCAAAAATATGGCGGCGTCAGTGTTTGAATCACTTCAGAGGTTGGACTTTGCATCAGCGGATGAGTCAGGGAAAGGCTCGGCGAAGTCGATTGATAAATCACGCCCTTCCTCGCCCAAAGAGAATAATACGGCAGCACCAATTGATGTTGATTTAACAGCAGCATCCCCGGCTACAGGTAAGTCTCCCACAATGGGCACAGAACAGACCGACCGGAAAAAAAGGCCGAGCGGCGAGGGTCTTGCAGAAAAATCGACGAAGAAGATGAAGGCGCCTGTCGATGACTCGTCTATTGGTCGAAAAAAGCGGAAGCAGGACGAGAGCCCTCTGCTATCCAAGGACCAACCAGGCCATGCAAGTCATTCCGACAAGTCTAAAAGAAGGAAGAAGACACGCTCTTCGTCTGAAAGTCATGCCTCTTCGAATCCAGCTTCAACGCCACCTGTGCAGCTGAACGGAGATGGGAAGGCGACAAAGGATAAGGCAACGAACTCAGCAAAGACAAAATCTTTGCAGAGCAAGAAGGCCTATAAACTTGCAGATGATGGCCTCGAATATGTCGGACAGTTGACTGCCGAGCCAAAGCGGAATCCCAGAATGGCTAGTACGGCCCAGCAGCCCAAGAAAACCATCACCACTTCCAAGTCAATGCAACCAAAGAATACTATCGAGAGTGTCATACCCAAGGAGTCTACAAATCAGCAGCCAATTCAGACTGCCAGATCCTGGAATTTAAATCAGTCCAATGGCACCCAGAAGGCCGGAGGCTCCAAAATCACTGCAAGACCTGCGCAAGCAAGGGAATTTGAGAAAAGCGGCAACCTTAAGAAAGCCAGTACAGCCAAAGGACATCTGAACGACCGTGACACTGCTGTGCTTATTGATTTGACGGACCCCGAAAAGGGGAAACATGCCAACAAGGCAAAGGATCCCAATCTTCATAAGCCTGGAACGCCTGCGATGACCAAAGGATCTAAGCTAGCCACACTCGAAGGGCAAATCTCTGATATCCAAGCTCAGATCCAGCATCAAGGTTTGCTCAAAGCGAAGCAGGCGGCAACAAGACGGGCGAACCCGAACAAGTCACCACGAACCCCGAAGAATGGGAAAGCGAAAGTTCGATCGGCTAAGAAGTCTACTCGGACAGAACATTCGGATTTTCCGACACCGATGATTCGCAAAGGCCAACCACCAGCGATGAGGTACGGTCCATATTCTTCAGTGTAGGGCAACCAGCCGCCAAAACTGGCTTCATGGGTGGTTCTACCGCTGCAGTACCTTCTGATCTACTTTTGTCTGACTGCTCCGATCTGAGCGACGTTCCGAGTGATCTCCCTGACTCTTATCCTTCAACACCGCCGCCTGCGTCATCTTTAATCTCGTCAGCAACAAATGTACCTGCTTTCTCCGAGCCCGAAAGCTCGATTGATGCGACTACGAATGATGATAATGAACCCACCCTTACCTCCCAACCATCACGATTATCCCAAGCACCAAAGATATCTCGCTTTTTCCCCCAACCTTTGATTGATCCGTCTTCTTGTCTCCCATTCCAGCCTATCTCCGCTCAGACATTCGGTCTGGTCCAGGAACAACTCGCTCACGATCCCTTTCGCCTCCTCATTGCTACCATATTCCTTAATCGTACCCGCGGTCATGTCGCCCTCCCCGTCCTCTTCCGCGTATTCGATACATACCCCTCTATCTCAGCCTTTGCGACCGCAGACGCGACCGAGCTGACTGAGCTAATCCGTTGTCTCGGCTTTCAACACCAACGCGCTAAGAAATGCATTGCTCTCGCACAGACTTGGCTGGCTCGGCCTCCTGTTCGTGGCTGTCGGTATCGTAAACTTCACTACCCGAACCTGAACGACGGTCGTGATGTCCGCCGCGATGAGTGTCTAGATGATGAGGACGAACGTGTGGGGTGGGAAATCGCGCATCTTCCTGGTGTAGGTGCTTATTCCTTGGATAGTTGGAGGATATTTTGTCGAGATGAGTTGAGGGGAGTGGGTAGGGTGATGGCAGCGAGGTCGGGTACTGGCTATGGAAGTTCTGATGAACATGTGAGTGTCGGCGTAGGAGGTGGAAGTGAACTAGATGGTATTGCGGAGGAGTTGGAGTTTGTGCCTGAGTGGAAGAAGGTGTTGCCAAAAGATAAAGAGCTACGAGCCTACCTGACTTGGATGTGGCTGAAGGAGGGTTATGTTTGGGATTGGCTTACGGGGGAGAGGACGGTGGCCGGGGAGAAGGTGATGAGAGCTGCTAAGAAAGGGGGCATTGCGAGAGAAGTGGGAGATGGGAACTGGATGCTAGAGACATCGCCGGTCAAGAAGGCTGTGAATGGGTTTACCATGGATGGTTAGATGTCTCTTAGTAGTCTAAGTAGGTATGTTCTCTTTAACACCTATTCAGGTCTAAGGTTTAGGTAATGAAGCTTTGCCTGATTCTTTTCTGTTCACTGCTTGTGAGTAAGAGCCTTGAAGGCTGTCAAACATGGTCTGACGAGAAGAATTGCCTTTCCGCTCGAGCTTGCAAGAACGCCATCTCTGGATACTTGTCCTGGTTGGTTGTTCCACATACCTCAGCTGACTTGAGGCATAATAGACCTATCCTGTAAGTTTTTGCAAGGAACGGCCCCCTATGCTTTATGCTTCTGGGCCACCATCAACGGGCAAGTAATAATGGCTTTGTCGTACCATCAACACCAGGTACTCCAACAAAGACATTGGCACCATCGCAGTCAAACAAAGAACCCTGGCCTGCCTATAAAACAGACCTGCATCCCTCGCCTCCAGGTAAATTGCTCCAGCACAACAACAGCTAGCATCTACACCGACCTCCCTACAAGTTTCCAGACCCCAATCAACCTCCCCAAAAAGTCCGTATTTACAATGGCTTCTAACACCAACACCCAGCCCATCCGCTCCTCCCAGCGCGCCCGCTACTTCACAGTGCCCCGCCTCGCGCAATACCCGATCACGCAGGCCAACATGGCGGCGCGGAAAAGACGAGCCGCTGATTTGAAGCAGCTGGCGGTGTTTCAACCTGGCGCTTACGTGGTGACAGCTCATCGTGATGTGGTGATGACGGACGCCCCGTCGTTTCTTGAGATGGCCGACATGGATACGGATATGGATATGGTTGATATGGTGGGTGCTTAGTGGTGGGGTTGACTGCTAGCTAGCTTGTGGTTTTGTTGGAGCAATTTTTCGTCACTGCAAAAATCCCTATATGTATATAATAGGGTATATATTTAGTGGAACGGTGGTGGGAAAAGTTGGTAGACTAAAATTGAATTTCTCTTCATATACTTGTTGCCTTTATGGTTTGGTTGCTTGCTTGTATGGTGGGAGTTTTTTTGCCATGCGGTGTCTTTGAGGATGGTTTTTCTAGATGTATATACTCGTCGCCTTGGTGTTGTATTTGGTATGCCGGGGCGATCCTATATCAGGGACGGCAGAAGGGATAGGACAAGCTAGATGCATGGATTGTTTCAGGCAAACTGAGAGCCACCTTCCAAGAACTTCAGAATAACATCAAACCCCTCGGGCTCCTTAATCCAATGGCCACCCCCTTCTGCCCCAGCATACTCTATCCACTCCACCTCCCCCGCGCTAAGCCCCTTGATCACCTGCAACGCTTGCCGTCCCAGCTCCATTGGCACCCAGATATCATCTGTCCCGTGCCCCAACAAGAACCGCGTGCTTAGAAGCGGCAAAGAACTACCTTGACTTTCCACTCCCGCAAAAGACTGCGGTAATCCAAGTGTCTTGGCACAAAATCTAGCAACCAGCCTCTGAACCTGGGCTCTATCAGACCCAGCCGACTGCCTCACCAACTGCCCAATCTCATGCGCAAAGGGTATCCAGCCACAGAACCCAAAGACCCCACCAAGGAACTGCCCAATCCTCCCCGCCGCGCAGAACAAAGTCCAGAGCGCTGTCGCCATCCCCTGGCTGATACCCCCGAGATAGACATGGCTTGCGGTCCCACCCAGTAGACTGATCTCCTGCTCGAGGATATCGAGGATATAGCGAACCGACTCCCGAAGCCCCTCAATCTGCAAGTCCTGCCGTTCTTGGATGTCGGAAAGGGAATAGGCGTCGAACCAGGAACAGATCTCTTCCTGGAAGCGCGTGGAGAGGCGGTCGCGCGAGGTGGGGAATACCCAGCGCCAGGTGGGCAGGGCATCGGGGAGGGATCTGTGCTGGGACGTCAGAGATGAGAAAAGCTCGTCGGCGAATTCGGGGCCGTTGCTGCCTCGGCCGTGGAGGAGGATCGCGGTGTGCGTGTGGCTGGTTTGTGCGGGGTGGATGTGCGAAGCGGGGAATGCCATGGTTCCAATGGATGTGTGGGGTGTTTGGGCTTAGAAGCTTGGTATTCTTGTGAGATGGTGGAGATGTTTGTTTGAGGGTCTTCAGGAAATACCTAGGTAGTAGTCATTGAGCTGAGCCACAGTGGAGGCTATGTTGCTGGTCGGCTGAGCCGCTGCCGTTCTGAGTGCTTATGATTCTCATTAGTGTGGGGCCGACCGTCACAACATATCTTGTAGGCACGACGAAGTAGGCGCCGGTGAGCCATTCAATGATGCCATTAAGATGAGCCTTGACCCTAAAAAGACTCCTCTCTGCTCTTTCTGACCTCAGACATGGGGTTTTAAGATAAAAGTGAATGTTAATGTACTGTGGTGTGTCAGAAGGTTACAGTCATAACAGCCCGGGCGGGGTAAACGTATATCTGATTAAGGAGCCCGTTGGTTCACATAGTCTCTTTGGCTGTACTCAGAGATTTTTTAAATCATTGATAGAAAGAGCGGAGTATCGAGTATGTAGAGTTCCATTAAACACATTAGGATGCATGGCTCCCAACACGTTGCCTAAGCAGTCAAAAGCTCTGATACTAGCTACATGTCATTCCCGACCAAGCCTCCGACCGAGCCCCTGTGCAGAACCAAACCTCCGTATGAGTGGAGCATGCTAGCCAGCCATATTGAATCCCAGCAGAATGGTGACCGTGTCTGCATTTGTTGCAAAGAGCAAAGAGTGAAAGATTAACAGTAAGACGAGCCCGCCACCATTCTTCCCGGGACGCAACTGCGAGTTACCTGGTTAGCTGCGAAACTAGACTAGTTGGAAGTCATTGAGAGATAGAATCGATTACCGAGAGCAAGAGACACAGTTTCGCTTAACCGAGAACATCAGCCGGGTTGCTGACGGCGTCAATTTCGTCCTGGTAGGGGTCGGCCACGCCCGCTTCATCCGTAAGGATAACTAGGATATAGTTGACACTGTCAATGATGTTCCCGTCGTACCCTTCACGCTTCTGGAGCATCTGAGAGAAGCTTTTGCGATGCATATTCACGGTCATGGCTCTGGCCTGCGGTGATATAGGCGTGGAAGCCACCAGAGTAGCGAAGGTAGCTAGGGCTGCGATGACAGTTGCCTTCATTTTGACTGGAAAGATATGGGCTCTGATACAGAGGTTATGAGAGAGATTAGAAGAAAGACTTGGAGAAGCTCGTAAGCCGAGATGATGATGATGTCGAGATGAAGACCAGATGAGTCCTGCCGGACACACTCTTATATGTATGGAATTCTAGGAATGCACAGCATAGCCGGCTAAACTCATAATACTGATATCATTGCGATATCATCCGCGCAAATGCTAATTCCTGCAGTCCCTCGGGCTGTGACCGTGACACTCCGCACACCCTGTCTTCACCTGATAGCCTGCTGTGCAAGTGATAAACATGCCCAATACTGTAATTGCAGTGGGATTGTATCAAGGCTGCACCCAAAGGTATCGGGTCGAACTTCTGCGGAAAGTAAATTGTGCTCCGAGATCTGTCGTGGTGGTTGGTCTAGAGCGAGCTAAGCTCTAAAACACTACGATAGCACATTTCTTTGGTTCGAGTATGCCTTGGAAGTGCAGGCGTAACATGCGAGTGAGACTGTGAAATCCTGAATTCAGGAGAATAATGCCATGCAATGTAACATCAGGTTGTTGAATCATGTTCATCATGCATGTATGCCAACGAGAGCAGGGTAGTTGGATGCACAAGGCGACGAAGCGAAACGCTATCAAGGGTCATAGTCTCGACCTTAGCACCCTGAGATACCACCAGAACACTTCATTTCAAATGCATGTCTCCTTATCAGTCAAACACGTTGTTGGCCACCTATAGTCTGTTGCTAGCCATCAAACTCCGCAACTAAACTCGTTTGACCCAGGAGAATCGGCTGCCCCTCAAAATCTCTTTTCTTCTCTGCTCGTTGTCCTGTGAATCAATTGTTCTCTGCTTCTGTCAATCTTGCTTTTGAATCTACTGTTTTTGATTATCCAGAGTACGCCATGGAGTTCAAGCCGCCTACATATCATCCTCTCATGTCCGAGTCGAGAGACTTTGAGTCCTCGACGGATGATGGCCAGGAAAATGCCTCCAATGATAGGCGTGTTCTCTTGCGGCATCAAACCTTGCGCGGCTGGGGAAAGCAAATACTGAGTCCGGTGGTCATAACCCTCATTGTACTCTGTCTTTTTGTGGGCGGATTGATTGTTGCTGTCCTGGTGAAAGTTCATCCTACTGATAACCAATGCTCGCGGCAACTGTCATCCTGGTGTGAGTGTTCAACTGAGAAGAGCCGATTACCAAACTTGCAACTAACAATTCAACAGCACCTGCGCTCGATGCGGTTGAGTATATTGACTATGACTTTGACGGCGCCTTCAATGCTACTAGCATATACCGTGGGCCTCCGACCCATGAAAGAGAATCCGCCTGGTTCAATCTGACGTACAGTGAGATTGATCCTTTGCACCAACTACTCAGTCTCTTTCTTCTATCTGACACAGTTCCCTCTCCTAGAGCATGCCGTCGAAATCCCTCCTGAGAAGCTCATTGCTCTAAACAAGTCTGAAGCGGATCATCTGCAACATGTTCCGCCGGAGGTCGGCCCCGGATATATTGGGCTTCTGGAAGTATTCCATCAGCTGCACTGTCTGGTGAGAGCCTACCTTTCCCAGCGTCACCCCAATTCTTTCATCTTCGCTGTTTGGCATAGACACAACATAAACGCTAACGGAGGGGCAGAACATTGTGCGCATGTACACCTGGTGGCAGGCAGGTAAATACGAGGAACCGCCTGAGGGCTTAGTGCGAAACGAGCTGAAGAACCGCATTCATGTGGACCACTGCATCGAGTCGCTGAGAGTTGCGCTCATGTGCCAAAGTGACGTTTCTCTGCTTTACGTCCAGATTGGGGGTGCGGCCGGAATTCGGGCAGACTTTGCCTCCCACCATCGATGTAGGGACTTCCGGAAGATAGAGGAGTGGATCGACGAGAATTGGACCGTAGTATGAGATTGCAGGGCGGGCGGAAATTACATGCCACCGCACATGTGCAGTTGGAACCGAAAGCGTTCGTCGTTGATATCAAGCGTTTGGCTCCCGCTTCCACCCGATGCTTGTTTGCTGCTGCACATTAGCTTGAACCCTAGCGTGGCATATAGCTAGTGTATGGAGTGATAGTGATATAAGATCTGCATTTTGGAATGTATTCCGAAGCTCTCTAGCTCTGCCTTACGGCGTTTAATCTCCGATGTTGATTTAATAATAGCATTACAGTCTTGCGGCCCTTGTGATGCAGCCAAAGTCCTTTTTCTTGTCCGATTGAGGGGAAAAACAAATCCTTCACGTCTTCTGGAGTTGCAGGAAACCTGATTGTTCCCGCTTCTTCTGTGAGGTGATTACTAGGTAGACCGAGAATTGGGGCAAGATTGCGTAGCAGCCAGGTGGTACTGCACATGCATAATGTGCAACACACTATAACAGGTTTTGCTTTGTGAGTTTCAAACACTGGCATGAGCAGGCTGACTACAGCCAATAATGTCAAGTCGATAAGGCAAGGCAAGCCTGGAGGCCAAGTAAACACTAGGTAAGGTACCTAGTAGTCAGTACGGTGTATGGTAAAGTACAGTCCCTACTGTACCTAAGGTAGTAGTATGTACTGTGTACAGTGATGGATCTCTAGCCGCTCTAGGCATCCCGCTCTTACACTATACCAGGGTCCAGGAGCTCCGACGGAGGAGCGCAATGCACATACATGGTAGTAACCAGGGTCGGTGATTGCTTCTTGCGGCCGTTGTCAGCTGGTCCGTCCCCGCTACCTCCACGCAATTTATCCGAGCATTCCATTGCTCGACTCCAATGAGGGGTGGATAGCTTATCATCAGCTTCTCAGCTCCAGCCATTCATATTCTTGCTTCCTCCCGGCACGCCACTGTCGATCGCATGGGCGCGATTCCAACCTGGATCAGAAGTAAGTTTGTCTGACAGAAGAACTGCTTCAGATACCAATCAGGCACATATCGGGTTTTCCCAAAAGGGCAATCGATCGGCCCCCCGCAAGCACAATTTATATAGTTCTAGTCCAATCGATTGAGATAACCATGCTCAAGACTTGGAAGCCGTCTGTTCTTACTGAATCAAAATCACTAGTAACTCTGTAGAATCATTTAGACGCATTGATATCGACCGAGAGAATTTACTGTCTTTCGAGCAAGGCAAACGGCCAACTCTGCTAGGCTGCACTACCCTTGGACCGCAACGGCACCACCACCCCGTTCAAATGAACCCAATCCAAAAGACGATCGAACTTCTTACACTTATGAAATGCCTGGAAGTCTTCTCGGGCAGGAACCTGTAACGGCGACTCGACCTCCTTCTCATACAAGAGGTATGGGGTCACATCGGCATTGCACATGAGGGCAAGCCGAAGAGTCTCAATGCAGTGGTCGACATGTGCCCGAATTGCCAGCGGGGAATTCTGCTTCAGGATGCGTGGAAGAAGCCCTTCGGGGTATTCGTCGCGTCCGATGTACTGGCGCAGAACATTGAGGCAGTGAAGGTGATGGAAGACCTCGACCCCGGCCACGTAACCCTGGGTGGGCGACTCGGCGGGCACCGGCACAAACCCTTGCTCAGTGCTGCGGTTGAGGAGGGGTACACGTTCAGGAGGGACAACCACACTGGGCACTGAGAATGACGAGAGTGACAACATGGAACGCGTTAGTCCAGGAGGTGATACTTCAATCTCCCTCTCACCCTCAAATTCTTCTCATCCCTTGTTGGTTAGAACAAACATACCGTCGACTAATCGTTTCCATTTTGCCTCCATGTGCTCGGTAGGGGCACCTGTATACCCCGAATTCTGTGTGGCGAAGATACTGACCCAATCCCGCTGCTCATACTCGACTGCTTCAAGCAACGGGGCTGTTTCATCGTGCAAATGTCAATGAGGGAGGCGGGCAGAAGAGTTAATTGCACAGTACATACACCAGATAGAGAGCTGGGCAGCACATTCACGGTCGGATAATTTCCAACTCTGTGCCGCCGATAACATCACAATTCCCGCGAGAAACATGAGCAGGCAAATGAGGCTCCATGTCACCTGGAGGCAACGAGAACCAAAGTGACTGATATAGACAGTGCTGTTTGCAGTGTCTGTGTCATCGTTCTCATCAATGTTGTTCATCCGCTCATAACCTTGTCTTTTGTCCTTCATTCTGGCTAGGTAAAAGCAGTCGTGCCAGAGAACGAGGTGAAGGTTGAGGATATGGTCTATATCGATGCTATACCCGCACTGTAGGACTAACTGTAGGGCTTTTTAAATAGACGGTGCCAGAGTGACTAGTCTGAGAAAGGCAATCAGTCAAGTACTCAGGGCTGCTGTACAGTACAGTACAGTACTCGGCTTCACCAAGGCTGTTACTAGTATGGATTACTCGGTACCGATCAAGTTAGCGCTGGAAACAATCCCTGTCGGCGTTACTCAGTCCGCATATCACATACAGTACGGAGTATGTACAGTACATACGGTACAGTACTGACAATACTGATTCTCCTGTAGGCAGGTCTCTCCATCCCCAGCGCCTCTTCCTCATCTCCATCATCTCCATCACATCATTCCACCGAACCCCCCTACTTTTCCAGATCTTTCTCAACCAACACCCAACACCTACCACCCAGCACATCTACGACTCATCGCAAGACCTAGGCTCTCTCCGGATGGCATCACTCACTTGCACGGACGACATTTCTTTTGGTCCGGCTGTCAAGGGCTGTCGCGGGGACTTCGACTTCACCCTGAAATTTGAAACTATTGTTCTCTCAATTCTACCATCAGCCATATTCATTGCGCTCTCAATTCCTAGAGGCGTTTGGCTTGCTCATAGAACAAGTGTCAAGGGTAATGTATTATTCCAGTCGACCAAACTTACAGCAGCAGTCATTTTCGTGATACTGCGACTGGTGCTCCTAGCCCTGGCCACCATTGAGCCATCTGAGTTGCCTGCATTGTTCATCACGGCCAACTCCCTGGACCTCGTCGCCGCGGTAGGAGTTTTATTTCTAACGTATCTCGAGCATTCTCGCTCACTACGACCTTCAATACTCCTCAGCGCGTTTCTCTCGCTGACTATCCTTTTCGACATTGCCCGAGTTCGATCCTTCTGGATCTTGGCTCAAACCCACTTTCAATTTGTCTATGTGCGACTGTTCACTACAGTGACTGTTTGGAAAGCCTTGCTACTTTTGCTAGAGTCACTGCAGCACCAGAAATGGTCCAAATGCGACCACAAAACCCACAGTCCGGAAGAAACCTCGGGCTTGTATGGACTGGGCAGCTTTCTATGGCTCGTCCCCCTTGTCCTGTCAGGCTACAAGAAAGTGCTGGAATTGTCTGATCTTTACCCTCTGGATCGAAGCGTGTCGATTGAAGCCCTGCAGAGAAACTTTGCCACGTATACCCAGCGCGCCATCTCCCACGGAGACCAACAAGGCTTGGCCAAAGCAGTTGCCCGCACATTAACAATCCCTCTCCTACTGCCCGTCGTTCCTCGCCTCGCGCTACTCGGCTTTACACTTTGCCAAGCCTTTCTCATCGAGACAATCCTCGAATGGCTCGCAAAGTCAGACACCGCCCTGACAGTCAAGGAGGGATATGCGCTCATCGGAGCGACAGCATTAGTGTACGTGGGGTTACCGATCGTCACAGCATTCTATTGGTATTTTCATGAACGGGCTTTATTCATGATCCGGCCATGTCTAGTATCGGCAATCTACCAAAAGACTACCCAGCAGCCAATTGCCGCTGGAGATGACAAGGCAGCTGTCACGCTGATGAGCACCGATGTCGAAAGAGTCATGATGGGTCTTATGCAGCTACACGAGTTCTGGGCCAACCCCCTCCAGGTTGCAATTGTGAGTTGGCTCCTTCAGCGTCAGATCGGCACCGCCTTTGTGGCACCGCTGATAGTTGTCATTCTCGGCGCCATCATGTCGACTGTCGTGATGCGATTTGTTGGCCCTAAGCAGATAGCTTGGATGCAAGCAATCCAGAAGCGGGTCGGGCATACCTCAACTGTGATCGCTACGATGAAACACTTGAGAATCTCCGGACTTACCCAGCCAGTGGAAGATTCCATTCGAGCATTGCGGCGGGACGAGCTGCACGCTGGGGGGAAGTTCCGAACCTTTCTTGTGATTTCAGTGGGCATCGGATTCATGCCAGTCCTTCTGAGCCCCATCTTTGCCTTTGCCTTTAGCTTGGGCAGATTGAACACCACTACCATTTTTACCTCCCTCGCCTATCTCCAGCTTCTCTCTGGTCCATTCTCTACCCTCTTCCAGGTCGCTCCTCAGCTGCTTGCGGCCTTTACATCTCTATCAAGAATCCAGATGTTCCTCGAGGGAGAGTCGAGACACGACTATCGACGACTTGGGACTGACGAAGCCTGGAAACAAAAGGCTGCAGGGGAGAAGTTGCCCCCCGTGGTGAACATCACGGCCGGGGGCTTTGGCTGGCAATCAAACGCGATGACCTTGAAGAACATCGATGTTTCGATCGCCCCAGGGCTGAATATGATTTATGGTCCTGTGGCTTGCGGGAAGACCACACTGTGTAAAGCGCTGTTAGGCGAGATTCCATTCACGGAAGGCGAGGTCTTCGTACGGACCGAGTTCCGCCAGATCGGATACTGTGAGCAGGTTCCATTTCTCCCGAATGCAAGTATTCGTGATGCCATCCAAGGGTACTCCGCTTTCGATGCTGAAAGGTATACAAGCGTGGTTGAGGCCACAATGCTTTCTCACGACCTGCAGCTGCTCCCTCAGGGCGACCAGACCCAGATTGGCAGCGACGGGATCGCGCTCAGTGGCGGCCAGAAACGGCGAATTGCGCTTGCCAGAGCGTTATATCTTCAATGTGACCTGTTGGTTCTGGATGACGTTCTCAGCGGACTGGACGCGGCTACGGAGGAGCACATTCTTCACGCGGTCTTCGGTCTTTCAGGCATGCTGAGGGCCAGAGGGGCGGTTGCGATCTTCTGCACCAGTGCCCTACGACATCTTTCAGCAGCGGACTATATCGTTGTATTGGGAGAAAACGGGACAATCGTAGAGAAGGGGCCACCCCGCAATCTCCGTACCCTCACTTCACAAAATACCGCCGTAAGCGAAAGAGGCACAATGTCTCATCATACCTCTCAACCATCCGCACCAACAAACCAATCTCCCACCACCAATGGTAACAAAGCAGTAAATTCAAAGATCAAGAGAGAGCAATCGAGCAGAGCCATCGGCGATGCTGCCGTCTTCATGTACTACTGCCGCAGCATTGGCCCTTGGCTGCTTGTCAGCTTCGCGACAGTTGGTATTCTCTGTGGGTTTCTTTACAACTTTCCCACGATATGGATCGGCTATTGGAGTACTGATACCTTCGGCCAATCCAAATCTTTGTACCTGGGAATCTACGCTTGCCTCCAGTGTCTAGCCCTAGCCACCGTTGTCAGCGAGGCTGCCATCGGCATGCTGGCCATCATCCGTACCTCTGGATCGCGCCTGCACGATGCATTGCTGCGGACAGCCATCGCCGCTCCCTGGTCCCTTCTATCTCAGATGGACACCGGGATACTCACTAACCTATTCTCGCAGGACATGACCTTGATTGACGGGGAGCTGGCTCAGGCGCTGATCAACACATCCCTGCAGGTTTGGATCGCCATCGGTGGGGCGGCGGTGATCGTCGCCGGCTCATCGCCCTACACCCTCATTGCCTACCCTTTCGTGCTGGCCATCATATACGCAATCCAGCGTTTCTATCTGCGCACCTCCCGTCAGCTGCGCCTGTTGGACCTCGAGGCCAAGAGCCCCCTTTACAGCCACCACCTCAATACGATCAAGGGAGCCGCCACGCTACGCGCATTTGGTTGGATCAATGAGTCCATTGGAGTGAACAACGCGCTGCTCGACGCATCTCAGCGTCCAGCCTACTTGCTGAGCATGATTCAACGGTGGTTGTCTTTTGTTCTCGACATGGTTGTGGCAGTCCTGGCCGTCCTCGTCGTTGCGCTAACCACTCAGCTTCGCAACAGCAGTGCCGGCTTCACCGGAGCCAGCTTGGTCGCCCTGATGAGCTTTGGCAAGACGCTGGCCGGCTTGGTCCGTATGTACACGGCTCTCGAGACTTCCATTGGTGCTGTATCCCGGATCAAAGCGTTCTGCGACGGCGGGGCTGACGGAGTCGGGCTTGAGAAGAATCAGCTGGAGGATGACCGCTCTAAGGGTGGCGCTAACAAGCTTCGACTTCCTGCCTCCTGGCCGGAGAGGGGTGCGATCACATTCCAGCATGTTTGTGCTTCGTACAGGTACATTTTGTCTTCTGCTTTATGTTGCGGAGATGCTAACAACACACAGCAACGAAGCAACTCCCGACTCAGATGCTCTCGCTATCCGAGACGCATCATTTACCATCGAACCCGGACAGAAAGTCGCGATCTGCGGTCGAACAGGAAGGTAAGTCCTCCACCCATCTTCCAGAATCACACCCTGCTGCTCCCCTCCCCACAAATGACATGCAGCTAACTGAATCCAAACCAAGCGGCAAATCGACAATCCTTCTTCTCCTCCTCCGCCTCTTGGACCCAGTCCCGTCACCACGCACAACCAGCACCAACGCAAATGAAGACTCAGCCCTAACAATCGACGGCACACCCCTCCACTCAATCGACCACGCAACCCTCCGCCATCGCCTCATCGCCGTCCCACAAGACGCCATCTTCCTTCCCGACGGCACCGCCTCCTTCCGCACGAACCTTCTCGCTCCATTCGCCGACGAGACAATCGATCCCGCGGAGTGCCAGGCCATCCTGGAGCGCACAGGTCTCTGGAGCGTGGTCACGGCCCGTGGCGGCCTGGACGCACCCTTCACAGCCGACACGCTGAGCCACGGGCAGAAGCAGCTGTGGAGTCTGGCGCGCGCGGTGCTGCGGCGGCGGGTGCGCGCGAGGAGTTTGGAGGAGCGGAGCGCTGCTGTGCCTTCTGGTCCTACCCTCTCTTCTGGAAAAGTAATGCCAAAGGCCCCTGCGGTGTCGGTGGGTGGTCGGGATTGCGTCACTGCTTCACCTTCTCCAGGCCCGACCGGTGGAGTATTGCTGCTCGATGAGATCGACAGCGGCGTAGATGCCGCAACCCAGCAGATGATGCGCGATCTCATCTGGAGTGAGTTTGCGGGGTACACGGTGGTGATGGTAGGGCATCGGCTGGAGTTCGTGGGGGAGTTCGACCGGGTTCTGGTCGTGGACGCGGGCCGGGTGGTGGAGGATGGGTCGCCGGGGGAGCTGATTGCGCGTCCGACTGGGTGGCTTAGAGATTTGTGGATGGTTGGGAGGGGCGAGGCTTGATTGCTCTTTTTAAGAAGTAGGACTGGTAGCCTGCATACTGGGGAGCGGCGTTCTGGGGGAGAACCCCCAGACCCCCCTTCTTTTCATCTTTCCAAACACTCGACTGTGCAGTCTACACCTACGCCTACGCCTACCCAGGAAGCTGGAAGAAAGGGGGGTCTGGGGGTTCTCCCCCAGTACGCTGACCCTGCCCAAGTCTTCGGAGAAACCCTAGGTCCCCCTTCTTTTCATCTTTCCGTATATAATTGTCACGTACCCTAAGTATTGTACTTCAAGTTGGAAACCGGACAATAAAAAAGCAACCTGGCTCTGAACAATAGACGCAATTCCAAGGACGACGAGAGACGGAAATTGGTCGCCCGTCGGCGCGCGCCATGGCTGGACTATCAGGGCTTATATTGGCAGCCAAGAACGGTGCTACGATGCTAAGGAACTATAATCCCCGAACCATGTGCGCTAACAGCCCCCGGCCATGTGGAAACGCGACCGTTTCTTCCCTCGACAGGGCCAAGACGGATGGAGCCATTCTCGCCGGGCTCGTCGGCAATGAACCTATTCTAGGCTAAGTGTTGAACAGTGCACGCGATTAGTACTACCTGGTAGAGTTCGCGAGTTTCTATTTAACCCAACTCCCACCCAGATGTGAACTTAACTACGTCCAGTTAAAATACATAGATATCCCCCATCATGCGTCTTGTCTCTGCCATTGCCGCCTTTGCTGCGGTTGCTACTGCCGCGGCCGCGGCCACCGTCCCCCCTGAGCTGGCGGTCATCGGGGAGCCGTCGACGGTGCTGAATGTCACCTACTCCGTGGGGTCCACTGCAGTCAGCTTCACCCCTGGCGAGTTCCTTAACACGACCGGTATGCACGGCCGATCCCCTTTTCAGACTGTTTCGCTGACCAATTCACCATGTATAGTCACCAAGGACGCGCCGGAGCCGCATCTCCACGACTTGGGGCTGAGCAGCTCGGGGCCCTACCTGCTGCTCATGGTCGACCCGGACTGGAACAAAACCACTCCCCCCTCGGTAATCGTGCATACGGTTGTGGCCAACCTGACCACCGCCGTCAACAGTACGAGCGATGCGAACGTGCTGGCCTCGTACATCGCCCCGCAGCCCAAGTCCGGCACGCACAACTACACCCTGTTCCTGTTCGACCAGCCCGCCAACTTCAGCGTCCCCGGCCGGTATGAGACATTCATGCAGACCACTTCGGAGACTCCCCTGAACCGATTGAACCTGCCGCTGGAGAGCTTCCTCAACCAGACCGGGCTAGGTAAGCCAGTCGCGGCCAACTACTTCCGCGTCACGGCGGCGAGCAACGACACCAGCTCCAGCTCGAGCGGATCCAACTCCACCACGAGCACGAGCACAGGCACCAGCACCGGCACCAGCACCGGCACCGCCGCTAGCGAGACGTCGAGTGGGGCGGGCCACAAGATGGCAGCGGGCAGTTATCTGGCCAGCGCATTGGCCCTGGTCGGTGCGGTGGTGGCCGCCGTCTGATCTACATTTCCCGGAAAGATATTCGTGGCGATGGAAAGTGAAGGGCAAACTGGCACATCGCTATCTCATACAAGTCATACTCATCATGTACAGTACACAGGAGTAGGTAATACCAACACCGGAAGACCGGCACGCGCGTGCAGCCACAACTCCGACTTTAGTCTAGCACTTAATGTAAGCTGCATGCACTAAGTCCGTTAGTGGGGGCCAGATGCTTCTGTTGGTCATGCAATCTGGCATTTCCCCTCGACCACCCCTGTAGAAAAGCCGGCCAGCGAGGTATCAGAAGCGCAGTCCGTCGAAAACTAATCTGCCCGACCACCTGCACCAGCTGCCCACTTTTCCCTTTCCCCCATTCACCATGGCCTCGCGCATCGAATCCCTGGCCACGACCATCGCCGACTCGGCCCAGCAATTACGAACCCTGCTAGCGCAGTACGAAATTGACGAGCCCTCGTTTGCAGCCACCTGCCCTCCATCGCTGGCGCTGCCCCCGCCCGTCGAGGCCGCGCGCAACGCCCTGCTGCACGCGGCGTGCGAGATCCAGGATCTGCTGCTCGACCCGGCCGATCTGCTGCGTTCCTATGCCATTGTACTCCCCCCTTCCCCTCTACTATCGCACCTGAGTTGCGACGACTAATACAAAGAAAATCAAGCACGCCCACCTCATCGCCCTGCACTTCATCCAACAATTCAACATCGCGCACCTAGTCCCTCCCACCGGCACGATCTCCTTCGCAGCCCTATCCGCGCAATGCCACGTCCCTGAAGCGGACGTGCGGCGCCTCCTCCGCCACGCGATGACGATCCGCGTCTTCGACGAGCCCGCCGAGAACGAAGTCGCGCACACCCGCGCCAGCATGCTGCTGCGCCAGGAAGGGATCCACGGCTGGATTGGCTCGACCTGCGCGAATAGCTGGCCCGGCGCCACCAGGGTATCTAGTGCTCGTCCTGGCTAGCGCAACACGGCTGCTCATCTCGGCTAACCAGGGTGTGTTTGACATAGACGATCGAAGCATTGCAGCGCTTTCCCGGCTCCGAGGAGCCACATGAGTCGGTTAGTAGATGTTCCGCCCCGTCCTGGGGGAGACCCCCATTCTCCACTTTTCCAGGATCATGTCACGCACGGGGTCGTCTCATCCAGGAAGCTGAAAGAAAAGGGGGGTCTGGGGGTTCTCCCCCAGAACGCCTACCCCCCAAGTCCCCAGACCAGACTAGCAGCGTTCTGGGGGAGGACCCCCAGACCCCCCTTTCTTTCAACTTCCTGGTTAGATGTAAGCTGTATAGCTGGGATGTCTACTTAAGGTTCCGCTTAAGGGAACCTTTAGTTGCGTACTGCCTGGGGAGCTGAAAAGAAGGGGGGTCTGGGGGTTCTCCCCCAGGATGCCACTGTTCTTTAAGACTTGGGGGTAGGCGTTCTGGGGGAGAACCCCCAGACCCCCCTTCTTTTCAGCTTCCCAAACCCACCACCACGCCGCGGCAGACTCCCCCTGCGGGCGAATCTGCCTACGGATATATGGACGTGTACATGTAGGAAACTGACAGGGGATAGGGCTTCGCGCTCGCCAACGACGGGCGCGCGCTGTACGAGGCGCTGGCGCAGTCGCCCGCCCGCGCCGCCACGTTCGCCGCCAGCAAGCGCGGCTACGCGTCGGGGGCGGCCATGGGCCCGGCGGCGCTGGTCGCGGCCGTGCGCCCGCTGCTCGCCGCCCTGCCGGCGGACAGCGTGGTCGTGGACGTCGGCGGCGCGCAGGGCGACATCAGCTTCGCGCTGGCAGCCGCGTTCCCGCGCCTGCGCTTTGTGGTGCAGGATCTGCCGGGCGTGATTGCGCGCGCGAAGGACCAGCAGCAGCAGCAGCCCCCGTCCTCATCCCTATCTCCAACAACGAGTGAAGGAAGAGGACGCGTCTCCTTCCAGGCGCACGACTTCTTCACCCCGCAACCGCCCACCACCCCCGCAGCGCAGATCTACTACCTCCGTCATATCCTCCACAACTGGGGCGACCGCCACGCTGTCCAGATTCTGCGGCAGCTGCGGCCGGGGCTGCAGCCCGGGGCGCGCGTGCTCATCCACGACCACGTGCTCGAGCAGTACCCGGCGCAGGAGCCGATGTGGAAGCGGCGGCTTACCAGCGCGATGGATCTGAATATGCTGCAGTTGCTGAATGCGCGCGAGAGGGACGAGATGCAGTGGCGCGCGTTGCTGCGGGAGGCGGACGAGCGGTTTCGGTGGGTGGGGGTGCGGCGGGTGGAGGGGAGCGCGTTGGCGGTGGTGGAGGTTGTTTGGGATGATTAGTCCCCAAATGCCTGAGACTAGTAGCTCTGCTATGGGGGAATTGTAGCAGGTAGCAGGGGGTGTTCTGGTACGGAGTACGGAAACAGGAGTAATCTAAGGATGATTGATGCAATCGGACATGATTTGTTGGCGGGTATCCGACGGAGGCCGGAGGGAATCACTACCCTGCAACGTGAGTAAAGTAGCTACGGAGTAGAATTTAAGTTACTTAACAGTGAATAGGTACAGTACAGTACGCCGTAGTAGTTGCGCGGTGTCGGAGTGGCGTGCATGTGCATGAGGTGCAGGAGCAAGCTAGGGCTAAGCTTCACACGCTAAAGGCTCTCCCGTCAGCACTAGTAGGCTTAGTTGCATGTTACCCCTCCTTGGCTCAGTGACAAGTGAGGCATTTTGGGTTGGTGTATGATTCAGGAGCATCGTCCCCTTGGCAATATGTAGCCAGACAATACACAATCTAACTCTTGTCCTGGTTCATTTCTCTAGCCCATCCCATCCAGCAGCCAAGACCAGCCACCATGTCCACCACCACCGACACCGACACCGCAACCACCACCACCACCAGACCAGGCTGGTACCAAACCAGCGTCACGGCTATCGACCCCGCCGCGCAGTCCCTGCTGGAGGAGTACAGCGGGCTCCAGCCCGACGAGGTGCTTCCTCATGTCCTAGCTCTGGTAAGCAACACATCCTCCCGTCTCCCCAAACCCCAACCACCATCTCCCCTTCCACGCAATGTTTCACACAAAGACACCCCGCCCCCTCGCGCCAACCAAAAGCCAGTCATGCCAACTGAAGGAAATGAACCGAACAGAGAGACGAAGCCTTCAACATCTTCCCCTACCCCTGCATCGGCCAAATGCGGTTCCTGAGCTGCCACCTGGCGCGTCTCCCGTTCTACCCGCACGTCCTGGCGCGGCTGCGCGCCTCGCCGGCCCACGGCTTCCTGGACGCGGGGTGCTGCGTCGGCCAGGAGCTGCGGCACCTGGTGCACTGCGCCTCGATCCCGGCGTCGCAGCTGTACGGCTTCGATCTCGAGCCGGGGTTCTTCGACCTGGGCTACAAGCTCTTCCGCGACGACGCCCACACATTTCCGGCGACGTTTGTGGGCGGGGATTTCGGGGTCGAGGACGAGGAGGCGTGGGCGCGCGGGGCGATTGTGCGGAGCGTCCAGGGGAAGGTGGATGTCGTGTGGGCGGGCTCGTTGCTGCATTTCTGGGACTATGAGGGCCAGGTGCGCGGGGTGGTGCGGTTGGTTGGGTTGACGAGGGGTGCGGTGGGGACGATTGTGTGTGGGCGGCAGATGGGAAGTACGGTGGCCGGGGTTTATGAGTTGACGGGGTTGATGGATCGGACGATGCATTATCGGCATGATGTGGCCAGTCTGTTGGGGCTGTGGCGCGAGGTCGAGGGCCGGACGGGGACGAGGTGGGAGGTGCGGGCGGAGTTGGAGGTCGGCGAGACCACGGCCAAGATGCGCAATATGAGCTTTGTGGATGATAATGCCCGCGTGGTTTGGTGGTGTGCTACCCGCGTGCTGTGAGTTGGATTTATGGGGATGGGGATCATGAGATATGAGTGTGAGCATGAGTGTGAGCATTTGGGTTGTGGCGTTTGGCCAGGAAGCTGAAAGGAAAGGGGGGTCTGGGGGTTCTCCCCCAGAACGCCTACCCCCAAAGTCTCAAAGAACAGTGGCATCCTGGGGGAGAACCCCCAGACCCCCCTTTTTTTCAGCTCCCCAGGCAATGCGCAACAGCTATACAGTCTACATCTAACCAGGAAGTTGAAAGAAAGGGGGGTCTGGGGGTCCTCCCCCAGAACGCTGCTAGTACAGAGAATTGGGGTACATCCCCTTTTTTTCATCTTCCCAATCATAGCATGACTCAGTCACTGCCTGCCTATATTCTTTATGTACTGTACATATATACCCGAAGGGACTACCGGATATCCACATCCATCTTCACCAGGATCCCATTCGCCGACACCAGGCCTGCCGCTGCCCCCCGTGCCCGGTCTTCGGGGTCCTTGGAGGCGCAGCTGGTGGTGGTGAAGTGGCCCATCTGCAGCTGCTCGGTGCTGCTGCTGGCCTCGTCCTCGAGCCGCCGGCGCGCGGCCCGCGCGGCCGCCGCCGTCGAGGCGCGGCTGTAGTAGGTATTCCCGCCCGGCGCGCCGGCCGTCCAGCTCTTGTTGGAGCGGCGGAACTTCTTGCTGAAGGCCACGCGGAAGCCCGAGGCGATGGGCACGGCGGCCGCGCACACGATGGCCACGTTGAGCTGGATCACGTCCAGCAGCTCGAAGGGCGCGGCCGCGTAGGTGAAGTCCGAGTGCAGGTTCGTGGCGGTGTAGAGGACGGCGACGCGGGCGATGGCGGAGACGACGGCGCTGCGGATTGGGGGATTAGGGATATGGATACAAGGAGACGCAGGGAACTTCTGGTGGAGGGAGGGGAGTGTACGTACAGGAATCCGACCGAGAACACGATCATAAGCCCTGTTTTTCGGGCGAGCGGCATCTGCAGGGTGGCGATGGTGGCAATGGGCAGCACCAAGATGGCGACATCGGAGACCAGGTCCAGAATCAGCGGCAGGCCGTCGGCGGTGGTGGTGTTGTGGCAGCTGCCCTTGAGGGTCGACTGCGGGTCGAAGCGCTCCCAGTAGTAGCTGGCCGGCACGCACGAGAGCGCGTACGAGATGGTCGAGCCGATGGCCCACAGCACCACGTATACCATGTTCGTCCACCAGAAGATCCGCAGCCAAATCTGCTGCACGATGAACAGCCGGCGGTAGTAGAGCAGCAGGGCGATCTTGGTGGCCAGCATCGAGGGCCCGTTGAAGGTGGCGGTGAGCCACACGCACAGGAAGATCCACTTCAGGGCATGTAGCGACGGATCCTGCGAGTTGACGCGGAAGAGGTGGTATCCCAGTCCATAGTGCACCGCAACTATGGTGGCGACGGAGACCACATTGGCGAAGAGCTAGAGGCAGAGAAGAGGGGCAAGGTCAGTGACACGGTCGAGTGCGTGGATGCAGCAGACGACGGCAAAAGAACGTACGACGGCCACGACCAGCCAATAGTCCTCCTGCATGGGGCGTTTCTGGATGCGCCATTGGGCCCAGATACGCAGCATCACGCCCAGATTGCCAAGCACCAGCATGGTGACACTGAGGCCCAACACCACCGGCTGGAGGGACTGCGACCACTCCGCCAGCTCCGCCGCGGTTAGCGTCGAAGTGGTGGAGGAGGACGACGAGGACATCGTCTCCGACATGGTGACGGGGATCGAATGGCAGATAAAAGATACGACAATCTAAATAGAAGGGAATAGGGATGGGAGGACAATCCGTCAGATCGTCAAGACCCTCTCAACAACCCAACACAGCCCATTGTCAGCGAGGAGGTACTCTGTCGCTGATAAATAACCCTCACTGCCGCCTGATGGTGGCCAGATTGATCCTGGGGACAGGGATACTGCGACAGGGATACTGTGCTGGACTGCACACTAGTTGCAATTACCAATTATCACCAATCTCTCTCGGGTGAAGAGAAGAGAAAAAGAGGGGAAGGGTCGGAGTTTGACAAGACCAGACAAGAGGAGACAAGACCAGACCACTGCAGTGGCCCACTTTTCCGCCCCTGCATCGCGTCGGCCCTAATCCGGCACTAATCAATCCTGCACGAGTGAGATTTGTCCGTAGAGTCCGTGATTGTTGGCCCCCCCCCCCCGCGCCAGAATGCCTCGTCCGATAAGTCAAGCGTAGACAAGCATAGACAAGCGTAGACAAGCCTCGCCAATCTGCGATGCGGTGCTTAGCTATGCAGCCAGCCCATAAGAATGCACCCAAGCGCTATGGGACTTTTTCTGTAATCGTCGCCGACAATTCTCTCGTTCTCACCATGTTACTGCACCCGAGTCCTTCACCTGCCGGCTTGGGGCTGAGCAAAGACCAGGTTCGGAGCTGCACGGCGGAAGTCGTGCGTGATACCCTGCCCCCACGCGAGGCCACCAGCCTGCTCGAGCTTTTGCAGCGAGCTGCAACCACCTCTGCAGGGATCACCTTTTACAAGACCTCAGGCTCTACTGCCGAATCGGCAGAGTGGTTTTCCTACCAGCAGCTGCTCAACCAGGCCTGCCATGATGCGCACTGGCTGCAAACCTCGGTGTCGAACCTGCAGCGGGACACGGTCTTCCTGCTGCATTTCGACACCCACGAGGAAAATATCCGCTGGTTCTGGGCGTGCACAGTCGCGGGCTATCTGCCGTGTATCGTTCCCAAGTTCGCGGTGTCGACCGACCGTCGCATTGCGCAGGCCGAACACATCCTCCGGCTGCTGGATGGGCCGGTGGTGCTCACCAATGGCCGCATGGCGTGCGCCTTTCAGGGCATCGACACCCCGCGTTTGTATCGCGTCGATCAGCACACCGCAATGACCACCAGACTGGCCACCACGGCAGCCGCCACGCCGCTCCCAGTGGATCGCAACCAACGGGCCGACGATCTCGGAGCCCTGATGCTCACCTCGGGCAGCACCGGCTTCTCCAAAGCCGTGTGTCTCCGGCAGCCGCAGATGCTGGCCGCAGCCGCCGGCAAAGCCGCACACTGCGGAGCGACCTCTCAGGACGTCTTCCTCAGCTGGATCGCGCTCGACCACGTCGTCAACCTGGTCGAGATGCACCTCCACGCCATGCGGCTGGGGGCAGAGCAGATCCAGGTGGCGACTGAGCTGGTGGTGGCCGAACCGCGCCGCTTCCTCAACCTGGTCGATCGCCATCGCGTCTCCCTCAGCTTTGCCCCCAACTTCTTCCTGGCCCTGCTGTGCGAGCGCGTCTGTCATCCCACACCGGAGCAGGAGGCCCAGCCCGCCGCAAGCTGGGACCTCTCGTGTCTGCGCTGTGTCTTCTCTGGCGGCGAGGCCACTGTGCGGCAAATGGCGGTGCAGCTCCTCCGGGCACTCAGGCCCTACGGCGCCCGGCCCTTCATCCGCGCGGGCTACGGCTTGACCGAGTCGTGCGCGGGCATGGTCTGGGACCTGGTCGACCACACTCTGGAGGGCCTCCACGACGCGGCTGGTGAATTTATGTGCTGCGGCCTGCCCATCCCCGGGGTGGAGATGCGCGTGCTGCGGGAGAGCGACGAGAGCGAGGCGGCCGCGGGCGAGGAAGGGATGTTGCAGCTGCGCGGAGCCGTGCTGTTCGACCGATACTACTGTGATGCAGCCGCCACGCGTGCGGCCTTCACGTCCGACGGCTGGTTCATCACAGGGGACAACGCCTACCTGGATGCGCACGGCCAGCTGTACATCACGGGCCGCACCAAGGACACGCTCCTGCTCAACGGGCTGACCATCTTTGCTGTCGAGGTCGAGCATAGCCTCGAGCAGGCCCGGATCCCCGGTCTGACCCCGAGCTTCACGCTCGTCTTCGCCCACCGGCCCCCCGGTGCCCTGACCGAATCCTACTGCGTAGTGTACCTGCCCAGCTACAGCCCAGACGACGCCGCGGCCCGCGTCGCCACCACCGAAGCCATCGAGCGGATCGCCAGTCTGGTCGTGCACGTCAAGCCCGCCGCGGTGCTCCCCCTGCCACGTAGCTACTTCGAAAAGACCTCCCTCGGCAAGCTCTCGCGCGCACACTTCCGGCGCCTCTTCGAGTCCGGCGCCCTGGACTCCGAACGCGAAGCGCACGAGAGCAGCATCCATGCGCACCGCCAAGCGCACCGGCAGGCCCCCTCCTCGCCCATCGAGCAAACGATCCTCACCCTCATCTGCGCGCGCCTCCACGCGGCCGACCCCGACTCTGTCAGCGTGACCACCAACCTCTTCAGCCTGGGCCTCTCTTCGCTCGACTTCTACACCGTCACCCAAGACCTGCACCAAACCTTTGGAGTGGTCTTCACCCTCCCGGACCTCCTCATGGACCCGACCGTTGCCGGTCTCGCCCGCCGCCTGGCCTCCAAGCAGCACCAACAACAACCCAGCCCTAACTCCCACTCCCACTCCCTCCCTCTCTCCCCCTCCCCAAAACCAGACAACCGCACAGACTACGACCCCGTCGTCCCCCTGCAACTCACCGGCCCCAAAACCCCACTATGGCTCGTTCACCCCGCCTCCGGCAACGTCCTCATCTTCGCCAACCTGGCGCGCGCCTTCCACGACCGACCCATCTACGCCTTCCGCTCCCGCGGCGTCCAACCCGGCGAGCCGCTGTTTACCAGCATCGCCGAGATGGCCTCCACCTACGCAGCAGCGATGCAACGCACGCAGCCCGCAGGCCCCTACGCACTGGCCGGCTACTCGCTCGGCAGCAGCATCGCGTTCGAGATCGCCAAACGCCTCGAATCCGCCGGCCAAGAAGTCCGTTTCCTCGGCGCTCTCGACGGACCGCCGGACATCGCGCCGCTCGTGGGCCAGCTCACCTGGACCGAGGCGCTGGTGATGATCGCGTACTTTTACGAGCTCATCTCCGAACCGCGGTGCGTGGCGCTGATGCCGCAGTTACGCGATGCGGAGCGCGAGCGCGCGTTGGATGTGGTCCTGCGGGAGGCAGACCCGAGTCGCGTGAAGGCCTTACGGTTGGATCGGGCGGAGCTGAGCCATGTCACCGACGTGACGGCGGGGTTCTCCCGCGCCGCGGGCCAGTATACCCCGGCCGGGAGCGTGGCGGGCGCGCCGGTGGATGTGTTCGCCGTCGATCCGCTGCTCACGGTCACGGAGGACCGGACCGTCTGGGTCGAGCGGTATCTGGGCCAGTGGAGGGCGTTGTCGCGACGGGGCATGGCCGTGCACCAGTGCGAGGGCCGGCATGCCGATATGCTCGGCGCGCGGTACGTGAATGGCCTGCAGCTGGTGTTGCGGCGGGTGTTGGAGGAGAGGGGCGTTTAGATGACATTTGCGTTACATGAATAGATGGCTCAGGGTGCAATCAGCTGGGTGGTCGATGCGTTGTCAAAAGCCAATGAATGTAATGTGATATGTGTGTGCTTGTGCGTGGGTGCTGGTTGGTGGTGGCGTTCTGGGGGAGAACCCCCAGACCCCCCTTTCTTTCAGCTTCCTGGTAGATGTAGACTGTATAGTCGGGGTGGTTACCGAAGATTCCCCTCCGGGGAATCTTTGGTTGCGTCTTGCTATGTTTGGGGAGATGAAAAGAAGGGGGTCTGGGGGTTCTCCCCCAGGACGCTGCTCCCACAGTATGCACTTCCGTCCCTCACGGACAGCTATCATCCCACATAGGATCTGACTCTTTATCTCCGTGATGCTTGGAAAATAACAGGAAACCTCCATTATCGGGGTGGTGGTAGTGCAGTACGTAGAGGTGCTGGGAATAGTGGGAGCGGCGTTTGCATTCTTCATTCGCCGCTCTCCATCCCTGGGTCGCCGCATTTTGCCCCGAGTCCCCGGTACGTACCGTACCGTACCGTACCGTCTTACCAGCGTGACATCATCAAACTCGTCACCTCTCTCCTCTGTGAAAAATAATGCTCCAACCGGACATTGCTTTCACTCAACTCCTATTTTGCACAAGGTCCTCGCAGCCAGTGGCATCTGGCCTTTCTTCCCATATGCACTCCGGTCACAGAGCTCCCAGTCGAGCCGCCTGTCTTGCCTGGTCAGTCATCCTTCCCGTATTGGAACGACACGCATGGGAAAATTAACTGCTGCGGGTGTCCAGTCGCGCGCGCAAGATTCGATGCGACGGACGGAATCCATGTAGCAGAGTAAGACTCCTCTTGATACTTCACTAGGACAGTCAATGACGCTTTCAGTAGTGTTCCTACAAAGGGTTGAATTGTGTCTATCGCCCCAGCCGTCGGGGCGGGATCCGTCGCGGTGGTGCGACCAAGTCGCCGGTCAACGAGGCTCCAGCGCCAGTCCACAACCCTACCGTTCCAGCTGTGCCCATCGGCCAGCACCCATTCCCAGTCTCCGCTTTGAATGATGTGATCGGAGAGGAAGAAGACCTAACGAGCATCTTCAATCTTCTCAACCCTCTTGGTGGGATTCGCAATCTGGACGTGAATGAGATCGATGAATCGAGATTTGAGGATTGGAGAGGAGTGCCAGCAGCAGCAGGAGCCCTGGTTACCAATGCTTGTGATCCCATGGGAGATGTGATGAGCACGAGTCCCCTCGTAGTTCTGCGCGCATACACCTCCGATGAGGACATGTAAGTATCAGCATCCGAGCAGCAGTCACAAGGTACTGCTTCGGAGTCGAGTGCCATCAGTATCATGTTCGTTCATGGTGACTGACCCCGACTATAGACTGAATGCTTACTACGTACACATCCATCCATTCTTACCGATTCTTCCGCCTCCTCTCACAAAGCAACCTGATGACCGGCCGTCGGCTGTTCAATTCGCGCAGGGCCAAGTCAGGGCAATCCAAGAATCCTCTTTTCCACACTGGCCGGCCTCCGCACTGACCCTGGCCATCTCAGCCATTTTGGTATCAATCCCTCTGCCCCAGGATTCCGACCCGAGTTCGGAGTCGAGTATCTCGTTGAGACGGTCGGCGGCACAGCATTTCGCAGAAGCGGCGTTTCGTGCAGTGGACGACGGGACCGATGCGAGGGCTCATACACCGGCCAACACAACTATCTTCGCAGGACCCGGTATTGGTAACAACGATATCGCGCCGGTGTCCTCCGTTCTGGCCCTGATACTACTGAGTATTCATGAATACTGCCAGCGGGGGAATGTGTCTCGCATGCGGCGTCGCGCTAATCAGGCGATCACAACCGCCATGGATCTCCGCTTGCATAGCCTGGGTGCTGCGGCAACCGAGGCACAGCGCCGAGCGTGGTGGGGTGCGGTGGGTTTTGCCCAGGACAAGGCTTTGATGTCTGACTCTGATCGATTCTGCAGATGTTCATTCTATATCTGTCATCCATCGACCAGGACGTAGTAAGTATTGTCCTGCTATCAGGATATCCTCCACTTTCATTAACCTCTTATCCCTACTTTTGGTAACCGGTCATCAACGCAGTTACCTATCATCACCCTTGACGACCCGCGGATCACGACCCCGTATCCTGCCATCCACAACCACTCGGAGGTACGGCAGTGCCACTCAGTCTCTGTTCTTTCCGACACCTGACTTTTATACCTAGCCATGGCCCCTTCTGCTCCAAGCCGAGGCTATCATCCTATCAGTGTCGCAGACCTTGTATAACCGGCGCCGCCCTCCAGCGCTAGCAGGCACGGCTCCTTCCCAGCTTACGGCTGCAATTACACGGCTTGACGCGAACATCCTGGAATTGACGCGCAAGCTCGACCGGTCACCGCGACCTTCATCCAGGACCGGTGTCGAAGCACAAGCACTCTTAACGACGTGGGCGATCGCCCAGTCCCTGGTTTATTCGTAATAATCCCGGATTCCCACCTCTTCGCCAACCAAAATGACTAACAAACTGCCTAAACTCTCATGATAGAGCCCGCGTGCGCCTCCACCGCTCCCGCGCCTTCAGCAACATAGCCCCCATATTCATCTCCAAACACTGCAACCTCCCCACCGACCCAGACCCCGCCCGGCCCCGACAGTCAACACCCGACGAGCAGATCCTCGCCTCCGCCGCCTTCCCATCCACAGCAGCGCAGTCTTCTCTGATCTGCCTCAAAGCCTCCCTGGCCATGGCGCGCGCGTACGAAAGGATCGCAGCAATTGCATCCGAAGGTGGCTCACGTAACGGAGCACCGCACCCCCAAGCGATCGGAGCATCACATGGCCCCTCCACAGAGGGGTTTGTTCTTCCCGAGCCCGCGCCAGTTCCACCGCGAACGCACATCATCCCGTTTTTCTTCTGCGGCGCGATGCAAGCCTCCCATGTCCTGCTCATGACTTACCGTCAGCTTCGGATGGCGCTCGGGTTGACGGGGGAGGAGCCGCAGGTCGCTTTGGGGAGGTACGCCCACCTGCTTCCGCACTCGCTGGAGCCGGGAGCCGAGGTCCAGGATGTGGAGCGGCTGCTGCGCGAGCTGCGGCAGGGAGTGGAGTCGATTCTCGGGTCGATGCGGTTGACGGTCGTGTTTGAGGGGGTGGGGGGGATGGAGGTGGAGGTACAGGGCGCGTATCGTTCGGTGTGTGGAGGGCAATTGTAGTTATGTGCTTTGTACCTGTCTTGTCTTCTATCTTTGTATGAGAGAAGGATATTGATTTGCAGAGTCAAAGCTATCCGGGTTTAGGCTTATCCCATCCAATAGTGTTGGCTTCTGGTATTATTGGCTGAGTGGACTGTGGATGGTTTGGTTCCCCGATGGCCGCGCGGGAGCGGCGAATCATCGGGTCGCCGTTGTGTTGCACTGTGCTGTGCTGTGCTGTGCTGTGATTAGGGCTACCGGGTGGGACTCAAAAGGCCGCAGTGGGCCTCTTGTATATACTGCAACACGAGGTCTATTCGCCAATGTTGAGATTTAGACATGAGTCAACCTAGGGATGAATGGCTCTCTGCCGCATCCATCTATGAGAGTTACCAATATGCTGAACATCGAGCGTAGAGGAGTCGGTCAGTGTACAATTTCCTTTCTACAAGAAACCTTAAAACACATACTACAGCATCCAGGCAACAATCAACAAGATCAACGTCCATTAACAATAATCAATCTTCTCAGAACCTGGAGAGACCGTCTTAGACCTCCACACAACCATCTGCACTGTCTTCAGACAGAACCGCGCGACAAGCCTGCACGAAATCGTGCTTCAAGTCCTCGACATCCTCCAACCCACAACTCACGCGCAGCAGCCGCTCATCACAACGACTATCGCTCATGGCCCTCCACTCAATCAAACTCTCCACATCGCCCAGACTCGTGGCATGCTGAAACACACCCATCTTCGACGGCAACCGCCTCGCCAGCGCCGGCGTGCGCGCCCAGATGGCGAACACCGGCCCGAACCCAGCAGGCATCTGACGCCGCAACCACCCATCCTCGCCCCCTAAATCCTCCACCTGCAGCGACGCATGCCGCACACTCCGCACAACCTGCCCAACCACCCCAGCACCGCGCTGCACCTCCCCAACCAACCACGCCACCAACCTCTCCGCGGTCTCCGCCTGCCTACGCACACGCAACTCCAACGTCCGCACCGACCGCAACCCCAACCACCCCTCCAAGCTCCCCATAACCGCCCCCAGCACCATCCGCTCCGCCTCCAACCGCTCCATCCACCCCTCCGCCACCCGCGCCGGATGCACCACCACCACACCCCCCAGCATATCCGAATGCCCCCCCAAATACTTCGTAGCACTATGCATGACAAGATCCGCCCCCAGGGCAATCGCATCCTGCAACGGCGGCGGCGCCAGCGTCGAGTCGACCGTCAGATACGCGCCAGCGGCACGGGCCCGCGCCGCGTACGCCGCTAGATCGCGCGCCTCGCCCGTCGGGTTGACCGGCGTCTCCACGTGGACGATGTCGCCCGGCTGGAGAAGCTGCATCGCCTCCCAAGAGAGCTTCTGGCACTTTCGGCCGTCGCTCAGGCGCGACACGAGATCGATCACCGCGTGCACGCCGTGGTAGCCGTCGCCGAGGAAGATCCGGGCGGGCTGCAGGAGGACGAGGATCGCGTGGAAGGCGGCGAGTCCCGTGCTGTAGGTGAGGATCCCGGCGCCGGGGTGGAAGATGTGTTGCAGGACGTGCTCGAGGCGCGTCGTGTTTGGGGCGGAGTAGCGCGCGTAGATGTGCGAGTCGTGCGGGGCGTTGGGCTGTTTTGGCGTGGTGTTAGGGGGGGGGATGGATACTGCAGGATTGTGGAAATTGGTGAGGGAAGGGATGGGATGGGAATCCGCACGTCTTGGTTCTCCAGGGGAATGAGGTGCGCCGGGTCCCGCGCGTACCGGTAGGTTACTGCTACGTGCATCGCGGGGGCGATGGCGCGGTGCGCGCTGAATTTGTCGTCGGCGTGGATGGCCTGCGTCGTCTTTGCCATGGGTCGGGATCCGAGGTTTGGGGGTTGTTGAGCGTCATTGTTGATTGGGTTGGGGGCTGGGTTGGAGGTCATGGTATGTGTTTCTGAAGTTGAAGCGTGAGATGACGTTTGGTGTGGGTGAATTGGAAGTCGGGATTGAAGAATAGTAAGAACGAGAGAACAGGAAGATATTTTATAAATGAAGGCGGCTCATATTTTCTCTGTTTCTTCTTATTGTACTTGAAGATATCAGGGTATATACCTCGCACCGCAAAGACTGGTCGACCCACTTCATACGCCGCTCCATCTTGGGTCGCCGCGTTCTGGGTCCGTGCCGCGGTGACTGATTTTACCTCGATCTTTCCGGTATGGTACAAACAACGATTGAAGATGTGGTCTTGTACTCCGATCTCGATGGGATGAGACTATACGCTGCGACAGAACCGAATCTGTTTTTGCTGTCTTGGTGGTAACTTGGCGAGTAATGGCATGCGACCCGACCCCTTGCAGTCAGTTGCTTCTGCAGTTTTATGATACCAGCCATCATCTTGAATACCGTCACTCCAATAATCATACAAAGGAGTATTCTATAATTGGTTTACTCAGATGGGGAGAACATGAGGGGGAGAGCTCGACTGTACAAGCTGTACAAACTACCGCAAGAAAGCAGACCAGCACAAGATACCATTGGCTTGGATCGCTAACTACGCTTTCATTCTTCTTCTTCTTCTTCTTCTTCTTCTTCTTCTTCTTCTTCTTCTTCTTCTTCTTCTTCTTCTTCTTCTTCTTCTTCTTCTTCTTCTTCTTCTT